GGCACTGGCACTTTTTTGAGCTATAGATTATTTTCCTTCTCCTTTAACTTCTTTTCTGTGTCTTTGTTTTGTTTTGTGTACTCCTGGGTTCAGATCATTATAAGTTTCTGGGAAACTTCCCACCTACCCCTCTCCTAAGTCAACATTAACACTTACTTCTCACTTAGGGCAAATTGTTGGCTTAGGGGAGGGGCAGGTAGGCTATTTCCCAGAAACGTATAATGATACCTACGTTCTAGCGCATGGGTAGCTACGCCCATGTTCAACACTGCATGACTGCTCAGGGCATTGTTGGTGTCAATTGATTATAGAAAATAGCCCTCCAGCCCCATCTGTAAACAATTACTGAATAAACAACAAGACAGCTTATTTGTGAAAACACGTTAATAGTCTTTATTTATTGAGATGTATTAACCGCCATATTTTGTTTCATATTTTTTTGGTACCGCCATACATATTTTTTTTTGTTTCTTGAGACAATGTTTCGTATATCGTTTTCTTTGACACTTTGTATTTCTTTGTTTCTTGAGACTTCGCTTTTGTACTTTCTTTTGTTTTCTGTCTTTTTTTCAAGGCAGCTCATTAGTAAACACACTTCAATAACCTTAATTCATGAGATGTACTAACCGCCATATTTTTTGTTTTGTTTTTGGTTTTTGTTTTGTTTCGTTTTTTTTTTTTGTGGAGACAAAGTTTTGTGTACCTTTTTTCTTTGGTCTTCGAGACTTTGAATATTTTTTGCTTTCTGTCTTTTTTTTCAAGGCAGCTCATTAGTAGACACACCTCAATAAACTTAATTCATGAGATGCACTAACCGCCATATTTTTTTGTTTGTTTTTTGTTTTGTTTTTTTTTTGGTTGTTTTTTTTTGTGGAGACAAAGTTTTGCGTACCTTTTTTTCTCTGGTCTTCGAAACTTTGAATTTTTTTTGTTTTCTGTCTTTTTTTCAAGGCAGCTCACTAGTAAACACACCTCAATAAACTTAATTCATGAGATGTACTAGCCGCCATATTTTTTTTTTTGTGGAGACAAAGTTTTGTGTACCTTTTTTCTTTGGTCTTCGAAACTTTGAATTTTTTTTGTTTTCTGTCTTTTTTTCAAGGCAGCTCATTAGTAAACACACCTCAATAAACTTAATTCATGAGATGTACTAACCGCCATATTTTTTTTTTTTTTTTTTTTGTGGAGACAAAGTTTTGTGTACCTTTTTTCTTTGATCTTCGAAACTTTGAATTTTTTTTTCCTCGAGACTTCATATTTCTGTGTTTGTTGGCTTTTTTTTCTCATTGCTTTTTTCGGTCTTTTTTACATCTCCAAAATTTTTTGTGTTTTCTGTGTTTTTCTTCTTTGTTTTTACTATTCACTACTGAAAAGAACAAAGTGATAAAAAAGTGGGCCGGTTGAATAAAAAAAAAAGAACAAGCAGTTAAAGGATGATCTTCGCCAGCGACGGAGTTGGAGTCGTTATCAGAATTAAAAGCGCAGAGATTAAAATCCAGTGAAAAAACAACTCAACTAACGGACCCAGAAGTGCATGAAAGCGTTGTGATCCTTCCATATCCGATTACGTCGAGCTACTTACACTTCCAATGTTTAATATTCACTATGTCATTAACTATGATAAGCACTCTTACGACTCCAACCCCGTCGCTAATGAACACCAGGATTTAACAGCCTTTCTACGAGAAAAAGTTGGTCTGCTTCAAGTGTTGGACTACATCCGCTATCTGCTTTTTGATGGTTAGGCTGGTGGCTTCTGTATCCGACACTGCGTTCTCCTGATTATAAACAAGATGGTATCGTTTAGTCACATGGTCGCAAAACTCTTCCTGAAAAAGAAAAAACAAACAGATAAACAAACACGTAGGTCAAAAAGAATTCCAGCCATGTCATACCCCAAAGTTATAATAATAATATAACTATTATTATTATGGGCTCCCGTATATAATAATAATAATAATAATAATAATAATAATAATAATAATAATAATAACAATAATGATAATAATAATATTAATGCAAAAATTATATAGCGCCATTTCTATGAGCTCAATGACGCTTGACAATGGTTGTTTTTAAATTAATTAAATTCACAACTGTATTGCTAAAAACACTAATTTAAAAAATCTATTTAAGGTTTTCAAGTCGCAATAAGATAAATTCAAAAAATACCGACAGTTAAAATATAGAAGATTATACTATCCTTGTAGAAAGCTTTTTAAAAAAGAAGTGTTTTTATCTTTGATGTGGGTCAACTATCCATTCCTTAGCGAATTCTGCTTCGCAATGATGAGAAGAGCCGTCATTAAAAGATTAAATAACAACGTCGGTAAGAACGCTTGGCTGCCACAAGTCAGTCAGATCCCTGCGTAACTCTTCTGACACCTCTAGCTTAAAGTAAACCAAGCCTGTGTGCTTGAACGGGCGTCTTCCTGTTTCAGCTGTTTCCTTTAGTGGGAGACGCAATTTTAGTCGCTGTCTTGTCAACTCACGGACGAGACTTCAAGGCTTCTTTTTGATCGTAAAATTTGTCAAAAGGTGGTGGGGAACAAACACTACTGAAACCCAAAGAATCCGAAATATTAGAGGTAGCGTAGTATCCTCATGCAGGTCGCAACGCGTTCCCCTTTCCATATCTACTTTCGATTTTCGATTCACATCACGTGTTTCATTAAAACCAATCACCTCAAAGTAAGGGGTGTGTTTTAATTATTTATAGGCCAGGGTTTATAACATCCTTCATCAAAAACAATATGAAACTGCCATTTAGTAAACTAGACCTCAAATATTAATGGTCAAAATCGTTGATCGCTCAACTAATTAAATTTCACTTTAGCCTACCCAATTTCCCAGTTTCAATATCCGAGGGAAGAGATCTTCAGCCGCTGTGAAAAGCAACCTCATTACTTCCTGCTTCTGGTGATGCTCTTCCTTCGCCAAAGCCACGGCAAGAATTTCACAGCTGAAGACGATAAGAAGCGTTAGCTTACTCCATGGATCAGTCAGTTCTTGATCACATTTCTCTTCAAACTCACGCATGAGGTTCTTAACATCTCTCGACTCCCCCACCAAAGATCTGACGCTCTCGCTAACATCAAATCCGTCTTGAGCTACGTCCCTAGTAATTATCAACAAATATTCTGCGACCTTTTCTACTGAATCGAGAGCAGATCGAATGCTCGATTCCCTGCTTCCTTGCCTCATCCTTGCATAGAAATCAAGAAGGACTGTCAAATTTCGCTTGATCTCGAACTCCGTTAAGTTTTTTGCCAGATCCAGTCTTCCTACTTCACGCAAACCGTCTTTTAGAAAAGAGACATCTGTCCAAGAGATCTTTCCCTCATTTTCTAAGGAAGACAGAATGCTCAAAGCTCTAGGATCTCCCATCTTAATGAGCTCTTTAAAGTAGAAACGAAGCTGCTCTTGCTGATCCTTCTCCAAACTGCGAACAATTTGGAGAAGAACAGCCCTGTAAGCCAGTTGGAGATTGTCAATGATGGTTTTATTTGTTTGTGATGACATGGCGGAGTCACCACAAACGGCGGCGAATTTAATGAGAACATTCCCTCTTTTTATACCCTGGAATATTAATAACAGGGAAAGTCCCTGACGTCATTTAAAACAGCAACCATTGTAGATCGTGAGACTGATTGCTTCGTTAGTCGCCCTAATACTATAAGTAGCCTGTGTCAGCAGAGGCCAAAGTAACCCAAGCTCTAGGAGTCTATTGTGAACTCTGTAACACAATCAAAGGGCGCAGAAGAGTTATTTCTGACCTTGATTGTAGTTAAATTTTACTGTTAATACCACAGGAAGCCCAAGCTCAATATGAGGGTACTACTTGTGCGGTTGCGTAACTCTCAAAATGGCCTTCAACATAAAGGATTTGTATAGGAATTCAGGCAACAGATTTGAAAAGATAAATACTCGCAAGAATTTTCAATAAAAAACACTTTACCTTATTTACTTGGTGTCGTCTTGCTTCTTACGTGGTTATTTTCCCGATCCTTTACGTTTTAAGCGATTTCCTTTATATCCCGAGTTTCCACTAATCAGACTAATAAAGAGAGGACAAGGCCAAACACTCGCAATCTGGACTGCCCGCCGAACGAGGTCAAAAATTCCAGGTTAAAATTTCCCCACGGCCAGAATTCCACAGCAGAATCCTACTGCGAAGGTTTAACTTTCATTTTAACTGTCTGGCCAAGCAATCGCGTCCCTGCGAGCGAAGCCAAGCGGCAGTTTGTTTCCCCGATTAAACGGTCAAACGCTGGTAGAAATCCGCCTCGGAACCCCGCCGACACAACGACCGTTGAAATCGGCTTGGTAACTTCGCTACCTTGTCACAGAAATATTCACCGGGTAAACGAACGCAATTTGTCAACGAGAACTCTTGTTGGCACCCAGGGTCCCTGGTAGCTCAGCAGTTAGAGCGTCTGATTTTCGGAGGGTCGTGAGTTCGATTCTCTCCCGGGGCACGAAAATATTTCGTTGCTTTCTGGCGTATGGTTTCTCCTTCTTCAAAGTGAAAATGTTAAGTTCAATGGAAGTGTACGTCTGCTGCCCACTGGTGTCTTATGAAAAATTCATACTTTTTCTCACAAATACTAGTTTAATTTGAATAGAGTCGAAACATGTATGCATAATAATATACCTGCCAACTCTCACACATTATGCGTGAGTCTCGCGCCTGTGGACTAAAGATATCGGTCTCACGCATCAAGGACAATTTTAATAGCCTTTGCATGAAACCGCAATCCTATTCAACGTAGGAGCAGAATGTCGCCGATTTCTGGTAATGTAATAGTGACACTTCAGATGAGGAGTGAGCGTTGAAGGAGGGGCTAGCCTACAGAAAAGCTGCATGGGTGAGAAGGACTGAATAAGTTGTTTTTAAAATTGTCGGTCAGCAAAGTGAGCTTTTAAGACTTTCAAACGAACGTTTGTGCCAAAAACTAGGATTGCGTGGACTTTGGTTACTCAATTTTCTTACTTTTTTGCGAAAAGAGGAACAGGATGCCTCTTACAAATTTTTACAACTCGATCAAAGCGACCGTAAACAGCCTTCAGCAACATTCCATAATTCTACAGCACACCATCTTATAAAGGGATGTCATTGAAAAGAAAAGGAATGAATTCGAAATCGTTTAGCAATGGAGGATTGCCATCGAACACCAAATCTCATGGAAAGTTTGGAGTAAAATTAGACAACTTTTACCAAGAAAAAACGTTATCCAACACTGTTTTGATCATTGCGTGATTACGGAGTCATCATTAAAACTTAAGCACTTTTTCAGTCGGCTGCGCAGGGGTCAGATATAAGAGTAACTGGAAGGAAATGCCGAGGATTACATTGATCAATCTATTGTGAATTGGGATCTGCTTTAAGATAACAGGGCTCGCAGTTAATAAAGATTAGTCAAACAGCGTACTGTAAAATACCGTGCACTATTCCAAGAACATTAACATCAATCAGTAGAGGCAGTTTTGAAACAATTATAATCTTTTATTAATAACTGACATTGTTCTTTATTACTAAAAATACGTCTACTTATCGCTTTTATTGTATGACATAGGAGGGGTCCGCCATTGTTTTTTTTGTTTTTTTTTTCCGCCATATAAGTTGTTTGTTTCGCTCTTTCTCCTTTTGGATAGTTAACTTTTTGATTGTTTGCTTTTTTGTTTTTTTTCCTTTTTTTTTTCGTCCTTTTTCTTTTTTTTTCGTTTTTTTTTTTTTCGTATTTTTTTTCTTTGTGGATGTCGTTGAAGGTAACTGCGTTATCTTGCTGCGTTGTGTCATTTGAATTTTTGTCCTTTTTTTCTAATTTTTCGTTACTTTTGTTCTTTCACTAAAACGCACAAACATTGCGTGGCTTTTCTTGCTTGAATGTTTCTTCAAACTTTTTCCGTAACGTCGTTTTTTCCCTTTTTTTTTTTACTGAATTTCTTAGTTTATATCAGGTTTCAGCAAGAGCCATAATTGGTTTCAGTACCAGGCATAATTCCCTCCTCCCTTCGTCTGGGCTTGGGACCAGCAGGATATTGCTAAATCCTGGCGGAGTTGCAGTTTATGCCTTAATGGCACTTGATTAAATTCTAGGTTAATTCTTCGATAAATTCCTCGTTAAATTCTTCGATAAATTCCTCGTTAAATTCTTGTTCGGGTGCAAATCGCGTTTACACAGGTAACAAAACAGTTCCTTTAATTTATATGAAAAAAGTGGTCTTCAGTTGGTGAACCACGTCGGTGATCTCTCCTGTGGACGGCATTAAATTTTGTTGGGGGAAAACTGAGTTATATCCGTCCTCTATATGTTCACAGAAATCTTCCTGAAAAGATAAATAAATAAATCAATTTTAATTCACAAAGCCCTACTTAAGTTACGTTTGCCGTCCATCAATGAAATCGAGTACTAAGTGAACAAATGAATGAGTAAGAGCCAAAAGAGGAAGTATGTTATGCGCACAGGATTCTGGGATCGCCAGCGAGCAACATTGCTAGTCGCTACAAAGGAATGTATGGCGTAAAGTAGTTTCTCCGTCAGAAGCAGTGTCTTTGGAGAAAGAATAGTGCATAATTGTCGTAATTATGTGAGAAACGAAGTTTCTGCGGATTAACGCGATAAATTCTGATAAGCACTCTTGCTTGCGTAAGGTTTATGGTACTAATTTAGGTACAAATGTAGGGGGATTGGCTCACATGAGATTTTTAGTTAGTGTGATCACGTGTGCTGATATTTACAACGAGCGTCCTACGCTGGGTTGCGAGCTCTGTGCGGGTTGTGACAAGACAACAACCATCGAAGGTATGTAAGTGGCCATAAAGACAAAAAATCCTCCTTTACGTTGGTATAAATAAAGTAATGTCTACGAAATATTTCGTGGAAAGTACGTGGTATTCATGCATGAGTAGATGGGGCGCAGAGATCGTACGAGTGAGCGCAGCACAGCGAATATTTAAGATTTCGGATATTAAGATTAGATAACAGTGAGTGTGTAAATATTAAGATTCTACGTAGATGTGTGACATTCAGAGTTTTTATATCCTCCCACAAAATGATTTGAAAAGGTCGTAGAACTCAATGTAGCACTGGATCACGACAAAACATTTTGCGTGTGTTTTGGGCGAGAAGGGGGAATCAGTACATGAAGAACACGTGAATATGTTTTTGTTTTAAAAAGTAACATATCGAGACATACTAGTACCTTCGATCGTTGTCACAACCAGCAGAGCGTTGTGATCGCCGCCGAGCCGAGAGTAGTTTCACTGTAAATATCATCACATGTAACTACAACTTGAAAGGCTCCTGGGGGAGGGAAGGGGAGAATACTCCCTTATATAAGCTGTATAGGTAGTGCCGCCCCATCGGGTAGGGTTTTTGCGCCGTTTTCGTCTGAAATCGGGTATATACTTTGCCCATTTTGTTCTGGAATCGAGTATGGTCAGTTGAGGAAACTACGGGAGTGCATAAACGTATTTATCGTTTCAATTCCAAATGAGTAAGAAAGAAAGAGAAATATGCGATTTCGAATTGGATTTGAGGAATTTTTTTGTTTGCGCTCTTATCTAAGTAATTATAACAAAATTTCTGCCTAAAGGCCAGGTCTGAAAACGGGTATGGATTTTAGAAGTCTGGTCTGAAAACGGGTGTGGCAAATTACATTTTTTTGGTCTGAAATAGGGTCAGGATTTGGAGAACTGGGCGGCACACGCCCACCAAGAATTCCCTGCAGTACTAGCCTGCAAAAACATCCGTTTCTCCTCGCTGTTCGTAGCTGGGGACGTTTCGCGCGAAACGTCCCCAGCGGCGAAGAGCGAGGAGAAACGGATGTTTTCGCAGGCTACAGCAGTACCCGCCCCCCGGGGAATTTGTACCATGTCTTTCGAGACCATTATAGCCTGCGTGGCAGACGCTAAAAGGGGAGGGGGAGAAGGAGAAAAGCGCGAAAGCGGAGAAAAGGGAAGGGAGCGCCTGCTTAGAAGAGGCTGGTGTATTTGTATTGCGCCCACCATTTTCTCAACTAAACCAATAACGTCTTACGTTGAAAATGGGACCAGTGGCAAGTAGGTGGCTTCTCAGCATGGTCCGAACTTACAGTCGACTCCCGGTAACTCGGACCCTCTATAACTCAAACCTCCCGTTAACTCGAAGTAATTTTCAATTCCTTTCAGATCATTTTCCACATAATTTTACCCTCGATAACTCGAACTCTCGAAAACTAGAACTTTTTTTTATTTCCCTTGAAGGTTCGAGTTTTCGGGAGTCGACTGAAATTACTTTGTTTAAAAGGGCTGACACAATGGCGACAAAGAACAGACCAGTCGCCAGGATGAGGCCCGAATAATGAAAGGAGAATTATAGACAACTGTCAAAAAGCTCAACGAATAGTTTTTACCAAAGCTTCAGCTCTCTCTTTACAAACATTTAGAAGTTCATTTACGACGGTATAAGTTTTTGCGGAAAAGGGGGTCTTGTGAATATCGTCATTGCAGATGTCAGGCAAGAATCGTAATCGCTTTGAATTCGCTACTGGGTGTTTGGACAAATAAAATCCAGTATACAAAACCTCCTGAACATCTCTGCCTGCTAAACAAGCTATTACAGTTGGTTCTAGTTCGGGTTTTAACGTGAAGTTGCTACATGATTGGAGTACCAAGTTTTGATCTTCCAAAGCTTATGTCAGTAAAACACATTGGACTATTATTTTACAGTCAACCCTACGCAAGGAGTACTTATCCATAGATTTTTTCGCATTGATCACACAAAAACTTACAATTTCAACGCGCCAACATTAGTCACTCCCGCTTCTCACAAAATCATGGCAAAAATGCGTTATTCTATGTCCAAAGACACCGCTTTTAACGGAGAAACGATGTTTGCCCCATGGCGATCCCAGAATCCTTTGCGCATAACTAGATCAGTCAGTCATTAAGGTCAAGTAATACGGGCAACATTTTCGCACAACTTGTCGCGCAACATTGTTGCGTTGCAAGTTGAAAAGGGCTGTTGCCCGTATTACCATCTTCCCTCTCAACTTGTCACGCAACAAATTTCGATGTTGCAAGTTGCGGCTCTTTGAAAAAATCATGCGTTGTGATTGGTCAACAGTGTGTTTCTGTGTCAGCAAACAAAATGGCTTGTTGACCTTCTGTGATTTCTTTTTTTACTTTCCTTGTCAATACCGTTCTAAGGCTATGTAGCTGTTTTTGAAGACAGTTTGGTGAAATGTTAAATTTTTGACATAACTCATCCAGGGCCCGGTTCCTGAAATGTCGATTAGCGTTAATCCAGGATGAAAATTTTGTTCCGTTTTAGTATTTTACATTCCTATGCATTGCTTAGGGTAACATTTTGTGTTATTATTACTGTATCTCGTAATAAAGACTAAACAGTATATTGTAACCTCGAGTTGCATGTTCTTAGACGAGAAAACCATGCTGGAAATTTGGCTTAATCCTGGGTTAAACTTAACCATCTTTCGAGGAACCGGGCCCAGAGCTCTTGACCTCCGTGACTTGTTTTTATACTCTGGTCCACAAGTTTCCCACAGACAAGAGTGCTTTTCAAGTTCTTTGCACAAATCTTTTCTTTGGGCCTGTGACATTTTGTCACTAATAAATTCACAATCTTGGGTCTCAGCATTCTCAACCTCCACAACCTCGGCCATGTTTACTTCATGCCCAAATCGGACATGCCCGAGGTCAAGCGCGCGCTTACTCACCATCTTTCCCGCGTTTTTGGTGCGGGAAAATTGACCAATCACAAGTGTTGTGAAGTGTAGGAAGTTGTGATGCAAATGATAAAATTGAAAGTTTGTTGCAAAAAGTAGAACTCAGGTCTACTTTGCGCAATATGTTGCCACAACTTGCAACATCAAAATTTGTTGCGTGACAAGTTGAGAGCGAGGGTGGTAATACGGGCAACAACGCTTTTCAACTTGCAACGCAACAATGTTGCGCGACAAGTTGTGCGAAAATGTTGCCCGTATTACTTGACCTTACAGTCATCATACACGGCAAAATGAAGAACTTCTGGTCAAAGTCTCCGGATCACCGCCACTGGTCACATTGCATGTGATTAGCACGAGGTTTTCAAAATATGAAACGTTTCGATTACAAGGATTTCATTCGATACGAACTAAAAGACTCAAAGAACAAAAGAAGAAAAGGACGTTATGGATTTCCCTCCTTAGTTCCTGACCACACTAAACCAACTAGTGTCTCTTCGGTTGGCACTATACTTGCGCGTACATGTTTCAGTGTTGAATCCCAGAAGACATCGGATTTGGTTTCAAATTCCATGTCGGTATACGCACCTCCAACAACATCGCTGTCATCATGATTCGTGATACTAAATCATGGCTATCTGTATCATTATGTCATGTATGTAATTTTCTGTAAATATTACTCACACACACACAAATTTATATGAAACGAATTTCCTGATTCTTGATACCCTGCTTGCGAAGCGTTTCCCTTTTGGTAACGCTCCCATAACATCAAAAAGTCGATTGCGCCTCTCGCTACCGCGCGAAGTAAGAAGACGCGACTAACTTCGTCCTTGGTAATATGTTAAAAGCCTTGGCAGAAAAACTTCTGGATATATTCTTGGTTAGTAGAAAAAAAAACCTGACGATATCTATTCGTCAACTTACCCATGTTCCCAGTTTCTGCATTCGACAATAAAGCTCATCAGCGGCGCTCCTGCACATTTCACTGATTACTTCTGAAGTTAGACGACGTTCTTCGCTCATTCTAAAGGCTTCCGCGACGATTTCTCCAGCAACAACAACCAAAAGAGTAAGCTGTCTCCACGGATCCAAAACTGCGTGTTTGATTGCCTCGTCGAACTCGCTTATGACTTTCTCGATACTCTTTCTCGATTCCAGCAATGATCTATAAAATCTGCCATCCGGGGAAACTCCGTGCGTTGTCGTTCTTTCAAGATACGCGGCTGCCTGTTCGATCGAATTGTAGTAACATGAAGATTCCTCAAAGCCCCGCCGTTTCCTTGCGTACATATGGACAAGAGAAGTAAGATTTCTCTTGTTTTCAAATTCAGTCACGATATCGACAAGGTCCTTCCTTTGTACAGCGCGCAAACCGTCCTTTAGGAAACGCACGTCTTCCCACGATATCTTTTTGTCATCTTCTAAGGAACGAAAAAGTTCCAGGGTTTCACCAGCTTCGGCATAGTGGGTATAGTAGAAGTGAAGCTCTTTCTTCTGAATCTTCGTTAAATTGCTGTTGATTTCAAGAAGAACTCCTCTGTATTCATATTCGTGACGTCTAAGTTCGTTGGTAAAAACGGTCGATCTTCGTATTGACATCTTATCGCGGTGATGTTTGCCATGGCGGACCCGAAAAATGAACGCGTTTATTCTATAAAAAGGGTAAACACCACCAAATTTGGGCAATGCGATGACGTAGGCTTGCTAAAACCAGCCTTGTACCCAGGCCAGTTCGCGCCATCCGAGTTACTACAGGAGGCTTGGAACTGAGCGAAGTGACGTCACATTCGAAATCTTCGAGGACGACCGGGAACGAGGCTGTGCTGAAACCGCTTATAATAAGGAAACTTGTGCAAAGTAAATTTCAAGGACTTATATGATAACTCCTCTAGTGGAGTTATTTTTTGGGGGATTTACTTTAACTCCAAAAAGGAGTTAAATGGAGTTTTCAATTCAACTCCTTTGGAGTTATTTATTTAATCGCTTCCACTATGATTACAATGTTAAAAAAGACTAGGGGAAAAAAATACATTTGAACGAGACACAAAAACGAAGGACGAAGGTGCGGGACACACAACAGAGCGAGGCTCCAAATTAAGTGTGCCCTTACGGAAAATACACAAATAATAACTATGTAAACATTAAACATTATAAAAAGTATAAAAATCCCATTTGTAAAAACGATAAGAATGAATCCCTCCCGCAGCCGATAAAAAGTCTTAGTAGCAGCAGTTACCAGCTAATAGAAGATTACGTGACCTACTGCATTTGCAGCAGATCGACTTTCAGGTGTTAAAGTTAGTGACGTCATAGTTTGTACGAAAAGCAGCCGAATAGCGTTAGAGTATGTGAGATTTAAACTGATTAAGAGAACTAAGAGTACGAGTGGATACAGGTAACGTATTCCAGAGTTTAGCAATACGATTAAAGTAACTAAATAGAAAGATCTTTGTACGGCACTTGGGAATTAGTACGTCTTGATCAGAGCTATGGCGAGTGAGACGAGTGCCTTTAGGCTTGACATAATCAGCTATGGGTAAGGTGTAGTGGCCAGCGCGACACTCGAAATAGAAAATTAAGTCTTTCACTTCATGCCAGTATGTTAACGGTAGCAGATTGAGGCGAGAAAGGCGCTCATGATAAGAAATACCCTCTTGCCAGTGCGTGTTTAAGATGAATTTTGTTGCCCTGCGTTGAAGACTCTATTTTTGTCACCTCCGATCGTACTGGGAGCCCATAACTCGCTAGCATAGCCAATATATGATCTTACAAACGTGAGATATAGTAATTTCCTATGGTCTGTAGTGAATAACATAACTCTATTCCGGCGCAAAAATGTGAGCATCCTATTGGAGTAAATGATATCAGCAAAATTTTTTGCTAGACACGATTTTCTTTGAACAGTAGGGTCCTTTTAAGCGCTAATTTCTCAAGAAATATTTACGGTCAATGAAATCGAAATATTTCACATTATCACCGAATGACTTCTGTTCTTCTTTGCAAAGTTTCGCAGCCATCGCGCTAAAAACGAAAAAGTTATGACGGAAAATTTGTCACAGCTAAATGCTCTCGTATTAATTACGGAGCCACCCCTCACAGACCTCACAACCCTTCACAAGCAAGCATCACTCCCTCTCAGCATCAACCGCGTAACCGCGCCCTTCGCTTCGGAGGCGATCACGTGGACATAGCAAGTGCCCGGATTCAAATCTCTTCGTTAGCTTATCTCAATAATGGCTTCCGGAGGTTCAAGCGCAAGGCTGAAGGCATCTGGCGCTGAAAGCTCCGATCAGCAACCTGTTTTCAAAAGATTCATAATAGAATTTGTTAAGGCATTAGGCATGGATGACCGTAAGGCATTTAGATTTTGGTGTAGAGGTTTAATTCCAACTGCAGAATTGAGTCACATAGAAGTAGAAGATGATGGTGGTCTTTTTAAGTTGATTGAGTTTTTACAGGATAATAATCATTTGTCGTTTAATGATATGTCGTTTCTGAAGGAGTTTCTTTCTGTTGCTAAGCGTCTTGATTTGTTGAAAGCTTTAGAAAAGGCTGAATTAACGATCGTTATTAGTAAAATCTTGGATCATTATAAGTTTAATGTTTTCTATCAAGGAAGTGATAGTGCTGGTGGCAATTTTTTCGCTTACGTTGTACAGTTACTAGTTTCGATTAAAGAAAAAAGTCAAGAACTGGAGCAGGTACGAAGAACTGGAGATGGAGTATTGCATTCAGTCTTTGGTCGTGTTATTCATGATTATTTACTGAGTCATGAATTATCCTGGTCGAAAGTTACTGCTGTGCTGGTGATTTTGGCGGAGATTTCAACAGAAGCAGATGAAGAAGATTTACAGGCAACCACTGAATTACTAGCAGAGAGTATCAGCAAACTTGGAGGAATGGTAAGCTTCAATACCATCATTCCTTTCAGTGTAACAAAAAATGGTGCCATACCAGTTAACACAACAGCACGTACAGAGAACAAGGACATCAGAGTGATTAATTTGTATCTGTCAGACATGATGGACAATCAAAAGTGAGGGATTTGCTAATGTTAATATCTATTTGTCTGCCTGGGTTTCGGTTCTATAACAAGAATTGCCAAAAGGCGAATTTAACTGGACAGCAGATTTTCCTGGGGGAAGGGGTCTCTGCACACTTAGGCCACCAGGCTTGTCGCTGACCATTGTGTGACGTAGCATCTCATGTGAGAGTTTTAACAGTTACTCATTTGAACATTGTACCCTTTAGGAAGATTTTCGTAAAAGAAAAATGAGTACCATTTTCAAGTCAGGTCTGTATGGTACCTTCTCAAATTCCACCATTATGAATAAAAGTAAGCAAGTGAGCCATTCTAAGCAGGAAACAATAAGCGTTATTTTACCCCCAATCCCTCTGCTCTCCAAAATATAGTGTAACTAATTTGACCTAGCTGGAAATTCCAAAAATATTATTGTTGTTATAGGTCAAAATGCTGTTAATAACAAGCAGTACATTTCTCAATTCTGGTTCTTAAAACTAACAAACCAAATTAAATTTAAGTTTTGTTTTTGTCTGATATTGCGTTATAAAGCCTTTCCAACTGTCCTAGTGAATATAGATATATTTTTTTTTTGACGTGGTGATGTGCAATGAGCACATTCCCCTGGACATTCCTTTCCTGTAAGGAATGCTGACTTTGCACACGCTGAGTGAGAATCGCAATAAGATAAAAAGAGACATTGGCCGTCACATTTTAAATAATTTAAACTTCGACATAAAGAAAAAAAACCTTAAAAGCGACCCATCCTACCGTCTTTTGAAAATGGCACTGAGTGCCATTGACAGCTTGACAGAAATCTTTATTCAATGGGTGTACACAAACACACTCCAGCTACAAACACACAGATTTGCAATCACGTTTTGGAAGGGAAAAATCATCTTCAAGTTTACACATCAACAAATAGAGAAGAAAAACCCCACAAGGTACTCATCATAGAATCTTTTGAAGGAAACAATGAAAAAGCGCAGTATGCTAACTTTAAACACATCTTTATTTAATGGCTGCCTTCGCTTCTCTTTTATGACATAAATCCCGGGGGAGGAACTCTCTTACATCAACCCTATAGATATTACTCTGAAATAGTGTCAAGATTAGATGAGGCGGATGGTGCACTCTTACTACGACTTCCCAGAAATACCCCTCCGAGAAAAAAAAATAAACTGGGCTCGCCACAGGCAGCCTAGTTAAATAGTGATTGTTTGTAACGCTAAAAGGAGAACTAAGAGGCTATTCACATAATGCCAGAATGACTTTCATTCTGAAACCAGTTCATTCCATTTCCATATGTTTCTCTACATGATACTGAAACTACATTTCGTCCCCGCACAAGTCCTTCTGGATTTCACTCTGGATGAAATTCTTGTTCTTGTGGAAATTTCATTCTGGTATCATGACCTGAAAACAAAATTCATTTGTCATCGAAAACTGCAAATTGTGTGGTCTGAAGTGAGTGGTGCATGCGTATCGAGCTAAACTTGCATGAGAACCATGTGAGTGAGAACACCCTAGCTGAATTGTTTAATTTTGTCATGTAAATGCAATACAAACTTCAGTCTGGAATGAAACTCATTCTGGAATGTGAGTTGTTCCCGTATCATATAAACAGCCCCTTACCTGTAATTCCGTTTCATGACTCCACCTTAATTTCATTATTTACTAACACAAAGCTACTTGGTTGCTCTCTTGTGTTGGCAAATGCTTCAGTCGTGTGCATAATGGATGGCCTTGTTCAGCTGGGTAAAATGGTGCTTTCAGCATTCCAGTTAATTTCTTTCAAGTGGGGGATCATGTAGACCATCTGATGGGTCACCAAGACCACATGCTAATTTTCTTCATCATATTTAAAACACTTATATGTCATCTGTCGGGTCAGGAAGCCTTCTTTGTAGGGTCATTGACCCGAGACCTGTCTCCTATCTGGAATACCCTGCTTTTCAGTTGTTTGTTTATTTTGTCTTTGTAAACATAAGCATGCTCAGCAACAGTAGGGCTCCTAGAAAAAGGAGCCTATAAACATTGACTCTTTTAAAGTAATGTTACAAAGCTGCAAAGTATTATTGATATGCAACTGATAGGTATTTTATTTCTCACTGTTATTCATGTTGTTCTTGTTGAAACTAGAAAGCATTCAAGTTATTTGTTAACAAGAAACTAAACCTGGAAAGGTATCACTGTGAATTATCATCCATGGAAGAAAAGATCAGGGAATGCCTGGAGATAATAGGAAATCAAGTGGAAGATTAGTCATCAGCATGAACAACAACATGGAATGAGCTGGAGGAGTTGAATGTGCTATATTAGACAACTATAATCCATTACTGAGATAAGCGGATACCCCCTCTCATGGACTGCCACCTTGCTGTGGTGGAGGGGCTTGTGTGTCTCCGTGATCCTGCGAACTCAGCCGGCAGAGGCTTAGCCTCTGGCAGGTGCAACCAAGCCGGAAAGATCAATGGGGAGAGACCAGACAAAAGGGCAGTCAAAAAAACTCTTTAAAATCTTAAAAACATTATGCAATTAACTCTCATTTAAAAAAGGTTTCAATAACTTAATGTTAAATAATTGTAACATTGTATGTGTAAGGTTGTCATTCCAAAGGTATTTGTATGACGCTTCAAGTATAATTATTTTATAGTATAACATCTGTTACAGGGTGTTCATTAAGCATTGGAGATCCGAGAATATTCCCCATTTACTTGGCTAAATTCTCCGGCTAACATTTGGTAGCCTTTGACTACTTTTTATTCAGACGTAGAGCCTTTTTCAAAATATTTTCCTGTAATGTTTCACCTTTCTCCTGCTACTAGAATTCTTAATGAAACCCCTGTGTTATAAATGTATCAGCAGATGAACATGAGCTCAAATTCATAGAAAAATGTTGTAAATTAATTTATAGCTCTATTTATTATGATTCTATTTTGAAAGATATTGTGAAGATTATTCAAAGAAAAATATTGTAAAAATTCTTTTTATTTAACTTTGCATTTTGTTTATAAACTTTAATGCAAATGTATTGTCAGAACACTTCAAATACAAGACAACTCTTTATAAGATTGAAGGGGAAAATTCTTTAGCTGTTAAAGATGAAAAAGGAATGCAGATTAAGTCTATTAGGAATTATTAGGATAGGCAGTGAAAGTTGTGAGGAAGTAGAGAACTGTGCAGATTAAATATCTTCACCATAAACAATATCATTTGAGTACCTTGTGGGTGTCAATGGTTGACTAACTCTTTTGAGAAGTTATTTAGTTTAGGGTGTGTGAGCACCTTAAGCAATCCTGCTGGCATTAAAAGAACCATTTCCTCACAAACTGCATTCAAGTATTTTTTCTTATGAAAAATACTATATCACTGCGAATGCTTCATAAAATCTACCATCCTTCCCAATCCCAAATCACAAATTTCCTTTGTGTAATTTGGATTAGTTGACTTGGTGAAGACATGTGCAGCTCGTTACTCGGTCCGGTGGCATCAACCTTTTCTGCAAGAGCCTTAGCATCCTTCAATGAAGAGAACCCTTCTAGTAGATCTTTACTACCAAAGCGAGCTTGCACTGGTATTTTGATCTTGCCCACATCACATACAGTCAGAACAGGGGGTGCTCCTGTTGTGGGGAGGGGAGTACTCTCTATAGTGGCCTATGCGTGGAGGCTCCACCAGAAAGGGGTACCTTTTTCAGGCCTAAGGTATATGAAAGGGTAGTGATTTTACTCGTTGAAGTATACGAAAGGGTAGGTTGCTACTCCCCCCTGGATGAGAGGGTTACCCCCCCCCCCAGCAGTATGTCACCGGTACCCATTTACACACCTGGGTGATAAGAGACAAAGTGGAGTAAAGTTAACTTGTCTAAGGAAACAACGCGACAGGCGAGGCTTGAACCCCAGACCTCTAGATTCAGAGTTCGAGGTGTTAACTGCTTGGCCACACACGCCGCCACTAATTACTATACAGATTACTACTGTACTACATTTGTTCTAACAATATGGTTTGGGTACTGCTACTGATGATGTTTATTGAAGTATACGAAAATGAGTCAGTTGTCTTTAAAAATGAACCTAATTTTGTTTATAACTGCATTTAAAGCACTAGACTATGAAAATTCTTTTTAAAATATGGCTCACCATTAATACTTCATGGTAATCTTTAGACTACCTTAAAGCCAAATAACAATATTAATTTTTTTACTTGGTAAAATGAGGATTAGTAGAGTGGTTTAGTTGAATAACGTTTAGCATGTTTTGAAAACATTTTTAAAGAAGTATGTGTCACAACTCTAGCAAGTCTGTCGACTTAAGAACAATATTCATCATATTCTGCTTTCTTCTATATTTAAAAAAAGAAAACACCCACAGAAAGTATTGTTTGCAATAAAGGTTCACTGTAAATGTTTCTTCATAAAGTCTACCATCCTTCCTAATGCCAAATCACAAATTTCTTTGGTGTAATTTGGATTAGTTGGATTAGTAAAACCATGGCCAGTATCATACATGTGTAACTCATAATTCACTCCTGTGGCATCAAACTTCTCTGTGAGAGCCTTAGCATCTTTGGGTGAAGAGAACCCTTCTAGTGTATCTTTACTACCAAAGTGAGCTTGCACTGGTGCTTTGATCATGCCCACATCACATAGGTCAGAACGGGGAATGCCATAGAATGGAGCAGCAGCAGAAATCTCTCCAGGAAGTAGCGCGGCAGCTGCTAAAGCAAGGGCTCCACCCATACAGAAGCCAGTTACACCCACTTTCTTACAACCTGACGAAATGAATAATATACTAAGAAATGTAACTGGAGTATATCTTTAATTGTGTTTTATAATAAAGAATTTACAGTGGTGCGGAAGTCAGGAAACACAAAAAGTGGTTGGCTTTATCAACTAAGGTGCAGGTTTTGTTAGTCCAACTCTGTCAAAGGCCACTAGCCTGTGTAGCAAGTGTTTCCAATCTAAAAGCGGGAGCAAAAAAAAATGGAAGAGGAAATTGAATCTCCCCTCCCCCTCCCCCTCCCCCTTCATTCCTTTCTTTTGCTCTCATCCTGAATTTCTCGGCCAACTCAAGTGAAAACGCTTGCTATGCAGGCTAATTGGCCACAGATCTTGTTCAGGACTGGAATCCTATTTAGGATCTTGATACACAACAAGATACTGGGTACCTGGAGGGGGGGGGTGGTGGGTATTCCCTGTGTGCCACCCGGTTCTCCAAAACCAGTGAACCCTATTGTAGACCATAAAATGTCATTTTTCACTCCCATTTTCAGACATGGTCTCTAAAATCCTTACCCATTTTCAGACCTGGAGGTTGTCACAAAATGCAATGTTACAATTGTTTACATAAAACAGAAATTATGTTATCATTGCCAAGGTTAAAATTGCAACAAAAATATTTCTTAAAATCCATTTCGAATTCACATATTACTTCTTACTCATCTGGAATTGAAATGATGAACATATCGATGCACAACCATAGTTCCTTTGTAAACCATACCCAATTCTACTGACCAAAAAGGGCAAAATCTATACCTGTTTTGAGACCAAAATGGTGCAAAAACCCTACCCTTTGCAGCAGCACGTAACTATATGGCTTATATTAGGGAGTACCCCCCCAGTCCACCTGGGACTGGGTGGTTCCTGTGACGAATCCTAGAGTCTATAGATAGGATCATGACTTGGGTTCTTGATCTGGATTGGATCAAGGATTGGATTATGCATCATGTCAGGTTATCCAAAAAGTTAAAACAAAGATGAATTAAAGGAAATACAAGCAGTGCGTGTAGTAAGGCAAGGTAGGTGAGCAACCAGAAACAGGCATCCTTATTTCTTCCTCTTTTTGTATTTCATCTTCTTTTTTCCATCTATTGCAGGGATCAGATCCAGTGATCCGATCCAATCCTTTATTCGCTTGCTGTCACTGTTGCTTCTACAAAGGCATGTATCTTTTCTGCACTCAGCGGCTATAAAGCTAACATTAATAGCTCTTAATACATTCCAGTCAGTTTTTTCTATGAACAGCAAGTCTGCATATAAAAGATGAACAGCCATGCAGTTCGTACGTCAAAGTGTTAGACTACGTGAGAGAATTTCACCCACAGTGACCTTGTCAGTAAGAGTTTAAAGATAAGCTTCTCTCAGTGGTAAAAGTCAGTCTCTGATTCATTTGTCAGCTGGATTCTTGCAATTTTATTGCAATTTAAACCTTGCAATTTCTTCCTGTACCGATGATCTTATCTAAAAAGGCATAATTAGCTTCAAAATTTGACACTTTCTCCTGGTCAACCCAAAACACTTCCTGCCGTCACGACAAGAGAGAATGAAACAATGATCACGAATCGCCCCACCCCATGACCTACATAAGCACCGATTTTATCTTGTATCGCACTGATCTACGTATCCAATTATATATGCAATGTTTTTCATTTAATATCTCTAAATGTATCCCGCGGGAATGGGTCTTCTCAAAAGTTAAGGGAAAACAGACCTGATTGCAGTGTTCCTAAAATGGACCCACCTTTTTCCTTCAAATATTTCGCAGCCCCAGCGATATCTTGCACTGCGCCTGGCCAATCCAAATCAGCAGCGTAGTGGCCCGCAGTTTCTCGATCCGTCGCTACTTTTCCCCGGTACAAGTCGGGAACAAGAGTTACAAAGTTGCCCATTTCGGAAATGTCCGCAGCTTCGTCTATGATTACCTGATTCATGCCCCACCACTCCTGCAGAACCACGAGCCCCATGCTTGATTTGCTGGTGTCTCCGGTCAGAACCCCAGGGCAAGCTCCTTGTTTGTTTTGCGATGGAAAGCAGACCTTTTCTTTGTTGCTCATGATGGTTTTTGGCTGAAGCAATTAGCCGTAATAAGGATGAGATTCTTTCCGAATTGCTACAGTACGAAAGGCAACGAAAAGCTGGGTGTTCGGGCTGGGTGTAACATGGGCACTAGTTTTTAGTCTCCGAGTCCCATTCTTAGTTCTGGTCTGGGACTGGTAAAGGTGGCTCGTATCAGTTTTCACCTTTTTGAGGGTTTTATTTTCGAAAGGAAAGGACAAAAAAGCAAACAAAAGCCAAAATAGCACCTTTGTAGACTTGTATTATACAATGACTTTAAATAATTCTCAGTGCTATTTCTTCTAGCAGTTGTCATGGCAGCATACCTTACAAATTATTTAGACCTACTTTTCAGCTTCCAGCACTGATAACCTAGAAAACCAAACCTCGACCCCCACTTGTTTTCGGACGATAGCTTTTAGCATTTGAAAGGAAAATGGACATCGATTAATAAAAGAAATGGATTGTATAAACAGTGGAAAGTGGGACATTTGCGCTCAGAGGAAATTTTCTTCCGTATAGTTTTTTTTAATTTTTTGACGTTTCTTTGGCGTTTCCTCTCATCTCTAATAAAATATTAAAGCAATAAAAAAAGGGAATAACCGTACTTGTTTTCGACTTGTATAAAACACTTCGAGATTTCAAAAATGTCCACGCTCCCGTTTTCAACCAACAAAAGCTGTGTTCTTCACTTTTAACTGGCCACTACTACACGATAGCCGTGGAATGGGTTGGGGTGCAATAGTTTCTCCCCCTTTTTGGTTTTTTGTTGTGTGACAAACTTTGTTTGAAAAAAAAAAGAGAAAAAGAAATTGCCTTAAATTGATAAGAAGAGGGCTTGGCTGGTGCGTCGTCAATGTCACTTAATACGTATTTTTAAAAAAGCCATCTATGAATGAGTAGTCGTCGAGGAGAAGGAGAACATAACAGAGGTAGGAGATGCAGACAGAACTGAAAATATATAGAGGGCTGATATATCTGCTGTCTCTGTTCACAAGTATACTAACACACGTACTTTAGTTCAATCCCGAACAACTTTTATTCCATGAAGAACGCTTTAGACTTAAGAATTGGTGTTTAACTTTTCGTATACGTCTGACAGGGACTATTTTATATGTCCACTAGGGAAATTTCTCTATAGTCTCGTGGGCTAAGATAGTTGTAGCCTGTGAACATCCACCCTCTCCCTCAAAAAATATTTTGAGGGGCGGGGGCGGATGCACACGGGTTAAGATGTTTGTTACCTTAGATAGATGATAGATAGTTTATTAAAATATCGAACATGGCAGTCCGTAGACTGAATTGCGTTACAATTACTTAAAACTAAGAATAAATAAATTCCAAAAAAAATAAATACTAATTGAAATTATAACAAAAAACATTTCTATAAAAATGCGAAAAACTCTCTCTATATAACTATGTACAAACTAGTCTAAAAATTTATGTACACATACTTGGAATAAAAGTGTTCTTAAAACGATTTGTATGTGTACGGGGCATGGCATAAGCCCTGAGGCCCGTTTCTCGAAAGTCCCGGTAACTTAACGGGCCCGGAATCATATTTTTAAATCAAAGTCTCAAGAAAAGTAGGGTGTGTTCTGACCTCTAATGAAGTCCATTTTGTTTCGTTAGCTAATAACTCTACTGTATAATTTTCAAAACTTTTAAAACTCCCTTCTAAAATGGAAAACAAAACAGCTTAACGGGCCCGGTAATTACCGGGAGCTTCGAGAAACGGGCCCCTGGACTGTCTTAGATTATGTCTGTGTTCTCTCTTAGGAGGTAAGACAGGCACGAGTTTGTGATCCGGGCATGACGTGATAGACTCGAAAAGCTTGCTACACAGAGCCACGCGTCTAGCGTGCAAGGTTACTAAATCGAACCTGACCAAACATTCTGAATACGACGCATAAGGACAAATGATGGAGAGCGCTCTCTTTTGCACTCGTTCGATGTCGTCACTAAGATACTGTGGAAGCGCATGATGGAAAACTGGCGCACAGTACTCTAAAACAGGTCTTATCACGGTGCAGTAAAAATTTACAATTAATGTCGCTCAGTGGAACGTTGGCGCGCTTTAGAAGAACAATAAAATAAAGGCGCTTGTTCGCTTTCTTAATGCACTCTGAGATGTGTTCGTTCCTTATTGGTACTAATGATTTCCCGGGTACTTAATTTCGCGATTTTGGTGAGACAGTACTTCACGGGTTTTATTTGGCGATTTCAATGGGCAAATATGAAAAAAGGGTATTAAATTTCGAGATTCAAGGGTCCTCAACTTGAAGTTACCCAACTTCATTTCAGTTTTCAAAAAGTCTGACCTGTATAGTTCTAGATAAACTGGAGCAAGCAAAACGCCTATTTCAAAAATTAACTTTTAAGGTAAACTGGGAATCTTTGATAAATTAATGTACCTTATCTCACCACAGAAGATACAAAATGAAACTTACCAGTAAAAGTTGTCGATATAATTTTTTTTTCAAGCTTGCGAGCGGGCGGAATCCTTCAAATCCTGCAATCTGATTGGTAGTGAGAGCGGGCAGTATTTTACGGCGGGCGGAATCGTTGGTAGCTTCATTCACAAGTTTGTTTGTTGTTTGTGAATGAGCAAAAACCTACCCTGTGAACAGAGTCTTCTTCGATCTTCCTAAATAAGTCGCTTCCTCTTTCCCGACTTATCTAGGAAAGATCAAAGCGACTCTGCTAGCAGGGTAGCAAAAACCGTGATTTTTAAACCATTTTAAAACCTAAGATATGTTATTAGCATTAGCTAGGGAAAAGTGAATTTTATTATTCAGACAAAAAGTCTAAAGGGAGAAACAAGCACCTCAGCCAGGAAAACCGCTAAAGTAAGGCAAAACAGGCAAAACAGGCGGCTCGTGATGTCTCTTCACTAGCTTTATAACCACGCTGTAAGTCTCGGAGACAGCGGCAGTCTGACACTTTTTCAGCTTGTGCGATATCTGAAGGAGAGCAGATCTATACTCGAGCTTAAGCTTTTCTCGACTTTTCAGTCATGGCGTCTAAACTCAAGATAGACATGATCCTTATCAGCAGAAAGGGGAAGCGAATTGAAATATTAATGTACATTCACTGAATCAAGAGTAACACTAAAAATGGGCAATGGATCCATCGAACACCAAATCTCATGGAAAGTTTTTGAGTAAAATTAGACCACTTTTACTGAGAAAAGACGTTATCCAAGACGGTTTTGATCACTGCGTGATTACGGACTCATCTTTGAAACTTCTAAGCACTATTTCTGTGCAGGGATCCGTCATATTAAGAGTAACTGGAAGAAAATGCCAAGGATTACACTTGATCATTCTATTGAGAAATTTTTATCTGCTTCAGATTAGGCAACTGGGGCTGATGCAATTAATAAAGATTAGCAAAACAGTGTACCGAAAAATACCGTGCTCTAGTCCAAGAATATTAACAACAATCAGTAGAGGCAGTTTTAAAATACTTATAATCTTTTATTAGCAACTGATATTGTTTCACAGTAATTCTTCATAACTAAACATTACGTCTACTTATCTTTTAGTTTTAATTATTAGAAAGGAGGGGTCCGCCATTAGCCACGATATTGTTTTTGTTCTTTTTGTTCCGCCATGTAAGTTGTTTGTTTTGCTCTTTCTTCATTCTGGATAGTTAACTTTTTTTTGTTCGTATGCTTTTTTTGCTTCTTTTTCTTTTTTTTTTTTCCGTTTTTACTTTTATTTTCTATTTTTTCTTTTCCGTTTTCTTTATTTTTTTTGTCATAGATGTCGTTCAACACAACGGCGTTATGTTGCTGGGTTGTTTCATGATTTTTTTTTCCTCTTCATTTTTTCCTTTTTTTTTTCCTTTTTTCTTTTTGTTGTTTCACTTAAACGCAGAAACATTGTGTCGCTTTTCTTGTTTGAATGTTTCTCCAACCTTTTTTCCACTAAACGTTTTAGCTTATATCAGGTTTCAGTACCAGGTATAATTCCCTCCTCCCTTTACCTGGGCTTGGGACCAGCAGGATCTCGCAAAAAGCCATGTAATCGATCCTGGCGGAGTTACAGTTTTTTTAAAAATAATAATAATAATAATAATATAATAATTGGCAAGATATTTCAAATATCGCTTTCAAATTCTGGTGCAAATCGCATTGGTCTTCATCAATTGTGAGCCAAGTGGCGATCTTTTTAGCAAATGCTGAATTTTAACTATTATTTACATATATATCATTTTTCGATATCTGTGACAGACATATTCGCAAAGAATATGTCTTTCAAATCCAAATTTCAAATAATTTCAAATATCGCTTTCAAATTCAGATACATTGGTCTTCATCAGTCGGTGAACCACGTCGGCGATCTCTTTAGCAGATGCTGAATTTTGTTGAGAAGGAAAAACCGCGTAATAGGTGTCCTCTATATGTTCACAGAAATCTTCCTGAAAAGAAGAACCCATAAGGAACCGGTCATTATTTATGTAGAGGTGGGGGTTGGGGGTGGGGGGGAAGAAGGGGGAGGGGGGTCAAGGCTATTTCAGATTGGCTAGGGGGGGGCTAAACTTTTTGATAAAGAAGTTTAGAGGGGTCAGCAGTTTGGTCGCTAGGTATATTTTAAGAGGGGTCCATTGGCCAAGATAGGTAAAGCAGTTAAATAGTAGAGCACAAACAATATATGTGAAACAGCAATACTAAATTGTAGAAAATTGCTTTTTGCTCATTCAAAGCATCATTCAAAGCTCATTCAAAGCATCACTCTTTTGTACAACTTAGTCATTTGTATTTGACAGAAATTCTGTTTGCACTCCAGACCTATCTGCTTTAATATTTGGTTTGACTGAATTTTCTTTTAACGAAATGCCTGTCACTTCAAACTCCCAAGAAAAACATAATGAAACAACAAGAAAGTAGTCCTTTTACAACTGCACAGACTGCAGGAAAATCATTTGAAAAGAATTATATTTTGCATGGTAAGCGCTACAATTCCCTTTTAAAAAGTCTGGCTCTCCAACAAAGAGTTTCACTTTTTAATTCGAAAAAGCTCCTTTTAAATAAGAGCGATGGAATACAACATTACGAGCAAAAATTTAAACATCCGAACAGGTCGAACAGTACAGCAAACACGACCTTGTGCGTTGCAACAAAATATAGCAATATTTTTAAGCCAGATTACATATTATTAATATTAACTCGAAACCAGCTTTCCTGGGTTGTAAGGTAGGGAACGGAGGCAGGAGATACGGAGATCGAACAAGGAGTAAACTTGTTGGCCAATTTCCCTCTTTCGTCGCCATTTTTTTCTCCCTACAGAAATATGCGGACGTCCTCGAAAACAATTAATTAAAATTATTTTCGCGGGAAAGCCTGTTCTAAAAATAATTCTTTATCGGAAAGGGTTGACTCAAGGGTACAGCACGTATGGAGGCTTCATGTAATCGGCTCCTGCCAGCGCCCTAATTTTTTGCCCGCTTCCCACCATCTGAACGCCGCCGAACCTAATTATTAAGTTCGGCACATGTAAAGTTCGACGTATGAATCAATAGATCGTTTTCACTGTCACGCAACAAAAAAATAAATTGGAAACCGTCCAGTGGAAGAAACCAAGAAAATGAAAGTTATAAAAGACTAATATATAAACAATTTGTCCAAGTCTCAGGTCTTTGTGGCCCATAGTTTCTGAGTTATTTGGCGAAACGTTTCACGCACCTTTGTAGAGCTCTGTATGGAGACGCCATATTGGTGGACCGTTTTGGTGCACCAATATGGCCGCCGGAAATCAACGAAAACATCTGGAGTTTACTTTTTCTACAAAAGCTCTTTCTTTTCACTCGAGAACTAGCGTACGTACGCAGAAACATATCCTCTAATACTTGAAGTGGTTATATTGCTGAAAATCAAGAGAACAGACTTTTTTTCAACGAGACAGCATTCCTATTTTGGTGTCACGCACTGTGAAAACTCGGAAGTTCAACTTGCTGTATTTTCGAAATAAAACATGCTACGGAAATGGAAACTTGTACAAAGATCTCCTTTTTGTTTATCTTCAATCTAGTGTAAATAAGAATTCGTAAAACCTCGCTATTTTGACTTTACAATTTGATGACGTCACAGTGAAAACCATCTATTAGGATTGCACTTTTGTATTTGGGTCGACTCTGCCGTTCTACTCGACTGAGCTTGTCGAATAGAACGGCAAAAGATCGACTTCGATTCATACGTCGAACTTCACATCCATAAATTATCTTAACGTATTTTTCAATATAACCGCGCTTCTGATTTGCTATTCAATGGGTTTTCGCCCCTTTGTGGACAGAACTCACAGAAGCGTAACGAAGCGTAACAACGGTTACCAGCATTCACGTTGCAGATTTTTAGACTGAAACTGGACAGCTTAAAACAGTCTTTTAAAAAGTTGCTTTTCTTTATATCCATAAAAAAATCGTTATGTATCTTAAAATTTATGGCGTTACTTTATTTAGTCCAAATATCACGATCACGATCTCCTCAGCTGTCTCCTTGCCACAACAGATCACAAATCACACTAAAATCAAAACAAGAATATCCTGGCTTGGTGACTTTTATTTTTTTCAGTATATTTTCCTATTTTAAGCAGTAAGGATGATATTTTTTTTTCGCCACGAATTAGGTTCGGCACATGTAAAGTTCGACCGTCTGAATCAACAGTCGAACATCGACCTAAATGGGTATTAGGTTCGGCACATGTAAAGTCCGACGTTTGAACCGGGCCTTACTTTATCAGAATAATTATAAAAACAATATACAACAAAAACAAGTAGGTTTCGATGTCGGTAGGCGCCTCCAACCCAATCACAGGCAGCCCAAGCACACTATGTTTGGGTTCGGGCTTCAGAGGTCATTTGGTCGGAATATACTAGAATTATTAGTGTATTATCTGATACCAAATAAATGCAAAAATCTTGAAGATACGAAGTCTTCTTGTTTGTCTATCTGTATTAGTAGCCTTTAAGATAACGAAGGTTAATATTTCTTGCATTATTACATGTGATTCGGGCCCTTATCGTTGGAATTTTATCAAATGTATTCGAATCTACAACGCTAAGAAAAAAAAGCGGCCGTAGGACACAGAGTGGCTATGAACTAAAGGTAAGGGAGCTTTTTGAATCAATATTTCGTGTGATCATGATTTTTTTTTCTTAGCGTTGTGGATTGGAATACATGTGATAAAATTCAAACAATAAGGGCCCGAATCACATGTAATGATGCAAGAAATCTCGACTTTGTTATCCTACAGGCTACTAGTACAGGTAGACAAACAAGAAGTCTTCGTATCTTTAAGATTTTTGCATCTGTTTGGCATCAGATAAATCACGAGAGGGATTCTTGATACTAAATCATGACTATCATACTTGTGGCAAGTCTGTGAAGTCTAAAACATTACTCTGAACAATTCAATAGGAAACGAATTTCCTTACTCTAGCGGAGCGTTTCTCTTTTGGCAATGCTTTATAATGAATTTTCCGCTTCCGCCTATGATCGCGAATACAACGCCATTTACAATCATGCCAACTAAAATCTTATGATTTAATTTCTTATTCGTCAACTTACCCAGGTCCCCAGTTCTGGCATTCGACAGTAAAGCTCATCAGCGGCGCTTCTACACATTTTACCGATTTCTTCAGACGTGAGACGACGTTCTTCGCTCATTACAAAGGCTTCAGCGACGGTTTCTCCAGCAATATCAACCAAAAGAGTAAGCTGACTCCACGGATCCAAACGTTTGCGTTTGATCACCTCATCGAACTCGCCTATGACTTTCTTGATACTCTTTCTCGATTCCAGCAATGATTTTAAGGTCCCATTGGCAGAAATTCCTTGCGCTGTCGTTTTTGTGAGATACGTAGCTGCCTGTTCGACCGAATTGAAGCAAGAAGAAGAATCCTCAAAGCCCTGCCGTTTTCTTGCATACATATATACCAGAGCAGTCAGATTTCTCTTTTTTTCAAATTCTGATAAGATTTTTTTAAGGTCCTTTCTTTGTACTGCACGCAAACCGTTCTTAAGCGAGCTCACGTCTTCCCAAGAAATCTCTCGGGCATCTTCTAATAGGCGAAAAAGTTCCAGAGTGTCACTAGTTTCTGCATAGACGGTGTAGTAGAATCGAAACTCTTTTTCACTATCTTCCGTCAAGCCCCTCTTGATCTTAAGAAGCACTTCTTTGTAATCATGTTCAAGTTGTCGTCTTAGTTCTTCACTAATGTTAAAAGCGGCTGATGTTAGTGATGACATTATTTTGGCGGTACTGGGGATGTTGGTAATGGCGGACCCAACCGATGAAAGCAAGCGAGTCTCTTTTATACCCTTGAATCTTAATCACCACCAAATAAGGGCAATGGGATGACGTTGGGTTGTTGAAAATAACCACAAGGGTTGCCTAGTCCCTAGGCCTCATTTTTCCTGGCGGCCAAAGCGTTTCAGGTCACGTGATCCCAAATTGACCGAGAGGGACTGGGAAAAAGCCGTACAGGGACTAGGCAACCACAAAGGGACAAACGTAAACGGCCCCGAGAGCACGTTTTAATTATCACGTGATTTTTCGTCAACCCTGCGTTGACCCATCACATTGAAACATTGTTGAAATTTCCAACCAATTGGATTTACGTTTCCATGACAATTGTTGACGTCACTTCATTTCAGTTCATTTATTTTGCCAAAGTAAAAAAAGGGGAGAAAGGAATAAATATAAATCAAGAGGCTTACAAGGCCTGGGCTATCTTAGACACAGAAAACTGAAAAGTAACTCATATGCGAAGTGAACAGAAATTAATGAACAAGTTAATACTGAACTAGACTAAGAGTAGTCCCCCATTTTTCCTCAGGGATAGTAGAGTGAACGAAACGCGAGCGTGCGTGAGAATCACCCCACCCGAGAAAAGGCGTTCACGCGCGCTCGCGTTTCCTTCGCTCTACTATCCCTGAGGAAAATGGGGGACTACTCGTAGTCTAATACTGAACCTGTATTTCAAAATGGTTTAAAATTATATGAATAGAGTAAAAAAATTATTGTATTTTATTGTGTTTTATCGTTGTCAGTTATCGTAAAAATAAATAGATTTACCTTGGAATCAGTCTTAAAGAAACTTAAGCTAACTTAAGATTGTTGATCGGTGTGTCCGTGCGACAAATCTACTGAACGATTCTGACAAAACTTTTCTGAAGCAAAATTATTCGTCTAAGGTTTTTGGACAGACTTACAATATATGACAACATTTTGAAAATGTAGGTAAAAAAGTGAATAACGTAGAGGTAGTATAGATAAATAAATAAACATAGTTTATTCAACTCTTTGCTGTAACTTTACAACTGAAATATCAAGTGGTAAAATGAACAATCACGACTATAACATGCAAAAGGTTATGAAACTAGTCAAAAATTTCAGTAAATTAATAATATTAAAACCGTTTGCTCTTTTGGTTCTAATGAATGCGGAAGGACTTTTCATGGCCAGATCTAAGATCATATCCGGTATAGTAATAACTTCTTCATGACAAGTGCGTAACCTCCATGCCGAGATGAACCAGCGACTTATAGCAAGTCGTGTTTTCTCAAGACTCTCAAGGCAAGGGAAGGTCAGAGCTTCATCACAACTGCAGTCTGGGAAAACAATCTTAAGGGATCGTTTTTGTATAGATTCTAACATGACGGATAAGAACTCTGTGATATCTTGCCATGCCGGGACAGCATATTCAACAAGTATAGATCTGACGGAGCACTTATAAATATTGATAAAATTGCTGCCAGCTACACCAGCTCTTTTAAGCACCCTTAAGGTATACAATCATTTGGCGGCTTTACCTGATAAATATAATCAATGTTCTTTGAAAGGTCGAAACACACTCCAACTGGTGGTTTCCAGGTTGAATAATGTTTTTCGAATATTTCATGAAATTTATAAGCATTTCTTTACACTTCAGTGGATTTAACTTCATCCCCCTGATTTGGGTGTGTCTCTGACAGCCAAATTTAAAATGCTAATGGAGTTACGTGGTAGGACCTCTAAAACTGTTGGTAGTATCATCTACGTATTTAGCTCTTATATTCTAATCCCTTAAAGAGTCATCTTAGTCCCTTAGCGTATGCCACGATGGGTGTGTTTCCACTCAGACAAGGTATTATCTATACACACAGCTTATATATTTTGTAACGTTTTGTTAGTTTCACAAGAGTATGTATATTAGGTTGCATAATACTGCTGAAGTATTTAAGGCGTGCTTGTAAGGTGTCCCAAGGGGCTAGTACACTATTTAAGGTTTGATAAGTTATGCAAGAGCCATTCGAGGCATCTTTTTCAGCCCTAGTTTTTTATGCCATGTCGGGTTCTGAAACAGCGAGCGTCCCTCAAGCGTCTTTGGAAACTAACAACACCGGAGACTCTGCTCAACCGAGTGTTCTTTCCTCGGATACGTCCTTATCAAACGCTGAAACTTTGCAGTTATTTTCCCAACTTTTGGACGTCAAATTTGATCAAAAGTTCGCTGCCTTTAAGCGCGATCTCGAGGACAAAGAAGCTGCCACACAATCGCAGCTTAAGAAGCTGAAAACCGAATCGAAAGCATCAAATTCCTTTACTTTCAAGGGCAACAAAGTACAGTACGAACTTAACATCTCTTTGCACGACTTAGTGGACGGTGCCATTAAGAACGTCTCAAAAGGGAACCTTTCAGCAGCGATTTCCGAACTTGAATCGGTAAAGACACTTATTACAAAACGAAACAAGCTTATTCGCTTTGCGGATAAGAGTCCTGCGGGCTGGACAGCCGTTGAGTACGAATCAGATGAGTTGGCGGAGGATTCTGAGGATGAAAAGAGGCTTCGTTCAGCAGAAAGACGGGCATTGGCCAAGATCCGCGAGAAGAAGCGTAGGAATTCGTCTGCCCGACCTAGCTATACAAGTACCCGTCAGCCATCGAGTGAAGCTTCTTCTGTTCGTTCTTCCAATACTCTTCCTGTTAATCAGCAGCTTTTTCGTGGGCAGTCCTTTCGCGAGCGTCGACCTCAACCTTCGGACAAGTGCTTCAGTTGCGGACAGAGAGGTCATTGGGCAAATTCAACTTCCTGCCCCAGCCGCCTTAGAGGAACCGTTGCAGTCCCTTCAAGTAGCAAGGCCGCAAACTGACGACAAACGCAATGTTGCATTACAGAGATTAGGGAAAGATGAGTATAATTTACTAAATTTGGTTACATGTTTAAATGACTTTGATCCAGTGGAACTTGTCGAGAACTCTGTAGATGCGTCTGATTTATCTAGTGATGTAATAAGTCCCGAATATCAGGAGGGAGTTCCTATCGTTAAAGTTAAAGGTAGTCTTAAGCGCAATGTAGCTTTTTGGGAGCATATAGGTGCTTCTCGTTTCATTCGCGATACCATTGTACATGGGTATAAGATCCCCTTTATTTACACTCCACCCCCAGCTAGCTTTGGCAATAATAGATCTGCCATTCAGCATAGTGAATTTGTGGAACAAGCTATTTCTGATCTTCTTATAGCAGGCTCAGTGGTTGAATGTGGGTGTGCCCCTACTGCGGTTAACCCCCTATCCGTTTCCATTCAGGCTAATGGTAAGAAAAGGCTCATATTAGACTTACGTTATCCGAATCAATTTGTTAAGAAATCCAAGATTAAATTCGAGGACGCGAAAACCATGCTTTATTCCTTTATCGATTGTTCTCAGAATTGGCTATTTTCCTTTGATATCAAATCTGGTTATCATCATACTGACATTTTTCCCCCAGACCAAGAGTTTTTAGGCTTTTCCTGGTCTAAGGATGGGGTTATTCGATTTTATAAATTTACTGTTTTGCCATTCGGTATTTCTACCGGGCCGTATATTTTCACAAAAGTTCTGAGGCCCTTAATACGTTCTTGGCGTCTCCAGGCAATTAGAATTGTTGTATATTTGGATGATGGCCTAGGCGTATGTCCTACATTTCCTGACTGTTATTCCCAGTCTATGGCCGTGAAATCAGATTTGTCCCAAGCGGGCTTTGTAGCTAATAGTGTTAAAAGCATATGGGTTCCAGTTCAGTCTCTCAGATGGTTGGGCTATCAATGGGATTTAAAGCTTAATTTGTTATCTATTCCTGTGGAAAAAATCAACAGGCTACTAGCGAGTATTGATATTGTGCTCCTTCAAAGTAGATTACCAGCCAGGCAATTAGCCTCTGTCACCGGAAGTATTATTTCTATATATGCTTGTTTTTGGCAATGTGTGCAAGCTGATGACCAAAAGCCTACACAGGGCTCTCGATCGCAGGCATGGGTGGGATTCCTGTGTTGAATTAGACCCATGCGCTCGCAAAGAGTTGGAGTTTTGGAAGAATAACGTTTCTAACCTGAATTCTAGGTCGTTTCTCAATACTGTTCGTAAGCCATCTCGCATTGTCTATTCAGATGCCAGTGCTACTGGCTGTGCTGCCTTTATTGCAATTGATGATACGCCTGTCTCGCATATTAACTGGGATTCATTACAGATGAGCCAGAGCTCTACCTGGAGAGAACTTCACTGCGTCAGTTTTGCTCTGAAAAGTTTTGCACACCTTCTCTCAGGCTGCGATGTTAAGTGGTTTACTGACAACCAAGCAGTTCCTTCGATTGTTCATTCTGGTAGTATGAAGGAGCATTTGCATATCTTGGCGCTCGACATATTTCAGACCGCCAAAGATGATAAGATTGACATTGAGGTTGAGTGGATACCTCATACTCGGAATGAGAGAGCAGATTATTTGAGTAAGATTGTTGATTATGACTGGACAGTCAAAGATTGCTATTTTCATGCTGTTACCTCTGTTTGGGGCCCCTGCTCAGTAGACTGTTTTGCTAGCTACAAAAATCGCAAGGTTCCCAGGTTCTATTCCAAATACTTTAATCCAGATTCCTTGGGTGTCGATTCGCTCGCCTTTAGTTGGGTCGGCGAAACATGTTGGCTTGTGCCACCTATTTCGCTAGTTAAGAAGGTCGTCCTTCATGTCTGTTTGTGTCGTTGTCGGGGAATTTTGGTAGTTCCTTATTGGCCGTCAGCCCATTACTGGCCCCTTTTGGTGGAACGCGGGGGTGTTTTCAAGTCATTTGTTGCAGATTGTCTCTACGTTGAGAATGGTAAGGATGTTTTTTCTCCATGGGGGGAACAAGAGTTCCCTTTTTGGATCAGAGAATTTTAGTACCCCAGTGCCTTTTCTGTTGCTCAACGGGGCTGTACCGGAATCTGTATAGATTGCTGTGGAGTTGTACGCCGCTTGGCCGCTAGGCCGCTGGGCCGCTGGACCACTAGCCCACTGGGCCAGTTTACGACGAACGCACTAGTTTTTGCCAGTACATGAAGATTGTCCGTTTTTACGCCACTGGCTGTCTGTGTGTGACCCATTTTGGCTGGTTGACTTTTTTCTCTTTGAGGCTTCTTGTTTTCACTTAACTTGCTCAATCGTTTGCTCATAATTATTTTTCTTTCTTATTATGTTTATGTTTCTACAAGGTAGACGTGCGTTTGCTTTGAAGATTGCTCATCTAAAGGATCCAGAGCTTCGTAAGTTAGCAGCCGATCTTCCCTTGCGTACCATTGAAGCGAAGGCTCCTTCGACGACGGACCGTTACTCAAGAGCTTTTCAGAAATTCAGGGAATGGTCTTCACCTTATAACGAGGTCGTTTGCCTGCCATCGGACGAGATATCAGTTGCTCTTTACTTAGAGTCCCTTATTCAGGGTGGTTCCCCTTATTCTTCCCTTGAGTCTGCTTGCTATGGTATTAATTGGGCGCATAATTTGTATGGTTTTCAAAGTCCTTGCGATTCCAAATTGGTTAAGAACGTGCTCGAGGCAGCTAAAAGAGGTCTTGCGAAACCTGTTTCTAAAAAAGAACCCGTTACCCCCGCTATGATTTTAGATATTTGTAATAGGTTTGCCGGTCCTAATGCTAATCTTTCTGATCTTCGTTTAGCAACCATTTGCGTAACCGCGTATACCGCTTTTCTCCGCTATAATGAGTTAGCTAGCCTACGCTGTTGCGATGTTAGTTTTTGCGATTCTTTTGTCAAGATTTACGTTTACAAAAGTAAAACGGATGTTTATAGGGATGGTGCCTACGTCTTGTTGGCAAAAACAGGGTACGTTTCTTGCCCCTTCAATCTGCTTCGCAGATATGTTTCGGCTGCTAATTTAGATTTGCCGTCTTCGTTACCCTTTTTTCGCTCTTTGTATTTTCATAAGGCAACCTCTACTTATAGTTTGCGTAGTACGGGTATGAGTTACTCTATGACGAGAGAAATAGTTTTACAAGCGTTTGTTGAATTAGGTTATCCGAAGAATTTATTTGGTTTACATAGTTTAAGGGAGGGAGGTGCTTCCGCGGCCGCTAACGCCTGCGTTAGCGATCGGCTTTTTAAGCGTCATGGAAGGTGGAAAACGGATCAAGCTAAAGACGGTTATATTAAGGACAAACTAGATTCTCTTCTCTCAGTGTCTAAAAGTTTACATATTTAGTTTGCCATTTCTCTTTCTTTATTTTCGAACGTGGGCATCAATAAACGAGATGCCCGCTCCTATTCTGTGTTTTGTGATTATTTAGATTAGTTACATAATATTTTATAATCGTTTCAGTGTGATTAGGATATAAATATATTTTGTAACGTTTTGTTAGTTTCACAAGAGTATGTATATTAGGTTGCATAATACTGCTGAAGTATTTAAGGCGTGCTTGTAAGGTGTCCCAAGGGGCTAGTACACTATTTAAGGTTTGTTAAGTTATGCAAGAGCCATTCGAGGCATCTTTTTCAACCCTAGTTTTTTATTTTATTTACTGTTGTAATTTTCTCTGAGTTTGTAAAACTAATCATGAAATGCTGTTTTTGTAACGCTTTACGCTCGCTTGATCAATAAACGAGATGCCCTATTCTGTGTTTTGTGATTATTTAGATTAGTTACAAAATATTTTATAATCGTTTCAGTGTGATTAGAATATAAGGGCTGTGCTAATTGGTCAGAAAAGACTTCATCCAATCAGATAGCGCAGGGTCCACACCAAGGAGAGAGAGTTCGTCTATAAGTATAAATTTTTGGTGGTCTATCATATCAAATCCCTTTGAAAAGTCTGAAAAGAAGATCCGGACACAGGAATTTCCGCGATCGATGGCATTCAGAGCAAAGAATTTACTTTTAATTATAGCGTAACTACAGACTGAGAGATTTTACTAGCGATAAATAAGATATGGGATCTTAAATAACGCCGTTATATGAATGACTTCAATTTGTAATCTTGAGAGCACGATCTCTCTTGTTGCTATTTCTATTGTTTTCCTTCTTCTTCCTCCTTCTCCTTATCTTTTTTTTGTATACGGTTTTTCATCGCAGCTAGTCATAGATTATAAACCATCAGTCAAATGAAAGCAACATAATAGTATTTGAAGTCAATCATTTTTATTTATATTTTCTGAAGTAAGTTACATTCTTTTCCAATGAGTAGAAAAACATATCAAGTAATACAGGGGCGTAGCTAGAAATTTTCCAGAGTAACGCACAGTTTTCTAAATCCATCCTGCCCTTTTGCTCAAATCATTTCCCTCGAGGATAATATATTTCTTTTTTATAAGTATGGTTAAGTAATCATCTCTCTTGGTCGTAAGAAAGTGTTCCGCAGGAAGCAGTGTATGTTGGAAACCGAGGAAAATACTGGATTTCGTTTTGAAAATTTAACTGAAAGCAGTTTTAAGGCCGCGTTACATCAACGAATCTTTTCAGTTTTCATCTATAACTTATTCCTCGATCCTTTTCTCTTGGGTTTTCGTTGTATTGTTTTCAGACTTTTGTTCGTTTTATCCTATTATTTTCATGCAAACACGTGCGTACTGGCGAACAGGTAGCTACGCCCTTGCAGTAATAATACATATAATTGCAGGGGAAACTCGATACAACGAAGGCCCAAGGGACTGATGAAACACGTTCGCTATAACGAATCTTCGAGGCTACTTTTACTTTTAATTTTGGTAGGGCAAAGACAATCGTTCTTTATACCAAAGAAATTTGTTAAATAGAGGTTCGTTTTATCGAGGTTCCACTGTATACGTTTCTATCATGGCAAATTGTTCCTTTATTCAATTTGATCAGGTCAATCCTTTCATACAGCTGCCTTCACGCTCAGAGCGCATTCATTTCCTTAAAATCTCTTCTTGCAGTACCCCTCACATGATGATGAAGAAATAGTTACCATAAAAAAATGTAAAATATTAAAAACAATAAATATTAAATATCAGTACATTGAATAATTGCTTTGCATTGCATTTTTTCTTTTCTGAAGTTTTTTCAATAGGGTAACTAAATGTTTCTTTTTTCCCCTTTTTGTTCTTTACCTCTTTGTCTCTTGTTTTCTCAGATTTTTATTGACACTGTACTGGTCCGCCATTGATTTATTCAAATTCTTGATGGTTGTTCGTTTTTTTTCTGCTTAGTGATTTGGTTTTTCTTCCTTATTTTTGTAATTTTGCCTTTTTTAAAATATTTTTGGTGTTCACTAAATGCTGATTTGAACTGGTGTTCGTTGTTTATTTTTTCGCTCTTTTCTCTGCTTTTTTCCTGTTTTTTTTTTTCACTTTTTGGTCGTGTGTTTTTCTCTTTTTTTTGTCGTCGGATTTTTATTCGTTCTTAACCTTTTGCTTTTTTAAAAATTTTTATTTAGTTTGTTTGTCAAATGTTTTCGTTTTTTTTTTGTAATTATTTCTTCTAGCTTACACCTGTATTGAAAAGAATGCAGCGAATGAGAGTATATGCAAATTTATGCTCAAAGTGTTCGCTGAAGTTGATGGTATTCACGAACGATTCACTTAGAAAAAGAGGTTCTCTTGCCGAACAATAATTTGTATTGGTTTTTAAAACGGGTGCCAAATTGACCTTACAGTTTAACAATTCACACCGTGTTTTGTTTTAAACTTGGCCAAACCGCATCCTTTTCAAAACAGGGGAATTTTTTTAAAATGCAAATAAAGTAATTAGCGGAGTGTTTTTTTTTTTTTGCTGCCCTTTGTCTGGTCTCTCCCCATTGATCTTTCCGGCTTGGTTGCACCTGCCAGAGGCTAAGCCTCTGCCGGCTGAGTTCGCTGGATCACGGAGACACACAAGCCCCTCCACCACAGCAAGGTGGCAGTCCATGAGAGAGGTAGGTCTTGTTTATTTTTTTAAATTTTTTTTTTTTTCGCCTAGGTGATGAACCTCCTCAGGGACCAAGGAGATTGTCCTCGAGCTGTTGCACCACCTCAGCTATTTTCGATTTGACAAGTAAGCTGCTGGCTTCTGAGCTGTGTTGATGGTTAACTGAATTGTACTGGTCTTTTAAATGAACGCAGAAATCTTCCTAAAAAATACAACAATAACGAAATATATAATGGCCCTGCCTATCCAGCGCCTCAGAGGAAGCATATATTTGTTAGTTAAAACCTGGAGTTTAAATAGAAACTGGACGTAATTTGCATGCCACTTATTTTATAGGATTTTTTCCCTCGATAATTGAAGACTGTTTTAGTTTAAAAGATGTAAATGACGGTCTTAAAAAGACTCCTTTGTTTATTTCTCCTGGACCACGCCCTTCTGACCTTGCTTTTGGAGACCGGATCTGATGAAGTCGGGAATTTCCCGAAGCGAAAGTGCAGCATTTATTCGTGCATTTATTTAAGGTTATGTTTAGACTGGAGGTTCTTTTTCGGGATTCTTAAATTTTGATCCCGGATTCGTTTTCTTTTTCTTTTAAGCACGCAGATGTGTGAATCCGGATAAAAACGTCCCGTTTTGGTTAAGTTTCCGGAGATTTCAAATGCAAGAACTAAAGTGAATCCGATCCGCAATGTTTTCCCTCTAACGGATTCCGAAACTTTTCCGCCTTCGGTCACACGAGTTTGCGGTAACCCAAATAGGAACTGTCGCGTTCATGAAGCGACGACGACGAGGTGCAGCAAAAACGTCACTATTAAAATAAATTCGCGTTTTAGCAAACTTTTGCACGTTTTTACCAACTTTCTTAAAATGGCAATTGTAGGTGAATCTCCCTGGAGATGAATTCTTAGGAAACGCACCCAAGTTTGAAAAGCCAAGAAAGTTCCGTTCAGTCGGGTCGCTTAATTACGGACGGCAAATAAATGTATCAAAAAGCCTCGCTGCACGTGCAAAATATTTTTTTGTTTTGTTTATTAACCTACCGCTTTTTGACGTTCTCGCTGCGGCTGACGTCGTCGTTGCTGAAGCTTGTTCCAGGCGTTCAGATAGTAGAGCGCGGTGTTTCCCTATCATCCCCTCGTTTTTCCCTAGTCAATTTTTCTCCCGCGCACTACTGTCTGAACTCCTGGAACAGGCTAAAGCTCCCCGGATGGAACGATGTGTGTAAACGGTTGGGAATCCAAATACGCTTTTAGTATAAACGCCTTCCCTGAATGTAATAAACCCGAAAAAGTTATGAAACCGGAAAAATCTCCTCCTGTGTAAACGTGCTTTGAATGTTTAAATTTAGGCAAAGTCTAAGTAACAAGTAGGCTGTTTTCTGAAGTGACACCATTACATTCCGTTCAGACGCTGAACCTCTTTTTGCCTGCCAGAAGGAGCCGAATTCCCCGCGCAGGAAATATGAATATGCTGATTTTAATAGGCAATTAAATTAAGTCATGCACAAAGAGCTTTAGAACCAAATATTTCAAACACCAACATCTGTGATAACAAGCAGGTGTCGCTATTTCTACAAAAGAATGTACTGCTGTTCATGCATGTTGCAACTATTTTTTCCACGTTCGGAATATTTATTTGAAACAAAATCACATCACAGCATGGGGCATATTCCAACATCGCCACGCACAGTTACTAAAGCCCCATGCAAACGGACGCAACATTGTTGGCCAACAACTCCCAAATTAAAATCTTTGGAATTTACACGTTGGGCCCGTTTGCACACCCTGTTAAATTGCATGTTATCGCGCAAAGTTTAAAACCGATCAAACTATTGAGCAAACAACTCCCAACATTTTTTTTGTTACGTAATAGGTGAAGCGTAGCTCAACAATGTTAGATACGTTTTCATAGCTCTTTCCAACATTGTTGGAGTCACACACTCGTGCACATGGTCTCCAAAGTCTTATGGGTTGTATCCTTCCCACGATGCATTGCATGTCCCACATTAATCCGTTTGCATGCCACTGCCTCACAATGTGTCCTTTTGAACGAAGCTTAAGACAAACAAATTGAATTTAACATAGGCAAATTCCTCACTTTTGTTTGTCTTTTATCATGAAAGTGACCTGTTTGTGTGACTTTTGTCATTGAAATGACAAAAATGGCAAAAGGCAGACAAACATTGCAAATTAGTCATTCTGGCATGACGTCATTTGTGTTCTGGTGCTATTGACGCCCCCTTCTAGTTTTCATATTTCAGATGGCTTCAACGTAACCAAAGCAGAAACTAATATAGCAATAGAATTAGAAAAATAATAACTTGACCAACTTCAACATGTGAAAGCAAATTTTCACGGCTGTGATAAAAAGGCGAAAAAAAACAACAAAACAAACAGACAAGGCACACACACACAAACAAAACAATGCGTGGATACGTGGCATCCAGAACTCTCCCCCAATTCAAACACTCATCCAAATACGTTTCTAAAATCTTAGATTTTTGAAGATGGATATATTTGACAACTCACCCAACTAATCTGGTGTCTCTGCATCCAACAGTAAAGCTCATTTGCGGCGCTCCAACACCGTTCAATATCTTCCGGCTTAAGCGAGGGTCGTCCGCCTTCGCTCGCTAAGGAATTATCGACGATTTTGGCAATAAACTTCGTTAGATCCCTTTTCTTTTCAAATCCAGTCAAGATTTCGACAAGATCCAGTCTCCATACTGCATCCAACCCTTTTTTAAGGAAACCTACGTTTTCCCATGAAATCTTTTGGACATTTTCCAATGCACGAAAAAGTTCCAGGATTTCCATAGTTTCCTCAGGAATAAGGACGTCGAAGTAAAAACGAAGTTCTTTAAACTGATCTTTGGTCAATCCTCTTTTAATCTGCAAAAGAGTTTCTTTGTATTCCAGCCTAAGTATGTCAATAATGGCAGCCGAAGTTTTCAATGATGACATTGTGGGGGTGTTGTTTGATGGCGGACGGAAAAGTGAAAGCATTCGTGTCTTTTTATACCCCAGAATTTCGATCACTACCAAAAAAGGACTGCGATTAACGTCATGTTGTTGAACCGAACAATCAAACTGCGCCTGAAGGAGCGAACGCCTCATTAACTACATTAATATGCGCAGGAAACGTCTCTAAACATCTGAGGCATGATAATTGAAAGTGACAGAGAAATCATGAGTGCGAAAATTTTTAAAACAACGACTCCCAACACCCGGGACCCAATAGGAAATGTTGGTTGTTCAATAGAGTACCGAAGTGTGACGTCACAGAAAATGAAATTTGTGAAATTATGGGATTTGTTAAGCTATTCTGAAAGAACAACGTCCAAGACGCCTACTCGCCAAAAATTAGCAATTTGGGGCAAATTGTCTCGGAGATATTAGCCCAGATATGCTCCGATGACTCCATACAAATCCTTTTAAATCTTACCTGGTTCCTAATCTTATGAACCAAGCCAAATTTAGAAGGATTTGTATGGAATCGTCACAGCATAACTGGGCTAATATCTCAGAGACAATTTGGCCCGAATTGCTAATTTTTGGCGAGTAGGCGTCTTGGACGTTGTTCTTTCAGAATATCTTAACAAATCCCATAATTTCACAAATTTCATTTTTATGACGTCATCACTTCGGTACTCTATTCTACTGGACCATCAATTAATAAGACAAACGAATTTTTTGTCTTATTATTGATGGTCCGGTAGAATTGAACAACTAACATTTCCTGTTAGGTCCCGGGTGTTGGGAGTCGTTGTTTTTAAATTTTCGCACTCATGATTTCTCTGTCACTTTCAATTATCATGCCTCAGATGTTTCTGGTAACATGTGAACGTCTTTTATATCGCGTTTCCCACATACACATTTTCACAAACTTGCTAAGGTTGTGCTAATTGTATTGTGCTATTTTTGGATCGGAGTCATCAGTTTTCGCATTTCGAAACACAGCAAGCAGTGAAGTCTTCCACTTATTACATGTCAGTTACTGTGATTGTACTCTAGAAACTAAGTCGGGAAACTAATATCAGCTATAAGTTAACCACTGTTGAAAGTTGTTGGGAAACTTATGATGAACTAGGTTATTTTGGGAGACTCAGACCTTTTCATCAACGTGTGCAAGTCGTCTTGATGAAAGTGCGTTGTTTTTCTCGGACTCACCGGTGGCTGGAAAAGACATCCCCAAAACCACACCCCCACCTCTAGCACTCCCGCCAATCAAATGTTTGTACCCATGAGCCTTTGTTAAATCTTCGTAGGTCGTGACGCACACACATACATGCGTTAAGTGTCGGCTGATACTTCCGGGTCGCAAAATGGACCGGCGTTGTAACTTTCGTGCAACTTCGAACTTTCTCCATTCGCGTGCTTTCAAAGAGTACATTTTTCATTTTGATCGATCGTTAGACGTGAAAGGTCGAGAGTGGTTTAGGTTTTGGTGTATGAATGTAGTGCCAAGAGGGAGATTAGATGCGTTGAGTGTAGATGCCGATCATAGTGTTTTGAAGGTAGTAGAATTTTTGCTGGATAATAAGGGAATGCCGTTTATTATGTCGATAGTAAGAAGGTTTCTGTTAGAGACTGGTTGTAGTAAATCGTTGGAAAGACTAGGTGCGTATGAATTGCGGGTCATCGTTGATATTCTTTTGGAGAATTACGTCACGAGTAATTTTTTAGAGACTGCTTCTAGCTTCTACGCGGACGCATTGAGATTAATGGCTGCTACAAGGCGAAAAAGTGAGGAATGGATTTCTGAGATTTCTGAGGCACGTGATAAGTTCAGGCAAGTTGATGGGGATGTTAGAGCTCTAGAATTGTTGAATAATGTGATAAAGGAGTGTCGACGGAATCCCGAGTTTTCGTGGTACGAGGTAACAATGTTATTGACGATAACAGGCGAATGGTACACCAGTGTCAGTTTGGATTATGATAAAGTATCGATAATTGATTTAACATCGAAGATTGGGGAGTCTTTTGCGGAGTGGATGCTTGAACTAGGAGGGCTGGTAAGTATGTTGGGACTTTCAAAATGTATTTTTTTTGTTACAATCTTAGTAAATGTCTTATATTTCCTTGACAGTTGGGTGTCGTAGCGGGGAACATCACAGGCGGCCTAAGCTCAAGGGGTCCTCGTAATAGTAAACTTAGGTCCGGTTCAGACACGGCTCCACTCATGCGCCGAACCAACGTCTGAATCAATTTCATGCCTAACGCATCGGGGCTGGGTTCAAAACTGGAGTAAGATATCTCAGGGTTAGTGCAAAATTTGAATTCAGATAAGAAAACTTCAAAAAACCATTCAGTTTATTAATTCTTTTTGCAAATAATATGTTAATTGAATGCTCCAAAAATAATAAATGAAAAAATTATCCCGGAAATGCTTTTTAACAAAAGATAAAGAATCAGGATTAAAATTTTACCCTGGGATAGCACTAATCCGCCTTCAAACAACTGGGTCCAGGATGGGAGAGGAATTAGAAGACGGCAAACTTTTTGGTGCTTTTCACAAAAATTGATGTCACAAAATTTGTGGTAATGGTACCTGGGTCTGGTCTTGTAGGGGTAAATAAAAAACCTGCATGGACATATCCTTCTTTTCTTTTGCAGAAAGGTTTTGAGGACTTTGTCAAGGAACAGCAAAAACCTGGATGGTTGAACTGAATGGTTGACAGTAGTTAAGGACTTTGTCCGGCCAAAATCCTGGATTTTGAATCGTTGAGAGTGGTAATAGAGCAGTGGTAATTAAGTGCATTTATAGTGAGGTATAAAAAACTAGACGTCCCCTCTCATGGACTGCTACCTTGCTGTGGTGGAGGGGCTTGCGTGTCTCTGTGATCCTGCGAACTCAGCCGGCAGAGGCCTAGCCTCTGGCAGGTGCAACCAAGCCGGAAAGATCAATGGGGAGAGACCAGACAAAAGGGCAGCCAAAAAAAAAAACAACAAAAAAACAATATTTAAAAAGAAAAGTTATTGCTCAATGTTATTGCAATATTTTCTTGCAAGCCACTGTAAAGTTATTTATAAGATAATTTTATATTTATAACAAGACAATCATGAGGAAAAATGTAATAAAAAGACTGTAACTTTGTTATACCAGAATCAAAAGGAGTGTGTTTTGAAAGATTTTCTAAAAAAAAGAAATTAAAACATTTTCAGTTTACTATACGTGTAACTTGACTTCTTTGCAAACCGGTTGTTCCAGGCTCATGGGGGACTATAAAATTTCGGACATTGCCTATCTCTGCATATGGGCAACAACAACAACGGTAATAATAATGGTCCTAATGTTGTTTCAAAAGATAAAAGCAGCAGACCCATCGATAAAATTTTGCCCTGCACTCTTATACTGTGTACAGTTATTTTGTGACAATTCTTGACAGTTTTGAACATTGTTTGCAATTAAATAACAATTAACAACTCACTGTTAATAATTTCTCCTTTATTAGATTTCCTGTGATACTTAAGACTGAGCAGTCCTAATGATTATGTGGGTAAGCGTGTTATGTGGGACAATCAGCTGCCAAAATACGTGTACCGACTACTACCTTATTGGGGCTCAAATGGCTTGTCCATGATCTTGTGCTTGTGACCCCCCTTCTCGCTTGTCATTGAAGATTAGGGAGGGGGTGTGTGCTATTTCATTTTCGCACCATCGTTATAATATTTTTAGTGTACGTCATAGAAGGCCACAGAGTCATCAGTTTCACTACTGTGCTCACCTCTTAAAATAATTGATTGAATATGCACACATAAGTCTGTTGTCTTTAAAGGTTGAACACAGCAATTTGCTTGGACTGAGTTATAAAATAAGTAAACTTTTAAAGTTCATTTTAAGTATGGATCACTTCAAATAATTCATTTTATTTCTTAAATAATCTATTGACTACCTTAAGCCAAATCACAAATTTCCTTGGTAAAATGTACATTAGTAGAGTGGTTCAGTTGGAAACTGTTAACATGTTTCGAAAATGTTGACTCTTTCTGCTCTAAGAGAGATCAGCATATCAATGTTCTCCTTGTAACATCTACGTTTACTAAAACAGAGTGGTACTGAGAATCTAAGGGTACTTTCCTTTGAGATGATCCGGATCAGGATCAGTGATCCGAGATCACTAAGATCATGGTAGATCAAATGAATCCTTGTCCAGAGTGGATTCATCGGTTCATTTGATCTACATGTACAATGATCCGAGTGATCTCGGATCACTGATGCTCATCCAGACCACCCCAAAGGAACGCACCTTAAGATAAGATAACACAAGATTTGAATTAAAACAGTCTATTTCAATACTCTTAACAACTTCTCTCTACTTTGGTTTTTATATAAAAATGCATAAGGATAACAAAATTAATGAGAATTTAAATTTTGATGTAAGGCAAGGGCCTAAGGTTTAAGTCTGTTGACTTCAGAACAACTCATCTCATTATCTACCGCATCCACCAACTATTTGAACACAAGAAAACAAAAAATGAAAAGCAGTTGGTATCAAAGTTCAAAATTAAAAAATTATAGTTCACTGTAAATGCTTGTTCATGAAATCTACCATCCTTCCTAATGCCAAATCACAAATTTCCTTAGTGTAATTTGGATTAGTAGGATTAGTGAAGGCATGGCCAGTATCATACATGTGCAGCTCATAACTCACTCCAGCGGCATCAAACTTCTCTGCAAGGGCCTTAGCATCTTTCGGTGAAGAGAACCCTTCTAGTGTATCTTTACTACCAAAGTGAGCTTGCACTGGTGCTTTGATCTTGCCCACATCACATAGGTCAGAACTTGGAATGCCGTAGAATGGAGCGGCAGCTGAAATCTCTTCAGGAAGTAGTGCGGCAGCTGCTAAAGCAAGGGCCCCACCCATACAGAAGCCAGTCACACCCACTTTCTTACAACCTGACAAAATAACAAATAATTGCAGGTTTAGTTTCTAAACATAGGCTACGTACCGCATAGCTTTCGTGCTACCACAAATATCATACCGGATAGGGCTTCTGTTCACACAGTCACAAAAATTGTTGTGGTGTGACAAGTCTGAGATGGAGCAAGGCTACCCCAGTCCAATCTCTAGAGCAGAGAGTCACATATCAGTTAGGTGTTCACACACTGACTACACTGCCGGAGGTTAGCTATACATGGCATCACGAAAAGCTAACCGGTATAGTTAGAACATAGCCTTACACTAAGTATGGGGCTGCATCAGTGGCAACCGGCTGGCAGAGCCTTTCTTTCGCTTGCTCACGACGATATTTCGATTTTGGCATAGTTAACAAAGACTGCATTATTTTAATCGAGTAGGATCTTTGTTGAGCATATGTGTTGCTTGTTGCCATAAGGATACAGTTTGGAACCCAGGCCTAATAGCTGTGCACTTGGCACAGTGGGTTCTGTTAAGACCATCGGACTATCAATAAATGGATGCTTGCATTTGAAAAACCAGTTTGATGAGAGAAGGCAAGATTGACTTATCCAGAAATTGAGGCTGTGGCAAATTCAGAAGCTTTACACCATTCAGGCAGATCAGCCTCCTTTTCTCCTTCTTGACCAACGAGAAGACAAAAGCAGGCTCTGATTACAGGGTGCATCAGTGGAGGACTGAATACATTTAACTTTTGGGTTCTGTCAACCGAGTTGATAAATAATATTACAGCTGTCCATTGACTGCTGTATATAGACTGAAAAGGAGGATCAGATGGGCTAGTGCTCAAAAAAATAATTAGTTTTACAAATCAGGCAAACTTCCCAAAGGTCTCTATGGGCTGGTCATTTATTACCCGAGATGGGGGCCTGGACCAGGGCCAGGGCCGGCCATTTTGCTGGGGGGTCATTTTCAGATTAGGGAGCATTACCTGGGGGGTCATTTTAATAATTTCATGAAAGTATTACAGAGCAGTAACAAGCGTGAATTGAAATTAAATGTAACATCTGCAAATAGCAAACACTGATCTTATAAACGTGACTGTAGATAATTAAGTATGTGGTGAACTCTTGGCATGATTTGTAGCCTGCAAAACAGGTGTTATTTTTTCACGTTTTTTAGGCGTGAAAGGGCATGCACTTCTCCCTCAAAACGTGAAAAAATAACCCTTATTCTGCAAGTTACACAATTTGTAGCTAGAATATTCCTATGGGGGCTCACTTTCACCATAGTTAAAATTTATGGGGGGTCATCTCTAAATAGCTAGGATGAATTGGGGGGTTGGGTTTGAAAATCTAAGTTTTCTCAAAATGGTGCGCCTCCCTCACAGGTAATAAGCAGTCATCCCCCCCTCCTAGTAAACCACCCATCATGGTGGTAACCAGTGAGTGAGAACTGTATTCATTATTGGGAAGACCTTAGATAACAATGACCTCAACCAGGTTGTGGTGTCCAGTGGTTTTAGTGAAAACAAGGGTTTGGGTGGGGAGGTCAGTCTCGTGGGCTCAAAAAACCTGGTCTTGGCAGGCCCCGTAGGGAGGTGGGTGTAACGGGTGCCCTCGCACCCCCCACCACAGGCGCCAGAGGTCCACTTTTTTTATTGATCAGCGACTTAAAAAAAAGAAGTAGGAGTATTGTTCTGTTCTAATATACTGATTACGTAGTAAAATTGAAAATGCTGTTAAAGAAGTCACAAGCCTGACTCACTTTTTCCACAAAACATGTTCTAGCCTTCGTAAAGTATAAAAAGGGGATTTGGTGTGCCTACAAGACATTTTTTCATTGCTCAATAAAAATCCCTTTTGTGTTTGTTTGCCATGCTTTTCTACAAAGTCATTTGTTATTTTACCAGTTAGCGAGTATAAGAACTCCCGTCAGCTTTGACATGCTGGACCCAGTTCTCTATGTTGCTTGGAGGATATTAGAACTCCTATTAAAGCTACACCGTGTGAAAAGATTTTTTAGGTCGACATTTTTTCTTGTTGAAAGTATATAAGTTTCACCACACCATCTTAGTTTTAATTGCATTTTCAGCTATTTCAGGGGGCTTTCAAAATTCAAAAAGTTTTCACAGGAGCATGTCCCTGGACTCACACTAACGTGTTCCAGGTGAGGCCCCCCCAGTTGCAAACTTGCTGGGCAATTCTGTCTCAGACAACCAAAGCTTCCCCCCCTTAAGAGATATGCCCCACCGGCCTTATTTGGTATGTCTCCTAGTTGGATTGCACCTACCCAGTAAAAAAAACCTCGCTATGGGCCTGCTCGATCATTCTTATTTAAGGATTTTCTCATTATTGAACATTCTGTTGGTGAGTACTAATCCTAAATACACCCTCCCACTCCCTAGGTAGCCTATAAAATCTTTCACTGATCCTTTCCCCATCCATTTTGAACAAGGGGTCATCTTCAGGATTTTGCAGCATTCCGGGTCAGCCCAAAGTTGCAACACCTACGTATACTATACTCTCCCTCGAATTGCGTGACCCCGATTAACTATTAAGGAGTTTATCTTTAAGCTTATATTGGACCAACCTTTCTCCTTCAAATATTTCGCAGCCCCGGCGATATCTTGCACTGCCCCTGGCCAATCCAAATCAGACATGTAGTGGCCCGCGGTTTCGTGATCCGTCGCTATTTTTCCCCGGTACAAGTCGGGAACAAGGGTAACAAAGTTGCCCCTTCCAGAAATATCCGCAGCTTCGTCTATGATCACCTGATTCATGCCCCACCACTCCTGTAGAACCACGAGCCCCATGCTTGATTTGCTGGTGTCTCCCGTCAACACCCCCGACAAAGCTCCTTGTTTATGCTCCGAAGGGAAGCAGACTTTTTCTTTGTTACTCATGATGTTCTTAGCTGGAAAACGCCAAGCAAGTCGACACAAGGATGAGATTCGGAGAGCCGTTTTGATGTGAACCCTTCGCGTGCGGGATTTGCGAGATATCGGCTTAAGTAAAAGTGGCTGGATGTAGCTTGGGTACTAGTTTTTAGTCTCCCCCGTTCGCCCTAGAGTTGATCTGATTGAACTCGAAATTAGCACAACTAAATTTTTTATTTTTGGAAAGAAAATAGTGCCGGTGCCACACATTTAGGTCACTTGTCACTAATCTAGTATCTTCACACTCCTATAAGGGCTTCCCATTTAAGACACCCTGTTCAACTAACACTTGAAAACCACACCGTGTTCCGCACACAGTACCTAGTTACTGGGCAAAATTAGGGAGTGCCTTCCCCCGGGAAACTCCCGTTCCAGTTCGGTTGTTCATTTTTAAAGAGTTTAAAGAACATTGGAGCAAGCTTTCGGAGGCCGGGCGGGGGGGGGGGGGGGGGGGGAGAAGCTCTCTCCTGCCCCTCCTCCCCTCACGCGCGCGGAATTGCACACATTTTAGGCATCCTAGGACTTAAGTTCACTTTCATCAACATCAATTTGCTCTGTTGTATCCCCTATAGTCTTGTAGAGATTCGTGAAGACCCTTCTGTATTGACTTATAAGGTTTTGTGGATGATCACTGAGTGGCCCTTTTACTTTAGCTTTTTTGTCTTTTCAAAAATAGTTGAATCAGTTATAACGTAGGGGGTTGTATCTTTGGTGGCTTCAAAAAGCTGTATTAATACAGTTTAGTGAATTCTTTGGTAACCAGTACAGTGGCCCGTTGCTTAGACTTTCTCAAAGCTCGTTTAGTGGTCTGGTCAGAGCTATTAATAACCTTAGTCAAGATCAAGAGCCATTATGGCTCTTGTCATCTTAATTCTGAAACTCATTGACAGTTTTATTTTGAAGACATTTTAAAATGATAACTAATTAATGTCACGTTACTAAGTTCTAGTTATGATGAATATTGCCTGAGTCACGATCAAAGAGATTAAAATTTCTATTGTTTTTTATTTTGCAGCCCTAGATATGGAAGGTTGTAAGTAAACTTTTTTTTATTGATCGCATGAGTTGTAGTTTAGCATTAGCAAGGAAGAGGAAAGCTTTTCCACGTTGTTTTTCATGGAGCAGGGGTTGGACTTCTCCACTTATACTTCTTCTCTCTTATTGCTTTTGTTTTAAGGTGCGCAATAATTAATTTTAGGTTAGCAAGCTTTGTTCGCGAAAAGTTTTGAAAAGTATCAACGTCACATCAGTTTGCCATTCCATTGTTAAGGCCCGTTGACGTCTCTGTGTTTTGTGGGTTGCCGACATATCATTGTTCCTCACTCTTTTACGATTCACTTCAGTTCAGCCAGAAAATAAACAAGTTAATTTAGAGCGCACTTGAAAAAGCCAATCAGAATGTAGCATTCTCTGCACGCTTTTGTTCGCCGACAGGTAAGCACATATACACGCGTCGCCTCGTTCCCATGGAGAGAAAGTGACGGGTAGGCAAAGGATCGCTGTAGTTTAGTTACTGAACAATGAAAGATGCATAAAGGTTTTCTTGGACTTGGCTGTCATATTTATTTTTAATAACCAGCTAAGAGACAGTTGAATGTCTAAATTATGCCCTCCCTTGTACGGGAGGTTCTGATGTGGCGAAACGGCAAAGAAAATTTGCTGATCGCGTAACGGAGCATGATTGTAAAATGGCTGAATTTGGAAATCAACCGTCGGGTTTTAACCCTCCAGGGAGGCAAGGATGTTTGTCGGATCAGGAAAGTTCTTCGGAGATTTCCTCAGGAGTTGATTTACAAGAGCGTTTACGAAAGGAGAAGTCATTTCGCAAACAGACGGACGAAGTATACCAACGTCTTCAGGACGACTACGATGAACTTCTAAAGAAATATGCACAGGCCGAGAATACCATAGACCAGCTGCGAATAGGAGCAAAACTTAACTTGTATAGCGACTTACCCCCACCACAACAAAGCTCGTTTGTAAATGTAACAGTTCACAAACAACCTGGTACGTTTAGATTTCCGAGAAGTAGCCGTGCTGTGTTGAGCGAAGGTGGCTCTGCGAACGAAGAGACATCTCGCGGGGTTGATGCCGGGACGCAAAATGGCAACCAATGGATTTATGCGCCAAACGCCGGTTCACATCCTTCGCTCTCTGATGGCGTGAGATTAAGAACAGCTTTGTCGTCTAAAGTTCAACATTTTCAGGAAGATGTAGATGCTTTACAAGATCATGTTATGCAGGGACAATGGGCTGAACCTGAAATAGACGAACTGCGGAGTATGTGTGAGCAATTGAAGGCTCAAAGTGAGAATTTAAAACGTGAATTGGCTCAGATCAGACGGTTGGAAAGTGGTGGAGATCCTGAAACATTTGAAGATGAAAGGTGAGTGAAAATGAAGATAAATTTGACGTTCTTGGTGAAGGTCAAAGATGTTGATTGTGATTATATTTAGGCCCGGAAATTGTGTTTGTATAGATGTATTTTTGTCAACACAAACTTTGTCGCAATACAGATCTCCCCTGAAATATTTGTCATTTTACAAGTAGCAAGTTTACGTTCTTATATTGAGCACAAAAATTAACAATGGCCTTGAAAGCTTCGAATTTTTCTGTTTAGACGTGATAATTATGTTAACTTTTCTCCTTTATTTAACAGACATTTTGTAGACCTTCAATAAATGAGCTTATTTAACTAGGTCTTCGACTTAAGCTTTGTCCAAAGTTAAACGAAACTGCTTAATGATTAATAATAAACGCTCTGAATTTTAAAACGATCAACTCGCGATAAGAAAAAAAGAAAAATGTTTTCCAGCTGATTCATTATTATGATTCATTGTTTCCTTTTACAAAACTGAAAAGTTTTTCTTTCAATCCCACTTGTAGATTTGAAATAGCCTAACACCTTTGGTATGCTTTGTAAAAACACAAAACATTGTTTAGGTTGAAATGACTGCAGGTCGACTGTAAAATTTGTGATCCCATTCTTTTGGTTTAACATTATTCATTCGCTTTTATAATGACACCTAGGTTTTGGTTGATTTGAAAATTAATATATCATGCCCAAAGATATTTAGGAATTTTCCTGAAAGCTTTAGTACAGGATGCTCCCAGCAGGATCACAAAGCTATGATTTTTTAATTGTTGAAATTTTGAAAACGATAACAGTAGTGTGTACATTTTTTCCAACAAATAATAAATGTTCCCGTAGACTTGGAAATATAGGTAGTGAAATGGCATTCACTATATAAGCCATGAATAATCACTAAACGACACGCTTTTAATGTATCTTTAAAGGTGTTGGTTTCTAAAAAAAGACTGGTGCAGTTTTAAGTTGTGGTATGAAACTGGTTTTGTCAACCAAGCTTGATTGTGTAGAATGCTTGCCTACAGTTGGGGCTTGAGTAAAACAATGATTGTCGAAAAGCTTTTAAAAAGGCAAAACATGTGTGAATTTCTCTCAGAATTATTTATATTTGGACGTGCAATATACACGTGATGTCTGTGAAAAGTTTGATGGCATAATAATTGGTGTTTTTCAGCCAACATTATGATCATTATGAATTAATTATCTTTTGAGGTCATTTCTCAAAACAGCATTTCCCCTTTGCTTTGAAGCAAACTGCTCTTACTTTTCAATTGACTTATGACAACTTTACGCTTTAAGCACCACCATGGGATTCTTCAGTTGTATTAGAATGGGCTGACACATCTAAACTGGTTTCATCAGTTTTGGTCATTTCCAAAACCTATATCCATTTAATAGACGTTTTGATCATTCACCAATTTTGGTCATTTTGGGGCTGGTGCACCATATACCAAGTGAATAGCAAGACTCAAGTTACATCACGAAGAACACAACAATAATATCTAGCCGTTACACAATAGCACAGTAGAATGATACAATAGTGCATTTATTGACTTGGTATATCGAGCATCACCCCATTTTGGCAGAATACAAAGTGACAATTTGGGAAAAAAAATAGTGTAACAGACCCATCACAACACCAGACAGTACTGTGAAATAGCCACAAAATACACATAGATCTCCTATACTGTAAGTGACCATCAGTGGTTGCTGATGAATGATTCAAACCATCGTGCTTTGACGTAGTCAACTGATTTGACCTGGAATACCTGGTGGTGGTTCTTGGGAGCATTCACCCCAAAACAAGGAGTGTTTAACTCTGCATATTTCATTGTACATGTATTGTATTATTGCAAAAAAATATTATGGTGACTGTACATGAAGTCTTTTGCCAGGGAATGTAGCGTGCAAAGAAAGTCATGCCTGATAGCCCAGGGCTAGTGGATTTTACTATCGGGCTAGTGAATTTTGTTCTTAACTTGCCGGCCTGGCAAGTGAAATTTTTTAAGGAATTCTAATCACAAAAGAACTGTTATGAACCCTCCTCATCTTCGTGCTACTTAAAATGACTCTTCGGCTATACATGCCAACTACAACTTGCCAGAATGGCAAGTTGTAATACTGACTTTCTTTGCACCCTGGGACGTGGCATAAGCTGTACCAAATTTTAATTAATGTGCTCTTTTGTCAGAGTTATTAGTGTTAGTCAACTGATGGTCATGTGGCTCAGGGTTTTAGTATGGTACTGTGGTGGGGTTACTTTGGTTTTGGTCAAAAGAAGGCAGAAATTAGAACCCTTTCCTCTCTGGGGCTAGAAAAAATCCTGTAAGGAAATTAAACCCCAGAAGATATCAAAAGATGATGTTGATTATTTTTGGAGAGTGATGAACAGCACAAAAATGTTTCCTTTGATGTGCCAAGTCTAATTATTTTGTGAGTCACAGTGATACATAAAAGATTTTAGCATAACTAAGTTAGAAAATTAATTGCAACAACCAAAATATCCATTACTCATAAGAAAATTAAACATGGGCCTTTTTTTCATTTTGTGTCTTTTAACTATAGAAAATTAATGTCAAAATGAGATACGGTGTAAACCCAATAAAAAATGGACATAAGTTGTTTGCGTGAGGTTCCCTTTGCCTTTTTGTGAAAGCAACGTGACTTGCAAGTATAAAGACCTTTTTGACATCTCACTTTACACTTAATCTGTGATGGATGGCTCACCACTTTGAGTGGAGTCGTAATAAAATGTAGCTTGTTCATATGTGATGATTTTAAAAAGAAACCTTCACTTTATGGTGTTGTGTGTGTACGTGCATATTGATGTGTTTTCTTTGTCTTGAATTTACTCTACTTTACTCTATTTTGTTCATAGTCAATTTGAGTAGTTGCATTGTAATATAACTGAAGTCCTTAATAAGATTCAAAGTTAAATTCCAGCATTCAACTCACTCCTTTTTATTCATACATTTTAATTTGAACATGAGGAAAACCAGGATGTGCTGCAAATTTTACCAGTGAAAGTAACCAAAAAATAAAATAAAAATTGAAGATTAGAAGCAGGAGGGGATTTGTGACACATTATTATGCTCAGCTCTTGGTGGAGACTATTCCAAGTCAGTTTTTTGGAAGAAGTGATAAGGTGTTGTTCCAGTAATAACAAAAAACTATTTTTGTTATTCCTTTGCAGTTTTACTGGTGATTTTTTGCCTGAAGATAGCATCAATGGACAGGTGAGTAAATTAATCAACTATTTTGTATTATTATTTTTCTCTTTCCAAAGCTTTTAGACCTTCTGTGGCAAAGTTATCTGGACTTATGCAAAGCTCATTGACACATTAGTTTTGTTTTTGTTTTTTGCTACGAAATCTCTTTCATTGTGAGGAGTTTGTTTCCTAATTAAGCTTTACGTATTAAGTGGTATTGAACTGGAAAATTCTTCTGAACCAGCACCTTTCAAAACAGCTACAGACTTGGCACTGGCAAAGACAGAAAACAAGATGGAGAACTAGACAAACAAATGTACGGAAATGCATAAGCAGCTATCCTGCGTAGCAAGTGGTTTTCTTGTGTTTTTGTTTTTTGTTCATTACTCAATGTTCTTTCTCTTGCCCGCTCCCAATCATTTTTTTGTGTAACTTCTCACTTTATGAAACATCAATGAAAAAAATGTCTGCTTTGCACACTAATAATCAAGTGGTATACGTTTAAGGCGAAAAACACTGGCTTGCGTGTATTTGTCAGATGTACATTTTCATCTGTGCTTTGTCCTTGCAGATATATCGATGTGGGCTGAGACTTGAGGAAATATCAGACCAACTGGGAAGTGCAACTCCAATCAACAGGGTACCCAACCATGAGGGAAGGAGGAACAGTTATAGTGAACTGTTAAACAGGTTAAGCAACATTCCTGTTCTTTGCCTATGTAGAGTGTCCTTGCTTTCCTGGTCAAACTTTGTGTCTGGCAGTGTGGTTTTTACTTACATGTACAAGACCATAGTTGATATTACATTTTGAGGCAGCACTATTACTTACTTACAAGCCCTAGGATTTGAAATCCCATGGACAACAATAATTTTTCAGTTCCGTGCCCAGAAATCATGGGAAACCATTGGTAACAATATTTTGGTTTGGTGAAAATTCATGGGAACCAACTTTTATTTCTTTTAATGTACAGAAATGTGTTGTTGAACATACTTCTAAATTAAAGGACATTGGTGTGTACTGTTATTTACAATAAAAACATCAGTATCTATTAAAATGTCATAAGAAGGTCAATTTAAGTGTTAAAATGTGTTGCACTAAGTGTCAAAAACTCCAGAGTCATTTAATAAAACAGGAAGAAAATTTTATTGCAATTTGGGAGTGCCTTGAAATACTGCACTTTGTGACCTGGGCTCTCATCTGAACCAACTCTGCCCTAGGGGGGAGGGGAAATGGTAGCTTTTTAGTGGAGAAATATTGTTCTTGTGTGGGGGGTGGGGCATTTGTTGTGAGTGCCATTGTGAAAATACCTGGGGTTCCCAGGGGTCAACCCCCAGGATGGCCGCTGATAATATAATTTTAAGCAAAATTTACTGGATGAGGTTTTTGTAATATTCGGAATAATCAAGTTTGTGGTAAGTGATATCAGCTGATTCAAAGGCCAAGGCTGACAAGACTTTAATACAGAGACCTCGATTATTCTGGATATCATAAAGAGTTTAAAATTGCTCCTTGAAATCATGCATTGCGCACGCAACCTACAGATAAGTCAGTTACTGACTAATCTGTAGGTTGTGCTGATTTCCAAAATTCACTGTAGGCTCTTAGAAGACAGATAGTGAGTAAAATGTATAAAAAGTCCATTGATTTTCTTTTGATTTTGTTGTAACATACAAACAGTGTTCTCCTTATCAGGCGGTAACAAGTAACATTTACTGCCTAAAGCAACACTTTTTACCGCCTGCAATGGTCTGAAGGTTTGCGAAAATTAAAGAAGTACCTTTAGCACCTAAATTTCCCATTAAGGGCAGGGTCATGTCCCGCACTCCATTACCCCCCTGCCCTCGGAAAAGTGCACCTCTGTGGTGCATATTTTTTGCCTTACCGGCTCTTAATGATCCCCAACCTGCTGAGTTAAAATTTACGGAGAACGCTGTACAAAATAAAGGGATGTGGAATCAAGTCAGTATAACTGCCTCAGTAAGTAGTATCCACAATAGAGCAATCAGATAATCTACATGTTTAATACCCATAATATATTATTTACATGTTTTGTATAGACCTAGAGATGGCTATCCACAAGCGGTGGCTGAAAACCATGGGCATGAACCTGAGTTACAGAATTTAATGCAGGTAACTGATATGATGAAAGAGTGAAGATTCAGCTTTCGGCACATGATATTATAGAAAAATTAAAGCAAGGCTGCAGATAACAGCGGATGTCACTGATGAAGGGATCCAGTCGGGTTCCGAAAGCTCTGTGTAACTTTCAAGAAATTGTTGACCCTCCCTATTGTTGGTGGTGAAAAAAATTTCTCTGCAACTAATTTGATGTTTGATGTTTGTAAACACATGACACATTGCTCTGAAAAGAGTTATAGTCTGTGGTGTTCTCTTCGCAGGGCTCGAAATTAACTTTTTTGTTCGGGAGCCAGCTGGCGACTAACGGAAAAATTTTGGTCGCCAGATCGTAAATTTTGGTCGCCAACTTATTTTATATATAACTTACACAAGAACACGATTTTATACGTTACTTTGCATGCAAGAAAAGTCACAACTGAAGAGCGAAAACAATTAGAAACAACACGAGTAACACTTAGTTATAAAGCTACCGTTGTTCTCAGGTGATATGTCTCTGGTCCGAAGGTGATGGTTGTCTCCATAGTCATTTTAAATGAAGCGAAGCATAAAACGTTTTAAGTCCGTGGTTTTCATTCTGAGACAAACACGGGTCCTTGTGTATTTGCCCTTTGCTACTTCTACGAAATGCCGTTCTTTATTTTCGACTTGCTTTCCTCAACGCCTTTCGCTGCCGACAAACAACGCCATGCTTGGCCCAGGCCTCTACGCAACCACATTGCTCGTACCAGTCTCCGACCGGGAGGAAACAAAAATGGGCTTAGTGCAGTTTTTGGGTCTTCGTTTCCTTTTTAGACAGAACGTTTTAGGAAAATAAAACCTAAAATGTTGCGGGAGTTACGGAGACACCGTATCTGCCACCATTTTTGTTGTTGAAGTGCGCCTGCGATCCCAGTTTCGGAAGAAGCCGCTGAAACAATATGGCGCGCCCTGAACGCAGTATCGACGTGTCGATTATCTTGTAATATTCAGACATTATTTTACTGGGGACGGAAAGGTGAGTTGTATACTAGCTACCATATCCGATTGATTTCCAAATATAAAGATTTAAAAACAAAAGTTGTGTCGTGGTTTTCTTTAGTCATCGGACAAAACGCGAGTCGCCAGCTGGCGACCAGTTCTGAAAATTTAGTCGCCAGTGCTCAATTTTTGGTCGCATTGGCGACCAGTGAGTCGCAATTTCGAGCCCTGCTTCGGTGAGCTTTCACACGTGCTCTCACTTAAAGAAAGGAACTGTTTATTCTTTAACGACCCACGGCAATATGCTGATTTAGCCAGGCTAAAAGCAAAGCTCCTGTTTATGCATTTTAAATTTACTGCAGACAGTGTGCTTTAAATTATTGAAAAGACCACAAATCTATGCTTAACTTTATGGGAAAACCATCTGACTGAAAAACTTAAACTTGAGTCTGCGATCAAAAGCTAACATTTGGTCTGCGGAAAACTTTAAAAAACGTGTGACCTCGATGAGTTGGCACCTGAGCCTGCCATAGGGTCATGTGACACTGGTCAACGGATACTCTGTTTTGACACCTGTCAATTGACCGTAATATGGATGTCTATTATGAGGTTAACAAATAGATTCCATGTAAGAACGTTTTCACATGACGTCACGGCGGCCATATTGGTGTTCCAAAACAATGAAACGGCAGCCATGTTGGTGTACCCAGAAAATCCTCTGGTAGTTGAACTCTTTTCTCATGTAAATGCTTTCTTTTGTTCCAATAAATTAGCATACATTCTGGCCACGTTCGTGAAAACGCCCTATAGATCACAGATGACATCAAAATGTGTTTAAAACAAAAAAGTGGCACACGAGCCGCAGGCGAGTGTGTCACTGGTGTTTTTACCACATTTTGATGTCCTCTATGATCTGTTACCGAACAGACCCATGGCAACATGGAATCTATTTGTTTTGTACAATCATCAGAAAAGAAAAAAGACCGATACCCATGCTCTATTCTGGAAAGATTAAAAAGGAAAAGAAGAAGAAGAAAGAAAAGAAAGGAAGAAAGGAAAATGAAAGAAAAGAAGAAAAAGAGTTGAAAAAAATTCTGATTACGAGGACTAATGCCTCCTATTAGTATAATAATAATAACAATGAATAATTGGATTATGGAAACTTGGAAACAAATGACAAGTGTGACTTCTGCCCCTTGAAAAAGCCTGTAGCTGCTTAATGAAATGTGTAAATTAAATATAGAGTTTTTATGGGAAGCGTGCAAATGTGTTTTTTTAAGGCGGCAGTTAGTATGTAATGGCTGTTCTCTTTCGAGAAAGTTTGTTATGTTTGTTGCTTTGCCTTTACAATACACAAATAAATTTGTACAGAAACTCCCTGGTGGATGTCAGAATTAACTTAAGTTACTCACCTTCCAAGCAATCCATAGCTTCCAGGGAACTGTTCGATGTAAACGTTAATTACGTTATGTCGGCTTCGTTGTTTCTGATTTTCTTACTTCTAGATTACTGAAGTAGATATGCAATACCCCATGGTGACCTCGTTTTATTTTCTTTGTCCCCTTTCTATTCAACATTTTAATAGATTTGTTTATTTTCCCCTTTTTCAGAGGCTCAGAAATATCAAAGAAGCCAGCCGGAATGATTTAACAAGGTAAATTCTATGCAAGGCAAATTTTATGTGGTACATTTTGTTTGTTGTCCAAGACAACCCCTTCCAAATGTCCATCTATTGAACAAAATGTATATCACTTGCCGTGAGAAGTGAAGTTTATTTTTAGCTCAATCCCCTCCCACCTCATTTGGTCAAACTTGAGTCATGCAATGTAATTCTAGCTTTTAAGTCATTTAATGAAATCTTACTGAATGTGGTCATTCTGAAAAAAAAAAGTTAATTCTTTGATCTATTTTTCTCTTAAATTCTTAGTTTGTTAATGAAATCTTGGCCTTCTTAGGTAGTGGATGTAAAGTGTCATTTGACTGGCAATATGTTCTCATAAATAAACAACATTGTTTAGTGAGATTTTTTAATTATAAATAATAGAGAATTACGGTTCAAGTGTTCACTGCAAATTTATTTTCCTTCAAATTCATGCAGTAGATTGTTACAATTTTTTTTCCAGTATCTTGGAAATGTTCATATGTATCATTGATCCAAAATCCTAGATTTCAAAAAAAGTTTAAATAGACGAGATTTTTTTTCCTCTTAGGCAATAAAATTTATTTATATAATTTTCTAAGCTAGACTTTGGTGTGTTTACAAATATAACGACGGAAGATTCTATCCCGTAAACCCCCATAACAAAACAGATTTGCATGGATAAAAAGCCGTATTGCTCTCCCGGGCAGGTGTCTCCTAGCGATATTCAACGACAGGTAGATAAGTCAATATAGCATATGATAATTTCTGACAGAAGTGTTTAAATCGGATGCTACTGTATCAGGATGTTATTTCAAGAACATCACGACCGCGATTTCATCTTTCGATAATTCACGCATGGCGTCAAGAGCTTTTCATGAAAACTGCAGTGAAAGCACGGAAGATGAAGAAATCGCGAGGATCTTACGTTGGGCCGCAGCAATGTAATATTCTTATTTTACATTTTAGCTGTTAAATTGATTTGAATTTCAAGGATTGATTTAACGATGAGGCCGTTTTTGAGTAAACAGAGCTTCAGCCAGTCGTTTGTTATTTTGAGGGAGTACACTGTGTTGTAAGACGAGAGCATTTTCGTTTCGAGTCAGATTCTGATTACTATACCTGTTGTGTTTTGTTTTTGTTTCATGTGGTTCTATGATGGTATCAAGACGGCTCAATGTATCTTTGTGTTTGTTGTTAAAGCCAACAAAAATAGAAGCTCGACTTTTTGCTTTTGTTTTTGCCGCTATCACGATTCTTAGGTCGGTAATGGTTAATAGAAAGCAAACGGCAAAGATCACTTTGATTCGATTTCTCTCTTGTTGACCTGTGTCCGTAATAATAGTAATCATTGATTATAATCGCTTCTATTTTTCTCTAAAAGATTGTAGGCTTATGTTAATTGTGAAATTCTATTTTCAAAATCTTGAAATATTCGGAAGTGATGCATGTTATGTTAAAGTAACACAGAATCGTTCTTTTAGTCGCTACATCAGTGATGACTCGAGCTAAAACGTCTTCAAATCCTGGAAATTTATCCTCATTTCAAATGTTTTTCATTAACATAACTGGGCATTTTACATAGCTAACACATTTTATGAAGTGATTTTAAAGAGTATTTTCACACGGGTTTTTTAACCTGCCGCAGCCTAGGATTTTTTTGAAAGTGGTGTTAACAAAATTGTGGGGCGAAACGATTATTTCTCAAAACTGTATCACGTCTTGAATCGCCTTTTACACATCGTGATTTTAAAGAGCGCTTATGTCTTTTAATGATTTGTGATTTGCTTGTGGTTTTGATAAAAAGGGGATAGATACAGTGGAAAAATGGGAATGTGTTACTTTTATATGACCTATAGTTAGAACCCAAGATTTAATCATTTTACTGTAAATCCCGTTCTTAAAACTAAGTTGTCATATCCTCAATTTTTTCATTATCTGCTCTCAGTTTCTCTTCACAGTGATTGAATATGTATATCGGAATTCTTCACGAAGCATGCCATTCAATATAAAGTTGTTTGTAACAGTGTTTTTTCTTTCCCTGTTTGTTTGCCTCCCCAAGGTGGAGTTTATTCGCAAAATTGATAATTTTATTTTTTTGACTTCCAATATCGCATTTAAAACTGCGAACTGATTTTTTACATTTTTTTCGTTGGTCTTGCAGAGAAGGGAACAGCACAGACGATGCAGCGGATTTTGATGTGAATTCCGTCGGAAGAGAAGACGAATACAATCGAAGATTTTCGCTGGGTAAGGTCAAGTTGGTTTTTCCATTCGTATAACGTTCAGTTGTAATGATAATTGCAAAATCGTTTAAGACGCTAAACGTTGTCGTAGTGATTTCCTTTCGTTGCATTATTAGTGACGGTGATTGGGTAATGAAGTATTATTTTGAACCTATCGCATGATATCATGTCTTGTTTTATCCGCAGGTCCGCTTCCAGATAGCGATGGTGAATTTGGGAACAAACAGGTGAATTAAAATCTCTTATTATAAACTCGTGTTGGCTCCTTTACAGCGATTTTCTCCGCTTTCTGTTACATCGCTTACGTATACCTCTATTATAATCCTAGTCGGACAAAACTAACACTTAACATATTCAAATTGAATGTCAGTTTTCGCATCGTAGACTTTTTTAAATTATTAGCTGGTGCTTTCGTGCTGTGTCGAATTTATTACAAAATGACAGTTTTTAAAGTAATCTGAATATTCTTGGAAAGCGTTCCGTTAAGATGTCGAGTCAGTTGACTTTCATGTTTTTCATTATCCAACATATATTGTCACTTTAACCGTTCTTTGTGTGGCGATATTGATTAATTGAGGGAATTTTTTAAGCGGAATTACTGTCTGTTACATGTGGTTTTGCATGCATCATAACATTAGGAAACTGACCAATCATCTGTCATCACCTAGTGCGTTCTAGGGGATTTTGTCTTGAGACGTGTGTAAAAATTACCTCAAATTGCGTAAACAAACTTTATTCAAATTTCTTTATCGCTCTATCAAAATAATCGAAAATGATTCGAGAGCCGGGCCAATACGACTGTTCACTGTATTGAGTTGTTCTTTTGGAGTTTTCGTGTCGAAAAAGCCAGTGGGGTCCAACACAACGGCAAATGTTTGGAATATGGTACTCGAAAGCCGACTGAATCTTACCACGAAACGTGCTGAGTTAATTTGACGAAAATTTGGCAGAGAGTTCCTGGCAATATTGTGAATCTGAGCATCAGAGTTTTTCCTTTTTGGTTATGGAATGTTTTGGGAACGAAGGATCACTAGAGGAGTTTTATTTGGTTCTCTTGGATGGAAGATTAGAATATTCGGTAAGCGCTGTCGGTGATTTTATGCTACTAGCGTGGCATAATTAGTGGTGAAGAAAATTAGAAGTTACGCTTTGTTACTCTTTCGCCAATCTAACATCAATTAAGTACAAGACTATTCATATTAAAAAAAAATGCGGATAATTTTGTTATCTTCCTCTTTCGATAATGCTACAAATTTTTCTGTCGTAAACCGCTGTTGAGGTGGTTTTGCGAAGAATTCAGATCAATTCCTATATCGTAGGCGAAAATCGTGGAGCAGGGGAAACCTGCCAAGTATATTTTGTTATTTTATTGCAGACTACATTATTTTGGAAAGAATTCGTTATGTGTGCCATAAACGGAGTTCTATTTTTGTTTCCTAGGGGCTTGGTGACCACGCCGAACCTTTGGACCTTCAAGAGTCTGGCTACTTCGCCTCCGAGTCCATGAGCGTTCAGGACCCTGCGTCTGAACCTCTAGAGAGTCAGTATTTTGCCAACAGTCAAGGGCCTCATGACAGATCACGAGGAAATTCTTTACTGGCAACAAGGTGCAGACGGCTTTTTCCTCTATTTGAACGGACTCCGACCCGTTTCCATTCATATGGGATTTATGCCAGTTCATGTTCTATTATTTTGTATTAAAAAGGGAACACGCGTTTCTTTCTGTTAAAAAGAAACAAAGCAAACACATAATTGACGTAGCCGTATTTAGTGAAGATTTGTGTGCCTCATCTCCATAGAAAACAAGCCCCAAGGAACGTGTGCTTTTGGCCATGAAAAGAGTAGAGTGTCCACAGTCCCCTATTTTTCCATAAGACCGTGGAGATCGAAGACCCGGACGCCCTAGCCCGTTCCAGGCGTTCAGATAGTGGGGAGCGGTGCGAGGTAACAAGGAGCCCGCACCTCTCTCCCCAGTCCCCCTCTACTTTTCATCGCTTTCTTTACTTCGCACCGCTCTGCACTATCTGAACGCTTGGAACAGGCTACGGACGCCCGCTCCCTCGGTACATTTGAAAATCAAGATGGCCGCTATTAACGATGAGACGCGCGGTATCTCGACGATCTCACGGAAAAATAGGGGACTGTGAACAGTCTATAAAAAGAGGAATTTCGGGTCTTTTTGGAATCGCATTCCCCCCTCTCCTATATTGCGAAGTTTGTATCAGTGGAGAGTATTTAAAAAAACTAAAAGCGGTCGTATTCGTGGCAGGAACAAGGTAACTCGGAAATTCATCGTTGAATTGCTTGATGACATTCGCAAAACTGATTGGACAAGAATCGAAAACCCGGGGTTAAGGTTTTTGAGGACAGCCGCGACACTAGCTTGCGAACAGCAGACGCTTTTTTTTAGCGACGACCGGAAATGCCTCGGCTGTTCGCAGGCTACCGCGACACTTGTGTCGTGCTTTAGGAAGATGCAAAGATAGTCAATGAGACAGTGCTTTCCTTAAGTTGGACAGCAAGTGTAGAAGAATACCCGCTATTCCATATTAAAGTCTGTCAATAACGTTCTTTTTCGTTTTTTTCTTTTTTTTTTCAGCCCCCGTCGCTTGTCCGTCTCTTCTACTGCTGGCCAGCGTTCACGAACCGGGAGTCACGTGAGCCGTTCCAACACAGCAGACGTTGACTCACCCCCTCCTCCCGAGGACGAAGGTGACAACGATTTAGCTTCTTCTAGTCTTCCCTCCCCTCAAACCTCTCCTGGTAGTACCAGATCCCCTCGAGCTTACTCCAGCCCAGCACAAACTAATGTGAATGACATACCCCCTCCACCCCGACGCCAGGACAGTCACGTGAGCGAAGACAGTAGTAAACGCTCGCGGGCAAGCTCAAGAGCATCTCGTTTGCCGCGATCTAGACCCGATCAGGATGGTTTGCGTGACCATGGTGCTGCTGCGAACCCTGACGGCACGTTTGTAGAACATGATCGTGCCCCTAGCAATCGCAGCCTGCCACGTGAAGCATACGTGCCGCAGGACACTCGTGGCAAGCGAAGCAATTTGCGTGATCCTCCTTGGAGCGCGAATGAATCACACGAAGAAAACGCACGCAGACCATCGCGTGTTGTCCATGGTCGTCCTTTAAGGGCCAGTGTTTCAGGCGACAGTCGTGTTTCGACTCCCCTGTTCCTTCCTGATGGAGCTCCTCGACCGAAAGAAACTCAGCGAAGGGGCAAGCAACGCAACCCGACCGCTGACTCCGAAAGAGGCTTTGACAGCGGATTTTTTGGTTCGGAAGGGAGTCGGATTTCTCGAGGGCACGAGTCGCCCGATATCCGTCCGACATTTTATCCCGAAAATAAACTTCGGGTCGCTCCTTTGCAAGAACATTCTGCTACAGAAACGGAGGACGACAGGCTTCATACGACCGTCCCCAAACATACTCCGAAGCTGATACCCAGAAATAGGGACCATAGACGGCGACGATCTTCTCTCCAATCTTTGTCTGAAAGCGAAGAAGATCGTGCCCTTGAAACATCACACGCTAAACCTCCAACGAGGACGCCTTCGTCTCAACGAGAGCGGAGGAGTCATCGGCACACTCCGACTCATCCCGCCCCTCGGTCGGATAACGAAGGACAACGAAGACTTGACGACTCTTTGCGAAGACACGCGTCAACTCCGAGCTTATACGATGACGGTGCGGGAGATAGATCTGAACAAGTCGGAAGAGGCTCAAGGACTCCAACCCGTCGCGAGAAGGCGTCGACTCCATTGAGGAGCACTGGTAAGGAGTGTTTTTCTTCTACCTATTTAAAGTTTCCTCTCTTCACTCGTTGTTTTGCCGAATGAACCGTGCAAATTATAAATTTGCCAAATGTCAACGCAAGCTGCTCGGTCCATTGGCCTCTGTGCATTCTGAATGCCGGTGCTCTCGAAAACTCCTTTCATCTTCGTCTCAGAAATTAAACGTTTTTGACACGTTTATTAAAAACGAATCACTCTTACTATATGTTTTTTACTTTCACAGTGTGGTTCTGTGTTGTGTTAGTTTATTGTTTTTATACCGACTTTGAATCTGAATTTCATTATTTCAATCGAACCCCGGTACACGTTCCCTTTGTGGTCTTTTAATTCCATTACAGTACCGGGTTAAAATTTGCCATTTTCTTTCAGTATAACATAAGTCCTTATTTTTAAGAAAAACATGTCACGCTCAGTGTGCTTTTAATGTTTTTGATAACGTGCAACCGATCAAGGACACCAGCGAACTCTGAATAAGAAAATAGTGATTAACGAGCTGTTTTTCCCTTTTGTTTTAGAAGCAAGTCGATTAATTACTGAAAAAAGCTAGGTAAACAGTTACAGCTATTGTGTGTGGAAAATTTAACTTAATTTCCGTTAATTCTCTAAATGTTACCGTTTTGGATTAATAAAGCCATTACTTACTCGCGAAAGAATCAGCAAAATTGAAATACTAGGATCTTACGGTTTCGCCTAAAAAGCGGACTTCTATTCTCCGTTAAAATTCCCGTAAATATCGCGTGTTTTCGCTATATTTTTGCGAAAGAAACTGATATTTTGATAAACAAAGTTGATATCCCGCCATTATGCGGTCTATTTTTCGTTTGAACGTTTCTTGGCGTGTTTATTTTATTACGTATGGGCGCATTCATTTACGTCTTATCTCCCAATGTGTCGGCTAGGTCACTTAAACATCTTATCCAATAACCGTGTGGATAGAGTCCTTTTATGATCCTCCTATGAATCCAAGTCTCGCGTTCTTAATCAACAGACTGTTTCGTTTCGTGATCGCAACACAGTGCACATGTTGCAAAGAAGCTTCATCAAATATTACGGTATTTTGATTTTCGTGCAAATGTTTGTCACTTTTGTCATATAACTCACTAACTAGACCGAATTAACCTAGGAGCTTCGCCTTATTTGGAGACTGGTCGAGGAAGACATTGGTTTTTGTTTCTAGGTATATTTTTGGACATTTTATTTCACAGCGAACCAATCAAAATCGAAAGATGGATATTTATTTCATGGTTAGATATTTCTTTTGATATGTGTTATTTCACAACGCTCAGGGCTAATATCTGCTCGTAATACAAGAATGTTTTGTACTGTGACTAATGCCTTGATATGTTCTTTATACGAGAGGGTCTTTTTGGAGGTAATGCTTTGATTCACTTCTTCAAACCCATCTGCTTGGCACTAATCTAAAGATTATGTACTCTTAAATTAATAATACATAGGCGTCTAACGATATTAGAACTGTTAGCAAGGTTATTAGTAAAGATATTTAGGTGGATGTGTTGAAGCGATAAAGAAAAGTAATGATGGATTTCTTTCGAGGTACTGCTTTTGTAAGTCGCGTGTACATTCTGGTTCATTAAGAAATCACTCGCTTTATTTTTTAACGGGTAATAACTCTGTTTAGAATTTTCGTTTGTTTCTCTGAACTAAAAATCAAGTTATAAAATATTTCTGATATACAGTACAAAATACTTGGGTGGAAAGTTGGTGTTATATGTGATCCTTCGGTTTGGATGTAAAGATTTGAGAACTTTACTTTGTAATGAAATATTTGCCTTTCAGCTCGGACAGTCACGAAATCGTTGTTTTTGGCTTTTACGTGTATCTTGTGGTGTCGTTAAAAATGGTAATGCCGGTGTCAGGCACATACACTGGACGCGCAAATAACCTGGATATACAGCCGTGCAATCTCATATGTAGTCACCAGTGAAGATGATATGAAGTATAATTTTCAGTTATGACTCCCTTGAAAAATAAAAAGGGAACCTCTCCTTTTACTTGTTTACTTTCAGTTTTCTCCGTCACGCTCCCTTAGAACCATCAACTTTCCATTTATTGCTGTTCAATTGATATTTGTTATCCATGAATTTTAATCCTGGATGTTGCTTTATGAAAATGATTCCCAAATATACTTTTTTATATGTTTTTTTTTAACCTTGGGGCTTTATCAAATGTTGTCAACGAATGAAAAGAAAAATAGTAATTTATCATCCGTCGTTATTGCGCTAATTGATTTTACAGAACACCAAGTTCACTTGCTTTAACATTTTATCGCTTGTGCTTGGCAACATTTCAGGTGGCTAAGTTATTTTAAAAGTGCCATGAATTACATCTCAACTTTCGTGTATATCAGTGAGTTTCTGAGTTCACATTAAAGCTTCGAATCGATTAAGAACGATAGAGCCACGACACGATAATGACGATTCTTGAAGAGTACTTCAAGTTTCTTATCACTCCTAATCTTGCCAAGCATTTTAATAATTCGTCTTACATTGTAGGTCCGCGATTAGAACAAACCCGTCCAATGGATAAACAGAGCGTGCGCAGTTATCCCGGGGACCGTGACTCTGTGCGGTCCGTTAGGCGGTCCAGAAGAGAAGACAGCAGCAGCGGTTACAGTGATAATGAGAGGAGATACCGCAGGTCAGTATGAACGTTAAACAGACGTCACAGGATGTTTTTTGTGTCTGTTTTGTATAACTAGGTAATAATTTTCCTCGCTAATTGTCTTTCTTTTGATATGTATATTTTACAGAGATCCTGTTGACAAATTGAGGAACGAATTACAGAGCTTGCAAACGCAACTTCAGCAAGAAACAAACGCACGTGGAATGCAGTCTCAGATGTATGACGATCTTCGCCGAAGACATGACGATCTCGAGCGCGAAATGGCACGACGAGGAGCCGAGCAACAGATGGCGAACATGTACGACAACCTGCAGAAAAAATACGACGCACTTGCTAGCGAAATGTCCCGAAGTAGAGATGCTGCAACAAGTCCCTCGCCATATAATGATCTTCGACAACGCGTGGAAGATCTCGCTCGTAATTTAGGCGAGCTGAAACGAAGAGAATATGACAGACCCCCTCCCTCACCTACGCCCCAACTCCTACCCCCACAACCAGCTCCAGCTCCAGCTCCAGCTCCAGCACCAACACCAGTAGCACCACCCCCACAGCCTCCAGATGTTTCTTTGATGCAGTTTTTGTGTCCATTTTGCGGAGGGTCTGGAACTCACAGCCACGGAAGTTATTTCTACCCTGGCTATTCTGGTCCACCACAGGCAACCCCTTCACCAACCACAGGGACACCTCGACCGCGTCGTCATACAGAGACGCAGACACCGTACGTGCCGCAAGTTACGAACACCTTCGTCCGTCATCCAACAACCCCAGCAGCGACTTCCACACCTTACGCACCCTACTACCATAAGTAAGTGATAAGGCTCTACCAGCAAGGGTGGGGATACCGTTTAGTATTAGTTTCCGATTGTGCCTTTGTCTCTCCCATCCCCTCGTTCGCGTTAGTGGGGAGAAACTGACTATCAGACGTTCGGATTTCCTGTTTGCATTTTCCTGTAGTCAATTTATTTTAGCAAGATCGCTCTTCCCTTCAGAAGTTCCCGCTGCATGGCAAAGAGTGCTCTGCGGGGGAAAGAGAGACGAGGAAATAAAACAAAGAATTATTATGCGGAACTGTTACGTAGAAACGGCCCCTCGTTTTGGTCATTTATTTGAGTTTAATGATTTATGGACTTCTTACATGTTTGTCTACTTCACTTGTCACCAGCCTTATTCAAGATCCTTTTATTCATTTTAAATTTGTTTTGATTAATTTGTAACCCGTTCTTTCTTAGCGTGGTTACGTCACCAGTTCATCATCACACGCACACATATCCTGGCGCAGCAACCGGATCTCCCATGGCTCCGACTACAGTTATAACCCCCGGTGCCCCTATGGTACCTGTCGAAAGGATCACTGAGACTCCCACGGTACATCATATTCATCATCTCCCAGGGAATAGGCCCCGCACTCCCAAACATCGCACTCGTTACGTCTCGGACAGCGATGAATCGGATAGTGAAGAGGAATATACTGTACAAAGATCTAGAGGGTAAGTTCATGTGATTCCTCAATTTCTGTTTATTAAAATGAGTCAAATCAATAAACGAACACATGAATATTTACAAGCGCAAGTCAAGTGGGCCTGAGCAAATAGTAGGTAAGTTAATAGTGCTCAATAGTGTTGCTGTTGACGGTGACTGACGTTTCGACAACCTTTGCGGTAGTCATCTTCAGAGTCTAAGTGAGTTGTATCACGTCAATTGATGGCATTAAACTCTGGTCATTGACCTGATTGAATGTTCAATTACGTAAGTCGCGATGCTATTGGTCGTCTGTCAGTCAAGCAGTGATGTTATTGGCTATGAAGACTCGAAATGTCATTGGTGGGGTTCGATCCGTCTTTTGTACAGTTTAATAGTCGTTTCTTGTTAGTCAAATTGTCGTTTGTCCAGTCATTCTCTCGTAGTTAGTTTTGCTCGAGTCCGTCAATAAGTCGTTTGTACACTGCTGGTAACTGTAGGGCTAACACCTGAACACTCAGCAAAAAGATCAGAGCTACGCAGCCGTCATGTTTTTTCGTGTTATGAATTTTCGACGGCAAAAAATGACTTCTTGCGCAAACTTTCCCTTTAAAACTATTCTGAATCTCCCCTTTGCTGCAGACATTCCCGACCTAGAAGCAACCTGGCCAACCGTAGCAGCTTAGGCGGCTATCAAGGGGATGAGGTGAGAAAACAGTCATTTTAAAGCCTTGTATCTGTAGTACGTACATCGGGCAGATTACGGAGGGTAACTCATTCAGTTGTTTTGGCTTGGGTGTGGAGGCTAAGATTTTGTAATTGTAATTTGTTTACCCACGGAGCGCTTAGGAGTTTTTAAGAACTCGTTGAAACGTGTCCGTGTGGTCCAGATCGAATTGGAATTTGGAAGTGTTGGTTTTTAAGGAGAGGGGAAAACCGGACTGCCCGGAGAAAAACCTCTTGGAGAAAGGGAGAGAACCAACAACAAACTCAAAACACATATGGCGTCGACGCTGGGATTCGATCCCGGGCCACATTGGTGGGAGGCGAGTGCTCTCATCACTTCCCAAGATGAACTTGGAGAGGGCACCCTCTCCCCTCTGGTGACTGAAAGATAATCTCAATATTTTCCTTGTCGTAGAGCAAGGAGCCCCAAAGTGTGACCTTATTTAATTAATTCGCATTCTATCATGCATACAGTAACCAATCAAAAGTCGAGGACAGTTTCCAGCTGGCCTCTGATTGGATTAAATCTGCACGAAAGAATGGGAATAAATTAAAAGCGGTCACACTTTTGGGCTCCTTGCTGTAAGTCTCTGAGACAGTTTTACATGAAGACAAAAATCAGAACTGTCCCAAGGGCAGATTGGTTATTTGTTGTACCAGTCATTGAGTTGATTGAGGCATTATTTATTGTTTTTTTTTTCTTGTTTTCTTTATTGCAGCTTGAGAGCCATCGACTTCATCAGTCACTCGATGTAGCCAATAAAGCGGCAAGAAAAATGCAGCAACTTTCCAAGAGAATGCTGAGCAACATCGCAACGGACCTCATACGATCGGGGAAAAGATAGCATTTGATCTTAATTTATATTCTGATGCAGGCTCTTATCAAAACTTGAACCCGTCATAGTTCACCATTCAGACGCGTGCTTCAACTTGAACCACAATTTGAATTTTAGTTGTTAGCCCTCTGGAGCTCTGATTCTAGTCTCGTTTGGAGAACCTGGTGTTAACATGGCAGTAAATAATTGTTTTAGTTGGATAGTAGCAACTAAGAAGGTCTTATCAAATTTTTATGGGAGGACGAAACGCAGCTCTATCGTTTCACAGTAGAAGGAATGCATGGAAAGCAGGCCGCATGTGGTGCCCTTTTAGTCGAGGAACAGCGCATGCCTCTGTGTCGCCTTACGGTTCGCTGCTTTCATTTCCGTTCTCTGTCAGTTTCTAGCGCTTGGTGCTTAGATTTCCATAATTTCGTAAGACTGCACAGGGCACAGAGGAGTTTAGTTTGCCGTTTCCTCCTCCACAGCCTTTCTCAAGGCTTGGTAGACAAGCGAGAAGAGCGAGAGCTGGTGACAAGCAAGAAGCGCGAAAGGGGGATAATGGGAACGAGCATAGAGCGCGAGCGGGGAGTGATGGGATGGAAAAAGAGAGAAAAGGGAAACCAGAGGTGGCGTCTTGAAATGTCGGCTATTTTCTCAGGCTAGAATCAAGGTCAAGCATAACACCTCTGCACCCTGTGGAGACCAGAAACAGAGCTCCAGACTAGCTTTTGCCAACACACAACAATTTACTTATCCATTGGAGGCCATAAGGGCTTGCAAGTGAAGCAGGAGAGTCAGTTTAATATTCCCTCGCAATAACTCGTTTCGTTTTCCCTGCTGCCAGCACTTTGTTTCTTCTAACCAACCTTTTATGGCTTAAACCGTGGTTTCACCGTTGAAAAAAAGCGGGTTCATGGGTGCTCATTCCATATCCATTTTGACGATTTATGCTTTCGCGTGAATCGTTCGTAAAAGTTAGGTATCGCTCTTTTTTCGGAATAGAACATAACGCATTGTAATTCAAACATGTTGAGGGCAGTGTTTTATTTTTATTTTCTAAAGGCAGTATTAAGTAAAGCGCTTTTATAGAACTTTATTTTATTTAAATGCTTATCATTTTCACTCCAAATATACATTCGTGATATTATATTTATTCATTTAAAGCTATTACGACGATTAATGACGAGTTTTTAAATGAAAAACAATTACGCGTGAATATAACTTTTATCCCCACAAAAATGATTCTATTGGTTTGTAAAATATTGCTGAAAATTTAGGAAAATATAAACATGTTTTTGCAATTTGATCGTGATGTGATTTTCTCGTGATTTCAAGAGGGATGGGTCCCTGTTTTCCTTGAATTCGGCGAAGCATTCGCCATTTTCAATCTTCAGCAGCAGAGTCGAAGACAGCAAAATGAAGAAATGATGATCACATTAAGAGCGAATTCGCGCAAATATCAAACAAAATCACCAATTCGTAGGAAGGCTAAAACAATTTATCAAGAATTTGTTGTTGCTCTTGGTCTGATAATTTGTAATTTCTTTGTCCCGCGTCAAACGTCGAACTTCACACGTGTGGAACCTAACGCTAATAAGCGATAGTAATAGATTTTGCTCATTAGCCTCAGATTCGGCATACGTGAAGTTCGACGTTTCACCCAGACCTTAGTGCCAGAGACTTGTAAACAAAGACTGTTGTGATTTGCATAAGAAAACAACCACCTGCATTGTTCAAACTGTTCTTGCCAGCGCACATGAGGATATTCGTCACACAGCACGCAACCAAATTTGTTTCAAATAATTTAATTTAATTTATTTCTTCTTCTATCCCGCCTGTTCTCCCCAAAGAAACGTTATCCCGGCGGCAACAACTGCAACAACCATTCCGACTACAGCACCTGTGAAATATAAAACAAGCCGGGCTGATTACCTTTCAAGAATTACCGGGAAAGTTGCATGTTAGTCATCGTCTTAGAGCGACCTCTTGCAACTAATAAGTGTCACAGCGCATTAAACTAGATATCCAGTCTATTTTCCCTTCACTCTCCTTTCCCGCCAAAATTGCCGTTCTCACAAGATCGCATTCGCCACTGATGAAAATCGTAACTTGCTCTGATTGGCTGACAGTTTTCAAGGCAAATCTATAATTAACCTGCCGGAAAACCTGGCAGGCTGTGGCGCAGGCCTTAAATGGGAGATGGGGACCCCGGGGAAAGGGTCGAGATTAAAGGAAAAGAAAGGGTCATGAGGGAAAACCAAAGAGAGGATGCTTTGATCGTTTAGTATACTCTCCCAATCATACTGTAAGAAAATAAATGGAGATGCATCTGGAAAGTAGGGCTTACAGGCAAATGGCTAAAAAAAGTGAAAAAAAATATAGGATGTTACTGCCGCAGAAGGAAGTAAAGTATACTTGCATTAGAAGTATCGATTCAAACTCGATTTGAATCTGGACACGAGGTAAACCTTCCTTTACAGATGCGTCTTGCGTGTATTACCCTGAAGAACACCACGAACGATCTACGAACTTGGCTTGAAACGAGTTATCATCTTCGTCTCTATAGATTACATGCATAATAGAGAAAATACTCCGCTACGTACAAGGAAATTTTCTGGCTCACCTATTACACGTTTTCCTATGCCTTGTTGACTTTGTTCGTCTTCTTCCGCTTCGTCTTCGCTGCCTTTACTGTCCATCTCCTCAACTAAACTCTTAACAGTTTGAACATCTGCAAAGATGACACAGTCATTAAATCAACTCTTTCGGTGGCTGCATATACCTTTAAGTGGGGGATTGTCCTAAAATTATCATTAGGACAGGAAAGTCAAGGGCAGATTTTCCAGGAAGCCTGGCTCCGGTTGTCCAGTTGTTGAATTACGCTATCCACCGAACAATAAGCATTAGTAAAATCCAGCTAGTGATCTATTATCAATGCTGCGTTCAGATTGGTTGAGCTACTACTAGGCTATATGTTATAGTCCACTCGTAGCGAAAAGCACCGGCTTTTTGGCGGCAAAAAGGGATTAAAGTCTAGCTTTAACTAGCTAAAGTTGTTTTGTCTCGATATTTTGAACCAACTAGTAGGCTTTTACTAAAACAATTATTCCACTCGCCCTCATGGCCTCTGAGTCAGTAGCCCATGAGGCCGAAGGCCGAATGGGCTATTGACTCAGAGCCCAATCGGGCCCGAGGAATAATTGTTAATTAGCGAAACCAATTACATTATCTATTGGATGGAGATTTATCCAATGGATAGCGTTATCCACCTTTTGAACAACTTGGGCCAGTCGTGTAAGTTTTATCAGTTAGGAGGTTTTTCGCGGCGAAGTCATTTGCAGCTTTTGAAAAAATGAGGTTAGAAATCAAGAAAGTAATCGGTAGAATAGAGAGGTGCAATGAATGAAACAAACTTGACCTACATATTCAAGCCTGCGAGCAAGCTCTCCTGGGGGTACGGGGGTGGAGGAGAAAAGGGGGGAAGGAAACTTCCTCCCCTGCATGTCTCCCTCCCTCGACTGCCTCCCTCCTTTTTCGCCCGGCCGCCAGAGCGCCTCGGAAAGCTTGTACGTAGGCTGTACATGTTTGTCTACACCGTACCTGGAAATTCTTCTTTGCATTCAAAGTCTTCTTCTCTTGGTGTAACGTCTAACAACTCGATCATTCTTTCTCGAGATTCCTGAAGAGCAAGGGCCATGTTAAAAAGTTAGTTTGCTTTTTGGTATCAACAAACGCCCGCTAATGTTCACCAACCGCTAAAAAAGGAACAGGGGTGTTGAGAATTTCCGTTGAAAGGAGTTTATACTTGCTTCATCTTCTCCACTTCTACTTTACACTAAACGCGCGCGCATTTCCATCCCTCAGGCGGCTTTTGTATACAGTGCCTAAGCATATCACTAATGAGTGACTTCGGGGGTCAAATTCATATTAGGGAGCTTAAGTATGCAAAGAAGTGTTTGAGCGACGCAAGTCCACCGCAAGCAGACTTTTTGCATTTTTGGGCAATGGTTTTGACCAAATTTGCAAGCAAATCGACTCTATTTAAAGAGTAAAGACACTTAAAGAAAGCGAGACAAAAATGAGGCTGGTTACGAAAATGCAGTTCTTTGTTGATACGTGTACCTTCACAGTTTCGTCCTTGAATACATAGTCGCATACTGTAATAGTTCCCATTCCAAAAGGAGCAAATAATCTTTGAGGACATGTCCACGTCGATGAGGGGGTACCTTTAAAAGAAGAAATCAAAAGAAGAAAAGCAATGACTGTTACTAGGTTCTATCCTTGTCTATTTCCAAGGCCACTATTTTGTGCGGCTTATACTTGTTTTCTGGGTCACACGATTAAAGAACAGAAGCAGCCGTTCTTGAAGTAGCCAAACCTAAGGTCTGCAAAAAGCTTTATAAGGTTAGTCTCTGAATACAGCCGTCTCTTGTCGCTCCGAGCCTCTAAGGATGTTTTGCATCAGTATGAAATGTTTGATCAGAGACATCTCTCCCGCAAAACACCCCTAGCGGCGAGAGGGGCAAAGAGAACGGCTTCATTCGCAGGCTATATAAGACTAGACGGCATTTAATTGGGTAAAAAGTTACAATTGCTGTTGAGAATTTACCTTCACTTGTGGCCTCCTCCTGACTGTCCATGATGTCTTCACATAGAACTTCACATCGTGACAGAAAACTGCGAATTGCATCGTACTTCAGAGCCTAAAATATTTATACCTAATTAATATTCATTAGAGTTCGTGCATAGTATACAAGCATGTGTAGATTATTAATTTTTTATGCCTTGATTGCATGTCCGCATAACAGGCGCTTAGGTTAAAATTTAGCCGATATCCTTATCCGTAAAGTCTAGACAGGCGGAAACGTTAGGGCATAAATTTATCAAAGAATAATAGCTTCACTATATCTTATACATGGACTACGAGGTACCTGGACCGCCTCCTTTACGGTAGCCTTCTGATGCACATAAGCTCGACAACACATATTTCCACTCATAGAAAGCGATGCCACTGCGTGGGTCTCCTCCTTTTTAGGGGAGTCATTGAGCTGGGGGAAAAAAAGGAAAATACTTATCAATCATTAATTAACTGCCTGTTTTAGCCAGAGTCCAACCCCCATTAAGCGATACCCTTGGGGAATGGCCAGTTGGCCACTCGTGACGCAGGTTGACCGTTAAATACAAGTTTGACTGGTCAAGTGTTATATAATCACTTGCCCACCAATCTTACTTCTTACGCCTCCTTCAGTGATGGCAGCCAAAGAAAGGAGTGAGAGGTCTGGGAACTTTACTACCTTGAAATTCCAAGTTGTTCGTACTTGAAATCTGGCTAACCTTACACTAGAGGAGATTTTCCCAGATTCATGATTTCCAGTTTTATTACATTTAGATTTTGGGTATTTGGATTATTGGGCATCTACACATATTTGTTCATCCTGCAGAGAGTATTACTTCAAATACAAAGAACTTACATACCTTAGCCACACCTTAGTTTGTACATTCAGAATTTCCAGACACGCAAACAAACTGGGTCGTTTTTACTTCAAAATCACGCATGTGTGTGCACACGGTAAAACTAATCCAGTACAAAACTGTTGTAGAGTGATGACTCTCTCTCTACTCCTCTAGTGTTAACATAGCCTCTACATCATGCTTGTATTCAAATCACAGTCTAAGGCTGCTAAAACCCCAGTCCATAAGCACTACTACTGTACACTACGACCAAATGTTTTCATCAGTAATATAGCATATCCATGTTACCTCTTCAGTGAATATGTCAATCTTAAATGTCTGTGTGGAAGTAGCACGGCTTGACTTCCCTGATTTTTCTCCAGGAACAAGAAGCTGATCGCCATTGATCAGCTCTCCATTCACGGTGCACAAGGCATTAGATATGCTCCGTAACAAACTGCTGATGCTTCCCTGGTATTGAAAGAAAAAGAAAAAACAGAAGTTATCTTTTACATAACAGTTAATTGGTCACTGGTCATACTTGTCTAATGATTGTCAGTTATATGGGCTGCTTAGGAAAAAAAACGAGCCTGATTTGGGGGGCGGGGGGGAATTCCAGGCTCAGTTCACCTGTTTCTTAACACTTGCCCCATTATTTGCCCTTTTTTCTCTTTAAGGTGCCAGGCTAAGTGCTTAGTAAATTGGCATATCAGTTGTTGTTTCATTTGTAAGGTTGTTGTTTTTTAGTTTAAATATTATTCGAGTCTTATGGCTCTTATATAATAATAATAATAATAACTTTATTTCTATAGCACTCTTATCCTATGTTCAAGGCGCTTTACAATCATGTAAACAACATTATTGAAAAATATTTACAAATTTACTACCATATCCTAATATATTTACAATGGATAAAAAAGGAAAAATTGAAACTAAAACAACTATTAAACCATATTCATAATGATAAAAAAAGGGAAAAAATTAAAACTATATATAATGGCCAGTGGGTAGAACGGCCTACGTTATTGCACGTTTATAGTTCCTATTTTTGTTTTGAGTTAAACATAACCAAACTTACCATCACTTGACTCTGAAGACTAGATTTCTCAAGTTTCCTTTTAATAGTGAAGTTTTTATTGCATAATGACAAGGATGCTTCTACTTTCAGCCACTTTGATGCAAAGGACTGATACTTGACTTCAGCTGGGTTGAGATTGGCCTGCAAAAAAGGGTTTATCAACCGTTTCAGTATTGCTGACAGTCAATAATAAGTAATGTCAAGTTGTAGTTTAGCTATGCAAACTATACTTCTGGTGGTGGATCAACATTTTTAGTGGAAGGGTCCAGGAGGCAAAGGCCCGCATTTTATTTTTTGGCCAAACCAAGGCCCAGATGGCCATGAAAAAGTATCCTCGAGGTGATAAATGCAGACACCTGCCCCGCTTCCCCTCCACCAGCACCCCAACTTACTGAAGGTCAGGATTTAAAAGCTACTGGCTGTTACAGTGTCTTAGTCTAGAATGAGGATACCAAGTTTGAAGTTTCACTGTTAAATTTTTAATAAATAATGTATCAAGACATTATTTCTAATTTGCTGTAAACAGTTACCTAATTGATACTGTATGGGTATTTCCCATAAAAATTGAAGTTACATTACATTATGTTACATAAAATCACATTACATTATATTACAATAGCTACATGACATTTCAATACACTAAAGGTGGATTTCCATTGTTTTGTATTTTTTCTGTGCGTAAATGAAATATAGGCAATGTATGAAAGGCCATGCATGCATGTAAAAGTTAAGTGAGGTTCAACTTTTATGTTTACACATGACCTTCCCTACATTGCCTCTATTTAAATTATTTAGGCACGTAAATTTTATGCGTCTATGCACGTAAAAATTACACGACATTGGAAATCCACCTTAACACTAAAATCCACACCAATATTAATAATCTGTTGATGGATGGAAGCACTACTTTAGACATCACTCACCCTTTGATCAGATGTGTCAATTGTCCGGCAAGTGATTCTAAAATAAAAACATCCAGGAACATTTTGATTATCAGGGAGCTACTTTTTAATTCAAATTTAGTATCAGATATATTTACTGCCAGTAATATTGCTATGGAATTAATTTACTGGACAGACAATTCAATAAATTTTTAAATATTAACACCTTCCTTCTTTCTATAAAACAGTATTTTATTAACTAATAATAATGAAAAACAAACATGAAAGTACAAAAAAAATTGTTAAATAATATTAGTTGAAGGGATAATGTTTTTGTGACTATGCATTCATGGCAAACAGTTCAATACACTGATAAAAGTATTTTTTTAGTTTAAAATCAGGAGATACTTTTTGGTTGCAGAACAAATTTGAAGTAAGATTCTGCTGTAACTGAGGTCATCAAAGTATGACGCAGGTTTGTGGTAAACAGCCTTGGTGACAGAATACAGCAACTGACGAAGCTTTGCCTGTGATTTTGTGAGCATATCTGAAGGACCAAATGCAAAAACACCGATCACATCTAAGCCTCCTGTCAACATTCTGGATACCTTTCAAAACAAAAAGAAAAAGGCTACATTGAACATGGCTGAAAGAATTATTATATTCAAACACATTTGAGGGTGGGGGCTTAATTGAGATGGGGGCTTAATTAATTTAGCAAAGACAACAGTATCAGTTCCCGATAAAGGACTAAAATACAGACTAAGTGGAAAAAGATCAAGGACAAGAAATTGGAGGTCATGCAACTGGGGATCAAAAACAAATCCAGTCTTCCAGTTAGTGAATAAACCATCCCAGATCAGCACACTTGAATTTTTACAGATCTGATTGATTAATACAGTCAATCATTCATTAGTGAACAATAATAAGGGGGAGAGGAAGGGAGGGGAAGGGAGGGGGGGGCTGAAAAGAGAGGGGGAGGGCGGCTGAATAGAGGATTTACGGTAGCATTGTTAAAAGTGAGATCTCTTTTTCATGTGTACTTGTAAATATCATATATTAAGCCATTTTGATGACAAGAAAGTTTTTTTCAAAAATGATCATGTAATTATTTATAATACTATATTGTCCTGCTTCCTTATATATAACACAAAATATAGGCTAAAGAGCTGTTTTTTTATGGTGTAGGTCAGACTGAAAAAAAAAATGCTCACTCTCCAAGATCTTAGTCTCCCAAGCAGATGTTTTTAGGGGTTTGCCACGCATTCCTGCTGCACGAAAGGCAGGATTGAATGAGGAGCCAAAAGAACATCTGTGTTTGAGGCTGCCAGGATCATTGTTTATCGATGATTTCTCAGAAACACAGTAACCATAAATTATTGAAAATACCATTGTGTCTGTAATCGGGGAATATACTTACGTTCTAGTAGGTACAGACTTTAAAGTGATGTTATTATAAAATTGTTGTTCAGCAATGACAAAACTATTGCTAGAAAATACCTGCCGAGCATGTTCGTTAATCCAGTTGTTTTCGATTTCTTCTAAGGTGGATGGTATACTCTCTGCATCTGGAATGCCATTCTGAATTTTAGTATCAAACATAATTTATAAACTAACTATAAATTCAAATGTTCAGTCTATCCTTTCCCTAATGATACACGTATGTTTTGTTTATCAAGGATAGCATTTTAGGGGCATGTGCCAGTAGCTACTATACCTGACTGCTCTGGTGTTCTGGCTAAATGAATGATATAGTCTTGCTGTGGGGAAATCTGAAGATAAAAAGAAACACCATAGATCATTTTTAATTTTGTATAATCCAGAGCAAATGCATTTTTGATACTGGCAGATGAAAACTACTGCAGTTAAAATTACTGTGTGTTGTATGTCCAGATTAAATTCAGGTTAAAATGGTTTTAACCTAGGTTGATTTTCCATGTTGATTTTCTAATTCATCATCATGGAGCACTAGGAGACAACGGCAATTTGGGACAAACCTAAGCTGCAGCCATTTTACACTTAATTTCATTTTTGACCTACAACATTTTAATGTTTAAACTGTTTCAAACAGTTGTACATCCTTTTAGCCAATGGAATGTTCCATTTTTTTCCTGACCCGGTATCTGGTCACTTTGTTACATGGTCAGATCGTTCCAAGCCAGATCGTTCCACTTAATAGTCATATCGTTCCACAATATAGTCAGAAATTTTCACAAGTCTTTAAGCCATGAGCAGAAACAAGGGTGCTACTCATGTATATACCTCACTTTTTAAGCAATAAGCCAAAAAAAGCATGCTTCACATCGAGTTTTACACTAAAACTGTGGAACGATCTGACCATGAAATGGAACGATCTTACCATGGAATGAAGTGACCGTTAAACCCTGATCCCCCCCTTCCCCACTACACCCACCTTCCTTTGGTGTCTTTGTAGTTATCGGCTGAGGATACTTATCCGGGGGGGGGGAGGGGGGATAGGAATAAAAATGGAACATCCCTAAACAGGAGAATATCACTGGGGTCATTTTGAACTTCATGTACAAACCTATTAAGACAAGGGAGGGGCAGATTGTTTTGGAGGATGGTAAGCGTATACGAGTTAATATCTCAATATATTTTCACAAGAAAGTAAAAGCGTGATTTCTTTGCCCTTTTCAGTACTCCTATGGTCTCCTATGCAGTCACCAAACTGATGACTGTAGTGACACTAAAAATGAGCTAACCTGTCCAATAACTAATCCTATTTGACACTTGTACGAGCCATAAAGAGAGGAAATATGATCTCCAACTCGTTCTTCAATTATGATCGTTCGTCCCATTTTCTTGGTTCAAAAGTTTATCATGTCCTCAATGAATATCCTCCGTGTCGGCCATATTGGTTTTCAATGAACCGTGAGGACCTGGGCCTGAAAGACCCCCTGCATTGTGCAACACATGCGCTCTCTCTTTCTCTCTCGTGGTCGCCATTTTGCTGGTAAGCGAGTGTCTTCGCGTAAATTTTCGCCCTTTTTTCTGCTGTTTTCGCGTTTACGATACTTTATTTTCAAATTAACATGTATCCCACGACGTTTTGTTGGGATTTTTTCGAAAGCTAAACGAATATCTGCTGCTTTTTGGAAGAATTCGTGGGTTTTTCTGTAACCCAGTTATTTCATGCACGTGTGATCTGTTGTGTCGAAAAAATTTGTGCCATGAATGACAATCCATAAAGCAACTGCTGTTTCCTGTAGAAGAAAACTGCATAATGTATCCCATCTTTGTTCGTCAGAATAAACCGAGCGACGACCCGATAACGATTAGAATCCCATAAGAAACGATTTTACATAGGAAATCTCGGATGAAAAATGAGAAAAAGTTAACCACTCGCCACTATGGTTAAATCAATCAATCTGGGTACAATAACTAAACATTTAGAAAGTTGCATTTGTCGCTCTAACTAATTGTTAACTAGTCTTATTGTTTACCCTTCCTCTGATTGTCAATGAATAGACCTTGTCACGGTTTTCGACGCCATCTTGACGAGTAGGCAAACGCGTGAGAAATGACAGTATTTGTATGAGAATCAAATTTCGAATAATTTCTGTAGAACGGCTGTTCTGAAAAAAATATGATTTGTAGACTAAAGCTTCACTCCAAAGGATTCTACTGAAAAAATCTGAGGGCGTTACATGTACTAGAAGACCTAGAACTCCTTTTTAAATTTCCTATACATTTGTCTGTAAGAAAGTCGCGGGAAAATTACAGACAAATATATGGAAAATCTAAAACAAGCCTCTGGAGAAATTTAAGCACATGTGCGCCCCCCAAAGTTTTTAAGACAATCCTTTGCTTTGTAGCTTTAGTTTACAATTGATATTTTTTTTAGAACAGTCGTTTTACGGAAATTATTCGACATTAGATTCGAATACAAACACTGTAATTTCTCACGCGTTTGCCTACTCGTCAAGATGGCGTCGAAAACCGTGACAAGGTCTATTCTAAAAACAGCAGCCTCCAATTATGTACCGATCAATTCGAAACTTCAACACTCGCCACGGCTCTGTGCGACAAACGCAGACTGCAGACTGCCAGGTAAACGAAGTTAACATTGTTGTAGAATGCTCTAACAGAGTTCCTATCCCTAAACTAGACTCTTAAATGACGTAAACTGTAGAGATAGGGACTCTTTTAAAGCATTTCACATCAAGGTTTTCCTCGTTTACCTGTCGGTCTGCTAGTCTGCAGTCTGCATTTGTTGCATGCCGCCCCACGGGCATACCCTGTGGTTTGGCCATTAGTTGTGCCTGGAAGTAGGAAATTTCACATGAAAATGGCCTTTTAAATTGTCCATAAATGCAGTCTATACATACTATAGGGTATATGCTACTGGTTGCTGTTATCAGCAGATTTCCCAATTGGAATATGATTAGTTTAGTTCAATTAAGGATGTGATGGCATACAATTGCAAAACTAGTTAATCTTCGACTATTTTCATGGAATATTATATTTTTCACAGGAAAAATGTCGGCTGACCTACAGTGGATGATTTTGAGGAATAACTCCTGCTTCCTTCTGAGGAATCAAGGAACAACTTTTACAAAGGTTAGTTAACCCGTGTTTAGTTTGTCAGAGTATTGCCTTCTCTGATGACCCAGAGCTCTTGGAATGATAGGGTAGCACATCTCGTTACTTGTAGTTGCTTTTTGTAACCCAAGATGTCTACTCGGCAAGTAAGAGTCCATGATAGTGAGATATAAGAAGAATATCCACGGATAACATGTGCGTTGATCAAGTCAGCATGCTGAAATGTGATATTTGATGTCTGTGGTCATGAGAGTAAAAAATTTAATGAGAACAAAGAAAGTGCAAAAAGCATCTTTAAGTCAACACCTGATAACAAGTAAAGTCAGACTGTAATATTTATCACTATTGAAGAGAGTTGGTAATTTTTGCTGGGTATTGAGCTGCCATCCATATTATTGAGATCTTTGTAATGACCAGATGTCTTCTAGGTGGGAGTTGGCTGTACTAGTTGGCTGGGGCAAAATCTTGTCTCTCATTTAATCTAATTTTGTTATTTTTACCTTCCCTTTGTAGGGGACAAATTTTTTTTGTTACCTTGTTGCCTTGTTGATTCATGTTGTAATGTAACTGACACTACACTTTAGTAGATGTCCAGCAGGAGTAGTATAACATGACAAAATTTTTTCATCTCTTTCAGGAACCTCTGAACCTCGCTGGAAGGCATTCATTTAAGCACAGTGGATTGGTGAACAAGAAGGTATAAAGGGTTGTTGTATCAGTTTAGTCATTAGGGACCTTAAGCATCGACAATGAAACGGAGGACGATGACTTTTTGCAACCAAGGCAGACTAGACCAAGGGTTTCGTTTTCGGCAGGGAAAATGAAGTTTAAGCAGTGCAGCTTCCCAGACAGACGATGACTTTTTCTTAGCGAAGAAGTTTGTCTTGCTATAGTCTTTGTTATGGCATTCAAAGACCTTTGTAATTTACATCTTATAAGCTATGACGATTAATTGACGGTGGCAAATTTATTTCTCTTTACGACCCATAATTTGATTGTGGAGGCTTTCTCTTTGTTGTGCAGCTTTTCTTTTTGTTTTTGTTTGAAGTTAAAAATGAATACCGATCTCGAACAGCTCTTGACTTGCAGTCACACTAAATTTCGGCTACCGAAGAGAATTCAGTGCTGCTACAATGTTCTCCTGTAATTGTAATCTCTCAAGGCTCCTCATGACCACGTACATCCTGTTCTGGAGTCCCCTGGAAATAGTTACCGGTACCTTTACTAGCAGCTAAAAACAACATGGGAAAATATTAAATTTTAGTACGAAAAAAATGAACATTTATCCTACAGTACAAACTAAAATGCATGAGTAAACGTAGACAGTCAAGGAACGAACAGCATCTAATCTCACGGCAGGTTCGGAAGATAGCGGAGGAAAGCTTACTTGTCTTTAATTTCTGGCCAGCTGTTGTGCCACCTCTCAAGTTTTCAAACAAACTGAACCTGAAAAATAAATTCAAGTATTTCTACTTGTTCTTAATGACAAGGTGGAAAAAGAGTGATTTACTCGCGCAAAAAGTATATTTTTATACTTATGTTTTAGTGACAATGGCAAACCTCCCCGAATTTCGTGGTCAACGAAGGTTGGACGACGTTTTGACAACCTGACGCATGCCGAGAAGGTTCATGTGGGAAAATTACACTTCCGGTCGGCGTCCCATTTCGTTGTCGATGCTTAAGGTCCCTATTGTTTATTCCAGTTATTTTGAGTATTGGCGCTCAGGTTCCTAAATATTTTGATGGCCTGTTGTGCTATTTATTTCTTTCTATGTTTCTGTCCTGTCTACAGGCAATTGGAGTTACAGCCGATCCCAAGGGCAAGGGTGTAGTCCTCACCACAAAAAAGACAAAGTGTAAGTTTTTCATGTATAAAACTACAGTGCAAGTATAGCAAGTGAAGCTCTCTGTTACTAGGTTTGAATTCTGAGCACTATGCTTAAGCTTTGTAGTCCTTCATAAGTAAACACTTTCAAGTTTGGTTGAAGTTGAACAAATTTATATGTGTATATACAGGGTATATACAGGGCTTGAAGCTTAATAATCAGAAGCACACTGTGGTTTTTAATAGTAGATTTAATTTCATTGTTATCTTGCAGATGCAAACAAGCCACCCAAGAATCTTACTAAGGTGACCCTTGCTAGCGACTCCCGTCGCACTGTCAAGACCATCAAGAACCTGTGTGGTAAGAACTTCTACCGACGAGATTTGGAAGATGCAGCAGTCAGAAGGGCATGTGCTATCCTCCGCAGCCAGAGGACCACCACTGGTGTTCAGAAGAAGAGAACACGCAGAAAGCGCAACTAAATCTGCACCTTGATGTTTCTTGCTGACAAATAAAACTGAGGACAGCAAATTTGTTGCTGTGTTGTGTCATTGCTTTGTTACTATGGTAGTATGGGGAGGAGGATTACATTTAATAGACCAATTTCATTATATTAAAATATTCTTACTTGGCTCGTGGCTTGGGGAAATAAAACAAAAGAAATACATTATTCATAATTTGCTGAGCTTGAAGATGATTTCTTTTGTTTTATTCCCCTATGCCTTGGTGTTAAGTCTGTATTTTGATATTTTGAAATTGTTTTTGGTCATGTACAGAGCTGCAAATAAATTTTGTTTCTTGAAAGGAGCTATGTCAGATGAAAAATGTTGTTGGACTCAGTCAAGGATGCACTATGATTCTTTTATGAGAATTCTGCAAGGTAGACACGGAACTCGTAAAGACAACTGATTACATCCAGATATTCACAGTAAAATGTTATTTCATTGGTATGACATTTCACATGCACCCGAGTAGATTTGTTTCATTGATTTTCATCATGTCCAACCTCTATTAAGAAATATGCCAGTTTTAGTGAGACATTTGGTAAGATTTCCGTGCAGTCCCATGCATTTTATTATGCATGCAGAACTTCCTACTCTTTCCCACAAATTATTGAAACCTGTTTGCATAATAAATGTATGGGCTGTAAGAAAATCTTACTAAAACGGATAATTTGTGAGAAACAACAACAAAAAAAACACCCTAATTGTTTCAGTCTAGGGTTGTCTTAGCCTCCCACGCAGGTGTTTTTAGGGGAGCTCGTATTTTGTCCCTCTGGATTATGAGCTCCCCTAGAAAAGCCTGCGTGGGAGGCTAGGGCTGTCTGTATGTGCTGATAATAAGAATTATTCTAGAAGGTAGAATAGAGAAATATCGTTTACTTTGTTTTTAATCTTTGTTCTTCTGGGGTGGCGTGGCTCGCGTTGCAACCTCGATCGGTTGAAAACTGGCGACAATGGGCAAGCAATGATGGGATTAGCTTTCGTGACTCATACTTAAGTCAAATTGCATTTTTACCGCAGGGCAAAAAAGAGCCTGCAGTACACTGTAAACTGTTTCCCTCTGTCGCTACGTTATTGAACACCGACAAAATCTTCGACTTATCTGAGTTTGGGACGCCAAACATCGAATGATCGACTCCTAGAACACCTTAAGCTGTCGTAGTAACGTATTGACAGAATATGTGTTGCGTAAATGACGTACTGTTGAGGTAGTGATCCTGACCAACTACAAAAATCTGTCGCTATGGCGAATATTTGAATAGTTTGTGGAAAGAGCTGGGATTAGAGATGAACGGATTCTGTGTATTTCATTATCGGTGAAAAGGATGAGTAAATTATCAAGTCGATGTTGTGCTGTTGATATGTCCTTGGGATTCATTGTGACAGTGAAAATCTAAGTGTAAATGGAGTTCTCCTTCAACGTCAATAACTTGTTACCCGACACCATCACACTAGTGGACGATAAGCTGGCACCATTCAGATCTCGGGTGAAAAATGACAGGTAAGGTTATAATATTGCATTGCTTAAGAAATAATTTTTTGAATATAGCTAGCCATGCTTATATGGAAGAAAATAAAGGAAAACGCATACACCGAGGTGTAATTAAGCTTTTCATTTTCTTTGCCTTCTAATACCTGTGTACCGTATTTACGTATTTATTCGAATAAGCGCCCGACCTCGAATTAGCGCCCACCTCGAATAAGCGCCCATCCTAAAGGCGGAAAAAGTTAATAAGCGCCCAGCCTCGAATAAGCGCCCACCCCCTCCTCCTCCCAATCAAACTCAAATAAGCGCTCACCCCCACCCCACCCACTTGAGTGAATGAACTTTAATAAGAGACTTTCCTGAGGACGGAGTTTTCTTCAGAGTACTTTACAGAAACCTTGCTTTGTTACTTCCTCGCGTTTTGTTATTAGCATTTATTGTTTTGTTGCAAAATAAACATACTTCACTTGCTGAAAATGATGAAAATTTAATAAGCGCCCAGCCTCGAATAAGCGCCCACCTCGAATAAGCGCCCACCTCAAATAAGCGCCCACTCTCAAGGTCCAAAAATTTAATAAGCGACCAGGGCGGTTAATCGAATAAATACGGTACATTGCATGTGACCTCACATTGTATCTTCGAAATTAATTCCACTTGGAAGAAAATTTCTATCCATCGAACAATACAAAGATTGATGGCTATCAGCATGTTCGAATCGTTTGTGGCATTTTTATTTTATCTGCACCAAGTTTTTTTATTTGCAGCATGTCCCCTGTGGGCCACTGTTGCCGCTGACAGGCTCATAGATTTATGATTGTATCTTTTTTGGTTTCATAACATACAAGGTCTGAATTTGCAAATAAACAGTCCCAGCTTAAGACAGTTATTGACAAGATGGGAGAAGCTTCAACAAGGGTGAGTTTGCATTTGTGTGGCAAAATTGGTTTTTATTTCAATATTTCCTCCCCCCCCCCCCCCCAAATGCTTTTATTAGCGGACAGTTAATATCTTTGAAGTACGCAGTCACGTAACATTTGTCATTTGGAAATTTTCAGGCACAAGGCTTGCGAGCCCCTATCACCAGTGCAATCAAGCTCCAGCACTCAGAACAAAGGCTTTACATTATGAAGGACCCAGTAGCCAATAAGTAAGTCATTTTTTCTTGTACTGTACCTGTTGAAGCCCTCTGTCTGATTCAATAAGGAAGAGGTAGCAGAAAGAAGTAGCCACAGAGGTGATGACACGCAGATCTATAAACCAGCATTACCAGTCAGGTGGCAGGAAGACAATTCATCGTGAACTTGCCTCCCACTGTAGAAGATAACGTGTGTAAAATTTGGCGACTGTGCCAAGGGGTATCTTCAATAGTTTTCAACAAATCACTCACAAACATGGCATCTTCCCTAATTTTAAAGTGTTGTTTTCAGCCATGTTGACGGATTTTTGCTCACTGGTCCCAGGGGCAGATCTAGGGGGAGGGTGCAGGGGGTGCGCACCCCCCTCCCCCCCTGAGATGACCTGCAGTTTTCTAATACAACTGGTATTCTGCAAAAAAAAAAACTATGTGGTTTATTGGTGTTGAAGTAGAGCAAAAGGGACAAGTGCACCCCCTCCTAAAAAAAATCCTGGATCCGCCATTGGGTCCCATTCAAAAGCTAACAAAGAAAAAAACAATATAGAAGGTTACATGTGTATATTATGAATGATTGTTCATGAGGACACTTATTTAAAGAGGATTTTGCTCTGTACCCTAGTGGGTTAGGTGCAGCTGTGGGGATTATTAAAGTTGGTCAGAAGAAACTGTTTTTATTGGTAAGTATTTACTCTTTATGCTGTGTTCAGTAAAGCCTGTTGAGAAAATGACCAACATTTTGAGATGCCACCACTGATTTCCCCACATAATGACATCCTGACATGCTGGGATCAGTTTCTGTTTCTGGGAAACTGCCCAAACACCCCACCCCTAACCGGCAATGTTTCTGCCCTTCAGTCACACGTCAGTGAGAAACATGGGTTAGGGGTGGGGTGGTGGGACAGTTTTCCAGAAACCTTAACTGATCCAAATGCTCAAGGGAGCAGAAGGAGGAATAAGAGTCAAAAAAGAAAAAAATGACTGCCTATACTCTCAGATTTAGAACCAATTAACATAGCAAGATAATCTTATTATTAACCCAGTGATCTCTCCTAAAGTTCGGTAAGTACATGTATGACCAATTTTCCCTTCTTCATTGACAAACTTGACAGAAGTGCATTTGATTTGCCAGTCAGTTATGAAAGTTGTGCTTTCTGTTTATTCTTATCTAAAAGATCCAGCTAGAATGTAATACAGTCAAAACCTTCTTCACGGACACCTGCTTAATACGGACACCTCATTATTACAGACAGTTTGCTTTGTCCCTGGGGAAAGAAAGTCCTTACATTTTCATATGGATGCCTCATTAATATAAACACTTTCCATGGCCCCCCTCAGGGCCTGTATTACACGGGGTCTGACTGTATGAATAGAGCAATAACTGACAATGCCTGTTTTTACATCAGGACATGCAAAGTGTTCAGTATGAAGTACATCCCTTGTGTGTGCTGGATTTCTACATCCATGAGACTCGCCAGAGAACAGGGTGTGGCAAAAGACTGTTTGAGCATATGCTTAAGGTTTGTATTATAGATTACTATGTAGATAGGCTTATGAGGGTTTAGTATTACTCTCATTATAAAGATTTGTGCAGGCAGGGTCAGCGGCCAGCGAGCACGATGGCCGAGTTTATTCTAGCTCTGCTAGACCTCATTTGATTTTTCTTTTTTTTCTGTAATTTTAAGGGGCACAATGTTAGTTTATCTAGACGTGCCCCTCTCCTTCCCTTCCAATATACAATGTGATTTAAGTGCTGTAAAATTTTATTGTACGTTTTCTTTCGGTGTAAATTTTATTTGTAACTTACTTTTTCACCTTATATCTAATTCTGTATTATCATCTGCTAAGGTGTCGAGAATTAAATAATTTGAAATTAAAAAAGATGTTTTCTCACTCTCATCAGTTGAGGATTGCATCCAACATGTATGTTGCTATAATCACCCCACACAGGGTGACTGTTTTTGATCTCTACTGACTTTTTCTTGGGGATTGTTCACCTATATTAACTTCGACTTTGGCAATAACTGTTAAATAACATTATTGTAATCTTGCCCAAACTTGTCATAAATGGGCTCTTCAAATGTGTTTTGCCCCTCATCCAAAGCAGGCTTGTAAAACAAAGTTCATATAGGGGCATGAACTTAATGTAAGAATACCTGTAATCTGAATTTACACTCTCTGAAAGAGCTTTATCAAATCATGGGCATAGTTATTATTTCATCCTTGCTATTTCAAAACAGACCCCTTTAGCCAGGGCACATGTTTGTACATTAAGTGGTGTCCTTTTATCCATTTATGTGGATTTGTTGTTTCTCCAATGCGGTTTTATTTTTGTTTTTGTTGTTTTCTTGCAGATGGAAGGTAGGATGGTTCACCACCTAGCAATTGACAGGCCTTCACATAAGTTTGTCTCCTTCCTGAAGAAGTATTATGGTTTAAAGAATGCAATACCTCAGGTAAGGGAGAATTTTATTAAAAGTAGTTGTACAAGTAGTAATAATAATGATAACGAATATGATAATGATAATGATAATGATAATTAACAATTATTGAAGAAGAATGATGAAGATTTAGGAAGGTGTTATCATCCTCGGCCTTATCGGCCTGGGTGGATAACTCCCTCCTTGATCTCCATAACTTTTCAGATGATGCTCAGTGTTATCCAGTAATTGATAATTAGAATGATATCAATAAAGATGATGATAACAATTACAATAATGATGATGATGATGATGATAACCATAAGATAATGATATCGATAATGATACAGATATTGATAATGATAATGATAATGATAATGATAATGACAGTAATATGTAATAAATTAATTCATCCCATTCATGAATTTGAAAATTTTCTCGTATGGCTCTGGAAATTGCGTTTTGGTTAGCTATGGTTAGGTTTTTGCATGGTCTTAAATTGACACAGATTTGACAGATGTTTACCAATATCTGCAGTATTATATATACAAACTTCAACTTTATTATGAGTATGATACTTTTTGTTCCAGGGCAATAACTTTGTGATCCATGAGCACTTTTTCTCGGATCTGGAAGGTAAGTATTATTGTCTAAAAGCAGTTTAACGACAAAGCACATTGATGGCAGTAGTGATTTAGTTACTACAAATTATTATCTTAAATACTACAGCAACTGATTCAAGCAAAGATTGTAAATGCCCCCGTAGGGATTTCACCCAGCAGGTGAAACCCTGGAGGGGTATCTTAGTAGCTCGCACATACCTAAAGAAAAGTACTTACAGTTGAAATATACAGTCAGGGTACATTTACCAGAAAAAATATCGATTTGTGAAAAACTGGGACTGCATGCAATTGTTGGGTAATGATGACGTTTCAGCGCTGAAAAATGGTTAAGGATGACGTATACCCAAAACAGGAAATGCTCAAAGGGACTTCCTGGGTTGATTTTGTGACATTCATTGTTCAGTTTGTACTTCAATACTCTTCTGCGTTATGCGTGTTGAGTGACATTCTGTGGAGCAGCTGTTTTGAGGATATTAAAGAAAAACTTAAATTTACATTTCTTCGTCTCATTTTCCTCTCTTAAACAAGCATCATAAACCCACTGACCACGAAAGAGATAATCTCGAGTGTGACCGAAATTATCTGAAATTATGGACCGAAAGACACTCGGTAAGCGTGGACGTAAGTTATAAGGGGCGTATGACTGTGTATAAGCACTTGCAGGGTTTGCCAGACGCGAGTTTATCATTCACAAATCTTTTATTGGAAACGATTTGTCAGACACATTACTGTGAGGGAACGAAAGACTCAGTCCACAAACAAGCAAGTTTCCCTAAGCGAACGAGTGAATTAAGCGAGCTAATTAGCAGACTAATGGACGATTACAGAAATTTGCCGACAATTAAATTCTGTGCTTACGTATTCCCTTTTCCCCTTTCGATATCCCTCTATTAAGCTTTTTTCTTAAAAAAGCAGAAAAGCGAAGTATTGTCCCGAATGCCTTTTTAGGTTTTTTTAAAAAATGACTACAACGCGAATGTGAATTGATCAAAGCTTAAATTCCTGGCGCTCCGGCGCTTTCAAGCCGGCTTAAAATGAACTGGATGTAAATAGTAGAAGAGAAATAGGGGGAAATTACCACTTGTAATCAAATCTTTTCTGGTATATTTTTGAGAGTGTTTGATCAAAGCTGGGTAAATCGACTGAATCAATGCATTGACTGTTGCGTCTCCTGTTTTTATCTCGCCTTCTGCGTGGAAATAGGAATATGTGGAAATTTTCGATATGAATCGGCATATTTTAAAGAGGTACGCAAAGACCAAGGATACAATTGATCGACAATATACAGAGCGGGGGCAGCTATAGTGTCAACTTTTATTAGTAATATTAGAATAAAAAGTTTGTCTTACGGTGATGCACTCAAATCATGTTTAATAGTCCTCTCAATAGTTTTTTTTTTCAACTTTTGACATGGACAAGTTAGGGAAAATCCGTCAACACCACTGGAAAGATCGCCTTTAAACTAATGGCATTGCCAAGCTTAAAAGTTGAACAAAACCGTGAAAGGGTCCATTGGAAGTGCGGCTTAAATCCGGCAGGACACAACAGACTGTTCATTAACCCTCTGTGTCTGGTTATACAGAGGGGAAGGAAAGAAGAAAGCCGTGCCTATCGCGCGTGAAAGTTCTGTGCTTTCAACTTGAATCCCTAGCAAAAGAACCTGTTGTAGATTTGTGGTGAAACTTGGTACACTGTCGTGAATAGTTAAGAAGATCGTAAAAACGTGAAAATAGGGGATCGCCGAGGTCGTTTCGGGGCTATAATACTGACGGCTACGGCCATTTAGGCACTCTCGGTAATAACCGCTCCCAACCTTAAACAGTTCATTGTTTATCCAGTTACCTTCCCAGAAAAATGCCTTTGAATACCTTAGTTTTTCTTTACTTTCCTTAGTAGGCTTATTTTAAATGCACTGTTTGACTCATTGTCTCATTCCGTAGAAATTTGTTGAAATAGCAAAAAACTGGTCATAGATTTGTGACAATTTATTTTTTCTTGTTGCTGTGCAGCTGCAGAGAGTGCGCCCCGTCTTTCGATTTACAGGTGGTGCGCACCGTCCCAGGCCTTTCCTCCTCTTCGTTGACTTCAATGTAACTATCTTTCTGTAGAAGCTCTCTTCATGGTCGCCATCTTGTTATGGAATGTAAGAGATGAACACTGCCAAACCAGCGAATTATCTTAAGCTAACTCAAGTTGCTGTTTTCTGTTTTTATTTAGCTGTTGGTTATGTGCCTCGCCGAAGTCAGCGTTTCGGTACCCAGAATGTATCTCAGCCCGGAAGGCCTCCTATTCACCCATATAGAAGAACAAGTAAGATCAGCATGCAGTGACACTTTCTCATACATCAGGGGCACCCAACGACATTTTCTTCCTTAATACATTGAAGACACTGTTTAGGCTATCCAGAGTACTTTTAGATCCGTAGAAATACATTCTAAGGGGCGCTATAAAATTTGTATCTGTTGGGTCAACTTAGGGGAACTTATTATTAGTGTTTTGAATGGAACGGTTATGTAGAAATTTTTAGCTGTCCTCAAGCTATAGAAAATTCTACGCAATATTTGCTTCTCTTCTCCGAACAGATATTTTACAAAAAACAGTCGTAGGGTGCCCCTGAAAAAAATGAAAATTGACTCCAATTCAAAGAGGACAGAGGGCAAATTGTTGTTGCTCGAAATATCTAAAAGTCGTAACTGTTCGTCCGTAGGATATTTTAGGTTGTGCATTACAATAATATTATTAGGCCAAACACACTTTTTGGGAAGTAAAAAGGAATAACAAATCCTGTTGTAATGCAAAGGAGACGTTTTTTTTTTCTACCGCAAGGATTTGAAGTTCTCACAACAGGTGTTTTTTTTCTTCGCAACAGGCCAAAGTAACGGTGAACCGTCGCTCCTGCATAAGCGCCATTCCAGCTCAAGTCGGCCAAACAGTGGCCGAGAATTTTCAGCACTTTCCAGTAACAAAGTCGAAGGAAGAGAAACGGATTCACGTGACCATTTCCGGATAAATGATTCGCTTCAGGATATTAACTTGCCTCCCCTTGTTCCCAGGCCCTTATCGCGAAACTCTACTCCAGGCTCGCGCGGCTCTTCAGCAGGGAGGAGGCCTGTGACGAGGGAGATGGAACTAAGGTAGGATGACTCATTATAAGTACAAGAACATGTTGAATTTGAATGCTTCGTGTACACTGTTTTAAGAAGATCCCTGTAAGAGGCCAGGACCAGATCGAGGTTAAAGTGTGTTTTTGTGTGCTGTTACAAAGACATGGTTTCGAACATTTTTTTTCAGCAGATTATTCGAATCAGGCACATAGGTTTCTTTTCATTGTAATTCGCCCTAAAAACGACCAAAATTTAGTGTGCGTCCATGCTAAATTTCGGTCTTCTTCTCGTAAAACACTAGAAACACTGAAGCAACCAGTTATGTTCGTTCTGAAGCATTCAACGCGTCACGTGGTTTGGCGGCTCGCGCAACTCGTTATAGCCGGCATTCAAATCGTGGAGGGTCAGCTGATATTATCAAGTCGAAAAGGAGCGTGGAAGCGATGGACAGCACCGCTGACAGTAGCAGTAGCTATCTCAGGAGCAATAGTGGAGGAAGGATAAGATCGCTGCATCTCACTTCCGCTGAAAATCCGTTTCACGGACAACAGTCAGCAACAGTGCAGATGGCTGAAAAGCAGCAGCATGAACAGTTGAGTAACATAAAATCCTTTTTCTCGTAGAAATATTCTTAGATTATCGTACAGTTCTTCCTGGGGATTCTTTTATGTTGCTAACCTTTCTAACAACTTAAAAGTCGTATTTCTTTATTTTCTGCTCTTTTGTTTTAACCAGAGTTACACAAATGGTACCATCAAATGACAAACCTAAACAGGACCACAACTCGAACGTTTCCGATAAACAACCCAGTGAAGCAGAAACTCAAAGTGGACTTACTCCATCAGGAAACTTTTCCGTCACTTCACTTTTTAACTCTCACTTTGGCGTGCGTCCACCTTTCATTGGCAGTTCATGGAACATTTTCGGTGTACCGACGTACTCCAGTTCGGCAAATAATATGTACACGAGGAGAACTAATCAAAGACATCATCCGTTTTAACCAACGAAAACGTAGCCTGCGTGGCAGGCGCTGGTTAGTTTTTATGGAGCGCGCGATGGGAACACGCATTGCGGAGAAGAGGTCTCCTCTTCTTTTCTCCTCTCCTGTGCGAGCGCGTACTCGATATTTCTCCTTTCGCCCTAAAAAAACCCGGCGCCTTCTTCGCAGGCTAGTGAAGAGGCAATCACACCTACCTCTCGGAAGTTGTATTCACGAAATGCCTTGGAAGAGTGCTATTCTGTTAATAAACACTGATTTGGTTTTTGGTTAGCTTATCTTACTAGAAGTATCCTTTCCATTCCAAACTCAGTGCTAAGTCAGATTTTTGAATTTGTTAGTGCTTTCGTCGGCATTTTGATGAAATTCCCAAAAGCAGCTTACTATCAAAAATGAACGATGTAAAATATCCGGAGTATTTTTTTAAGGAAGTGTTTAAGATATTAGCTATCAATATTTGACTGCGAGGTATGTACATAAGTGTGTGTTGTTGTTTCAATGTATAACATTTTCCCACAGTTTATCATTCCATTCATTCTAGTGTTATTGTTGTTGTCATCGATAATGCTCGTACAGATATGAAAGGTTAATATATGGAAATGACGTAAATATTGTTCACTGTCTCACTTATTTTTCTATGGGAATTTTAAGCGCCTTTAAAGCTTAGTATTGAGAAAGGAATAGTCATTCCCCTGTTCAAAGTCGCCCTCGTACTTTTTTGATAGCTTTTGGATTTGTTTGCCACATCTACAGTTTTCCTTGCTCTTGAATTATGTCCGAGTCCGCTAACCACTGACCTTGTCCGAAAACCATAAACACCGTGTAAGGGAGCGTGCAACTTGTCATTTGTTCATTAACCCTTTAACCCTTGATATCAAAATTCAAATTCCCATTTGTTTTCCCTATACCCTAATAGAAGTAGTGGGGAGAATTTGTTGAAGTATGAGTTAGATTCATTTCCTGTGGTCATGTGACCACTCTGTTTCATAAAGCATTATACTGGAAACTCAGGGCCGCCCTTAAAAAAAAAAAACGCTTTGTAGCTAGTATCAAAACGGCATGCTTGAGAGCAAAAGTCGCACTGGGACAGACGAGCTAAAGACATACGTAATTTTAAATGGTAATTTCCTTTCTTTGTCTTGTCCCAGTGCGACTTTTGCTCTCCAGCATGGTGGTTTTGTACCACGTGAATGGCTAGCCGCAAAGGGGTTATTATGGAGAGTTTGCGTTCAAAATCAGCACCACTGGAACGTCTCTGTTGCCAAGAATTTCTCACTGATCTATTTGAAATCAGTGAGTCGTTGATGGGAACGTGCATTCTTACACACTCCAGTTTCGAGTTCTTGCTGTGTTTAGTTGAACTTGACCGCAACAACTGACCTCCCGATCCCAGGGGCAAACGTTTTTATCCAATAGCAAGTATGTGACAGGCTGTTTTTTGTTTCTAATGGTCAAACGGCCGTAGTGGTCATATAGGCTGATCCTGGCTCTCGGTGAGTCGGGACGGCGAAGACTTGGTTCGTGCCTGTAACCAGTTTTGAATAAGCAAGGTTAGCATACATCGCGTCGGAATAACGAATTCCAACAGGAAAACCAAATAAATTAAATAAGAATTCCAGAGAATGTCGCTGAGTTCGTATTGAGGAAACAATTTTCCCTACGACCAAGAAAATCTGTGATTGATCGGAAATTTAGGCGAAATAATTGGAATATTTGAACTTATGGGTTTTAATTAGCCCTATCTCTTTCGAAGTAAAGCTCTGGTAATTTAACAACGATTAATCCAAGCAGTGGTTTTTTGGCCCTCAGTGTCTAGCGTGACGTCTTGAATGTGCAAAACCCGCCATATTGGATTTTTCACCAAGGATTTTTTTCTTAAATGTGCGAATCTTACAAACAATTATTTGATGAGGTTTTGTGATACCTGGAATAACTTTAATTATGTACATTGTTTTGTTCACTCACACCGTTAGCACTTACCACAGCTTTGCATTGCTCTTGGAAGTCATACAGCGCTCGCACAAACGGGAGGTCGGACACCTTATGTGGCCCGCACAAAGTAGTGATAGGGGTTAAGCACTAGGGTTACTATATATATTTGAATCTGAATCATTACTTACAGCAATTCCTCAGTGGTCTAGTGGATAGCACAATAGACTATGGAGCTAGTGAGCCTGGTTCGAGTCCGGCTGTCGTATTTCGACTTTCTTATTTCTTTTTTAAATCAAAGAGGCTTAGACTTTCATGAAATTTCGTGAGCAGAAATTTTAAAAAACTTGGAAAAAGACTAAGGGTTAGGAAACAAAGGGAGTGATGTTTCATATAAGCTTCGTAAGGACCCCGACCTACCGTAGGTCCATGTTATATCGTTACAACCTTCCAAAAGCTCGAACATCGCACTTTTGGAACACCTATATGGTCGCCGTGACGTCATGAAAACGCTGTATAGATATGTCTCATTTGCGCTTGGCAATTCGTCCCAGACCCCTTTCACTGGCTCTCGACCCTCTCTGTCGCAGTCGCAGTCTACGTGATTAAAGTGAACATTGACGTCATTTCCTATACGGTTTCTCCCTATATTTTTTAGATTTTTAGTACAAGTGCATGGTAATGTTGGATACTGACGCTGCAGTTTTACACATGGCTATGCTACGGCAATGAAGCAGCAACGTCTGAAAAGTTTGAAGGTCAAAGTGATCGTAAACAGGTTCTGAGACGCCTGATGTATTCAGAGTGGCGCCAGATAGACAAGAGGTTTATTTTGCAAATTATTGTTACTATTACTTTCCAATTAATTGAAAGATCGCTTTCATAACCTCTTGATTATCAAATAAAATTGTTTGATAATTCCCACGAGAAGAAAATTAATCATTTAGTGGTAAAGCAAGTGTGCATGTTGCATAATATCTTTAGCTGACTCACGATGGAACTGCAGTTAAACTCAAATGTAAACTTTTCGGACTGTATATCGTGTCATTCATTCATCTTTAAGATTACACTGGGAGTTATCTCGCCTCAAAAATATTTTATTTTCAAATATAACTTTCGAAAAATGAAGTTTTGAGATGTTTGGTCGGGTTCGAAGTTTGAAGCACTAGTTGCGCTAAACACGCGTATATGAGTCAGTCGCACAATAGAGATTGCTGAACAATATCAAGCCATTATTCTGGCTGCTAATCTAATATCAAAAGCAAATTTATGGGTGTAAGTGCTTGGTGACGTTATAACTCTTGGTGGCTGAGAAAACGAGTGTAATATCCTCAGGTGCTTCTGACCAATGTTTACTTGAATCTCTGCCAAAAAATTGGGCTCTGAATGTGAGGAACCGCGTTTTTCACAGTGTGCACAGTCATTCATCTTTTAATCTTCGATAATGAAATTTGTAAAAACAGTAATTGCTCACTACATTTAAACAAAGTTTTTCTTTCAGTATGTAGTGAGACGTGCTCAAATTTGAAAACGATTGTAATATAAAAACGTGAGAAGACCACGTCTTGGGTATGCTGATAAAGAAACGTTGAGTCACATCTAGATAACGCGGACTTCTAGTCCTTTCGTGTGTTTGTTTTCAGTTTCTAGGTCGGCTTTTTGAGCGTGGGTCGCAAGTAGGTTGGTATAGGCCGAGCGGGAATGAATGGGAGCGGCTGAGGTTGCACGAACTGAACGACCAATGTATCGTGTTGTATAGTGCGCGCACATCATCAGGTAAGGTGTTCTGCAAACACCATGGCTCCTAAAGACTTGGTAAAACCAAGTTCGACTTTACCATCTTGTCAGTAAGTCTAAGATAAAAGTTATGGGGTGAAGGAGGGACTGTGTGAATCCTTTCGGCGAGAATAGTAAATCGGCTTGCCCCGCTTCCGACTGTGGGCGTGAAAATCCGGGCAAAGATAAAGCGACAAAAGTGCTTGGTCTGTTTTCCTTCCTTTTCCCGCTCACGACAGCTAAATTTTGCCTTTTATGGTAATCTGGGCTTTATATTACCAACTGTTCTCACGACTTCTATCGTAAAGAGACGGATTTTATACTTTGTCGGGATTTCTTGAGCTCAACACTTAATTGGAGACCACGCAATGAAATTCGCCAAACACGTTTCTAGGCTCCAACGCTACTTTACTCGCACTACGGCAGTATTGGTGGTTATGAAGGCCCTTGCAAAAAAAATTGAAGTCGAGTTTGCGTGTTTAGAACTTGACCTACACTCGAAAGATAGTTATTTTTAAAAGGCACTTTAGAAGTTCTGGGAAACGCACGCCACGTTCACTCTCCACGTCCATCAGCGTTCGTGCTTCAATTCCCCCACACGTTTTCCCTCCCAACTGAGTGACCCTTGACTGTTCAGGTTCCCTTTTCGTGCCCCAAGAGTTAACAGTCAAGACTTGGGAATCAATCAGGTTTCTAAGCTTCCATTTAGTACTCCTTTTCGAAATTGCAGGGAACAGAGAATCATGCGTCGTCATGTTGATACAAAATTCTTAAATGTTGATTGTTTGAAACCTTCTTATATAAGTGACGCAATATAGGATCGTTTTCGGAGTGGTTTGATACGGCATTGGCAGATAATTCCTTTGCTCCAGTGGTTTAGAGCCCCGGCTGTGTGTAGTCTCCCTGCACCCAACCATCGCTATTGAAGTGCTCATCCTGCGCTATATTTTCTTTACCAATCACTTTGTGAGAATCTGTTTAGCATTTTAAGGTTCTAAACTGGCATGATCTTAGATAAGTGGTAGTGTTGTCATTTGCATCTTCTAAAAGGATGACTTTCATGACTTGACCTGTTTCAGTGTGCGTTAGTTCTCGTCAGGTCTCGGATTACCCTCTTTCACCATACATGTGCATCTAAAAGGTCTCCACGAAGTTTGACGCAACTTTGAGTAATGCTGAGAGGTTTAACTTTGATCATCCGGCGTCCCATACAGTAACAGTCGATCAATACTCTTTTTCACTTCAAACAACGGAAACTGGTCTCGAGTATCTGTTTGAAGAGCTTGCTAAAAGAAGGCATGTTCCTTGTAGGGTATACAGAGTATTACAATCGACTAGGTACTGGATTATAAATGCCACACCTACGTGCCGTAGTAAACATTTAAGATTGGGTGTGTCAACAATCTATAGATAGCCTTGTGTTGGATATCATTTCCTCTATCGGCTCCTCGCAGGAACTTCTCAGGAAGGAAGCGTCTGTATCGTCGTAGGCCTTTGCAGTCTACATGGGCACACAACATCCAAATAAGTCGCTCACAAATAACTAGAGTAGGGGATTCACCCCACGTTTTGAGACCAGCCTAAGGCCCGGGGCCTCCGGACCTAAGGTGCTCGAATCGGAGTCATGATCCAAAAATAGGTGACTTTATGGCAACTAAAGTGCTAACGAGCCCTTTCATAGGCCGCTATTAATCGTACGATATGTTTTTGTTGCCATTGTATGCCTTGATTTCTCGGATTTTACATTGCGTGTTACAGAAATGCAAGACCCGAAGGTTGAACTTAAGTTTACATACTTGTACGTGTGGTGCTTTATCTTCTTTTGAGCTATTTTGGGTTATCAGTACGTAAAAACATAAACAAAAGTTATATCAGCTGGCATGTTTAATACTTATCATACAATACATAAAAACGTTTTTGTAACTTTGGGCTAGCTAGTATCTTCGAGCACATCTTAAGGACGTGCCGTTACCGGGGACCATAAATGGATGAAGTTACAAAATTGTTTGACAGTAGCTTTTGACTAACTTCTTTAAAATTTATCATAGCCCCTAAATAATCGGCGAGAACATTCGGAAAATATTTTATTGGTGAATAAGTAAAAAAATGTAGGTCTTATTTAACACACTTTTACGCCCCACAACAGAAATTAGTCAAAAACGCCAAACCACAGGAAAGAACCTTGGCGATTGGCGCTGCAAACTGTTTGTTTTTCACTAATACCATGAAAAGACGTTGGTACTTGTCACTTTTTTCACGCGGTTTGTCTCGTGTTTGCAATTTCTTTTGGTTTGCACGGTGACGCTTTGTTATTGGCTGAACATTTCGCGCTATTCCTAATCCAATCAGGAGTAAATAAAAAAAAGAAAAAAAAAAACGGTAGTGATTTGGTCGCACCCTTATTGTTTTATTGGATTTTTTCCCTCTGTCGTGATCGTCCAAGGCGATTGTGATACTCCTTATTGAACAGTACCACCTATCGAAATGACAATGAAAACAATTCCATCTCGTTAAAGCTGTTTAAACGGTTCGCAGTTGGCGGTCAATGGATTGCAACTTTACCAATTTAAATCAAAGTTTTAAGGTCTGCCTGTTTGTCTTTGGAGAATCAGTTGGTGCAACATTTTCCGAGGACAGTTTGGAAAGGGGCACGAAATTTGTGACGGGATTTGTGAAATTTGTGTGCCAATAAAATTTGTGCAGCCTGAAAATCTGTCTCTGAAAAGTGGATGTTGTGGATTTTTTTTCCTGCTTTTGTATTTTGTAGGGGTATCAAAATGACCACATAACGCAAAAAGGAGATAACTGACGCACGCAGCTTACAATTGGGGTTTTAATGATCATTTGGCTTAAAAAAGAAACTATTAAGACTCCTTAACTAGGATCTTATTGTAAATGAACTTCCGTTAGGAAATTGCGATTAATGTGGTCTATTTTGAGTATCTCCAGCTTATGTAATATCTTTTGCTATTGCCGGGCGAGGTGAAGCCAACCTTTTACCCGCTGTAGTTATTATTTTTTGGGTAAGCAACAGGGCAGAACGATTAAGCGTAAAGAAGCGCGAAAAAAAGTACTGGTGAAAATTTATGAATAAATGCAAATCGAATAAGGTTAAAAGCTTAGCTGACTTAGTAATTCTGGTTATTGCCTGAAGGCCGTGCAAAAGTTCATGTCTTCGTTGTTTTGTTGGCAGGTGATAGTGAGGCATTGATCTGAAATTGAAATTTTTCTCTGAAAAGCAAATGTTTTTTCTAAAGTTGTTTATTTATTTTTTTTTTTTGAGATCTCAGCATATAAGGAACGAAAAGAAAAGCTTCTCGTTTTGAGATGTTTGGTACACTATTTAAGTGCGCAAAGACTGATAACACTTGTCTCTCCCTTTTTTTATTCATGTTGATGGTGTTTGAAAATATTCTGGTATTATCTAAATAGACTCGGCTTCTCATTTTGTGGAATGTACTTACCAAGGCACAGGCAAACAAATTATTCACTCACAGATTATGTATCAGGATGACAGTTAATGAGTCTTAACTGAAATCAGCAACATGCATGGAACTGGTGTCCGTTCAAGTCACGCGCACTGACCCATATTAGTTTGAGTCATCCAGGCCGTCAAGGGCTTCCTTATACTGTGCTGAAACACACAAGCAATTAGCAAAAAGATAATAATGGCTTACTGTCACTGAAGCGTTTCGGGTCCAAATTTCTTGCTTGTGGTTGTTCTATTTCGTGTGACTCATTTACCGACTTCCTCAAAAAACTGAATTGCACGCATGACTTCTAGGCTGTTTCTTGTCATTCTAGCTGACCTGTTTTTCAAACAATTAAGGAGAAGTAACTAAAAGGGATTAATAACATTGCAGAGCATATTTCAGAAGGTGTGATCCATTCATTTCCATCGTAAATGAAACAAGTTTACACCCTTCAACTGTTATCTCCATTATTTTCATTGTTACTTGTTTTTTTGATCACGAACGTCGTTCACTTAGTCATGGTCACTCATGTCAGTAACATTTTTCAAGAAGTTGGTCTGTCAATATTGTCTGGTTACGCGAGTTTACCAAATTATGTGCTACTTAAAAGCAACGTAGCATAGTTTATTGTTCTGACGTAAATCGCCCAAACTAGATGATATACCTATTAGAAAATTGGACACAACTCGCACACCAAATATCTCTGTTTCCAAAAATAATCTTGACGTTGCAACATGGCACGTTGCTGTGAAGAATTTCTGGCGTTTTAACTTCTTTGTATATGAAATTGCACTTAACTTACTATTCTTTGGAAAATATTTCTGGAAACACTTGGTCGAAGTTAAAGACCATGAAGTGTTTTTTTTCCTGTAGAATTTTTTGCCTCGCTGCTCACCTCGCGTGGCATTTCCGAGGGTAACACAGTAGAATGTAGACATTACTGACAGAACATCATTTATTCTAAACTCCCGTCTAAGAGCATTTGTCAACGAACACAAGTGTACGTGAAGGTTGTCCTTTCGCTATTTACAAACAAACCAGAGTTGATACGTTCATAGAAAATCAATATGTGCCCATTTAGATCTCGTGAGCTAATGGTCTCCTTGCAAGAGCCCTTTAGGTTTTAAAGCGATTGTTCCTCGTTGTCTCGTATCTCGTAAAGATTCGCTACAACTGTGAAAATTTAATTAGGAAGAAAAACAAATCGGCCTTTATTGACTCATTAGCTTCACTTTTCCTCTCCTTTGATTTTCAAAAAACTTTTGTCTCAAAGTTCCGCGAAAAATTAACCGCTTAAGTATCTTTGTTCGTCATGCCTTTCAAGAAGGTGATTAATAACTCAAGACGGCCAAAAGGGTCACGCCAAAAAAATGCGACTACGCAACTTTACAAAAATCGATAATTATCTCCAAACAAAGATCTGTCGTGTGATTGGCTAAATCGCAATAAACACTTAGAACTATATATTCGTGTTTCGCATAAGAATGAACTTTCGATATTGACAAAGTGAACCAGATTGCAAGTAGCAAAATCAAAGAACGACGTGGTATCACATGGAGAGAACGGACTGTGGTCATCATTTCTTTGGCAAATAATTCACGTGTTCCCAATCTTGGTTTGCTCAATGGTGGCAGAGAAGCTTGAAGGATGGCTGACCATTTTAAGTAAGTGCCTTCACAGGAGACAAATTTTAAACGGATATATGTATACCGGTACGAGTTAACTCATTTTGAACGATTTACTTCCCCCGTTTTAGCCGACGATGGAGGCGAGTGGCTCAACCGGTTGTGTGTTCTGTTTTCAAGCGAAAAGAAACTAAGAACGTTCGTTGACGACATAGTAAGTAGTGGCTGATTTTGTTTTAATTGTACGCTTTTGCTGAGGAGTTGAGTTGGTCTGAGGTCATTTTTGCATATTTTTTAAGTGATTAATCTTTGTTTTTGTATCTTTTGTAGGAATATCTCGATTGTGCCCGTTTTTTGGCAGCTACCACTAAAATCAAGTCTAAACTTTGCGATTCTCCTGAACTTATTGAGAATCCAACTCATGAAGGTAAGTTTTCATTCACTTTTTTTGCAGGTTTTTAGATTCCCTATAAGTGCCTCTCTCGTTTGTTCCGACAGGCGGCAGAATATACAATACTGTTTTTGTGTCATTCTTCCCCTGTGTGGAGCCGCTGTATCTCAATATAAAAATGGCCTAGTGTTGGGGAATTGTTGATACCAATTCGCGGGGAAACTTTGACGCTTGACAACGTCTGTCACTTTTCTTCCAACCGTGAAGCAGTTACAGAACTTAGGGCACTTGCGTAAATAAACATAACACCCATTCTTTTTAAGGTAGTTCCAGGATACACAAAGTGTTCCTTAAGGGCGTTATACAGACGTTAACTAATGCACAGTAGTCTTTTGTGGTAGCGATTCCTTCAATCGCAAGTTCGTCCTACGGTATTTTGCCCAGCAAATGACATGTTGGCCATCGTAAAACGATTATCAACCGGCGTTTAAATATGTTCAGTGTGGTTATTTCTACTTTTATGAGGACGAATAATCACTTAATCTCAAATTATGCTACAAGAGAATTTTGCTTTTTTTGAAAATTAACTGTCATGGAATAAGCTGCCTTGTTTGAAATACTGATGACAAAAACAAATTCTACATAGAGCGAAATTTCTTGCGGCTTCAATGAGGTCTTTAGCAAGTCAAAGCAAACCGTGCCTTTGTTTACATTTGCGGACTTAGAAAAGCGCTACAATAGGCTTTGTTTATGAGGCACTGTTTTATAAATATTATGATAGCTGCTTGCAACGGATTCACGAAAATGTTTCTAAGATTTAGAGGCAGTATGTGCAGAGAATTCTGGAAAGTCTTTCAAAACCAGGCACTATATATGGCCTCAAATGATCATTTATGCCCGTGGGCTTTACGACCGTGTCGCCCCCTCGACTAATTACTATTGTTTCAACAAATTACCCCTCTTTTACAATTCCTATTTTGAAGCTTTTGTCATCAAGATGATTAAGAAGAGCCGGAGCACAAACTCAAGGATTTTGAAATTTACTGTTTCGGGATTCTTGGTAATGAATTTTTGATAAAATTGACCCCTTGGCTAATTTTTTTGTAATTTTTTTTGGCTTTACCCTTTTTAAAAAGCGGTCCTATATTCACTTTTATTCTCCCTCAGTTTTTCACTGATAGCGGTTTTTGTACTCGCTATTGTCGATCGCGTTAATGTGTCATTCAAAGGCACCGACTGAACTAAAATTCCTTTGATGTTGCCGCCGCGAAACCATGGCCGTTCACGTGAAGATCTCTTAGCTGTTGTCCGCTGTTAGATTCCCCGTAAAAGTTTGCAAGTATTTGTAATATTATGGATAAATGTTTATTCTTGATACTTTACAGAACGCTGACATTTTTTGGCCAATATTGCTAATTTTGTTTATTCGGCTTATGTCGTTTACAATGGCCTTTTTTTCCACCTTGCCCGGCTCGACTAATTGTTTTACGAAGTATTAAACGTTTGTTTGTTTGAGTAAATTCATTAACAAAAGACTGAAATCTGGACGGAAGACGAGGTTTCTATGGTCATTACTTCGCTGAAACGAAAGCGTGATTAAAAATCAGTTATTTGTGTAAAAATAATGTGTAACGATGTCGTGAAATTTGAATCCTGTTACTGACTTCACCTGAGTAGGCCCTGGAGACGAGTCACGTCACGTTGTATTTACCTTTCCAGTACAGTGTGGGGAAAAATCGTCTTTTACAAAGTTTATTGAAGTAATTTGTGCTTTTTCTCCTTGTGTGAGGAATTTACCACAAACCGATTTTTAAAATAGAGACAACTTGCGAGCGAGAATACGGTTGTTAATTCAAAGGTCTTTATTGCCTAGTTCCACCGCACGTGCGGCTAAACAAATTAACCAAAGTTGTAAAATAGAATAAATATTGAATGGCACAAAAATTAAATTTCGATTCTGCGGTATATTAGCAATTCTGTTTGTCGGTACAATTTAATGTTTTTCCTTAAAACTTGGGAAATTAGCAGGAATGGCAACAACAGTGACATAATATTCTTGTGAGAAAAGCGACATTACCCTAGGGCACCTTGTACTTTTGAAAGTTGTATAATATCTCTTTTCCTCTCCAAATAAGCTGACTTTTTAGAATTCCAAAATATCCCTTGAGTTTGGTATTGTGAGTTGAATTGCGTGGAAACGAATGTTTTGAAACAAAGTAGCTTGAAAACACCTGATAAAGCACTGACTGTGAAGTTATTGATCAATAATTACTGGAAAATACAATTTTTAAACTCTTGCGGCGTCACTGTCTTACAGCAGAAAATTTATGTTATTTATTTATTTTCTTTATAGTATGTTGCCATGTTCCTTACTGGATATATTTGTATATTTGTATTTAACTTTTAAATTCTATGGTGATGAAAGCAAAACAAAGAACGAGAAAATTTAGATCTACTGAAATCAATTGTTAAATTGTTCTCTGACTTTCAGTTACACCGGGATTTTCCTTAAAACAAGCTCTCAGCTGACATAGAACAAAACACCTTTATAACCTGACTATCGTAGATTGAAATGAGTTTTAATAACGGAGGTTGTTATGAAATTCATTATCTTGACTTCTGTGTAAAACAGTACAACCTGTCGCTGTTAGAGTGTCCCAAGTTCATTTCCATCGGTAGTAATGTTATTAAGAGCAGTAATAATTAAAACGAATAAAAACAGAATGGTTGGCTGATTGCCCTCAAAGAATTTTTTTAACTCACAGCGCTTGTAGATTAATTAAAATCAATTTATTACCTTTGCCGTTAAAATAATTCTTTTCCGGTGGTCAGATGATGATGGCCCAGCTTTCACGGATCAGAGAGTTTAAACCATCATGAACAAAGTTAAATTTCTCATTTGAAGTGCAACCTGTATCTATTTTGGTATTTGGAATAAGCCATTAATGAAATCAAGGCTGAAGGGACAGTTCGCTTTTTTTCCAGCTCACCTGTTAGTTAGCGGCCTCGCTCTCCGCCTTTTTACGACGAATCCCCCACAAAGAAAGCGGTCGGAAACCCTTCAAATTTATTATGTAAAATCCGAAAGGTAATTTCTTTTTTATTGTAGATCTTAGTGTATTATGTTTTTTTGGAACAACAATTTGATTGAAAACGGCGAAACAACAGAAGAAAGCTTTGGCTCTCCATTTACGTGATGCTTCTTAGAAGCTTTGTCATGTCACAAAAAGGTGACAATTCTCCGCTACTAATTATGGATAAACTCTTTCCGTACTGGCCTTCTGTATCTCACGTGAAACTCGTGTGATTGCTCCTCGTGATTTTTGTAGTTGTTACCTGTCCTAAAAATAGCCTAATTTCTATATATAATAATGTACCACCAAGATGGATCTTTCAAGCACAAAGTTGAGATGCAACTCTTCTCAAAGTTTAAAGAAATTGTAGAGCAGGTTCAGAGCCACCTTAATTTTTCGTAACTCACAGTTTTGAAAATTCCAATCGATTTCGAGAGAAAGGAGACCATACGGATTTTTGAGTGATAAGCACCACGGGCTGAAATTTACGATAAATCTGTTGCTGTTGTAAATTTGAGCATAACGTGTTTGCCAATAATTTTTGGTATTGTTTAAAGCGAAGTTCTTATTTTAGCATCGACTGGAAAAGACTAGTAAATTTGATTCGTCAAAACTTGATTGCGAGTGCTTGAACATGCTGTAAAAGGCAGCTTACATGAAATAATTCTCTCAACAGTGAAACTATAAACAATAAACTGAGGTTTGATATTTAGATGCTTGAAATGGCAATGGACATTGTTATTTGCTAACCCATCAATAGATCGCTCTAAAAATGAATTAGAAGAAATTGTCAAGTCTCACACATACAAAAGAGCAGAAATCTCATAAGGGTTTGAGATGCTATTTAGGCAAAATCTGGTTTAGGTCGATATTACAGAGTGATTTTGTTCTAAATTGTTTTTGTTTTCGTATTACATCGCTTAATATCATGTTCTAAACTTGGGTTTTACTATGGTTTAACTTCCTTTACATTGTTTATTTCGTCAATTTGTTGTTGTAGGTCTTTCCCGTGTTCACCGTCTGCGTCTTTCACGCCGGTTTTTCTCCGAAGATTTCTTGCAAGGAGGTCAAAATGGCACCCGTTCTTCAAAGTTGAGTGTAAGTTTTCTATTAAGGGATTACTAAGGGCGTGTTCGATCGACCATACTCTGGAATACTAATAAATGGAATAAATTCTAGATATCACTTATTTTGGCATTCATTCAGTGCATTGCAGATAAAAATAGTTCGCTCTATGTAGCGTTTAAGTGGTTAAAAACTAACGGCACAAGAGATTTGCAACAAAACTTTTGGATCATATTCTTATTCCGTAATCGTCGTCGAACGCACCCTTAATAACGCATAAGATAAGAAATACAGAAGGGGTTATTTTTCTAAGAAACTGGGCTGCTGTGTCAATGGGGAAGTAGAACACTGCTAGCGGAAACAAATACTTTCGTAGAGTGGTACCTTCTGGAATTCCGCTAAGTGTATCTGTCTTGGCCCGTGTGACTGTTAACGATGCGGGATTCTTCACTTGAAATTCGTCTGTCTCCTTGCCCCAGCTCAGCTTTTTTTCTCTTCAACGCTTTCAACTTTTGACTACTTTTTAATCGTTTTACTCAACGGTTCCAGGAGAAAGTGAGAATAGAGGTTGTCTGTATTGGCCATACATGACTCAACAAAAGAACAATTCGTCATAAGTTATTTTTAGATCAAGCTCCAAGTGCATAGTTTTTAAGAGGGTAAGGAAATTGCCAATTACATAAAAATGCTCGGCTCTGCTCATGGGTCATCCAAGTGAAGATTTATCTCAATATCTAATTTGCTGTTTGCATAACCCACTTGGAATTTCTCTGTCTTCCATTCGATATGAAAATATGAGATATGTCTGGTGGAAACATTGTGTTATTTCTCGTGGGCTGCAAAACAGACACTTTTTAGTCAGTTGGTTGATAAGGCTTTCGTAAGATATGAAGAATTATGCAGATTTAGCAGATATATAGCACCTCCGAGTTCTCCATAATTCTTCGTTTCGTTCTTATATAACTTACTTACTTCTATGTTAAAAGTCCGTCTTCAAAGCTTTTATCAGATCTTGGCAGTTTAAGGATAAAGGTGTCTGTTATTCCAGATAATTTCATATAGCAGTTTATATCCGTTGATTGGTATTTTTGAGGCAGTAGTTCGGCTATTTCGTCTTCCCATAACGTGTGAAATCGTCCACCATTTTCCTTAGCTCTATATGCTCTACCTCTTACATCCAGTCGAGTAATGTACGAATGACATCAACTGTAAATTAACAGCACATTTTCGAAGCTGAGTGTACTGAAGTTAATGTTAGGTGTCTTTGGACGCTAGATGGACAAATTGTTGCTTTTGTCGTTGTCTTAGCCCGCGTAGTAAGCGTTTCCGTGCGGTTTCGGAGCAAAGAACGAGAAATGAGTGTCGGTCTTTCTTTGCTCCGAAACCACACGGAAACGCTTGCTACCCAGCCTATCGTTGTCTGGAAGTATAGCTGAAAATTGGAAAAGTGGAAAGATTGATCGAAATCTGGTAAATTCCTCGTTTCTTGCAACGCACCAATAATTTTAGTCTCATCGCAAAATTAAATTGACTTCTAAGGTGATTACAGACTGCGTGTCCCCTGGAAGGAATTGCTTACAATTACAATATGGAATCCAATGCAGTATACAATGATTCACTGCAGTGTCGTGCATGCAGCGCATACAGTGCTCATAGTCTTAGAGACAGCCATTCTGTCAACATATCGCTATTAGGGACCTTAATCAGAGACGACGACGACGGCAGTGAAAACGTCTCTAAACATGAATTTGCGTTCTTTCAAACTTAATCGCGTCTATTTGGACCCGCTCAATATGTCAAATGCAGGCGACTTTTCCTGGAGTTAAATTCGTAAGGATTTTATTCAAGTTCAAAAAGAGGAAGGAAAATTCGTCGTTGTTTGTCCACGTTCTCCATAAAACGTCAAATTAGGAGGTTTCACGTCGTAGCGTGCAGTGGACGTCAAAGAAATGTACTAAAAAGCGTGATGCACGTGCAGAGCTGTTGTTTTGATCATTAAACCTATTGTTTTTTGAAGTTGTCGTCGTCGTCGTCGTGTTAGTTGCTTAAGCTCCCTAATCATCCTGTTAGCAGAGTCTTCTCAAAGGTATCCTCTGCTCGCAGAAAAGGATCAACATAGCTATATCACCTTGATTCTTGGTTCATCACATCACGTTCCCATGGGAAACTACTAAAATATCAATAACTATGTTTCTGAATTATTATTTGACGTAAAACACCAAAGCAAAGTTCTTTAATGAAGTTTCACTTGAATGGTCACTCTTGCGGATTTTTGTCGCAAAACGGTTATTCTAACGAAGTATCTCGTTTAAAGAAAGTAAGTGGACCTCCAGAACTTTTGTATAAGAGTGGTTTATTGTAATTATTATGTTGAACTTCTGAAGTTCTATGGTTTGCTCACCCTCTTGACAGTACAATTTTCTTAGATCCTGCAGTTGCCCCTAACGATGTTTCTTTGAACAACTTTTTAACAAGAAATCTAAAAGTGTGACTGGTTTGGTGGACTCTAAAATTACCAAGGGAATTAACGTTGCGTGTTCCCAGTTAATAATTTTGATTCCAGTTGCAAATTGCCTTTAAGCGAAACCATTATCTTTGGAGATAACAGTGGTAATCATTGTCAGTATTATTGTGATACAAGAGGTGTGTTCAGGATGTGTGAGCTTAAATGCAAAATTACCATAATCTAATTTGAAAGAAGCATTGATATTCTTAAGCTCTCTTTTGTTGACTTCTACTTTTTGTTCTCTGCGGGTCATGAAAATTATTCTGAAAGTAACTGACAGAAACAGTCTGTCTGATAGTCTGATATTGAGCTGTATTTACTGAGATCCTCCGTGGTGACCTAAAATGGTCTAACTTGTTTTGTTTTTGATGGTCTCAGTTACCCGGGCTCCAGAGGTCCGTTCTCGAAGTACCTAGGATGTAGACGTAATCTGATGATGTATTTCTGATCATCAAAAAGCCTTTTATTTTTATTGTTTATAGGAGGATTGATTTTGATTTTTGCTTCTGTTGCGATGAAGTTTCAAAACAGCGCTTTTTTAATCTCAGCAATTGGACTAACCCTATTTTTAAGCTACGTTGCTGATTATTTTCATCGGTTGATAAGGATATGTTTCTTGAAGGCCGTTAAATAAGGCTGTACCCAGTACTGAATTAGCGCACAATTCTTCAGAACTTTCGTCACCGACTATAACCACTTCCTTCCTTAACAAGCAAGCCAGTGATTCGTAGCGTAACGCAAAAATAGTTTGTTCATTCAAACACCTTCATTTATAGAAGCTGCTGCCGTTTTGTCTAATGATCGAATGAGATAAGACAACAAAAGAAACAAGAAAGCGAACATCGGATGCCATATCAATTGCTCACGGTCGCGGGCCTGGGGTAAATTACATATTTGTCAGCATTTTTCATAAACAGGCGCGGCGTGAAAATATCTCAAGGCAAACATTAAGAAGAATTTGAATCGCTTCAATAGTTAAACGAGAACGCGTTATCCTTTGTCCCTCCGTTTCTCTGCTTCGCCGTGCTAACTGCTGATTTTTGTGGGAAAGGACTGTGAAAGATTTCCATCGAACTGACACTGCATGTCTAAGGTAGGTAGTAGTAAAAAATTTTCAATAAATTGCGCTCGTGACTAAAGATAATAACTTGACTTAAGTTTACTTATTTCTCTTTCAAGTCAGATCTATAAATTACAACTTCAGACACGTGACAAGGTGTTTTACATTTGCCAAATTCAGTTCGACTTCTGAGTTCGACTTTTGCCCTTAAAACGAGTTTTACTCATTCGAGGTAAATTTAAATTGAGTAGCGATATATTCGGGCATTTTGTTTTAAGTACTGATTTAATGCAGGATTGACAGAAACTTTTGAATATCGTCAATTTTAAAACTTTGTTATTTGAAGCATTTGTTCAAGTAGAATGTCCTCATTTCTGATTATATATTACAGGTTATGTCAAAACGATGCCTATATTTGTATCTTTTCAAATCGAAATGTAAGAAACTCACATTGCGTTTTCTGACTGTAATTATTCAAGTTTCTTATGATAGCGGAAGAATGCAAGTTGGGCCAATATCGCATTGATATACTGCTTAAACGTTCTTGCGGTTTTCGACAAAAGTCACCCTCTGCGATGTGATCAATGGGTCTGATTCGGCTCCGCTTCGTAAAAGTCTTGTGGGTTTTGTTCGAGAAAAACAATTAAATCTTAGCAGTGCTTTTGCTCAATGTGAAAGGGAGTTTAGGCGCCAAAATTCAGCAGCTGTTACTTTATACACCTTTAAGGGAAAGCTGCATTTGCCCACAACCTTGAAATGAAGGTAAATTAATTCTTTGTCAGCTCCACTTGCAAAAAACTTATCATTGCCTCCCTATCAATTTTAACAGGTTTGCTTATACAGTTTCCGATGCTTTCTAGCATTTTCTCTCAGCTTTCTGAAATGCGACTCAATTGTTATCAAAGTATTCCGCCAACTCTGAGGGGTTATGAACCAAAGTATGTCTTAATCATTCCCATGCCACAATCTTAGTTAGGAAAAGTGAAAGTTCACAGTCACGGTACCTGATATAGAAAAGTTTCCGCTGGTTCTATTTCTGAATAGAGTGGGGTTAAAAATATTAGTGGTACTGCCAAACGATTACTGATTAACGAGGAAAATTGTTTAACACAAATTATTTATCCGTTGCAGGATTTTTCCAAAAAAATTGCCGATGGAATAAGGTCTCATCGCTCAAGAAGTTTGTTTATTCCAAGAAAGGTTAACAATGACGACGGGTAAGATCTCATTGAGGAATCATGTACTTTAATAACCTCACATATATTGATCCTTTCAGTTCCAGAAATCCGCAAAGGTCAAATTCGACAAAATTTCCAATTCTCGTTTTCTACTTAATGCCGAAAAAGCTAACATCACCTTGTGAGCGGGGAGTTTTCATTTGAATGTTCACACTGCAAGATTTCGTCCACAGACTCAGAAGTTACAACCACCTTGCAAAACTCCGTCGTTCACACTTTGAGGGAAAGGGTCTAAAAGTTGTAGAAGTAGATGACGTCTTCCCTTAAATAGCTAATTGTGAAGTAACTTTTCCTTTAAGTACACGTCTAGTTAGGGGTTCGGGGTTAACGGAAAGTTTACTCTTTTTGACTATTTTCTTCATAGGAATTCCACTAAGTCTGTGTTGAATGTTTTTAACGGTCTATATTACCATGCCCAATTTTCGCGTCTTTTCGTAGAAAAAACATTATGGTGAAGTAACGTAACCAAAAATAAACGGTTATGAAGGGTGTGTACAGAATGTTACAGTTCTTGTTAAGTAATTTCTCTGGGTTTTCGGCACAATTTTGAGTGAACTTTCTGAACGATCTATTCCATGCACCTTACTCAATTTTCTTTCTCGTATTGTTTATTGAACCTCGTGCGATAACACTGTTTGTCCTGGTCTGGAATAATTGGGATATCAAAAATGTCACAGCAAGAAGTGCTTTGTAATCTCTTTTTGAATGAAGTAATTGTGCATAATAAGTCAAAGAACATTGCATGATAGAATGGTAAATTATTTAAGTTAATTGCCTTCATTAAAACGCTGTTTGTGAGGCGACATTAATTGACCCTCCCCTCCCATTGGTTGTTGAATCTTTTAGTATTTTTTCGTCTTTAATAAACTGAACTAAGCGCGTATACAAAAGCTGTGCAAATGCCGAACAAAACCGGCTTAATCCCTTTACATTGTGATTGCCCCAAACATTATTCGTTTGAGCGGGTGGTATTTCAGATATGTTTGTAAAGTTCAAACGACTTCGTGTGGAACATTTTGCTTGGAAATGTTATCTACGGTTGAAAGAGTCAAGCTGGATAGCAATGAGAAGTAAATGCGGTAATTGTTCTGACGGCAGATGTAATGGATGACTCGCAGCTTCTAAAAAGTATGCAGATGTCAACGATCTATGTGTCGGAGGCTACCCAAGCGGTCAAAGCAATCACACGGTAGGCCGCAGTCGACAAGCTGGTGTCGTCTCGGCTACGACCCACTCTAACGAGAATCGGTTGCATAGGCTTTTTCCTTCTACAAATCGTCTTTTTGTTGCCAAGTCGCTGACAGCATAGTTAAGTCATTTATAATCTGGACCCAAATTAGCTTTAATTTATAACTAAGTCTGAAAAGCTATAAATCAGTCGAAGAAATTCCATATTGGCTGTTTTCTTACCTAGTGCATTATTCCAATATATTTCGTATATTTTCCTTTGAGTTGACGTAATCTATAGAGTTAAGGCTTGAATTCACATGATGCACTTCTTTGAGTCAGCCGGCGTGTGGACGAAAGGATGTACATTTATGTTTTTACAGTGTTACATATGCTTTTCGTTGTTTTCAGCATATACTCTTAAAGCCATACCAATGGTTCTTAGATAGCCTTTTTTACATTCCGTAACATTTTAACCCTACAATGGAAGCAGTCTATTACCGTTTTTTCTGCTGTCTAGAGCGCATAAAGAAAGTTTGCTTACTTTGTTTGATCTTTCAAGTTTTATGTGGTGATGTACTTGTGTGCATCGAGCAATTCCAGGTCTACAGTCAAATAAAATTAATTTATATTCATCCATAAAAGTACAAGTTAACCTTGTAACTTATATCGTAATACGAAGAACAAACGGTCATGTAATACTTTTCCAGCGCTTGGAGAACATTTTTCTAGGTGTTCAAAGCTGAAATGATTTCTGCAGACAGAAGTGTTCCTAACTGTACCCCAAAGAAAACTTAGAGATCAAGTTATGCATAAATTAGCCATTATTTTGATGGCTTAAGTTCTTAAATGTCGCCGATTCCATTTGTTATTTAATTTGGCTCTAATATTTTCACCCAATTAGCTGCTTGCGAGAAATCATTTTTAATTTTATCCCATTCGTTTATAAGTTAATTACTTGAATCATTCATCGGTCATTTGGCCTCTACGACAGTTGTATAATTATCAGATATTTGCGGTGACAGCTAGCTTACTGTTTGGTTATTAAAGTGAGAGATTACTGGGCCTAGTTTAGTGTGCGATAGTTAAAGAACGGCGCTGGATCATTCTTTTAACTCATCATCCCTCATTTTCTAGCGGGTTTTTAAGCGTTAGTCCACCGCCCATAAGATGGAGGTCGCAGGAGACATTGGATAGCAAAATGAAAACAACAACTGTAAGTGATCCATTGTTTTAAATAGTACTTCTAGAGCAATAATACGTTATATAATGAATATCTACTATGCGATGATCTCTGTTGCTGAGGTATTGTATGAAGTCCAACCGGTCTTTTACATCATTTATAAACTCTCTGTGGACCCAGAGACGCCAGAGACAGTTAAGTGAAATAGGCTTTGAAAAGTGAACTTTAGTGCGGGTAGCTTCGTTGCGCTGGAGTACGTTCTAGTTCAAAGCCACGTTTATTTACTATTGTAGCGTTATAGCGATTAATTTGGTGTCCTATGTACTGTAGGCCTTACAAACCGAGATGTAGCTTAAAAATATGTGGTAGAATTAACAGAACAGGAAGCAAAAAGAAAGAGAAACACAGAGAATAAATAGCTGGGAGAAGTTGACTGTTTGTTTAGTCAAATTTCCTTCTCGTTGTGTCTTCCATGTCGAACTGACTATATATTTGAGACCATTCAGATACCTAAATTTGATCATGTTTCTCACAATATCTATGAAAAAAGAGCTTTTTTTTGGCTTTGATGTTATGTACTGGTTAAATTCGCCTTTGCATCCGTAAACATGAAAAGGTAATCTCGGAACATTCTCGGAGCAACATATAGTCCGCATAAGATATAATTATCATTAAGACCTGTTAGTGGTCATCATTGCCAGTGAAAATGAGGTTAGATGATCGATTTTTTGCTCGAGTGATTATATTTCGGATTGTCGTTGCGCGAACCGTAGAACTTTTCCGAACAAAGATTGCGGTCGTTACGGTTTTAAATTCGCTGGACCATTTTATGCCCACACACCAATGGCAAACAAACACAATTATAAAGGACAGAAAACGGTGCATCTCTGTTCTTTGACGAGAAAAGAAGTAAACACAAAGATATGTTATTATTGGAGACTCACGCGAGCCTTCGGCCCATATAGGATGAAGAAATGGAAAATTTACCTCAACTAGAATATATCAAAAACATGAAACAGCTAACCCTGAAAAGACCGAAGTGGACGAATTTCGACAATCTTTGTAGAAACAGCTTTTATTTTTGTCCATTCGTAGAATAGAAGTAAAACTCGCGGTAATGTTTGTTGTGGCGTGTCGGATTTCATGATCGATTGTTTGAACAATGCACAGGGTGGACGAAAGAGGTCTTTTGTATTCGAATAGTAATTATATTAAATGTTGACACCCCGGTCAATTTTTGTGGTACATTGAATTGCTGAGGGATTAACAAAGAACAATTTGAAAAGAAATTTGACGTTAGGAACCCTTCAGCTTTTAAAATTTCGGGGATTCCTTTGTTTTGAATGTTTCCAGGTTGGACAACGTAAGCTCTTTCTTTTTCGTTTGTGGCAAAAATTGTATTCATTAAAAAATCATTCTGTTATATTATGCCTCTATTTTGCTGCCAACGCAGTGTCGGAAGATAAAAGAATTAAAGTATAGTGCATGAAACCGCTCCCAACTTAAGTTCTGCTGCCAACCATATTTAACTCCAATGGGACAAAAATCGACTTAAAGTTCTTAAATTAATTCCAAGGAAAATGTTATTCAGCAGTTTTTCACTTAGAATGTCACCCCTAGAGGAAGATGCTATTTCAATTAAAAAAAGGAAAATAATATTGGAAATGGACCCTCATTCAGGGGTAACGCGCTTTAAATTACTATTACCTGAAAACATAAAGACTACATAAGGATAAACAAGACGGTTTAGGAATTAAAGTTGGAGTGATAATAACTCAGAATTTTTCTCGCTATTCCTTTAGTAAGTAATGTTGCGCCATTGTATCTTCAAAATGAAAAAACAAAAAGCAAACTGCGGTGATAAACATAAAGAAACATAAGCGCATTTCTGGAAAGAAAAAAAAAACTTAAACTTGACGTTTCGTATGTTCCAACATACCTCTTCAGAAGTAATAAACCGTTGAGTAACAACAGAAATTAAATGTAGAATAAGTAACTGAAACGTCAAGTTTAAGTCTTTTTTTTTTCCAGAAATGCGTTAATATTTCCTTGTGTTTATCACCGCAGTTTGTTTTTTGTCTCTTCTTAAGCTAAGATGGCCAAAAAACAAAAGTATCTACGGTGTATCTTTGTTCGTACTGATACACATTTTGTTCTTGAGACGAGATTGTTTGTAAGTTGTTGTTAATTAGTTAATAACGAGGTAGTTAATTTCTAGCGTTAAGAGATCAAGCCATTACTTTAATTTCTTAATTTCGTTTTTAAACAGGACAGCGTAGACTTGTCCATCAGTGGTCACGTGACTGTCCGTCCGATCCATCCCAGCATTCTTTCGAGGCAGCACTGTTTTCAAGTAACCACGCCTCATGAGACCAAGTACTTTTCTTGTCGAAGTTCCCAAGAGCTGGAAAAATGGGTTGTAAGGTAAGCAATAATCATTATCTAATGCCATAAAGGTGTAAGGTGAATCAGTACACGCGAATAAACTGTTGACTGCTCTATAGTCTGCTTTTCTTTTCTCTTCTTTTCTCTTCTTTCACTTTCCTACCATTTCTTCCCTTGTTATCTCGCCTTGAGTTACCCTATACCCTCCAGTTATTTAAAACAGCCCTCTCCATTGTTTCTTTTGTCGGGGGTGGGGCTGGTGAGACCAGATCCCGTTCCTTAGGAGTTCACAATGTTTGCAAGCGCATGTCACCAATTAAAATGGTACATTTGTGATTTTGTGATGTTTGCGCTGAGGATTATTGCGCGACGATACAACTGACTACTGCATACGGTACACTACTAAGTAAATTATACCCACTCAAGCTAAACTGCTTGTGGAATTACATATGCAGCGTAACAAGAGTGCTATGTTCACGGGAAAAAAATTTGCGGGTTGTGTTTTCCTAGAAAGAAGACTCTTCTACCTCTGCATCGACCTCAAAAGTCTAAAGTGACATATCATTATGCTAAAAAGCTTAGCCAGCTGTGCTAACAATGTCTATACGTCTGCCCTTGACCTATTTATACAACTTCCTCTGAAACGTTTTGATATCACTATATTTTTCAAGTCCATTAAAAAAATTGAAAAAATCCTTATTTGGTATTGCTACATTTTATACCTATATTTTTATGCAAATTTTCTGACGATTTCCTGTCATAAATGAAACTAAAACGAGAGCTTTCTGAGGCATAAATAAATTAAGGAAAAAGTTTTTCTGTATTCAAGATGGTATTTTCCTGGTGTACTCCACCCAGATGGATACTTCCTTATTAGCGAAACTTAACGTAACGAAAGATGTTGACGTCATTTGAAAATAAACACGTCTCTACAGACGTGATCAAAAGTAATAGTCACTGTTTATACTCAACCTGCGTGTGAAAATAAGTTTATCAGATTGAAGAATTATTAACATGGTCCGTTGGCAAAGGGTGTACAACAGGTAAAATGCTTTGCTTTTTTTACCCTAAAAGACGCCAATCTGGTTAAATACCATTTTCGAGTAACTTTTTGTGAAAGAACACTCTATCGAATCATGATGTCGTTATCATTTTTATTTAATTAAATAAGCCAAGTTACAACTTTGTAGGCTTTGAGTTTTAACCATTTCTGAGAGTAAACAGTAGTTTGTTTATTCATTTATTAATCTATTTTGGTAGTTTGTCGTTTATGTCTGGTTGCAGTTTTGAGATACATGTTGTGATTCAATTTTATCCTTGGTGTAATTTTATTTCCCTTTGATTTAAACTCATTACCATACATTATCATACCCCAAAACAACGGGAAAGATAATTTAAACTAACGATAAAACTGAACCACAACATACACAAAGGGGAAGGCGTAAGAATGTATGAAATATATTTTTTTATTCACGTTTACACAATTATATACATTTCATGTTTATTTTTCTATATTTTTTCGGTTTCATAGCATCAAGAAATCGATCCAGCCGACCAGAGATATTCAGTACAGGACAGATATTGGTTTAACAGTGTGGATCGTTGAGGCCAAGGGGCTAACGGACAAATCAAAACGACGGTAAGGCGCTCAAAGAACGTTTCCAACCGGCGAAGCTATTTCAGATTCAAAAGGCAACGATGCGAATACTAGGTTCTCGCTTACTTGAATAATTTCAGTGTTCAATTTAACTGATTGACTTTATTGTCGTTTGCATCAGCTGTTTGACTATAGTTGTTTACCGAATCGTGTAGAATAAAAAATGTGCGATGTATATAGATATAATTCTTGTGTTTACGTTTGGTTTATAAGTATTACTATATACCTGTAACATCAATTATCATTTGTTTCCAGAATTCTAGTTCTCGTTATCTGTTACCGAAAGGTCAATTCAGAGTTGTTTTGCCTCTAAGAAATCGAAAAAGAGCTGGGAGATTTAGCTTATCGGAACTTGTTCCACAGTTATTAAAAATTTGCTCAAGCTCCACTTTATAGTTCAATTCTGCTTAGGGCGGTGTCCGTGACGTCATGCTTCAATTTTCGTGTTAGTAACGCCCGCTGATACTTCCGTCCGAATCGATTATCAGAGTCACGACCTTGTAAAACGACAAGTAAGGAGAAAATTTGAATGTGGTTTATATTTTAAATGAATGAAATTTTAACGCGGCTGTGGTCTGAAAATGAAGAACATTTGGTCGTACAATTTTAGATTTTCATTGTCCATTTTTTACATATTCCGGCTAATATAATTATTGTACAAGTTGTATCCTTAAAACTTAACACTTAACACGTATTTCTTGTTTCGTTTCGTATATTTATTTACTTATTTTGAACTTTTAGGTTCTACTGCGAGTTGTTTTTTGACAAAGTTATCTACGCTAAAACATCGTCCAAGCCCAAGTCGGACATTTTGTTTTGGGGAGAAAATTTTGCCTTCAAGTGAGTAAAGTTTGGACTAACAGTGATGAACATCTAATCTTTCTTTAATGAAGGGTAGCAAATTGCTCCTTTATTTTGGGGAGAAAATGTAATTACAAGGAAATATAGTGGAGGTTCAACTGATATGAAAGTGACGTTATATTACGTGGCGTGACGCAACGTTACGTGAAAAGGGAAATGGTTACCAAAAATACAATGTGCTAATTCTGAAATAATTTTTTCATTACTTTCATTTTGATTTCTTTTTCTAAGTGTTGCGTTTGATTTTTAGTGATTTACCTGAAGTAAAGACCGTAACGGTGCAAATTTACAAGGAAGCAGATGGCAAAAACCGGAAAGAGAAAAGAAAGCCTATTGGTTAGTATGGAATTATATCTTTGATTATTTTACCTCGCTAATTAACATACCAGGTACAATCGTACGATCCCACGCTCGTGACATGCTGATTATTTCATCTTCACATTTGTTCACCGAGTTTAAAAAATTACCATCTTTTATTCTTTCGCCATACAATCGAAAGGTTGCGATGAATCAACTTTGTCAGTTTATCTTGAAGTGTTTTGAAAATGAGCTGCTTTTCGTTTTTCATTTCAAAAGTGGCCTTAAAGTAAAGGCCACTTCTCTTCAACGGCCGCTTTGCGCTGCATCTACATCTCTGCAAAGAAGCTGTTGTGGTGGGTCGACTGTACTTTGCCTATATAAGTCTTACTTTTTCTAATAAAACAGTATCTTTGGGAGAACCCCTTCTTCGTGTATGTAGATGCTTCTTTTGTGCTAAGATTAACTTTAAAATTTTATCCGTTATCTCCTGAAGGATCTGTAGATGTAGCAGTGGACTCGTTGGAAGTCGGTGTTGAAGTGGAGAAATGGTATCCTGTTACTATGGAGACCAGCAAGACAAATGGAGGAGAAGCCCCGAGCATCCGACTCAAGTTTAAATACCAGGTAGCTTTTTATTTTTCTTGGTGTTTTAGTTAGCGGTAATTTTCCCGAAAATTATTTTCAAAGAGGCTTCTGCATTGTTCTTGCTGCATTGTTTGTTGCTCGTTTGTCTATAAAGCCCCGTCAGTCCACGCTAATGCGTTTTCGCAGGAGCCCATAACCCGGAGTGTGCAAATCGCACACTTAGCCTATGCAGTGGCGTTTTCACAGATCAGTTTATTTTTAGCATCATTTTCGAGTATTTTTCCCGCGAAGATAGAAGCACCGTTCCGTATGTGTACACATCCATACTACGATAATGACGAAAAGAAAAAGTAAATGCTATCAAAACATCAGAAATACTATTTTTGCTAAATGATTTGCAAGACTTGTTTTATAGTCAAAATTCGCGACTAAATTGATCTAAAAATAAACTGGTATGTGAAAACGCGATTGCGTGGCCAGAAGGGTCAGTAGCTCGCTTCGGGTTATGGGCTCCTGCTTTTCCTTTGAAAACGCAGATATTTGGATGCGTTTAGGCCTTCTGTCCACACTATTACGCTGAGCGTTTTCATCGGAAATGTATCGAGTTAAAAACGCTCTTGAAAGTGGATCAAAACGAGATCGCATATCTATCGTTTCAGTGTGGATGGTCGAAAATGCATAAAAATGAAGACGATGACCAAAAATATCGCCAGCGCGTGTGTTTAGCATGCGCATGAAGTTCAACTTACGTCATACGTTCAGTTCTATCGTTTTCGAACGTTTTAGTGTATAGACAGTCGAAAACGCGTCAAAACGGTAGAGTGGACGCGAATCGATGAATGCTTTTTGGATGACAACGAAAACGCATTCTTTTGAAACGCATTTAGTATAGACAGAGACTAAGACATATATCTTAAGGTTAACAATTATTATTTTTTCCTTCTAGAAAGTTTCAATCCTGCCCATAAAGTGTTATGATGAATTGCGCGAGGTAAAACTATTTGTTTCAGTTCTTTTAGTTCTATTTTACTGTAATGACATATTCTTCGTTTAAAAAGGCTAGGTTCCTTAAAAACCCAGCCCTCTAATATTTAAGTGTATGTTTTAACAAATTTAAAAGTCGGAATGGTTGAGATTTGGAGAGAATTTTACATCTCTTATGTGATGTGTGTTCTGTGTTAGTATTTAGAGCGTAACTACATGACAGTCTGCCAAGCCTTGGAACCAGTGGTCAGCGTAAAGCTCAAGGTAATCGATAAAAAAATTATATTGCATTTAAATGATTGCTTTTTGCTGATGCATTGCAATTCCCCACTCGATAAATTGTAAGGGGAATCAGGGGTAAAAGCCTTTGGCGCAACCATTTGTAGGATCGTTTGGGTGGCTTATTGTTAGTTATGATTGGTCGATGTTATTCAATACCACGAGTGATATTTGAAAATTGTTACACGTAATTTCACGAGCCGATAGGCGAGTGAAATTTGAGACAATTTTGAAATATCAGGAGTGGTATTTATGCCAAATATCAGGTAAAAAATAATGTTGTTAATTGTTTATACTACTACACGCAAAAGGTTTGTAATTTTCACATGTAGGTATTTCAAATTAAGCTGAAATACCACTGCTCTAAGCCAATCAAATTGCAGAAATTTCTCATGTAGTAGTATACTAAGTAACGCTTGTCCACCCAAAACGAGCCCAAAAACCCTTGCGCCGAAAACTTGCACCCATTCCCATTACATTTTCTGGAGTGGGGAATAACGGAGTAGCGTTAGAACGTTATGTCAGATGAAATGTTTGCTATCATTGAATTCATGATTTAGTGCGATTTTCAAGGTGCTTCAGTGCCCTTGTATGGTTCACCAAAAAAATGAATCACCTAAGATTAATCAATGCATGATTGTACGTGTAGCGTCTCTTGTTATTGTCTCCCTTTTGACCAAATAACCGCTTTTTCAGGACGAGATCTCTCGAGTGTTGTTAAGAATCCTTCAAGCTAGTGGCAAAGCAACGGAGTTTCTTGCAACTATTGTTATGGAGGAAGTCAAGAATTTGGGTAAGCCGTATGCCGAGTTTTAATTCTTTTTGTTTTGCTTGTTCTAGTGAACTATGAAAGTTTGCTTAAATGGATGTATTATTTTTTTGTCTCACAGAGGATGAAAATCTTGTTTTTCGCGGTAATTCCTTTGCGACAAAAGCCATGGACTCCTACATGAAAATGATTGGTGAATCAGTAAGTCGGCAGTGATTTATAAAAGTTAAACTTACCCTTGAATTCAGCGTATATTTCCGTATACCGGAAAACTGACAGAAATAGTTTGAAAGAAGTCAAGACCAGTTTAAACAGATAAATATTTAGCAACATATTATATAGACTTACTGAACATTGGATGTTCAGTGAAACTCCGCCATGCGACCATTTTTCTCTGATCAGAGCAAGAAGTCTGGTCTAAAGTCTCGTTAAGAAACGGCCATCCATGTATTCATTTACGACAACTACCTTCTTAACTTCCCAAACGTTCTTTTCTTCACAATCAATTAATCAACCAATCATTCAATCAATCAATCTCTTGTAAGTTGTTCAGAGTACGTAAATGAATTTTCTCGTGATATGTGCCAAATACAACAAAGGTTTTTCATCCTAAGGCACAGAAACGCTTACTACACAATGCAACACTACCCCGTAAATAGGCGGATTCCGCTATTACGACCAAGTTTCATGGACTATCCGTGGTCTTGTTAACGGAGTTCCGGTATGCGTATTTTTATCTGACATTTGATATAATTTTTTTTTTGTTTTATTGCAGTATTTGCAGGAAACACTCGGTGACTTTGTTCAGTCCGTCTATGAATCGGAAGAGGAATGCGAGGTAAAATAATTGAAGCACTGTTCCCAACGACGAAAACTATGCTATGAACAATGCCGGTTAACCTGGCTGATTTCTTTAAAAAAGGACCTTGGGATTAGTTGATTAGTTGAGGAATGAAAAAGAGCCTTGAAACCCGGAACGAAGAAATCATTTTTCTATTGTTGGTGGGTTTAGTCTCAAAGCTTTGTGATGACTACCATAACGCAACGCTAATATAACGTAACATAACGTAACAGTACCCACATAACGTTACGAAATTTGTTTAATAGGTAACAATTTCAAAAGTGTTCCGTTAATACTCGGTAAAAGATAGCTCCGTGTGAACTGCTTACCTTTGTCAGTGAGGACAAAATCTAACACAACACTGTTCTTTTTTCTTAGATCGATCCATCAAAAAAGACCTCCGGAAATATTGAGTCTAACAAGGAGAACTTGAAAACGTTTGTTGAGAAGGTCTGGAACCTTATTATGTGTTCGTCTTGCTTCTTTCCCAGGTAAAAAGTTTGAAAGAAATATGTTTTGTAACTATTCGTGTATGTGTTAGTGTATCTCCCGTTTTTTTGCTGATTTTGAAGATGAGTCGCTTGTTTTGGTTTACATATACTGGAGGGTCCTGTAATTTTAACGTTTAGACAAGGTATCTTTAAATAGCCGTGAATTTGAGTATTTGTCCACCAGCCCTGCGATGTGAAATGACTCAAGTTTGCTTTCTCTTTCCTCAGCGACCTGCGAACGACTTTTTACGAGTTCCGTCGTTGGTGCGAAGGAAGAAGCAAAGATCTGAGTACAAAGTTAATCAGGTTAGTTATTGAAAAAACTTTTAGCTACTCTACCTTTCTTCAATTCTTGGTCTCAAAACCTGAACGCGAAAAGAAAATAAGGATGTGATACTAACAAAAACGTTTTTCTTCTTTCTATGCAGTGGCTCCATCTTTTTGAGGTTTTTATGTCCTGCTATTCTCTCGCCAAGTTTGTTTCATTTAGTACAAGGTTAGTGATTTTCGTTGAGTGTGAAGAACGTTAGTCTCTTGGCCTCGATGATCAGTCTCCCACGTCGCGCAAAGTGTTGCCTGACGAGACAAAAACGGCTGCGGGGGAGTCTAAAAGAAAGTACGCTAAATTGACGGGAGTATACCCAGTCTTTGCCTAGTAATGAATGATCAGTTGAAAAACGTTCCTATCTAGATCAAATGAATGGTGATATGCTTAATTGGCCTTTGAATACCAGCCATGTTTGGTCCTGAAAGGATCCTTGCATAATGAGTGAAAAGTCGGAGAAAACGTGTGTTTTCATGAAGGACTTAATCTAGTGTTCTTTGTTTTTAGAATATCCAGACGAGAAAACATCAAGAGCCTTAACTCTGATTGCTAAGGTGATGCAAAATTTGGCCAACTTTACGAGGTAACGACATTTTCCCATACTGTCTTTTACTGCCGTTAAACTTTTCCACACTTACCTTTTTAGTTAGAGCAGGGTTCAACGTCGAACTTTACACCATGTTTAGTGACTCTTATGCTAGTGAACAAAAGCTATTGTCGTCTCTCACTAGCATTAGGTTCGTCCCATGTGAAGTTCGACTTTTGACCCTGGACTTAGTCCCCTTGTTTGATTTGGTGTGAATTCCGATGTGGGGGAAGGTGATGGGGGGTAGGAGGTATTCACCCGGGGGGGTACTCCCTATAATGGCCTTTATGGAGAGGCTCCGCTCAAACGGGGTACGTTTTTCAGGCTTCAGGTGTATGAAAGGATACGGATTTTACCAGTTGACGTGTATATAGGGGTAGGAAAGTCTGTCATTTCGGTCTGTTAAAAAGCCCAAAAGGGCTAACAGATACATTTAATGGCTGTGAATAAGTCGAGAAAACGTTCTGGTTTTGTGATTTACTTATATTTTAAAGACAGCGCGTTTACAGCGGTTAAAAGGGATGCAAAGTTCTACGAAAGGGGTAACTTTTCTGTCCAAAATGGTACAGCGTAAGCCGTTGGACCTCAGGACGGAGCCTTCCCGTATAAAACTTTGTTGAGTTCTTCCCCGGGTGTAAGCCCCTAACAACACTCCCAAATATCGGCCTAGAAACATCCTTAAAGATTTTAAGGCGTCAAGCTGGTATTTATCGACATGTACCGTTATTTTACAGATTTGGTGGAAAGGAAGAATACATGGGCTTCATGAATGGATTCGTGGAAAAGGAATTCGTCAACATGCGCAGATTTCTTGATGATATCTCAGTAAGTTATAAATTGAGTAGTTGTTTCATTAAACTAAAAAGAGAAAAGTTGTCGCAAATATCAGTACAACTGATGAGAATGCTGCTTAATCAAAGTCGACATTGTCATGGTCGTTTTTAATTTCAAGGGACACTTCGCTGATGCAGAGAGAATGAAAAACGTTATTCAAGCACTTTACATTTCTCGTTCACAATAAAAGTTAAAATTGCTTGGTTCTAAAGTTCGCCTTAAGCACGAGATCATCTCTTTCCTAAAGACATTCCAGCACTATGCCGACGTAAATGAGTGATTATGACGTCTAAAATCAGATTCTGCTTGATCACAAAAGAAATTTACTTTTACAAGACTGCGAGCAGTTTCCTATTTTCTTCAAAGTCACAGGGGCAGCACGCGTACGCGCGAACGGATTTTTCGCCTGAACGCTTACTGTCGGAACAACAAACCCGAGAGAACCCGACGGAGCCAAGAGAAAAGGCGGACTGCAAGCAATCTAACTTTTCACTTTTCGTTTTCTTGCCAACAGTCGAGGCCTGACACTATTGAAAACCAATATGAAGGAATCATCGACAGTGGACGGGAATTGGCTCTTATGTTTAACATCCTTAAAGATCAGACCAGTACCATGAACCAGGTTAGTTTGTTAACGTCTTAATTTGTATTTTCCTCTCTTACACTGATTTTCTCCTGGCCTGCTAACGCTGACGTATTTCCGGTCGTCTCTTGTCTGCAGGCTAAATTACTCGAGGAAAAACACCGTTCCACGACTCTCTGCATCTCTTTATGTGCCCTCAATTACTGCCAAGAGGCGTTAAAACGCTTAGACACTGTATTAAAGTTTATGATGATGATGATGATGATGATGATGCAATTGTAACTCCGCTAAGCTACCCTCTGTTTCAAAGAGTTTTGCCTAGTGCGTCTCTCTTAAGTTCTAGCTCTCTGAAATTGCGCCCTTTGTGTTTAAATGTTTCCATTTCTGACGATTAAATCCTCTCGGTACATTTTTTAGGATACCCTGGAAACCCTTCGGCCGCTACAGTTTATTCTAAAGTCGCTCCAAGAGATATACCACGATTCTGAGAGAAATTTCGCTCTCGGAAATGAAAGTCTGGTTGCGCACCGGAAATGGGCGTCGTCCTCAGACCTTGTGACTGACCAAGAGAAGAACAACATAACGCTCACGCCAGTTTCACAAATAAGGATCATGAAATCACCCAGACGCAACCAAAATACATCGAATGAGAGCAAACCGGAGGCAAATCTTGTCTACAATGGTAGTTCACCGACCCCGCCTCCGCCAGATAGTCTGACAGTGTCTCGCTATGATAATTCGATTCTGTCTCCCATCTCCGATGTTGATCCTCCTAGTTTATCACCGAGGAAACGAGTATCTTACCGTGATGATGTACACAGCAGTCTTCGTCGCCGGTCTTATCGGAGGGCGATTGCCTCAGATGATAATACTGATCAAAATTCACTTGAACGTGACCAAAGTTCTTCGGAAAGGCCTCCCACGCCGCCCAAAAAGTCGGATTCGCAACGTCGGTCTCGCGTGGAAGCGCCTCAAATTGTTACAAATGTGGATGCTGATCGCGCTGGTGAAACTCGGGTAGTTTACCAGGGAGATAAGTCAAGTTCAAACAGTCTCAACCGGTCAGCAGATAGCACCCATAAAAAACAGCTAAGGGCTGTCCCTGATTCGCGACAAAGATACGGTAACAGTGTGGTCTCACCTCGAAGATCTCCGTCTGGCAACAACCCTTCGATGACAACAGATCAAAGTCGGACTTCCTCTCTCAACAGAACGTCGCCTCCTATTCCAACAACTCCCAAACCGTCTCCATATGCATCTACCGATTCTCTGAGGAGGTCATCTGGCGATAAAGACGCTTATTCGTCATCCTCTTCACCTCGTTCATCCCCCAGATCATCACGCACAAGTGGCAGTGCAACGAAGTTCCTCAATCCCGGTCACGTGGCTCGCAGTCCATCGCGAACCAGCAGCAGTTCCAGCGGAAGCGAGGAGAGTTGGCACAGTGTGGCTAGCAGCGTGGAAGGAACTGGAAGAAGAAGGGTGCGAAAGATGCCTCGGACACCAAGTCCAACCGGGTAAGTGTCACATTAAAAGCAAAATGACATTTATATACCCCAATTACCACTAAACAATTTCAGCATTTTTCAGTGGAGATACCGCAACGGCCGCGTCGGCGGGTTGGTTTTTCAGTGCTGTGTTGATGGAATTTCTTTGAGCACGAACATAGGTCTTACGGGAGCACTCCTTTATCAAGGGGGTTGGTTGGCAGAATTTGGTGGTTCGGTTGGGTTTCGGTTATTAAAATTTTTGGAAGATTATGTCAAAGAATGGGTTGTGAATTTTTTGCGCACTACAGAGATAAGGTTGGGAATATTTTGTAGACATATCAACGGGTTATCATCATCCACCACTCCCACCCGGTTCATGATATATGTAAGACCCCTGATATGTCCTTATATTTAAGTCCCTCGAAGGAAAAGTTTCTTGAACTCCAAGCAATTTCTTTTCTTCTACAAACAAAAGCAAGCTTACGTCTCGTGAAAAGAAGGCCAAGAAGTGTACTTAATTAATAAAATGCCGTATGCTCCTTTTTATTAGTTTTTCAATTTTTATGAATCATTTGGAAAAACTCACATTAAGTGTACATTAAAAGTCAATAGCTTTGACCTCAGTTCTTGTTAGGGTAAGTGTTCTGTAAGTGTTTCGGACGGTCTTGGGATTTTATAAGTGGACGGCAGTTGAAACATCTGCACATGTACTCCAATACCCTTTAGATTTAGTAAAGGAGTTTGATGTTGCAAAAACAAATCTCACTTGTTCTTTCCTGGTCGTATCCGATCCCTACTTAAATATGATCGTATTCGACTTATTTCTGGTGCCGCTCGAGTTCAATTCTTGAGCTTCTATGACCTGAATACGAAAACCGTAAGTGCAGATGAACTCTATCATGTAGATTTTTTACGATCATTAAATTGCTTTACTATTCAGAGGGTTAAGTGAGTGTTACTGGTAGAAGTTATTTATCAAACCCCTTCAGGTTTCAATAAACCAAGCATTTCTTGTTTGTTCCGCAACCTTTCGAATGCAGATCAATTCTTGTTGCTTTGGAAGATAAACAAAAGACAGCTTTTGCAAAATACAATCAAATTGCATGTAATCTCTTCGATTACGCCTTTCAAGCTCAACCTGCAGCCTATCAAAACGACAATTTCTATTTTACGTCTTATTTTTCATGATTAATTTTCTATTTTGTAACAGTACAATCTGGGAGAGAATGCCACCGAGGATAGGGACAGAAGATTTTGAGAATGGCCATGACGTCCTTCAACCGAAAACAGTCGCAGAGGTAAGGCTGAAACAACTCTTTCTATCTCTTGATGCAAATAATAATAAATGTTCAAACTTGACATATGATGTATTTTGAGTCGATGTTTTGTTCTAGTTTATGGATTTTGGGTATGCTCCTTTTAGCTAAAATTTCCTTTCTTTATAGCTTCGTTCTGAGTCATAATAGTTTTGAAACACAATAGTTCACGCAGAAATCAATTTATTGTTGTTGATGTCAATGGAAGCGCAGGAAAGTTTTTATATCACCCTCTTTCGCCTAACCCCGCTGAAACAACAACAACATAAAAAACACGTCGAATTCCTACGTCGAATGTCAAGTTCATTGTATCATTATTTTTGTCACTAATTTCCTACTCTGTGAAGAAGTTGATGTTAGCAACTCGAGAGATTTCAAGAATACATCTTTCGTTACCCTTCTTTCAGTATGAACAAGAGCTCAGTGACCTTCGTGAGGAGCTGCTGGAGACAAAAAGGAATCTAGCTTCGACACATGAGCAGTTAATTTTACAGGAATCCAGCACACATAAGCTGGTTGCTTCCTTCAAGGAAAGACTCGCCGAGAGCGAGAAGAGTCTTCAGAAACTGCGTGAAGAAAAGGACAAAGAAATGAAGGAGTTGCTTGATCGCTTGGTGAGCGTTGAATCTGAGCTTCGCAAAGAACAGAAGGAAATGCAAGAAGTGATTCAAGCCAAGCAGGTCATTGTCGAAGCTCAAGAGAGAAGAATCAAGTCAGCCGACTCGAGCAATGCAAAGTTGATCGCTACCTTAAACCAGATTAGAAGTTCACGAAATAACAGCAAACTACTAAACTATCCGAGTAGTGACCTATGAGAAAATCGTTTTCGCGAAACCTGCGGTTTTCCTTAAACAGAACACCTTAAGGAAATATCCTTTGGATATTTTTAAGTTGTACAACATTGTAGGTTAATTCTGTTCTCAGTGTAAACCAGTAATCAGCTTAGGTTATCAGGGTTGGGACCCTTGGCAAAAAGCTTACCATAATATTGATTTACATAGTTGTTTATCCTTAAAAGGGATTCAACTACAACATTGACACCTTGTTGCCTTGACGGGCTGCTTGAAGTGTCCGGCATTAGTCACACCGTTGCTCAAGTAGAACAAATGAAAAGATAAATTAAAAGGAACGCTCTATACTGTAGCTCAAGACGATTCCCCTTAAACCCATTCAATGGATGATAAAAACGTCCCTAAAAGCTTATTCGAGGCAGAGGATATGCCGGTTCAGTTTCTAATTTCTATTTAACTTTTAAGGTAGATTTTGCACGTTTTTATGAACGTAAAATACTTTTTGTCTTAAAAAGAAATGAGGGCAAAGAGAGCTGTTTTGTATTTCTTTATATAAACTGGTTTTGATAGTCAATATCTAGAAGTACTTTGTTGAGGTAAGTTCATGGTAAAGTAAAACTTATCCGAAATTTAAGGTTTAAATATGAGCAAACATCTTTTAGGAAGTTTTTTTCGAGCGCAGTCCATAAACTGTTTTTTGCGCAAGCTCTCGGCGCGAAGATTTGTGGGATTGTTTTGATGGACAAGTTTTGTAAAGTCATGATTATTCGATGGTATCCTAGGGAACCAATAACCAATAAAAACTAACGCTTTTCCACTCAACTGATCCCTTATTCGCCCTACAGTTTAAAGAGTGGCAAATGTTATTTATTGTTATCATTAATTTTTTATCATTGTCATTATCATTATTGATATTATTATTATTGTTATGAAGTTATCATGCGGTTTTGAATTTTGATCTGTTGCTTATAAAGGATCAGAATTTAAGTCTTGTATAAATTAATTTCTAGCGAAGCAAGTTTTCATAACGATAAAAGATAACGACATTGTGTTAAAAAATAGAGCTCGTCAATACTGGTGAATTATTCAAGATTTTGATTGAAACGTAAGAATAATCTGACTTTTAAAATAAGTAGCCATTCTTTTGTAGTGCAGTGATTTTAGAAACTCCTTTAAAAAAAGCTGCTGACCTATCGAGTTTTAAAGGATTTTTAAAATCACTCTGAGAGTTTAATTATTATTTATTAACACAAATTAAGACTTTTCTTTGATTCTTTTTTGTATAAGATATATTGTAATATTTCCATGCCCCGAGGTTAAGGGTATAAAAACCGCCAACTTTGGTGATATATATCATTCATAAACATGTAATATTTTAAAAGGGAAATAGAAAATGGAACAAATTAGAATACAATGTGAAAAAAGGAAGTAAAATTTATTACTATAACGGGGGTAGTTATACATACCATCCCTCTTTAAATTATGTAGTGATACTGCATTTGGCTACAATTAATTACATTCGAAAGTAATTGAAACATGAATAAAAAGTGATGAAAAATGGGAACATTGAACACAATAACTTTATTTTCTTTGTGGGTGTTTATTTGAGGTAGCATAACATCTAAGCCTAGTGACTACAATGGGTTTTAGCAAGAGAGTGTAAAGGGTAAGATAGAGAGAGCATCCCCACAGGTAATTCGTCTGCAAATATTTTTAGAACCACGCGGATAAGAAGGCTACCTCGCGCTCTGCTTGGATATTTATTACCCTGTTAGTAGTTGTGTGATATGGATAGTCAACAACGTTTTCATCTTTCTTTGTTTAACACCTTACATTACGCTTTCAACATTACTGACCCAAGAGGTTTGCTGTCCGCGCGAAAGTTCCTTTGTAACTCAGCGAATAGAACGTAGCTCGTGGGTAAACTCGTACCCTAAAAAACTGAGGTACGAGATTAGCTCGTGGGAGGTCAAAGGTTTGAACCGCGACAGCTGAGCGACTTACAAACATATATGATTTTCATATATTCATAACTTTACAAAGAATACTTTGTTAAAGTTTTGTCTTCTACACATTCCTTCCATTTCAAATAAATCTGTATACATTTACGAAATGTATATTTAAAAGAAAAGAAGAAAAAAAAGACCATAAAGATGAAGGGGGCAACCGGGTTTGAACCGGTGACCTCTCGATCTGCAGTCGAATGCTCTACCACTGAGCTATGCCCCCTCTGATGAGGTAGGGCGATCCATTAAAACTATTTATCATTCGATGCAATTTTTCTTCCTTTTCATTGGCCAAGAGCCAACCACGTGACCTGCAAATAATGGTCTACTCATGCGCAATGTCACCCAACTTTGCTTGGCGACAAATAATATTCTGCTGTCGCGCATATGAAACCACACTTTTCTCCTTCTTGCTATCTCAGTCTTGTGTGAAAATGGCAGATCGATTCGCTTCCCAAAGATATTCATTAAAAATCAAACTCGGTGATCGAATGATAAAACATCAGTATTGAACTCAATTGTCGCAAAACATCTTGATGATGAACCAGGTTGTACATGGTAAGGGAAAGCGAAATGAACGACGATTGCAGGGTCGGGGATTGAAGGCCTGGGTGGCACACCTCTACTGAAACTTCCAACAGTACCCCCGGGGGCCCTTTACTAACTATGATTCCAAGTGACTTCATCGTAAAACAATTACTGATTTACCACGATTACGCGGCCTTTTCAGTTCCTGACAAGCTTCCTTCGTTTTTCCGTCGTTATAAGCAAAGTGTATCTTTTTAAATCAGTCGAGAGTGATTTCCGTTGTAGTTAATTAACTTTAAGTACACTGTTCATAGGGCCAATAACGTTATTTGCAAATTGTGGCTTAGTTTACCATAATAACGGGCAATCAAAAGAGCCGTCTTTATCCAGTGCAAAGTTTGCGGATCAATACTAAAGAAAACAAACATCAATATTTACATCGTCGTTGTGTATTCTTAAACGTTGTCTCCGAGTGAAAAAAGACAACTTATTGAGGAAAACAAAAGCGATTGGATTTTTTCTGTATGTATTTACTAGATTGTTTTATAACAGTAAATCTTCAATAAAAATTCTTTTTCTTTCTTTTTTTTTCGCGTTAGGTCAAATGCTTAGACACGTTATCACGTATAAAATTCTCTCTTCTATGAAATTTTTCTAAACTTTTCTCCATAAGACTGGTACTAAATGTTCCATTAAGGTACCGTGGGGACACTGTTTTTTGAAATATTATATCACCTTTTTTTCGCCACCAAAAAGGGACTCAGTTTTGAATCCTCCAAAATTTCAGTGGGTTGGAGGGGATCATAGAAACTAAATGCACCTAAAGAAAGAGTATATTTTACTTTTAATTTTGTAGGTTAGCATCAAGCAACGATTACTGAAGATTCGAATTCGTCGATTGCTCATGATTCTGAGAGTATCCCCTTCACCAATGTATTTGTCGAAATTATAAACTGACCATATGTCTGTGCATGATCGAGTCGCATTATCAGTTCAATTTGCTCTGAAAGCAACAAGTCAGCATAGCACGTTGGATATGACAAAAAGAAACTTATTCATTTCTATTGAGAGAATTCAACTAAACGTTTTCAAATGCAAACATGAGAAATAGCTAATATATTAAAAGAAAGAGGTTGGGAAGATATCTTTTAAAACCACGTGCTCAAGAAGAAATTCACACCTGTAAAAAATTATTACTTTTAGAACGTTATTTATCTAGCTGTACTCCATTGGTTTGTAACTTTAAGTAATATTTTATTATTGCACTTTAGCTATCCTACTGTTCCCTTAGTTTGCGATACCTTTGAGGCTGTTTATAGTCCGCTGCTGCTACAACGGAAGTTAGTGATCGCCGAACTGCGTCAAGGTGTGTTGGAAAAAAAGCTTGAAAATAGGTAGTTAAAAAACAACAACAACAATTGACCTTGTGGTATCTATGTTCAAAAACATAAAGTAAAGTCGATCGTTTCCTTTGTTCACGCCCTCTATAAACCTAAAGATTAGGAAGTTCACCACGTCGAAGTAAAGAAATGTACAAAAAACTCGTGATCACGTGCAAAGACTGCTTTGCTATAAGGACTAGGTCAAACGTCGAACTTTTCATGAGACTAACCAAACTTAGTGAGTTAATTTCATGAAAAGTTAGACGCCTGGCTCAGTTAAGCTCGTCTAAATGAGTCTGGATCATCCACAAAACGTATGGTACACTTAAAGATCATCTACGGATCAAACGTCGATCTTCACATGCGACGAACTAATTTAAAACTAATCAATTAAAAATTTGTATGATAGCCTATTTTTAGCCTCGTTCAGCTAAAATTGCTTTTTGGTCTGATTCAGATTGGTTCGACTGGTCCTAAGTTCGACGTCCGAGCTAAATTAAGTTAAGATCGTCTGTTGGGTCGACCCAAATTAGAGTTTAGTTCACCCCATGAAATGTTTGACGTTTAGCCTAAGCCTACCCCTACTGCTTTTTGCTGTTTTCGTTTTTGTCCTTATCGTTGTTTCTTCAGATCCCTAATTTGTCAAAATGGTTACTACGGCACTATGCTATCAGAACAACGAAACTGATCCATAATATTTAATTGTTTTTTGCCCCCACCATTCCATCTTAGTGAAATCGCCACTTTAAATTTTGGCCGGCATCTCAAAATTTAGACTGGAAGCCGAAAGCTTAGTACATAATGCTGCACTATGCAATTTATTTTAACTTTTTTCCGCCTGACTGTATATTAATTTTTTAAAAAAACTACAGAGATGAAATACCTGGTATTCGTTTTGGCTTATTTTCTTATGGTGGATGTTTGCTGGGGTCAGTGTAACATGGCGAACTGGTGGTATAGCTTCGATAAAAATGGATGGTCACTATGTGACTCAACTATGGAATACATGACAGGAATGGAACGCAATACAAATCGAGGGGACAACGATAAAATATATCTACTGGAAAAAGCTAAATGCTGCCAGGCACCTTCGCCGAATAGAGAGAGCCAGTCAACTTGTTTAATTGCCGACTGGTGGGTTAAATTAAATAGGTGAGTATTGAGTAACTTAGAAACCGCCACAATTTTGTAACTAAATCGAGTCATTTTCAAGCGGGTTATATTTACTACAATGTATCTAGCCGATTTTTTGAAAACCAACCTAACGAAATTTGCAGTCATTTGTCTGAGTGAAAAGGCGTCAAAAGGCATGTTTCTTACAGCCCGAGAAGCTCCAAAATCAAGAAATAGCGAGGACAAGGAAAAGAGGAGAAGAGAAAAAAGCAACGGCCAGGAGTTGCACTCTTAGTTTTTATAATAGCTACTTTGGAGAATAGTTTTTGGCCGAAAAAAACTGTTCGACGCAAAAAGGTCCATTTGGCAATAATGTTATAAAAAATCCGGCTAGATATATAATACGGAAATTTCAGTTCTTTCTTGAAGACTACCTTTAAATTCAAGAAAGAACAGAAAGAAAAAGAACATTTTTTTGGAAATTAGCCTTGTAGTTTCACTGTGAAGCTATACATGTGTTCCCAGAGAAGTCAGTATTGCACAAAGATCAAAACGTATCAGACTAGGAGCAGTCTCCTATTTTCTTTTGAGCTCGGAGATCGAGAGCACGTGGGAGGGTGGGCGGTGAAGCCGCGAGGAACGAGGGCGGAAGCCAATCTCTCCTCCGCGTGGCAAATGAGGAAAGGAGGACGACCGCTCGCGGTCTGAAAAGATATCTCTGACCAAAGGCTTTTAATCCATTTTAAACCTCACGGTAACGGTAAAAGTTTTAAACTAAGATAATTATGAATAAAACTGCTCTTTAATTTAAGTGAATTGATATTTGACATAAGATTCATGCCATGATCTTAATGCCCTACTGGTATTCTAAACTTTCTTTACTTGTTATTTGCTTTTTCCTTTTTTTTCCCTATTTTATTTTTTTTAAAGTGGTAACAAATGGGCACTATGCCCTGAAGGCTACTTCTTGCAAGGCTTGTATCGTACCAGCGAGGAGGACTGGCTCTCTAACATTGAACTTGGAAAGTGCTGCAAGCCAGATAGCTTACCGAACCAATATGGGAAGTGTATAGATAAAGCCATTACTACATCGTTTGATAATAAAGGCCTCAGTAGCTGTGATGATGGATACTATATGGCTGGATTTTACAAGGGATCATGCAACCGACTCTATTGCATAGAAACGCTTAAATGTTGCAAGATGTATAAAAGTGAGTTTACTTCATATCTATCGGGCTCAATGGGAATAATTCTTTTTATACTGAGCAAGAAAAGATGTACTATTTTCCAAAAAATACAGAAAGTACACGGTATTATAGACCAAAAGATTAGCTTACCTTAACTATGTTGGTATATGTTATCAAGTTCATTGTTCTGGTACATGTGCTATATCCAGGTATTCAATTCGGGAAAGGTTGAATTGTCCGACTTCAGTAATCGTAAAAGCGTTTTATGAGTATCGTGATCGGCAGCCAAGCAAAGAGTTGCGCGAGCGAGGTTGGTATTTTTTTCAAAAATCATTCACTCGTTTTAGCCGATTAAGCCAGAAAAGTTGTGCGAAATAAATGCATTATATCAAATAATATTTGATTTTTGGTCAAAGACTATAAAGCAAATAATAGAAGTTTCTAAAGTTATAGTTTTTAGTATTTGGTCTGTATGGTCATCATGTCTGACCGCACATGTATAGGATTTCGAAGGGCATGGATGCATTTTGGTCGAATATTGTCAGATGACTGGCTATCCTGTACCATACACGTAGTGGGCAGTTACAACCAGGCTAGACGGCTTTTTCAGTGAAATGTAAAAGGAATTATAAACGTTGAAAGAAGAATATTTCAGCATTTTGCAATATATATTTTTTCAGATTTTTGTGAGAACAACGTATGCGTGAATGGAGGTTGCGTCAATATGGCAGAAAGTTATCGCTGCGAGTGCATCAACGGATTTTATGGGAGAAACTGTGAAACAGGTATTATTTACCGTCCGTACTCTTTATGTTCTTGTTGCCAAATGAGCTATCCTGCAGCGATGTCGACCGTAGTCATCGGTGTTCATTGATAAACGGAAACAAAATTAATGAGGTTAGCAGTAATCTGATTCAAGTAACGCACTGGATCATTGCATAGTGAAGTCATTTACCTCCCGGAGGTACTCCCTACGACCTATAAGGAGCGGGGAGGCTCCACCCGAAAGGGGTAATCTGGGGTACCTTTTTCAAGCTTCAGGTATATGAAAGAATATTAGAAAGTTTAAGCTTTATGTAGACGGTAAACGGCAAACGTGAAATTTAATTGAGAATTTCTCAAAATAGAAAATGAGCAGATAAAAACAGCTCAAAACAATGCTCATGGATAAAAAATTGCGTGAAACTACTAACAGTAAACGTTCAAGTCAAGGGAAAACTTGGTCACGTGATAGAAATTCGCGTTTGCCGTTTGGCGTAAACGTGATACTTAACCTCTTAATTGCCTTTTTCGTTGGTTGAAGTATATAGTATTAAAGGGTAGGAAAATCTGTCATTACGGTATGTAAGAGAACCTCGGGGCAGAGCCTCCCCGTATGCCCAGCCCCCCGAACATTCACCATAAATTAAGTATTAATATCGACAGGAAAAGCGTCACTCAGCTAGGGTCTTTTCAGTACTTGCAAACTATCAGTGGCCCTGCTTCTATGCTATGACACCCTTGTGTCATAAGTTCATGATCAGTGACTAAAAATCGTTTCTCGACGTAGAGTTAGCTAAGCAATGGATAAAATAAAGTTCATTTGTAACTTAAATGTATTGACAGATATCGACGAGTGCGTAAACCACCCATGCAAGAATGGAGCTACATGTGTCAATTACGCGGGAAGTTATCGCTGTGAATGCAAATCTGGTTATACTGGAAATAACTGCCAAACAGGTGAGAGATAATTTCCCGAGCTGTACCTATACCCAGCTATACCATACCACTACTAAATTATATTTTCTCCCTAATGAGTTCTCAGTCTATGTTTGGGTTAAGGAAGCCTTCTGGAAAAGGCCACTTCCGAGTTCCAAAAACTCTCACTTTCAAACCTACTGCCTGAGTTCAAAACCTTTCTTGTGGAAAAGAGTTTTATTTAAATGAGAATAAAAAATCGTATTCATATCAATGGCTTTCCACTTAGCCTCGGTTTGTAAAAAGAGGCTTGAGGCAACACAGAAGTGGCCTAATGTCGTAGCATACAAAAGCTGGTGGAAGTTTGACGAGTAGTAAAATAACAGCCTACTGCCATCAAATAACCATTATTCCCAATTTCTAGACATCAACGAGTGTGCGCTGGCTCCATGCCAGAACGGAGCCAAATGTGTTGATCTTGTTGCAAGTTATCGCTGTGATTGTGTGGCCGGATACACTGGAAGCAACTGCGAAACAAGTAAAGTGATTTTTTTCAAAGTATATTGTTTCAGCTTTCTTGTAAATATTGAAAGGTTAAGTTAAGTGTGAGATTAATTCGCAGTTTGGTTGCAGTGAACAACACGACATGAATGAAGAATTTTTCAATTTAATTCATAGATGTGGACGAGTGTGTGACTGATCCTTGCAAAAACGGGGCCACATGTGTTGATCTTGTTGGAAGTCATCGCTGTGATTGCCCTGCTGGATACAGTGGCAGCAACTGTGAAACAAGTATTGAAAAACTCAATTTTTGCATTTGTAACTTAAAAATAGGAGAATGGTTTTAATCAATGGTCAAATGATTTTCTTCTTATTCATAGACATTGACGAATGTGCCCCTGCTCCATGCCAGAACGCAGCCACTTGTGTTGACCTTGTTGGAAATTATCGTTGTGATTGCGTGAATGGATACAGTGGAAGCAACTGTGAAACAAGTAAATCAAAGCTTTATTTTTAAAGGGGCCATGTCTTGGCCAGATGTCCACTTGCTTGATCAAAACTGAGCTGAAGTTATAACTAAGTATTCTCAGCTCAGTCATCTTTTCTTATACTTGGAACTCTAAAAAGAAGCAATTTTAAATAAAAGACATGCTCGGTTTTTGGTCATTTCCGACACCACAGAGTATTACTTGAAAAGTTACAGTGGTGCTTACTTATGGAACGATCTTCCCGAGGATCTACGCAAAGCAAATTTTCTAGATAACTTGAAAAAAAAAATTCACGGTTTTAATGCTCATCAGCACTCCCACACAGCAAATATGTAAACAGTCTATAGAGAATTTTTTTACTCCATTATTTTCTGATATTTTAACTGTGCATAAATAAAGTCGGTCATCATCATCATCATCATCAGGTTGGACGAATTTTTGTCATGCAAGCTGTAATACATTTCCATCTTGAACATCGAAAGCCAGAGACATATACTAAACGTTATGGTATATATACTTTCTTTATGAGGAGGGGGGGGGGGGGATCTTTGATTCCCACGCGTTTTAAGGGTTTTAATAGTATACCAAAAACGCCCAACAGCTCATTAAACATATTGTCACTTCTGAGTGTAGTCAGTTCAGGTAATTATATGCAAGTAATACTTAACACAATTCAATGGTTTTATTCTAAAATTCGCAGATATCGACGAATGTGTACCTGCTCTATGTAAGAACGGAGCCACCTGCGTTGATCTTGTTGGAGGTTATCGCTGTGATTGCGTGCCTGGATACACTGGAAGCAACTGTGAAACAGGTGATTACAGGGGGGCCACAAGACATGTTAAGGCGAACTTCAAAACATTTCTAGCTTAATATCTGAAACAATTATAACTTCTTTGAATTACAGCACAATAGCCCCAAATTTACGTCTTTTAAGTTAACACTGTCGAATGTTTCCTAAGACGAAAATAAGAAAATGTGCTTCAAAAGTTGGCTTTGAAATTTTGATGTGATGAATCGTTTTACCTTAAGCGATTGTCTTCTGAGTGGCTCTATACGATTTACCATTGAAACAAGGGAATTGAATAAATTATGAATAGCTCTCCTTAATAACGACGTAAAACTGTCATCATCCCATTTCGAATTCGGAAACAGTTAGTTTTCAGGATGATTGAAAATGTAATGGAGTGTGAAGTCAGTAAAGACCTACTACGTTCAAGCAGGCCTATTATGTTGTTCGAACTTCATATGCAACTTGAATTATATGCAATATGTTGGGCTCTAGATCATGGAACGGTGGGAAGTTGGGGGGGGGGGGATCGATGCTTGTCGGAAAAATCAGAATTTAACCCCCAAAGGGGATGAATTTGAGTGGCTAAGGCGGGGTGAGCTCCTAGAAAAACAGGACAAAAGAATCTATAGCAAGGTGTTAAAGTCAGAAGGACTCCTTCTTTACCACATGCTACCAAAAGCCCAGGAGATCAGCGATCATGTGCTCCACGGCTCCGCACCTTAGCCAAGATTAATACGCATGGAGTGGTCTATGAGCACAATTATTGCTCGCTTGATATTCAGTCATATTCAGTTATAACTTAGCATATTTATTCATATTTACTCATTCAGTTTCGTTTAAACATATAATAAATTGGTTATGCTTTCTCTTTCTTTCAGAAGGCGATGAAGATGATTGTTTTGAAAACTGAAATGAGGTGCTCTTAAAGGCATCGGTTAAGTCAAGTTTACTTTACTGTTCAGGACTTGACGCCTGTCTGTTTCTTCTGATTCTTATTGTCAATCAATCATCTTTTGATAATGCTGATTGTTTTTTCTTATCCTTTACAGAGTATTTATCTAACTGTTAAAAGGTGCTGACTGAAAAACTGGCGATGTCGTAAAACTTTTTCAAGTGATTCACTGTCTCTGTATAAATTTGAAATCAATACTAAGACATGCAAGTGTGATAAATAAAGGAGGCGGAATAAGATGTATCTAAGCTGCCCACCAAGTCTTTTTTTGCTGATTTTTCTTCTTCTAGCTTCTTCTTCTTCTTGAACAATTAACAACTGATTCATCTACCTTGCGAGCGCGGATTCTCTATTGCAATTGGCTTTTAGAGTTCAGCGTCGCTTGTCATTTGCGTAGTTGGTTTATTTTTTGTTTTTTCAACCTTTGCTCGCAGGGTGGACTGATCTTATAGCATTTGGCAGACATCTTCAATATTTGGCCATCGTTAGCTGGTTAAGGATGAATTTCAATCCCTACTCGATTCTGGGCAATTATTCTCTGTATGCCCTAATGATGTCCCTTTGGGTTTGGCCTCTGGGCTTCGAAAGCCGCTGCTCGGGGCATTAATCCCTTCGATCAAGATCGCATAATGATAAGTTGAGCAAAATGAGAGCGACCACGCATAATTTGATCGAATTTTCGCAGTGGAGTGTTATTTATTATAGAATTAGAACCAAGATAACGTTACATCCATTGTTCACTCTTTTTGCAAGAATTAATTTTAAAAGAATGTCGAGGATAAAATTTGCAAAGTCAGTTAAAAGAATTAAACCGAGACTTAGAGTTTAAAAAGAAAATAATTTTGTGTGGTGAGAACTTGTAAATAAAATACAATTAGTGCGCTATATTGGACAAAACTAGCCTGAAAAAAAAAAAATTCATAAGAAAACGTTTTTTCCGCGTACAGATCTAGACACTAAAGAGGGATTGACACTTGCAATAAGCCTTTTACAGCCGGGCGATAATATAACCAGTGGATAAAATTTGATGAAACCCGCGATACGTATGGGAAAGATTTGATGACTGTAAGACAATTTCAGTATTTGAAAGGGATTGTTATCGAAGACCACACAACGTGACTAGGCGGCAAGATTAGTTTTTTCCATGCACTGATCCTTCTATCTTTTGGCGGCCGTTACAATCTCTTCCTTTGAGACTAACGGCTGAAAATTTACAGGTTGCCTAATTTTTAAACGCAGTTTTAGTTCCTGCTAAAATCATTTTCAAAAAGAACCATTTTCGTGTTTACAGGAAGTTGGCCATGCACGTGAATAAATATTGCAAAAGGTCTATTGACAACGCAATACATTCTAAAATGGAAATATTATTCGCTATAGTGTATACTATTAATACTGAAATAAAATTACAGAAAAGAGTGTTAACAGCGTTTCCAAAGGTACCGTGTGCTCAAGATTTTTTAAAGCCTTACGGTCTTTACACTGTGCTTCAGTCTTGAAACTATGATATTCCAGCGTTTTTTTAGATCCTAAATAACCCAACAAGTAACAAAGCAGATTTTTGACAGAAGCAACACGTTTTTTTTATCTAGTTCGTTTACATTTGAAGCAAGAAGAAGATGAATTCACGCGTGCGCAGCTCAAACTTTGTTCGACTTTTGAAGTGTGCACGAAAACGAAAAAAAAGTCTTTTAGATACACTCAGAAAGGAAACTGTTAGAGCATTTACAGTAAATTGGAAGCTCTGCACTAAGTGTAAGAATGTGATGTTAATTAGTTTTTACAAAGATGAGAAAACCACACAAACATTTTACTAAACAGACTATCATTTCCCACGCAGCGACAAGGTAAGGAACACAAAATCGTAAAATCAAAGAAAAATGAATTGGAAATAAAGTTAATCACCTATCCTGTTTACTTAGCTGTTTGAAACTTGACGCCACTCCAGTTTACAGGATCCAATCTCTATTAAAAATTACAGTCTAGAGTACACAATTTAACACCCAAACAACATTTTCAGTACCTTAATTCACGGACAAGAAAGGAAAGTAAAAATAAATTCTTACGTGCTTGTAATAAGGACAATAATAATTTTTTTCGCTTTTTTTCTCGAATTATTCGGAACACCGTTTCATTGAGCGCGGTTTCAATATAAGTTACTATATTTGTTTAGCTTTTGCTCATTTAACTGAAACCACGCAGTTTGGCCAACCGCACTTAATTCTGTCCTTGATTATACAGGGAGTTCTTTCATTTAATGTAGGTTGACTTCAGCGAGGCGAGTCAAACTTTACGGGGTATGTAAAAGCACCATTACTTATTAACTATTACATTTGCCTTCTATCGTCTAGAAAGACATAGACATATTATAAAGAAAGGCTTTGATCGACAATTCTGAAATTTTATTACAGGTAGCCTTTCATTGCCTTTTTATTTATTTTCTCTGATCTGCTATGTACATGTCATGCGCTAAATTTTCATATACAGTTGATAAACTGCTAGATTTCTCTGGCATAGAACGTCTTTGTTGATCAGTGTTCCTCCAAATTATCAAGTCAGAAATCGGCTTAAAAAGAATTAATTTAGGAAGTTCTAACGGACCAAATTTTAAAGATATACTTTGACATTTATCAGAGAACTGTTATTTTAATGATATAAACGGATATGGAGACTTCTTTTTTATCACTAACAGAACATCAAAAATGAAAAATTGAATGGGAACCAAAAAAGATAATTAATTCTTTTTTTCATAGTTCGAATGATACCCTTTTATCTAAGTCAAACAATACATACAGACCATAAAAAATCCATCTTTTATTATGTTTTTGTACTTTTCAATCACTGAAAGGGCTTTTAGCTATAGCAGGGGGCCTAACTAGCAAGTTTTAGCCCAACAGGTTTGAAAAACCAGGTTCTAAGTCGCGGGCTTTTACTGTATTTTTGCACCCTCTATACATGAACCTGTTTAGGCAAGAGAGAATGAGATCATTCTCTCTTGGTTTAGCCTAAAGTTTAGCCTAAAAAAAATTGTGTACCTTTGGGCAAATAAGATATGTCAACTTTCAGTATCCTCTTTGGAGACAACTGCAGTTGTAATGGTTTACAGGTTTTACCCACAGAATGAGTTGAATACCACTAAATACTTTTAGCTAGGCGCTACAATGTATTTTTTTCTTAAGCACCTAAATAGCCTAAATTTGTGTATATACTGAAGAACCTCTTTAGGCTAAATTGGGAAAATGCAATTGTCATCTACACTAACAGATTAGCAACATAACAGCCAGGTCTAAGAGGACTTCACTGATCCTTTGTTGAGGATGAAAACTATTTCCCCTTTACTACCCATCTTAATGATGGCAGCGATATGTAAATCAGTGCCACCAGCAGGTTAGTAAAACTCTGAGTTACGAACTTTGCACAAACAATTTAAAGGAGCTGTTGTCACGTGAATGCCCAGGTCACTTTAATAATAATCAACAATAGACCATTTTACAGTGTGGGCTTAGTAACCTAGCTTTTGAGTGAAAGTGAGGCCGAGGTTGACATTGTTTTGATATAGACCTCTTTTTAGTTACGGAAATTATGCTTAAAAAATACTAGTTCACATAAGAAAGACATGATTTACATAATAAAGGAGGATTGAGGGTTGTATCAAAACAAGGTCAACTCCAGCCTCGTTTCCACCTGTAACTGTAAAATGGACTACTATTAGACGAGGTTGCGCAAAATATCGTGATCAGTTTGTCAGTGTCTCGCAGGTCAATTATTCGGCGGAGGTAAATAATTGATCTGCGAAACACACTGACAATTAGAATGTTTTGCGATAACCGAGTGTAATTATTTTTTTATCATTTGATCACCGAGTTTGTTTTTCAGAATGAATATCTTCAGGAAGCGAGGCGATCTGCCATTTTCACACAAGAGCGATCGCAAGAAGGAGAAAAGCGTGGTTTTATTTACACATGATCAGAATATTAATTATTTGCAGCCAAACATATTGGACAACATTGCGCATGAGCAGACCATTTATTGCTGGCAGTTATTTGCAGACCATGTGGTTGGCCCTCGGCCAATGAACAGTCCATATTTGCTATGGAACTTGAGAAATTAATAGTAAAGACCTCATGTCAGATAAATATCTCAACCAAGAACATATCAGACGTTACTGAGACAACAAAAATGAACTTTAAAACTGTTTGGCCAATCGTAATCCCTTTTTCCGCGCTATTTACAAACATGCGAATTCTGAAGTTCAAAAGCCAACTGACGATTACGTTTTTCGCTGCCGTCAATCATCTTAACGGACCTCTTAGGAAACAAAACTTTACTTTAACGGGTTCAAAAGGTCATGGTTTGTGATTTGTGATTGGTGGATTTCGATCCGTTTTGTGTGTTTCTGTGTTTCAAGGTTCTTTGCTTGTGATCGTAATTATGATTGACGGCAGCGAAAAACGCAGTTGTGAAGGAGGCTTTGACCTTTAACGTTCGCATGTTTGTGATAAGTGCAGTAATATTCTTCAAGTCTGTCCAGCCGTGCCTCCGTTTGGATTTGCTGTATTGTTCCTTCCTTTCTCGTTTTGAATAGTTATTTTTATATTTGAACTTCAATAAATTTTGTGACACAGCTCCATTCTTCATTTATCATTGTAACGTATTGCGCTTGCAACTCTTCAGTTCGTTGATATTCTATTGCGCGTAGGCATATGCATAAATTGCATTTTTATTGTTACACTTCTCGCAGGTTTTTTTAAACCGCGCCAAAGGAGAGCAGTCTCAGGTATGTTTTTAATTTGCTTACTAAAGAATAAAAATATTTATTCAATTATTCTGATTTGTTTATTTTTTGTGTATTTGCTTGTTCAATGCTTGTGTCGATCGGGGCCTTTTAACTGAGATTCCGAGATGTGAATTTCATCCGGGATATTCATGTCAATAGTTTCCCTGCTAGCACTGAGGCCTCTTTTTCCTCGTATTCGGCGGGAAAAGAGGCTCTGCTAACAGACAAGTGCCTAGTATATTTTACAGTTTCAAAATTCGCAACTTGCATGCACATGTCCCATAATACAACTTTGTTTGCCCCACAAAAGTTTGCTTAGGTATTGTCCTCAATTTCTCGTGGAACGACTGTAACAGTGGAGAAATAATAATAATTAAAAAAAAAGGTTATGCCAAATTTGGGGGGAGGGAAAGCAAGGTGTAATTTAAGAGATGTGCCAATGGTGAATTCTCTATTTTTGAATCTAATAGTTACACATGTACACATGTACACATTTCAGAAATTAAAATTGGGGGGGCGCAAACAGAGTGTACGTATTATAGGGGACTCGAAAATAGCCAATGCACATGACTAATTGCTGTGGCTTTTATCATCTGCAGTTAAGTTCATGGATATGCGTATTAGAAGCGAAGGCTGCGACGACCCAGGAAAAACTACAGACACTTGTGGCATTGCTTACCTGTACGTTAATGGCGTGAATCACTCTCTTCGTAAAAGAGGGTTTAACATCGTCGTTGCAGATACCAAAACAGGTGAAATAAGACTAAGACATCCATTAACGACGATTAATGCCCCTCCCCAGTACATTGAAACTGTAGGCTTGAGAAAGTTCACGTGTGTGAAATAATCTATGTAAACAAAGAATTACTGCTCACTTTAAAAGTGTTGGAATCTTAATAACGTGCTTCCAAACACTGCAAATAGAAGAGAGCAGTGTACACGACGGTTAAATGAAAATAAGGGTTATACACTGAACCGGCTTCACGGAAGCCAGAATGCTTTTTAATTTGTGATTTTGACAAAAATTAGAAGGCTCCTGAAAGCAGCTTCAAATATAGTCATGATCCTAACCAAGAGGTACTTGACCAATATTTAGGTATAAGTGAGGCACTGAAGGCTTGAAACCCTGACCCTGTTTAGGACAAAACAAAATCCTAAAATACATACCCTATTTGGGACAACACCCTCAATTGAAAATGAAGAAATGTTCGTCGCAGTGAACGCAATTTATGCAATTGCGTAAAGAAGCCTGAAAGAAATTCAGGACTTCAACAGGGTTTGAACCCGTGACCTCGCGATACCGGTGCGATGCTCTACCAACTGAGCTATGAAGCCACTGACGTTGGGAGCAGGTCAATTGTTGGTTCATATGTTCCCGTGAAAGAAATGAGTGTTAATGATATATGAAATAAATCATATATGAACTGCGGAAATGAAATCATTTTCATTTCATTTCCGCAGTTCATAAATACTAGGGAAGGATCAAAGTGCGTATAAATAAAATACGTGTATCGCAGAACATTGTAAAGCTTGGGGGAGGGTGGCCCGTAAAATGTTAGGGAGGGGAGGGCTATTGTCATCCCCCCTCCCTCGCCTCGCCCCATGTAAGGGATCCAAGACAGTCTTGGCTTCAGGAATGCAAGTTGTACATCTCCGGATTCCAGGTTCTAGATTCCGGATTCTTGGTCACTGGAGCTTGGATTCCGGATCTAATCGTTAGTGGGGTTCCGAATTCCTCTTGAGCTGTTTTCCGAATTCCAAAGATTAGGATTCCAAAACTCAATTTTGCGGATTGCGAATATACCAAATGCAAAAATTTCCCTCTTTCCAGAATCCCGATTCTCTTACAAGGGGCGGCCTATTCTTCACAACCAGCATTAGCTGACCAAACATGGAGGAAACGGGATGTGGTATCACTACATGTTAAAATTATCTATTTTAACATATTCACCGTTTTCCTGAACAGGTGCAGTCATTGATAAAAAGGCGTTTGATACTTCTGCTGATGCTGGCTCTGGTGAAAAACTGAGAGATTATCTCAACACCATAACTGGGGAGTAAGTGCCAGTCTCCTTAGTTATTACTTTGCGTACCGAAAGGACAGCAATTTTGACATTTTTAATATTAACTCATTTGAAGGCAAATAGGGATTTTTTGTGTGGTTTGACCGCCCCTCGAGACAAACGAATGAATGTGAAATATTACACTTTTTGAGACATGCATTTGAGAATATGCTGTTGTTCTTTATGAGGACAAACTTAATTAAAGCAAGGGGCACACATACACCAATCCACGGCCTGGGCGTGGAGCTGCCGCTTCAAGGAGTGCTTTTCACTCGCCTCTGCAGCAAGCGGGTCTTTGAGACACGGGTTTCTCCCGTCCATTGAACCGACGGTTTTGTCATCTGATAAACCTCAATAAGGGCGATACAGCTGTCCATGGCTGCCACTGCCCGTGTGAAATGGCTGTGCGCATGCGTGGGTTGGTGTATGTGTGCCTCTTGCTGTAAATTTGTCTTACCGTTCTTTATGACATACGCCATCTATATGAAAGGGTGTTTCTTGGTGTTGTTTTGTGGTGTGCCTGTGTATTGTCCAGAGTCAGGTCTTTTTTAATCTTTTGTATTAAGTCATTTGGTGATTGCAACCATCCTCAACACTGACCAAGAAATTATCATTTCAACGCCAGTTGACGAATGTTAAAATAGAGAGTCCGTTGACCTGTATCACATGACCATATATTGGGCTTAGATGCGCTACACTACACACAGCATGGTCATTAAAGCTGCAGAAGCTAAGTGACACTTTAGGTAAAACCACAACAATAACAACAACGACAACAACAGTCCTGTATTCTTGATACAAAAACCCATAAGTAAGCAAATTAATTTAACGTTTAATTTAACGATAAAAAGCACAGTCTACCAGACTGAAGCCGATGTTAGTCGCCCTACTGGAGTTAGAATTTAGTTTGATGGGTCTTTGTTGGCTTTTGCACAAGTTGTTTTGCATTAACACCTGTCTGAATGTTTGGTTGCTTTAATAGTGACGCCATTGTTTGCAATTATAAATACAAGTTGCATTCTTGAATGATGCAAAATATACATTCTTGCGCTACTACAGGAAGGCTGTTCTGATTGCCACCCAGGATTCCGCTGTAAATCACTGGCAGGCAGCGAGGGACTCTCTCAAGAAGCTGGGCGTTACTGAACCAATCATTATGGAGCGCCGAAGTTCGTTTGCTTTTATTGGATATGCTGGAGCACAGAAACCATCATGGATCGCACAGGAGCAGCGAAAAATAGCACAGGGACCCAGCGTGATCAACTTGAGAATTGCTGTTCAACACAGTCCACCGCGTAAGAAGATATGCGATCATCACATAGAATACCTATGACCACCAATCAATCAATCAATCAATCATTCAATCAATCAATCATTAAATGAATCCATCCATCAATCAATCAATTAATCAATAATGCGATTATCACATACAGACTGTGCCAGGCTTTCAGATACAAGCCAAGCGGAAATTAGAAGCGCGTGATCCAGGGAAGGTGGCGGTGGTGCTTCATCTCTTTCATGCCTCCGCGCGTTGTTGGCATCACTTTTCACGATCTCTGCACATTACTATCTTGCAGCCCGAACACGCGCAGCGTTTTACGCGAACTACCATTAAATGATGGGGAGAACGGGTCTAGTTCCTAACTGTTGATACGTTTACCACCTTCACACTGAAATACACTGTAGATTACTTAGCATGAGACTGAGGGTGGATTCATCCCGCTGGTTTTTTTTTCATTATTTTTAGGCTATAACGCTTATCCTTAAAATCAATCCGCCCTGAATTGAAATGAATCTACGCATAATTTTAAATTTTGTCGGCTAAAAGCAACTTTTTATTCTGACAGAACCAAGTATGAGTGTTTTTCTTCGAAGTGAAGGCTGCAGCGACCCCGGTAAAACAGGGTGTGGTAGAGGTTACATTAAAGTAAATAATCAAGAATACTCACTCTTCTCCAGAGGAGTCAACGTTGCTGTGTTTTCTTCAGAAGGTATGTTACTGAATTCGAACACCTAACCATGGAAGCGCTATTACAATAGGGGAAAGATTTCATGTCCACTTAATAATGGGTCTAAGTGGAGTCCAATTCGGTCTGCAGTCATAAAGAGTGATTAGCAAAACCGGACGACCACGTAGCGGAAGTCCGATTTGTTTAATCACAGACCTTACTAGCCTTTCTGCTAGAAACTGGAAAAGAAGAGAAGCCATTCAATTGTGCGTGCGTGATGGTGCGTATTCAGAGGCGCATTGTTCTATTACTCTGTACCGTTAGTGCCAAAATCAGGGATGTAGATAGTCAATCAGATTAGAGATGTTGTTAAAGTTAGGATTATGTATGTTAAAAACCACCAAAAAAAGAATAATAATCATGAATGATTAGAGCTTGATTATCTTGCAATCGATACAGAGAATACTGGCAGCTCAGCTCACTATTACCCAATGACGTGTTATTTTCTGTGAGGCAAATATTCATAAAGTAATGCTCTTGTAAAGCTTGTGCCACCTGCGCAAGCAACGCGAGCAATCCAAACCACTGTTGACTCGCGCCAGGGATACTTTTGTTTTCAATTGACATCTGTTTCAAATCGAAACTGCGAAAAAATCAAAAATTATTGTAAGAAATTAGTCAACATCTCAGCATTAAATCCATTACTTAGTCCGTTATTGATTGGTTATTTGCTTTAATTCTGTCCCTTGAAGGTGTGTTTTTAGAGACCAGAGCATTTGACACTCATTCATTGCATAACGCTGGCTTAAGTGGCGCAGCCTACCTGAATAAGCTGTCAGGAGAGTAAGTATTCGATCAATGATTCATACAACGGTACTAAAACTGAGTCGAGTGCAACTTGTATAGGTAATCACATGATTTCGAGTGCAATTTGGAATAAACAAGCACGAGGGAATTCTTCAAAGACCAATAAAAGTGCACGAGCCCGTAGAAATTACAAACCTTCTGTGGGCAGTGGTATAAAATTCAAAATAATCATAATGATTACTGTTGAGGTCATTAACACCATGAATAGTCTTGTAGCACTTTAGCAAAGATAGATAAGTCCTCCTTGATTGACGACTGGACCACCCAAGAATTGTGACCAGAGGGACAGCATATTCCAGAATGGGTATAACCAAGGCATTGCACAGGCGAGAAAAGACTTCCTTGTTCCCTGGACCAACATTCCGTTCAAGGAAACCCACAATCTTGTTGGCTTTATTTACAACTTTCTGCGTTTCGGTGTTCCAGGATAGATTAGAAGTCAAGGAGAACCCCAAATCAACCGTTTCGGTGACAGACTGAAGAGTACAACAACCAGAGAGCTTGTAAGGATAGCTAGCATGGATAACACGCAGAACCTCACATTTGTCAGGGTGAAAACGAAGTTGCCAACTTTCAGTCCATTTCTACTGTAGCGTGTTGAGGTCACATTGAAGTTGTTTCTCGTAATTTTCATCGTAAATGTCTTCTTTACTGATACTTATTATTGTTAATTGAACAAGCACGCAGCGCAAGTTCGATTTGAACAAATTGTCTTTGGTGTAGGCCGGACTGAAGTTAATTTAACTTTGACACTGATTAGATTTGGTATCAGTAAAAATGACATTTGCAAGTTGTGCAATCTAATAACAGGTTACACACCGATTGCATTATCATCTCGGTTCCAGCTGAGATGAGAAGCTGCTCAGTTTAATTTCCGTAGGTATATTTTAAGATGCTGATGTTTATCATATAACTATTTTTTACATTTGAAAATTTTGCCATTAAGGAAGATTGTCCTCGTCTCGTTCCAAGACGAAGCGTCTGTTCGCGGTGCACCAGTGATTGCTGCACTTAAAAGACTGGGCGCAATGGATCCGATCGTTTTGGACTACCGCGGTTCTTTTGCTCTAGCTGGGTATGCTGGCTCATATCTGCCCTCGTGGGTAAGTCAAGCCCAAGCCAAAAGAGCACTGGGACCGAGTATAGTGACGACTGTGATAGATCCAGGTAACTTGTTTTGCTTTTTACTCCGTTCAATCTAATACTAGCGGAGCTCTAGTCAATTGACATCTGTCAAGAAGAGTATCCGCTGACCAGTGTCATCTGACTTTATCGCAGGCTCAGATGTACAAGTCATAGAGGTGACGTATTTTTTGAAGTTCTTCGCTGCTCAGTTAATGGTTTTAAATTGATTGCAGGCTCAGGTCAATTTAGTTTGCTTCTTCCTTAAGGCGAACGTTCGATAACTGATCAAGAAAGATCCTACGAGAGCTTCGCTTTTGGCGTTGGCTAAATCTATATATCAGCCTATGTTAAGGATGAATGGTGGAGTAAGAAATGGAGCTTTTTACTCTGCTATCATCTATTTGCGGAACTTAAGCAATACTCAGGTAAATTAAGGCATGGGCCTCAATTTTCCTTAATTTGCTCTCTTCAAAAGTGAGGGGGTGGTCTATATCTAAGAGCTTTAGATGAAGAGACATAAAACTTTGCCAGCTAACCACATGTTTAGTTTGTGTCAATTTTAAGCTATAAAATTATGCAAATTAGGTCACGTGACCTCCATCGGCTGAGAAAGTTTGTTCTTCAAACGGCAACACTTTTTCGTGTGTCTTCAATTATTTTACCGGTTGCTTAATGTTAATGCCGTTTAATGTATCACTTCTGTGCTTAGCCTTTTTTAGAGATTTAAAATCGAAGGCGTTAAGATGGGATACAATTGCTTTGGGGGACTGGGTCTAGTTGAAAAAGCCGTTTATTTTCTAAAACAGTAAAAAATTCAAAAAAGGCCAAGCACAGTCTTGTAGATGCTTGCATTACACATTGTCCTAAACCAGTCCGGTTTAATAACTCACAACAAAAAGTGTTGCCATTTTTGTTTAAAGACTTTTTATTGTTTTCTGGCCGTGTGGAGTCACGTGACAACATTTGCATAATTGAACATGACCTAATTGACAGAAACCACACATGTATGTATCTGGCAAAGTCTCATCTTCCTACTGCTTACGTGCTCAGAGATAGACCACCCCCCATCACTTTTTTACTGAATCATTGGAGACCCATGCCTTAATTTACCTGAGTACGGCAGGTGACGGAAGCGAAAAAGCCACTTGAACTCGCATCGTTACACTCACCACTATTACTCCAACTCGCTTGATTTAAGTTTTAAGAACCCCATTTTAGTTCAGTACAAGAATTGTGCCCGCCCTTCAATCAGGGATGGATTGACCTCCGGCTTGTTATTACAACACAGGTGACTTCAATAAAATGTCAAAAATGCGTGCTGGCTAAGCGTGATTTCCAAAACCTTTTTATAGTATATATTTACTTACCTTTTTTTACAAAACATAGTTCTATGAACTGAGTTTGTAAATTAATTTGTCCATAGTACAGAATTTTAATTGCCTCCACAAAAGTTTTGTTAGCCTGCAGTATATATAGCCCCCATCACGCTCAGCGGGGAACAGGTTGTACACAGCGCAGGCTCAGTTTTGTATTCCAGCATCACATCTCCTTTAAAAAGATAAAATCCTTTATCACTGACTCGCCCCATGTAAGGGAATCTAAGACAGTCTTACATTCCGGATTTCACGCCTTAGATTCCGGATTCCAGGTACTGTATTCCAGATTTTTTCTCAGTGAAACTTGGCCCCTGATTCCAATAGTCAGTGGGATTCCAAAGCTGCATTCCAAAGTCCAGGATTCTGGTTCCCCGCTAGAAGACGTCTCACATTGCGAGAGAGACTTCTGCTAGAAGGAAAGGATTTCGTATGATTCCACTAGCAAAAATAGCGTACAGTAGATTCTGGATTCTACAAGCAAAAATTCCCAGCTACCTTAATTCATATGGGATGAACTGACCACATTCAGTTTTCCTTTTCAGTTGGCGTGTTAGATATTCATGTTCGCAGTGAAGGCTGTGACGACCCTGGCAAAGCCCCTGGTACATGTGGCATTGCCTACATCAAGGTTAATGGGGTGGATCATTCACTTCACAGAAGAGGACACAATGTTGTTATAGTGGATGCCAAGACAGGTACAATTAGCTTTTTTCACATCTCACTTTCTTTTTTTAAAATTTCCTTTAAAATCTGATTTCAATCGACCGTATAATGCACCAATCATGGTTGGAGTCCAAGGAGCACAACGAAAACCAATTTGAGAATATTTTAACAAATTTGTATATGTTTCATTGGTAAAGAGAAATAGTGACTGGATGTTCTGAAAATAGAAATTATTTTCAGGATAATATAGTGTATTAAATTGTAAAGTCCCCCTTAGCCTTTCAGCTTTAAAAATAAATTCAACCTCAATGACCCCTTAAAAGGTGTTGAAAAATTTAGGTTTCTCACTTACAAAGAGACAGAAACTAGGGAGTGTAAGTAAGGACGTTTTAGAGCGACGCTAGTCAACCGGAAGTGAGCGTTTTTCCCTTTAAATATGCCTTGACGCTACCAAATTTGTATTGCTAAGTGTCTTCACTCTTATAGAAACGATTAGCCCAAAGACTTGTTCAAAAGCACGGCTCAAGAGTGCAAAAACGTCCACACTTCCGGTTGACTTCCGTTGTTCAAAAATGTCGTTGCTTAAACTCCCTAATAACTCCATTTCTATTGCTCATCGGACTGAATTTCCTTACAATTACGCAATTTCGCTGTTTTTAAATGCCTTATAATGCATCAGATCTCGTTACTGCAATCGGCTGTTGACAAATTTTAGTAAATTGGCCTAAGCAACTTAGCTTAAAAAAAAAAACTAATTCAACGTTTTAAGATAGAATCTAATTCACCTTGTTACCCCTCCCCCCCCAAAAAAAGAAAAAACGCACATCCATTTCCTTCAATTTAATTTCTCTTGCGGCGACAGTAATACCCAGCAGAAATTGGAAAGAGTGGTTATGCAAAAGCTTGGGGCGTAAACAAGATGCATTAATGGTGCATCAGTTAAAAAGGAAAGTAACTTGTGGTTTTTTTTATCTCCCTCACAAAATCGGATCAAAGCTTTTACTAAACTATCGACTGCCAAAATAATAAAATTTACTGTCCTTCGCTTCATGAGCAATCTTGACAGCAGCCAATATGCTTTGTGCTTAGGTCGAGTGGATGGAAAAGCTCATTTTGATACTCATGCTGATGGCACCGCAGGAACCAGGCTGGCAGCACATCTCGACGCCATACGTGGACAGTACGTAACACAAGTTATCGATTACTAAGTAGTTAATGGTTTGGGTAGCTTTGGATCTAATGGTTTTTTCTAGGAAAACTGTTACCTGGGCGTAACTTCGGCCCAGAGACACTGGAAGACCTCATCATCCTTGATTAAAGTATATCATGTGAGGTCTCGCGACAATTTCGACAAATTATTTCACCGATTCATCCACCACCACCACCACTACATTTCCAATAATTTCCGTCCGCCACCACCACATTTCTATTGTTCTGCACCGCTACTGCCACCACAACCACCACCACCAACATCACACTATCACCAGGACAACTTCCACCCCCCTTCACTACCAACACCACTACTACCACCACAACGACCTCCACCTCCTTCACTTCCAGACACACAACCAAAACGACCTCCACCTCCTTCACTACCAAACCCACCACCACCACGACCTCCACCTCCTTCACTACCAAACCCACCACTACCCCGACCTCCACCTCCTTCACTACCAAACCCACCACCACCACGACCTTTACCTCCTTCACTACCAAACCCACCACCACCACGACCTCTACCTCCTTCACTACCAAACCCACCACCACCACGACCTTTACCTCCTTCACTACCAAACCCACCACCACCACGACCTCCACCTCCCTCACTACCAAACCCACCACCACCACGACCTCCACCTCCTTCACTACCAAACCCACCACCACCACGACCTCCATCTCCTTCACTACCAAACCCACCACCACCACGACCTCCATCTCCTTCACTACCAAACCCACCACCACCACGACCTCCATCTCCTTCACTACCAAACCCACCACCACCACGACCTCCATCTCCTTCACTACCAAACCCACCACTACCACGACCTCCATCTCCTTCACTACCAAACCCACCACCAGCACAACCGCCATCTCCTTTACTACCAAACCCACCACTAGCACGACCTCCACCTCCTTCACCACCAAACCCACCACCAGCACGACCTCCATCTCCTTCACTACCAAACCCACTATCACCAAGATCTCCACCTCCTTCACTACCAACACCATCACGACCACGACCTCCATCTCCCTCTCTACCAACACCTCCACCTTCCGAAGCACCCCTAGCACCACTAACACCAACACCACCACAACTACCATCACCACCTTTCTTGACCTAACGCCATTAAACTTCATGCTGTAACAATTTTTCTTTCTTCTTCATCAGTAAAATCGTTTTGGTTGCCGTTCAAGATGCAGCTGCAAATCACTTTGCAGCAGCGTTTAATGCCCTTAGAAGATTGGGCGCTAAGGATCCTTTCGTGGCAGAATTCCGAGGATCATATGCCTTTGCTGGGTACTCACAGCCTAACAAACCCTCCTGGGTAACACAAGTTCAACACGGCCGAGCTAAAGGACCTAGCGAGTTCAGAATAACAATTCCCCTTATTCTTCCAGGTTAGTAAAACATTTAAAAAGAGGGATATTGGTACTTAATAGATCATATAGTGTACAGAAGTAAAAAAATTAATTTGAAAAAATATTTCTCTTCTTAATCACCTCCAGCAAAGAACTAGTTTTTTAGTCCTTATGCGCTTGGAGCGTTAGTGCCTATTAGGAGCGCCTTTAAGAGCATGCGCACCATCTTGATGACGTTCTAACATTTATAAAACGTTTAGATGAACTACACAATTTTAAAACTTTCAACCTCTGGAATGAGCTGTACATGTATTCTATATCCATACAGCTTATGAGACTATTGGTTGTTACAAAGACAAATCAGATCGTGCAATTCCAAAATTGGAAGGTAAAGATCCTATCTTAGATGGGGGCTACAAACAAAGAATCAATGCTATTGATAAATGCTACAGAGCCGCGAGAAAGAGAGGTTTTAAAGTATTCTCTGTTCAGGACAGTGGACAGTGCTTCTCCAGTTCAACCGCTCAAAAAACGTTCAACAAACATGGGGTATCATCTGCCTGTAATTTTGATGGTGAAGGCGCAGCATGGAATAATCAAGTTTATTTCATCAAAGGTGAGAGAAAGACAACAAGACAAGCATAGCTATTAATAGTAATGTAGAATGTTTACATGTCAACTGATTGCTCATGATGTGCCTTAGGCCAATCTGCATATGCGCAGAAGTTAGATGCGTATATAAAACGTTTCGGTATTCGAGCCTCAGGGTAGGGGGAGGGGGGACAGAAAAAAATAAACTAAAAGAATGAAATAGAAAAGAACCAGAGAAAGAAACACCGTACCTTTTCTTATTGCTGGCCAGCATGAGCGAGGCAGCATTATTAGTAATTTGCTTTTGTAGTTTAATATTGAAATTATGTGCATATAACCAGGCCTTTCAAGATCTTTAGTACCTTCCGAGCTGCATTGAATGTGAACATTTTAAATTTGCCTATGTATTAACTCCCTTGTGGAATATTTAATATCCTTATTCTTGAGCGTTCGCGTCAGCGGCGAAGTTGCTACCATAAAAGATTTTAAGTAAAGCTGTCAGTCTCTCACAGTTCTTCATTTGGTCATCCTGCTATTAGTCTTAACGCAACAATTCATGTAAGTACATTTGTTTCTAGCTCCTTATACAGCAATTGCTGTCATCATAGTTAGTATAAGAGGTGACTGGTTATGAAAGCCGGCAAACATCAAAGTTGAAAACGGTGCAGTAGTTTATGTTGGAAGCTCCCTGACTGGCACAGTCCTTTGCTTTTTCTTCACAAATTGTGACTGAATAAATTAATGCGGTGCTTCTATTGGTCACGTTGTGCACGGTACGGTCAGGTCCAAAAAACGCTAACAAAAACATATAGCAAAGGAGTCTAAGGAGTTTTCATAACCATTCCACCTAAAAAACGATGCTGTCACTAAAAGAACTAGTTATACTCGTGATAGTAGACCATGTGTTTGTCGTGTTTTCCTTACAGACTATCTGACAAGTTTTGGATGCTTTAAAGACACAGGAAATCGTGCAATTCCTCCTTTGGAGGGAAAAGACCCTATTTTAGATGGTTCTAATTACCAGAACCGTAAGCACGCCATCGCTAAGTGCGCTGTAGCATCTCTGAGGAAAGATTATCACATGTTTGCCCTCCAACATGACGGGTGGTGCGCCTCCAGTACCACGGCAGAAAATACGTTTGACAAACATGGCAGGGGAGGCAGCTGTCAAGGGGGTGGAGAAGGCGGTCCTTGGGCAAACGATGTTTACGTTCTTGGTAAGAATAGTATCAGTATCTTTATAAATTTAAAGAATGTACAAGATATACAGAGAAGATAAAAATAAAAACATTTGAAAAGCCATGGTGCTGAATCTGAAGTTGGTGAGGCTGGAGTCGAGTTGAACGTTGATGAAGATTTCGTCGTGTTTAAACGTAGTCCGGGAAAGGGGGGGGGAGGGTAATAAAAGCCCATAAGTGGAGGTTCTGCGTGAAAGGAGAACCTTTTTCAGGTTTTAGGTATGTAAAAGGGTAGGAGTTTCTCTATTTGAAGAATATGAAAAAGTAGGAACTTCTATCATCAGTTTTGGTCTGTGAAAAGACCTAAAAGGACTAGGCATTTTATGGCTGTAAAATGGTCGAGAAAACGTTATGGTCTGAGGTTTACTCAAATCTTAAGGAGACTGCATTTACAGCAGTTAAAAGAGATGCAAAGTTCTAAACGAGGTATGTGAAAGGGGTACCATTTGCTAATAGAAGGTGTAAGAAAGGGGTACCGTTTCTGTCAGAAATGGTATATAAAAGGCTAAGGGATTGGACCTCGGGGCGTAACCCCTCCGCATAAAACTTTGTTGAGTATCTCCCCTGAGACCCTAGTCGATCGGTACCCTATTACCTTAAATACAATAAAATGGAAAGGAAAGAGGTCAGTATAGGATTGCAAATAAAACACAATTTTAATTAAACACTTGACTGTTGTACCTTAAATTAATTTTTGCTGCGACCGGAACGTTTGACGATTTTTTCCAAATTAGGGCTGGGCTGAACACCCAAGACCAGTAACAGTCATAAATATACATTAATTACCCTGTTTCGCTTTACTTTTGTTAATTTTTTCCCAAACGAACAGAATGCCAGGAAGCTCTTGGAATGGAGAGTGGTGCAATTTTGGACGGAAAAATTACAGCCTCGTCGCAGTGGGACCCTAATCATGCTCCTCACCAGGCCAGATTGAACTACAAACCACCAGCAGGAAAAGCGGGTTCGTGGTCTGCTAAAACCAATGACGCCAATCAGTGGCTTCAGATCGATCTGGGAGGTGCATTTACGAAGGTGACACGAGTTGCGTCACAAGGAAGACATGCTGTGGCTCAGTGGGTCACCAAGTACAGGTTAAAATACAGCAATGATGGAGTGAACTACCAAGACTACAAGGAAGAAAGTCAAACAGTTGTTGAGGTAAATGTAAAGTAAATTCAATCACCCTGTTGTTGTTGCGGGAATATCGCTTTCGATAACAGTAGCAAGATGTCATTTCACTGAGTCAATTAGAATTTGTTGCAACTGTTACTGATACTCTTTCAACTGAAAAAAATATGGAATAATTGAAAGCTTATTACCGAACCTTGGACTTCTGTATGATATTCTCCCTTACCACCAATTCTACTCTACAATGACTGTACCTACACTTGCTAACTTATCTGTAGGAGTGTCGCTGATTTCCAACATTAGACAGCTTTAGATTTGACCACGAGTACGGGTACGATTACGAGATTAAACGAGATTTCACCCCTGTTCTCACCAAATGTTAATACGGTTATTTATACTGAAGGAGAGCAAGCCCTCTCATGATGATAACACTTCTTTCATTATTTTTGATAACTTGTTTCCGACACTACGACATTCTCGCTAAAACCCTTAGTAGCATGACGACGGCTATCACGTTTTCCCGCCAAAATGACGCTGGTTCACCCATGAGCAATACTCAGTATTGAGAAAATCTAGTACTCGTAGTCGTCCTCGTCTCAGTATCTGAAGCACTCTAATAATTCTGTTGGCCCTTAGCCAAAGAGAAGATAAATAGTGAGTACAATGTATAATAATAGTGTGCGGTCCTTAGAATGTCCTCGTACTTTTAGTCTAATTCTCAGACGTCCGAGGTCGATCGCAGTCCCCTCGAGAGGGAGCCCCTAGCGAAGCTCGGACTTCTGAGAATATAAGTCCTTATCGTCCTTGGCGATTTCTAAAATTTGGAATCTACTGAACAAATATCATATGCTGCTGTAGGAATTTGAGGGGAACATGGACAGTAATAACATTGTTTCTCACGAGCTAAAACCACCGATTTGGGCACGTTACATCCGTTTTCATCCAAAGACTTGGTATAGCCACATATCAATGCGCGTGGAGGTTTATGGCTGCAAGAAAGGTACTTTGTATTCAGCTTCACTCAGTCGTTGTTAACGAGTAGCACTTAGAAACTCCTTAAATTTATGGGCGAAATTGTTTCGTTTTTTTCTATAGCAATTTGCTCTCTTCAGGTTATCTTCTTGCAGTGGGTTTTATACAAAAACCGAAAAACCATCATAAGCCTTACAATATTTGTCATTCTGTCTCTGTTTTCCTAGAACATGTTTGAAAGATAGAACCCCGAAGCACCAAAGAAAAATTTCATCTGCTCAGTAAACTAGTTTGACAAGTTCTTATTTTAGACCAATCAGCAACAGCCTTGCATAAGGCGCGCGAAAAACGCAAAAGGTCACGTCTGTCTGTCACGCATTCTTGTTTTACTTTTAGTGAATTCTACTTTTAAAACTCTTTTTGGACAGTTTAGTTGCAGTATTAGGGGATATTGTTACTCGTCTATTTGTATTTTGACTCTCGTAAAAAGATACCGCAAAATTTCGAAAATAAGCCCCGGGGCATATATTTTTGAAAGGCCCCTTTTGAGGGGCTTATATAATTATTTTTGGAAGGGCTCATCTACGGAGGGGAATTTGTGTTTCAAAATCGATTGGGCTAGCCTTATAGTTGGAAGTAAATTAACCGTTTTGGCTTTGTTTTTCTTTTTTATATTATATTTACAGCATGAGAAGCTGGTAGTCAAAATTCACTGCTCATTCATGCATCTTGTGCAGGAATGCTGGAATAAAGATCTGAATTTGATACGAATTTATAAGCTTAGTTACGAGGACGACTAAGGGATTCATATTTCAAATAATCATTTCATTAATGGAATCTATAGGGGTACGCTTGACCCGGCTTGACTGTAATTTTTAGCCTTTAGATAGGATTGGGGTTGATGAAGCCAAAGAGTATGATCATAACATGTATACATGACTAGCATGAAGTCAAAAAAAGCAAACTATCAATTTCTAAAAATACTCCAGACTGTCAATCTCCTCTTGGCATGCAAAGTGGTGCAATTTTGGACGGACAAGTCACTGCCTCCTCGCAGTGGAACAGTAACCATGCTCCTCACCAGGCCAGGCTGCACTACATACCACCAGCAGGGAAGGCGGGTTCTTGGTCTGCTAAAACCAATGACGCCAATCAGTGGCTTAAGGTTGATCTTGGGACCCACTCCAGGGTGACACGCGTAGCGTCACAGGGGAGATATGCTGTTAATCAGTGGGTTACAAAATACAAGTTGCAATTCGGAGATGATGGAAACAACTTTATGGACTACCAAGCAGCACCTGGGGGAGCAGCTACGGTAAGAAAGAGGTTTGACTATATATTGTTGCCATCTGCTTGTATCCCTTCAGGGTATATTTCACAAGGACAGATAAGCGTCAAGTCTGGCTAAATGTATTTTCCTGAGTAAAAGGGCCTTTTAGACAAGAGGATTTTGAGTCCTATGATTGCAAGTTATAGTCTGCATGCTTTATTGTATAGCTGTTAAGAATATGCTTAAACAATGAATGGTCGAGAAGAATCAAGAATTAGTATTTTGCTTATATTTGGATTTAGAGCTCTTTGTGCGTGTCTCTGGAAGGTGTCAGTATTTTACGCGCGCCACTTCTATCTGAGTGTATATCAATTAACTTTATTTACTTGTCAGTAGTTGGTAAGGCACGTTTTAACATCCTTATTTTTATGTTGAAGTATAAATGCGATTGCAGTGAAGGTTCAAAGGAAGGTTTCAGTAATCGAACTAATTCTCTTACAGGTGTTTACCGCAAATTCAGACCAGAATACTGTTATTTATCACCCACTATACCCTACAATTAAAGGACGTTATATACGGCTCCTTATTGTCGCTTGGTATCGCCACATATCGATGAGAGTGGAAATTTATGGTTGTCATTTAGGTACTGTTTAAAATGTTGTAAAAATCTGAATTTTCATTTACTCGAATAGAACTCAGACTTGATAGATAACTACACCAGAGTGCAAATTGCAGGCGATTGGCGTGCTGACTTAGGAGAGAGGGGAAAAGTGACGTCACTTTTGGTTGCAATGGTAGCAAAATTTCTGGATCACAGCAATAGAAGCAAAGACGAAGGCAAAACAATAACTTTGCACGTGCATGGCGCTTTTTGTACATTTCTTAACCGCCGTTGCACGACTGCGACATGAAACTTTCTAATTTCACGCGCCCGCTTATGTAGTAGAGTGAACACAACACAACAATTTTCCTTTTTCTAAACTTAGATAAGCTCTTTAGGATTTAACCCCACATAATTTTGCCAACATTTTAAATCAAATTGAATACGATCGATGAAGTTTGAAGAAGTGCGAATTCACTTTAAGTGACGTTCTCTGTTTTCTGTAGTTTAATCCGGAAATTTTGCTACCATGGCAACATGACGTAACGAGTTCTCCTCTCTATTTGTTCTGAAAGAAGAAAACATGAAAAAAAGCAGGATGGAGGGAAAGCAACAGCTACATTTAAGCATCAGTAACAGAAGGCAGCGTATTGTACCCTACGTAATAATTGGCCAGATACGATAGTGACCAGAAAAGCTGGGGAGGGAATGAGTTAGGAATAGGGAGAGAGAAAACATGACATGCAATAAAAAAATATATCGCTCTTTTTCATGCCTTGCGACTTATATTTCATGAATGATTTACAACAAAGCTAAATTCTTTGTCATAGACGTCAACGAATGTGCAAACAACCCTTGTAAGAACGGTGCAGTGTGTGTGAATCTTATTGGAAGTTATCGCTGTAACTGCAAGGCTGGATACAGTGGCAACCACTGTGAAACGAGTGAGTTAATAAGTAGACTCAAGTAGGGGATAGTAGGGCGAGCGAAACGCGAGCGCGCCTGATTTATAGAATCATGTACTTAACCTGCGTTAGGGACGAAAGTTTCAGAAGCATATATCCACAGTAAATTTGGTCTGCAGACTGGAGGGAATATCTCCTTCGTGGCGGACTGGGTGATCTTATTGGAACGGTAAAAACTGTATCACCTTTTTTCACGACTATAACCATGCTGTCAAACGATTACAAAATTAAGTTGCTGCTTGCTTTTTTAAACTTTGCAGTTGTGAAAAAAGAGTTAAAATTAATTGAACGATGGCGTAGCTTATAAATAACTACGTCATCGTGGTAAACGTGATCTAATTGGCTGCTCTTGCCGATTTTAGACGTCAACGAGTGTGCGCCCGCTCCATGCCAGAACGGAGCCACATGTGTGGATCTTGTTGGAAGTTATCGCTGTGATTGCAAGGTTGGATACACTGGAAGCAACTGTGAAACAAGTAAATTTGAAACAATGTATTTCTTTTTCGATCATTTTATCTAGCACATTTTTTTTGAATATATAGCTTGCACTGTAATCAAATTCAGAGAGATGTTAACTAGATTTCCATAATACACATTTTACTCTTTTTCACTTTCAGACATCAATGACTGTGCACCTGATCCATGCCAGAACGGAGCCAAATGTGTTGATCTTGTTGGAAGTCATCGCTGTGATTGCAAGGCTGGATACACTGGAAGCAACTGTGAAACAAGTAAACTTTAAACTTTGTATTTCTCTATTGTCGTTAAATACCCACTTGTCTGTACTCTAATCGGACATAGAACGAAGGTGGTTTTTTTCCGACTTTTTGAACACAACGTGTCAATAATTTAATGTACATTTTTAGTTGTCCAAAAATACATAAGTGCAGTGCAGAAAACAACTATATAACATGAAACTCAGCAGCATTTTATTTCTGATTTTCTTATAAAAAATATGAATTTTCTACTAAAGATGGTGCCTACAAGTGTGTAATATTTTGTAATCAACAGACATCAATGACTGTGTACCTAATCCATGCCAGAACGGAGCCACATGTGTGGATCAAGTTGGAAGTTATCGCTGTGATTGCGTAGCTGGGTACACTGGAAGCAACTGTGAAACAAGTAAGCACTGGCACTTAATTTTAGTCGCTAGCTAAAATTGCATCCTGACTCGGTAAAACTGATTCATTGTTCGCTTTTTTAGACATCAATGACTGTGTACCTGATCCATGCCAGAACGGAGCCACATGTGTTGATCTTGTTGGAAGTCATCGCTGTGATTGTGTGAATGGATATACTGGCAATAGCTGTGAAACGAGTAACTATAATCCTTTAGCCCACATTTAAGTAAGAATCCCACCCCCTCCCCCTCCCCCAGAACACAATGGGAAGGGCCAATGCTATCATCCCTGCAATGATTTCTCTTCGATTTTGTCAACGCTGTTTTTGAGCGAGAATTACACGAGTGTTTTACTGGAAAATATACCACTCATAAAATTCATAAAAACTACATCCGGGACCCGAGTGGTTTATTTTCCATAATCTCACACGTGAGTTTATCGATGACGTAATTTTGCCGGTAATTTTCCTCTATTATTTTATCGATGTCATTTTGTCTATGTTATAAAAAGAACATTACACGGCGGCTTGAAGATATGAATTTTATTTTCGAGTGGCAAAACAATATTTTACGAACGAGCGCAGCGAGTGAGTAAAATATTGTTTTTGCCACTCGAAAATAAAATTCATATCTTCGCGCCACCGTGTAATATCCTCTATTTAATATCCTTTTTGGTCATTAAAATAATAGTATTTTGTTAATTGTCTTTTGCAAAAATTGAGTTGGTTCTTTGAACTTAGCATATGACAAAAGGCAAAGGATACATGATACGTCATTTAGTTAAAATAACTTACAGCGGGTAAAGCATTTTTGAAATGGCATTGCAGGATAAAAGTTTAGGTCAGTATCTGTTTGTGGCAATTGGGTTTCGTCCGGAAATCGACTTTCAATAGAACCAATACTTTTAGGATACCGTGAAATAATTTGTTTCTTGAATATTTTCACTTTTTAGATATTGACGATTGCGCACCTGCTCCTTGCTTGAATGGTGGCACGTGCGTCGATCTAGTCGCCACTTACCACTGTGACTGTCCGATCGGATTCCTCGGATTAACATGCGAAGGTACAGTAAGAATTTTAAACCATCTGATGAGTCTGGTGAGAGGGTTCAATGGGGTTATAACCGTCAGCCTCCAAACGGCTAAAAAATTTAACCTTCAGGCGTCAAAAAAGGTAATTTTTTTACCGTTAACCGTCAAAAATACAGATTCATATATTGACCGTCAAAAAGTTTCAAGGTATCTCAAATCTCACTATTTCAGTTAATCTTCAAAGACTTCTGACTTCTGAAGAATCAGCTCTAAACTGGAAAACTCAGTTCTCGTGTTCTTAAAAACTCTCTCTTGAGATTACAAGACCTTACAACTTGCTTGTATTTGAAAACATTCCAAAATTTGAAAGGCCAAGACAACCCAACAAAAACATAACATTTAACATTAGCTTAAATATACAGAAGTTAATATTTACTCAAACTCTTGGACTTAATTCCTGTTAATAAAAGTCAACAGTCAAAAGCTTAAAAAAAATTACAACGTCAACCGTCAAAATTGAAAAATATTAACAATTAACCGTGAAAGCCACCCAGCATCCCAGTGAGACCCTCTGGTTAGGGTTTGCGACTTCTTGAGATGGGACGTGATACCTTTCCTTGGGTATCCTGATGTTCTCCACAAGTAATCCGATTGACTAATCCTGATTAACGGGAGTTTCTAACCTTTTACACAAAGATATATAGTTGATACTTTGACATACTAGCCAGCTTAGCTAGCCTTTTCCAAGAGTAGAGGGCAGCAACACCCTGTGAGCAGGGGTTTCTTTCTATTCCGCCAATTGGCTTTTAGCATTTACGAGCGTATGTCGGTGCATCTATCAGTCTTTTGTACGCATGCGCAACGATGGCAGCGAAATTTCGTTTAATTCAAGAAAAGTTCGCGGGAGCTTCAACGAATGTTTGCGCAAACAATCCTTCTTTATTAGGACAACATTCAGCGAACTTCGCTCTCATTTCTTCTGCACCGTAGGTGCTGTAACTGGGCAAGCTAGGGGAGGAGCTAGGGATATAATTTATCTAAAAACTGCACCAATTATCGGTCTTTTTTTTTTTTCAGAAGTTGAAGTTGACGAGTGTCTTGAGTAGGTGGAGCTGACGAGGTAGGTACCAGTTACTATACAATATGCTGATCCTAAAGGAGCATGGCCGATATTTAATAACATACATTCGAATCTTCAAATTGTTGAAAGGGCTTTTGAAGAGGGACTATAGCATGCCCTTTCGACAAAGGCAACAATTTAGCCAGGAAATCATCTGCTGTTTATAATAGACTAACGGTGACGAGAGTTTTCTCTGGATGGTTAACACAGTAATAAGACTGATTAGCATGAATCCTTCGAGATACTTAACTCTGTCAAAATGGTTTTTCAACCTAAGTTTTCACTGTTAAGCTTAGGTCAAGTGGCCAATACAAAACAAGGAGAATAATTATATAAAAACTACAGAGTATCTACTTATACAAAAAATTTTCATAATAACAGAAAGGATGGTACTGAAATTACATTTTGAAATTCCTGACTGGTTGTCGTTTCTGCAGAGAGGTGTGAAGCTTCTTGTCAGAAAATGATTGGCTAAAACTTTTCCATAAATTAAATACGGACGTGATGGTAAAACTCAGAGGGTAAATACAAAATGCAGTTGGTAGTTCATAGAACAGGCGTTTGCCGCTTCGGTTTCCATAAGACGCGCGCGATATGTGCAAAGGGGTGGTGTCCCTCTCTCTTCCCAGCCCCCGCGCGTTTTTCATATTTCCTTTTACTGCACGACTGCACTACTTTCTTGGAGCCTGGATCAAGATAAGGCAATTACAGCTGGTGTAGGCGCGAAAAGTGCTTGAGCCGATCCATTTATGTGTCTCCCTTTTCTACACTGATTTATTTCCTTCCCAAATCAACATCATTCCCCCCCCAAAACACCCAGACTGCCCTCTTAAGTTCGACGCATCTGAGGCACCCTGATTGAACAGGTTGGGGTCGTTGCATAGCGGCCGCCTGCCGAATTCAAGTATAACTGTGCTTGAAACGAAACAAGATGTTATGAACAACATTTGACCATTTTGTTTTCTTAGGTTTGCGTTTGGATGGATGTCCATAATTGAACTAAGCGGTTTAAAGGATTTTATCTACCGCCATCATAGGTGCATGGCCAAAAATGTAATATTTCGCATAGTTTATTCAACAGCTTAATAAACATCAGTTAAACTGGCACATATTATTTCTTTCACTCTGGTTGTTGTTAAACTTTATTCTAACCTTTATTTATTTATTTTGGAACGCCTTGCTTGGAGTGATTTTACTAAACCCATGAAACACAGGGGCGGATCCAGGATATTTTTTAGGAGTGGGTGCACTCGTCTCTTGCTCTACTTCAACACCAATAAACCACATAGTTTTTTTTTTCGCAGAATAACAGTTGTATTAGAAATCCACAGGTCATCCCAGGGGCGGGGGGGGGGGTGCGCACCCCCTGCATCCTCCCCCTAGATCCGCCCCTGAAAAAGTATAAACATTTGTGCCAAAAAGCCATAAGTAAACAAGAGAAAACACAGTGAAATTAAGAAATGTACTACCGTGTAATGGTCCAGTTCACGGGTTCAGTAAAATCACCCTGTCTAGATCGATCTCTGTTCATCACCGAATAAAAGTGCGTACCGACTGAAGAACACTGCAGATATCATAAATATACAGATCATTTGGCAACTTAATTAGTCAAATAATTTTATTCATATATTTTGTCGCTTGATTTTTATCCAAGTTTCAAAACGCCCTTTCAGAAAATTTCAAGATATCGAGATTTCCGATTGCCGCCAAGGTTCGGTTACTCGAGGAGCTTCGAAGAAGCTTGCACTGACGTTTCACAAAAAGGTTCTTTCAGGGCAAATTCCGGTGAAAGTACGAAAGCTGAATACAATGATATTTTATTATTCAGCTAGAATGCTCTACCGAAACTATACCAATCAGCTTGTTATTTTCTTGTGAAAATTGGGACTTTAATGCGGTTAAATGTGCGTGAGATTGAAAAACGAGAAAACACAGCAAATACGAAATGAATCTGATATCCGCTGTCAAATGACGTCATGGCCTATTTATTGAACCAGGCGGATATGAATGGAAAGACAGAGTTGAATTTAAGCTATATCGATGAAGCCAATAGACATTTTAACTCTAGCAATGGCTAGGTGCATTTTAAGTTTCACCTTTTGATTACAGGTGTTCAGTTTTTTATTATTTTTTCGACGTTAAGATATTTAACTTTAATTTTTTCAACCTTTTGATGCATATTATTCATGAGTAAGGCGTTTTATTTTGTATCGGGCTAATTTACGTCAAATATAAGACATTGACCTTGAGCTTATTAAAATTTAAAAAGTGAAGGTAAAAGACCACGATGACATAAAGTTATAACGTACTATCAGGTACTATTTTATTTTATTACCGTTACTATTGTATTTTTCTTTGATGCGACAGTGAAAAAAAGTAACCGGACGTTTTCAATAATTTCGTATCCATTCACATCGTATTCCTACTTACGTCAAGATCTCTAATGGCGGGGTAAAACCGAAATAAATTCGTTATAAAGTAATTTTTTAACCATTTTTCTCTGATTTTTTTTTCACTCTTTTATAACTTTTATAAAATACGTAAACCCACCTTTTGACTGCAAATTCGTGTCTTATTACACCCTATTAATAATATATCGTTATGTCTTTATTCTGCTCTTTTTCATGTCGGATTGCTTTACATATTAATTAAGAGTCATCTTAAGTAAATAGAGAACGATGAATATATACTTTGGAAAGATCTTGGTCAATGGTTAGCTTTATAATTACCGACCAATTTATGACATGCTTAGAACGATTATGTTAATTATATTTGCTTATCTTTAATTATGTTCACTCAGCTGTAATGCCTATCAAATCCATTCACAAACCTCTGCAAAATATCTTAGCCTTTTCTAACAGTTCTAACTCCGATCCTCGAGGTTCGTTAAGCAGTAATCAAGCTTTTTCAGTGGATACCAAGGTATAATAACAAAACAGGTATTGTACTGTCACATAGTTTGTTACCCCTCTTAATCATCAAAAGTGATAACTCTTTTAATACCATAGCGTGAAAACGTTTACTTTAACAGTTTCTCCCCAATAGCTGAATCCATTTCAAAGGGATACGGCATTACTATCACGCAATTACGGAGATCGATTTGGAGAAAAGTTGCCATAAGCCATAATCTAACATCACGGTTTCAGTCTCTCAAATAATATAAATAGCTCTAACAATGAGTACTGAAAAAAGGTAATTTCAAAAAGAAAAAGTTAACCGCAACTGGGATCCACAAACCACTTCTGCATTGCCCGTAAGATTTCCTTGAACATCCACATAATTATCTAAAATTACAACAATTATTATCTAACAGGCTTTTATGCATGCCATCGTTTATGCTATAGTAAAGAACATGATAAAAAGTAAGACACTTACTCAATTAATTCAGATTGTTCATTCTCGATTTCTATCAGCTTTGATAGTTGCCCCCGGGCTTCATCCCTCTTTTAACTACCAAGAAAAATTCTCTACTTCACTTAGTAATTGTTTGAAAGTGAACATCTATGATATCATCTTTTTTGATGGTGTTATGTTTCGTTTAATAAGGCCTCCTTAAAACCCTCTTCAGGTCAGTATCAAGTCGCCCCATGCAAGGGAATTGTAGACAGTCTTGGCTTCCGGATTTCACGTCGGTGGATTCTGGATTCCAGGTAGTGCATTCCGGATTCATCTTTGTTTGTGGAACCTGGAATTCTTATTCCAATCCTTAGCAGTATTAGGGATTGCTTGAGCCGTATTCCGGATTCCAAAACGTAGGATCCCGGATTCCACAATAAACGTTTGCTGGATTCCGGATTCCACAGTAAAAAAACTCCTGGATTCCGGAATCCAAATTGCCTTACAAGGGGCGAACCAAAAAGAATAATAAAAACAGAAATTTGAATAATCTATCGCTAATACTACCATACTGGCGAAATTGTTAAAGTTATTACTAGTACTTACTGGATCATCGTCCTTTGCTTTGTAAGCACTACGAGCCTCAGCGCTCCGGAAGTTAAAAAATTCGTACCGTCTGGTTGCTATGAAGTAACGTAATCATCCCGTTGAGTATCCATCACCGTAACACTTTTGCGGTCAACTACCGCAGCGCTCGTAAAGTACTTTAATTAAAACCGTGTTCAAAACCCTTTAGGAAGTCTGTTTATTTTTGAGTCGATTAATGCACTGCTGACTTTCACGAGGTCAACTTTTGCATAAATTATCAAACATTATGTTAAGCGGGAAATCTACCTATGGTTCGCGGGAGAAGCAACTTCTATAGCGGCGCAAGACAAATGTTTCGAGAGTCGAGGATGTGCTCACAAACTATTCACTATGCGACGAAAGGAGATATCACTGGCATGATACCTGCATGTAATGGTAATTTTTATCAATCCAGGTCGCGCCGTGTTCGCTCGAGAACGCTGTGACAACTTCGTTTGGCGCGCTTCTCAATACTTCCAAAACATGTTGTAATCGGTAAGTAGACTTAAGCACTTAGTATCGCCAAGCCATTCGAATCAGTGTATACCCAATTCTTTGTCTGAAGATTCGCGCAAACACATATACCAAGTAAATCTGGATGGAAGAGGAAATTGTCTCCCTAAACGCAGCCAGGTTATATTTTGAAGGATGGAGGCACAATTCAACGCGTCGTCCAGGTCAGCCCTAATTTATAGTTCGTAAGAGTATAAATTGCGATATCCCTATTTTCGCTTAAGCTTTCTTTGATAAAACTTCAGTAGAAACAAAACAACGCAGACATGACATTCTCCTACATGAGACACAATCGGCTGAAGGAAATATCTGTTTACAAGTCGGGTAAATTATCCATTCTTGCGCACCGCAAAATCAGCTAAAATCAGTCGCTGGAAACCTGGCATATTATTAAGCCTGAGCGCTTCTAAGAATAACACGTTTAGAACTTCGACGAGTAGAAAAAAAAAGGCAGTTGTTCTATATCCTTTCTGGTTCATCCAGGTAGAAGTCCTGGCATATTATTATGCCTGAGCGCTTCTAGGATATATAACACGTTTAGCATTTCAACCCGTAGCCGTAAAAAACAATTAGGTAGTTGTTCTATAACCTTTCTGGCTCACCCAGGTAGAAGTCCTGACATGATATCATTATGCCTGAGCGCTTCTAGGATATATAACACGTTTAGCATTTCAACCCGTAGCCGTAAAAAAAAATTTAGGCAGTTGTTCTATATCCTTTCTTATTCATCCAGGTAGAAGTCCTGGCATGATATCATTATGCCTGAGCGCTTCTAGGATATATAACACGTTTAGCCTTTCAACCCGTAGCCGTTAAAAAAAATTTAGGCAGTTGTTCTATATCCTTTCTGGTTCATCCAGGTAGAAGTCCTGGCATATTATTATGCCTGAGCGCTTCTAGGATATATAACACGTTTAGCATTTCAACCCGTAGCCGTAAAAAACAATTAGGTAGTTGTTCTATATCCTTTCTGGTTCACCCAGGTAGAAGTCCTGGCATGATATCATTATGCCTGAGCGCTTCTAGGATATATAACACGTTTAGCATTTCGACCCGTAGCCGTAAAAAAAAAATTTAGGCAGTTGTTCTATATCCTTTCTGGTTCATCCAGGTAGAAGTCCTGGCATAATATCATTATGCCTGAGCGCTTCTAGGATATATAACACGTTTAGAATTTCGACCCGTAGCCGTAAAAAAAAATTTAGGCAGTTGTTCTATATCCTTTCTGGTTCATCCAGGTAGAAGTCCTGGCATATTATTATGCCTGAGCGCTTCTAGGATATATAACACGTTTAGCATTTCAACCCGTAGCCGTAAAAAACAATTAGGCAGTTGTTCTATATCCTTTCTGGTTCATCCAGGTAGAAGTCCTGGCATAATATCATTATGCCTGAGCGCTTCTAGGATATATAACACGTTTAGAATTTCGACCCGTAGCCGTAAAAAAAAATTTAGGCAGTTGTTCTATATCCTTTCTGGTTCATCCAGGTAGAAGTCCTGGCATATTATTATGCCTGAGCGCTTCTAGGATATATAACACGTTTAGCATTTCAACCCGTAGCCGTAAAAAACAATTAGGCAGTTGTTCTATATCCTTTCTGGTTCATCCAGGTAGAAGTCCTGGCATGATATCATTATGCCTGAGCGCTTCTAGGATATATAACACGTTTAGCATTTCAACCCGTAGCCGTTAAAAAAAATTTAGGCAGTTGTTCTATATCCTTTCTAGTTCATCCAGGTAGAAGTCCTGGCATATTATTATGCCTGAGCGTTTCTAGGATATATAACACGTTTAGTATTTCAACCCGTAGCCGTAAAAAACAATTAGGTAGTTGTTCTATATCCTTTCTGGTTCACCCAGGTAGAAGTCCTGGCATGATATCATTATGCCTGAGCGCTTCTAGGATATATAACACGTTTAGCATTTCGACCCGTAGCCGTAAAAAAAAAATTTAGGCAGTTGTTCTATATCCTTTCTGGTTCATCCAGGTAGAAGTCCTGGCATGATATCATTATGCCTGAGCGCTTCTAGGATATATAACACGTTTAGCATTTCGACCCGTAGCCGTAAAAAAAATTTAGGCAGTTGTTCTATATCCTTTCTGGTCCATCCAGGTAGAAGTCCTGGCATATTATTATGCCTGAGCGCTTCTAGGATATATAACACGTTTAGCATTTAAACCCGTAGCCGTAAAAAACAATTAGGCAGTTGTTCTATATCCTTTCTGGTTCATCCAGGTAGAAGTCCTGGCATGATATCATTATGCCTGAGCGCTTCTAGGATATATAACACGTTTAGCATTTCGACCCGTAGCCGTAAAATAAAATTTAGGCAGTTGTTCTATATCCTTTCTGGTTCACCCAGGTAGAAGTCCTGGCATGATATCATTATGCCTGAGCGCTTCTAGGATATATAACACGTTTAGCATTTCGACCCGTAGCCGTAAAAAAAAATTTAGGCAGTTGTTCTATATCCTTTCTGGTTCATCCAGGTAGAAGTCCTGGCATATTATTATGCCTGAGCGCTTCTAGGATATATAACACGTTTAGCATTTCAACCCGTAGCCGTAAAAAACAATTAGGCAGTTGTTCTATATCCTTTCTGGTTCACCCAGGTAGAAGTCCTGGCATGATATCATTATGCCTGAGCGCTTCTAGGATATATAACACGTTTAGCATTTCGACCCGTAGCCGTAAAAAAAAAATTTAGGCAGTTGTTCTATATCCTTTCTGGTTCATCCAGGTAGAAGTCCTGGCATGATATCATTATGCCTGAGCGCTTCTAGGATATATAACACGTTTAGCATTTCAACCCGTAGCCGTTAAAAAAAATTTAGGCAGTTGTTCTATATCCTTTCTGGTTCATCCAGGTAGAAGTCCTGGCATATTATTATGCCTGAGCGCTTCTAGGATATATAACACGTTTAGCATTTAAACCCGTAGCCGTAAAAAGAAAAAAAGATAGGTAGTTGTTCTATATCCTTTCTGGTTCATCCAGGTAGAAGTCCTGGCATATTATTATGCCTGAGCGTTTCTGGGATATAGAGTAGCAGTTTGACCCGTAGAAAAAACAAACTCAGCCGTTCATTTTGTAGGAGATATTTAAGCGTTTTTGTCTGTGTTAGCAATGTGATCGACTTTATACGCAGACCTTAATAATATGCTTTTTTGTTTGACGGCACTGAATAATTTTAGCCGAAACTTGAGCCGTACATTTGTTGAATGCCGCGCTTTAATTAAATTTCTCGCCCTAGAATGATGACATGATGGCGCGAAAATTGACGCCTCTATCGTATTAGATGGGAAATATGATCAGAGATAAATGGAATAGTGAATGTTACAAGCTTCTGAGTATCCAGCTGAGATAGGGGACTTTTAGTCCCCTATCTCAGCTTGATAAACAAAATTTTTTTGGTTGCTAAGACGGTGCGGCTCGTTATGTAAAAAGGGAGTTAACGCTCGGACGTACACGCAAATTCAAACCCCCACCGTGGAACAAGGAGGGAAGGGTTGAAGGAACTCCTCCTTAGAGTTTTTGATTGTTGTAGTATATCGAAACGATTTTGCCTTTAATGGAAAGCCTGAAGATGAGGTATATTTTATGGGTGGTTGTGGTTACTGGAGGCCTGTGATGTCACCAACAATGGTCGGCATCTTGGCCACCATCTTGGATTTTACCAATGATTAGAAATCAGGTTAAAACCGCAAGAAATTGTAATTTTTTCCCTTGACATGTCATCAAATAACACACAAATTAACAATTTGCATCATTTCATCCACAATGTTTACTTTCATTAACGAAAGAAGTTGAGAAAACATGCATTTTCACTCAAAAATGGTTTGCCCACCTGCTTCTTATGACGTCATACCTCGTAACCATAGTAACTGGTTATCACTAAACTTGTCTCAAAATGCGTGTGAACGAACAGCTCCTGAAAACGTCAGGTGCTGATGTTCTATCGTCTGGAAAAACTCAGAAAAACCTCCCCCCCGCCCATGAACGTCCGAGGGTTAAAGGACGGCATGCAATCAGGATACATAAATTGCTCTATTTTACTTTAGGGCTAGGGCTACAGGAATTATTTATTAAAGAATAACATTACGTTTGTTACAAGTGGTTCCAAAATTTTGTTTGGTTTTTTAGAAGTATTTCTTAAAAATTAAAATGTGCTTCTTGTCGTATAATTGTCAGATAAGTTGAGACGCTGTAATTCGACATGAAGTTTCTCTTCCATTGTTTGGTCCTAGCAGCCACGTTAGATCTCTGTTCCAGCCAGTGTAGAGTGGCAGATTGGTCTAAAGCATTTGACAAAAAGGGATGGGTGGCCTGTCAATCCACCGAATATTTGAATGGACTGTACAGAAATGACAACTGGAAAGACAACGACGGTATTTTCTTAATCGAAAATGCAAGATGTTGTAAAGCTCCAGCACCGAATCAAAATCGCGCATCGACTCACGTTATTGCAAACTGGTGGAAAACATTAGATAGGTAAGGAAAGATTTAAGCCTTTGAAATTCTGTAAGAAAATAATCGCGGACTATACCTTGGCCCAATTCAAGGGCCGACAAGTGGCTGCAACATCGAAAACGCTGATAATCGTTTGGGAACTGAGTTCAGATTAATGTTGGCTTTCATAATTGGCCTACTATAAGCAACAGGCTGCCTCAAAACTGTGACGGCATCAAATCCTTTTGAAAGATCTGTGAAATGTATGACTAAAGACTTTGATACTTACGGCATTAATTCGTTTATTTTTTGGGGTAAAAGTTAGGTCATTAAATCCGTACTTTACAAATCCTTGTAGATTGCAACTTAGCATAAATAAAATAAAACGAAGAGGTTCAGTCAGCGGTAAGGAGATCTAAGGAATCATTCTTAAAGATGAATAAGAGTACATCAAAACACAGGAAAGGAAAGCAGAAAAGTGTCTGATCAAGCATATATCTACATAAACTGACTTTTTTAATAATCACGGGTATTTGAATAAAGTCATCCTCTTTTTCAAAGATATCAAATAGCAATTTGCGAGGAACTCTTTGGAAAGTTTTCTTAGGCAAGTCCGTTATATATATAGAGTGTGGTATCTTATTCCAAAGGCCAAGGTAGACCTTACCAAAAAGCGCATTTCTCAAGTACCCTGTTCTTCTGGGTTGTGGTTGTTCATAGTGGGACAGAACCCCATACCCATAGATTATGGTCAACCTCTTTTCTTTTGGTTGTCACGTGATTGACCGAGCGTACGTACGTACGCGTCTACAGTTTGTACGGGTAGGGTAGGGGAGACTATCAAAAGGAAGGGAGGGGTGTCTCAGGCGTGTCTTGCCAAGTCCACATCTTTTACATTGGACATTCACAATATGGTCAATTGACAGCTGTCAAAACAGGATAGCCACTGACCAGTATCCCATGGCCATATCGCAGGCTCATGTGTCAACACATTGAGGTGACGTGATTTATTTGGAAGCTGTCCGCTGACCAGTTAATTATTTTACTAGATCGCGATCAATGTTCAGTCCCATACTTTCTAGCTAGTTTGGGATCGGAGCACAGGAAAACTGATACACGTCAATGTTGTGATCCATTGACAGCTGTCAAAACAAGGTATCCGCTGACCAGTATCACTTGGCTGTATCGCGGGCTCAGGTGTCGACCCATCGAGGTCAAGTGTTTTTTGAAGTTATCCGCTGACAAGGTACTCGTTTTCAAGTGATCGCAGGCTCAGGTATAACTATTTTTAAAATTCATATGAAATATGTTGTGCCGCACAATTAAAATTTTGATTTCCAACTGACCTCGGACGCGAAAATTCAGCCAGCTGCTACAGGCAGGGAAGACAGTTGCTTTTGACTTTTCTCGCCATGTTTACGCGTTGGTCACGCTCTACGTCCAATTTTTATGCTCTGATTGGTCAAAATTTGACAGGTGAGTTCATGTAGAAATTTTATGCAGCATCTTGAATCTTGTTTACTTTGACAGCTTAAGCTGACAGAGTTTTGTGTCAACTTCTGATGTTTTTAGCTTTCTTTTTCCACTGGATGTGCAAAATGAAATTCAGCTGCTATCAGGAGTCTTCTGTTATTCATGGCTAGTTTGTTTATTGGGTTTTTGGTTGAGTCAAAGTCGGAAATCCGATTTCGGATGGCATCGTTTTCGTTTTCATCTTGCTTATTAATGCGTAAGAGGGTTGCAAACTGGCTGAAGCGATACTGGCCTTACTTGATACCTCTCAGGAGCTACATCTCGAGTGGTAAGCCTAAGTAATTATTGTATTTGATGTTTGTTTTTTATTCCTAATTTAATGAAGTAGAGCGTCGTTTATGCGGCTATTTTCTTTACGCACGTTTGTAAGATTTGAGACAATGATCTGACCGAATATCAGGTTTGTTATAAGCTTACAGATCTTTAAAAAGCCTTTAGACATTTTCTCACCGCAAATAGAAAGAAAACGTTTCAAAGAATATTTAGTTATAATTCTGGCTGTAAAAGAAAGGTTTGAGCGATTTTCTTGCCTCGAGTTCGTCTTTGAAAAAAGCAAACACCGGGAAGCCGGCTTAAAACATAAACTTCAGCTTTAAGCTCGAAGACTCAGGATTTTTAGAGACACTTTAATACTTGTCTTCCTGAATGAAAATTGTCGTCTCTGTATATGTTTCACCGAATTATATTTCTTTTATTGACTGTTAGTACTCTCTCTTGTAATTTTAATCGTTGTGCCGATTCAGTGTTTTCAGTCGTTCAGTAAACAACGCTTCCCGGAGTATTCAAAATGCCGCGCGTTAAATAGAGAATAATACATGGTCGCGCGGAGATATGGAATTTATCTTCTCGTGTTCACATTCGATATCTCACTCGTTCGCTGCGCTCACTCGTTCGATATCGATGTGAACACTCGAAGATAAATTCCATATCTCCAAGCGTCCATGTACTATTCTCTATTTAACGCGCGGCATTTTTGAGGAAACTTCTTTCGCAAACTCGCGAACGATTGAAAACGATCCTCGCCGATCAAACACAGCAGCAAAATCGTCAAAGCTGCAAGCTGCCGGCGCGTTGTGATTTTCCCGCGCCTGAGAGAAATGACCTCACAAATTACTGAAATGTGATTGGTTTATAATTTCACATGTAAAAATATCCTATTTTTACGTGTGTTCAGATACCACATTTCTCGGTGGTAGAAATCCTTGTAAAACACTGCAGTTTATATAATAAACCGTTTTAAAATAAAAAATAAACATAATAAATTCTTTATTATGTTGGAGCGTAACTGTGTTAACGTTCATTCAAACACTCGCCACCGCTAGCACTTCAAAAGTCAGAACCGGCTGCCCGTATAGATGATTTTGAAAATTTTTTTAACGGTTTACGGCTAAAGCCCACGCGTGCTTCGATCGTCCTGAATATTGAATGGTAGCAATTTGTATCGCAATATTGTGAAATACTGCATTCTGTTGTCCGAGGTCTGCATGATAAAAACAGTGCTTGGTTTACACGCACCCAGATTTGTTGGCAAGACAGTTTGTAAAGTAAACTTGTCGAACGCAAAAAATTCGGCCGGAATTTTTTTTCCAGGCCTAATTAATCTACGGTGATCAAGAGCCATTATGGCTCTTAATATAAATGTGATCGAAGATGATTGCCAGTTTTTGGGCCTTTGTACTTATGAGGCTATCAACTCGATGTGAGATTTGGTTCACTCTTGGGCTGTTTGCAAATTATTTTTTGTAAAATCACTTAGCCTTTCCCTGAAAAGTCACACGAATGTGCTCTAAAGTTAACTGAATTGTGGAATACAAGTTTATTGTTTGTCTTAAATTATAAATTTATTAATGGGAGCCTCGCTTTTAGCCCTGGCTAAATCTGTATATTACCATTCCTGATCGAAAGGACATTTTGGTGATTTTTTTAAAACATAACTTAACCTTTTGTTCTTTCAGCAACGACCGCTGGGCCGTTTGTCCCAGTGGCTACTTTCTTCAAGGAATATATCGTAACACTGGCAAATGGCTTCATCACATAGAGGAAGGGCGCTGCGCTAGACCCAACAACTTGCCAACCAAATGGTTGGATTGCTATGACCATGATATTTCATCATCTTTCGACAAAAAAGGATGGGGCCAGTGTGATACGGATTATTATCTTACTGGTATCTATAAAGGTGGTTGCGACAAGTTGTACTGTATTGAAAAATTGAAATGTTGTAGTATGTACGATGGTTGTAAAATGGCCAACTGGTGGCGGGGCTTTGATAGAAAAGGGTGGGTCAAGTGTGATTCATCAAGCCACTACATTACTGGGTTGTGGAGAAATAACCCCAGGGGTTCAAATGATAAAATCTCTTTGTTGGAGGAAGCAAAATGCTGCCCCGCTCAAGCGCCGGATCAAGGCACGCCATCGACATGTACAAACGCCAATTGGTGGAGAGTGCTAGATCTGTAAGTACAACAGATTAAATTTAAAAAGAGAGACTGTCTTAATTTACAATTAATTCTTTGAAAATATCAAATACACATGTCAATTAAAAGTGACTTTTTTCTGGTATAACACTCAAAAAGGCTTCCTGCATTAGACGAAATAAAGTCGAATACTCTTTTGGCCAGTCCGCTATGTATTATTAGGTGCAGTGAGGCTATGAAAGTGGATAATAGTGTTTTGTTTGCAACTCTGGGTTAAGTGTTCTGCTGCTAAGTCTTTTAAAATATAATAACAACGTTCTTAAACAATCGAACCTTTATAACCAGTGCTCTATCATCATGAGCAAGATGCTCGACTCTTATTTAGCTGAGAGGGTGTTATCCCGAGGGGTGTTAATCCCGAGGGGTGTTATTAAGTCATGGATCAGTCAGATTTTGCTCTCAATAATGACCGCAGGAAAGACGACTCTCTGTTCTAGAGGAAGCCTTGAAAAAATTTATTCGAAAAGATACTTGACATGGATACACCTGAGTGACTGAAGCTTCCCTTTACTTTACTGAAATAACTAATTGTAAGACTATTTTCGATATATATAATTATTATTTAAAATTCACACAATGATCCATGCAATGTATAGTATTTAGCTGCGAGGCTAGCTTGGGGAATAAAACAAAAGAGTCGTCTTAAAGCTCGGCAATGAATGATACGTTTCCTTTGTTTTATTCCCCCAAGCCTCGGAGACAAGTGTGAATTTTAATATATCAAAATTGGCGTATTAATGAATCTGAATTAACAGCTCACGTTCTCTTCCTTTTGACAGCACGAACGTGTGGGCTACTTGTCCTAACGGTTACTTTATCCAAGGTTTCTATCGAAATAGCGGTGATTGGTTGCACCACATCGAGGAGGCCAGGTGCTGTAAGCCAAAAACATTACCAAACAGATATGAGAGATGCTACACAGAGGATATCGGGAGAAAGTTTGATCACATCGGGCTCAGCAAGTGTAAACAAAGTGGATACTACGTGGCTGGTATATACAAGGGTGGATGCGATAGGCTTTACTGCATTGAGAAGCTGAAGTGTTGCAAAATGAATGTTGGTATGTTATAGCTGACAAATAAAGTAAGTAAGTAATTTTTCCAGTATAGTTCCTTTCAAGAAACCCACGGCAACGTGGTCGAGTGGCTAAGGTGCTGGAGTTGCACTTCGGAGACCACGAGTTAATGTCCCGCCCTGATCGATTGCTGGATTTCTTCTCGAAAGTCCCGACTTCAAGTCCTCGGCCATGCTAGTCAATAGCCAGCTGGCTTACCTCCGGCCAATGGGGTTTCAGGCCTATAAATACTGCCGGGGGTAAATAATTAAAAGGATAATAATGTTATAATTTTCAGCAGTTATACTTATCAGTTTAATAAACGAACAGGAGTGCATTATCAGGTTAAAAAATTCGAGGCGACGGTGAGAGTTTTTACACCTGATAATACAAGCCTGCGAGTTTTTTAACTGCTTCAAAATCTGTGATATAGATCAATCCATTTTTGCACTAACATTTAGATTTGGGGTTATTTTGGTCTAAAAAACTGGATGTAAAGTTAAGCCGTGTCTTAAACAGATACAAGGACGCTCATTCATTCATTCTTTATGAATTGTTAATGATTATTTTCAACAGTTATCTTGATTTTTTGTGCTTTTGTCAGATGAATGCAGACTTTCCAAACCCTGCAAAAACGGTGGAACATGTATCGACCAGGCAGGAAGTTACAGCTGCAGATGTAAATCTGGATACTCTGGCAAAAACTGCGAAACAGGTCAGAACATGATCCTTTGATTTTAATTTAGTTAGATCATGGAGAACACAAAAATTAGGGTGGCAATACTGAATTTTGAAAAAAAAACCATTTATGTTTTAGACGTTAACGAGTGCTTGAAAAACCCATGCAAGAATGGGGCGGCCTGCATAAACCTTAAGGGAAGTTATCGCTGCAATTGCAAATCTGGTTATACTGGGAAGGACTGTGGAACAGGTATGGGCTTAAGCATTTCTTTATCAACTTTTTTTGGAGCAATTAGCCCACTTTTCCTCGAGGACTTGTACCTTGATCTTCAAAACACCAAATTACTGAATGGTATGGCCTTACTTACACTGTACGAAAGTTTGGACTACTAAAAACAAGGGAAGAGGGGCCTCTCTCCGTTTTGAGACATCCTGTTTGAATAGTGGCACAAACTTTTACTGCCATCTAAACTGAATTCATGTTTCAGACATCAACGAGTGTACGAAAAATCCATGCAAGAATGGGGCAATCTGCGTAAACCTTGCGGGAAGTTATCGCTGCTATTGCAAATCTGGTTATACTGGGAAGGACTGTGGAACAGGTTTGGGCTTAAGCATCTCTTTATTTTGGATCTGTTGCTGTATACTTGAAGCCACACTATTAAACCAAAAAAAAAATATCGGTGGAAAAGAGGAGTAAGCACAAGTAAGATGTAAAACGCAGTTTTAAGTGAAATAAACAAACCAAAACTGCCTATCTTTCTATGTCTAAAATCCTAGAAAACAGCTTACAAATTATCGATTGGTGGAATTCTCGATTGACGAAATAAAAGCAGCCGTTAAAATGAATAAACCAAAGATTTCAACTTGTTTATTTATTTGGAAGCATGTCTTCACAGGCTGCTTTAACTGCCCAATAAATTTACAACACTTTGCGCTTTCAGAGGAACTGAAAACTTAAAAGTTTTCAGTTCCTCTAAAAGGGCAAGCCTTACAGCATTATAGTAAAAGATGGAAGTTGAATTTGCTGTGATCAACTGTTTTTTGGGCAAATAGCCTACCTATCCTCTGGGACTTGTACCTTGATCTTCAAAATACCAAATTACTGAATGGTATGGCTTTACTTACACTGTGCCAAAGTTTGGACTACTAAAAACAAGGGAAGAGGGGCTTCTCTCCGTTTTGAGACATCCTGTTTGAATTGTGGCACAAACTTTTACTACCATCTAAATTGAATTCATGTTTCAGACATCAACGAGTGTACGAAAAATCCATGCAAGAACGGGGCAACCTGCGTAAACCTTAAGGGAAGTTATCGCTGCTATTGCAAATCTGGTTTTACTGGAAACACCTGTGGAACAGGTATGGGCTTAAACATCTCTTTATTTCGGATCTGTTACAGTATAACTTGGAGCCACACTCTTAAACCCAATTAATAAGCAGTGGAAAAGAGGAATAAGCACGAATAAGATGTAAGACGCAGTTTTAAGTGAAATAAACAAACCGAAACTGCCTATCTTTTTATGTCTAAAGTCCAAGAAAACAGCCTACAAATTATCGATTGGTGGAATTAATACGATTGACGAAAAAGCAGTCGTTAAAATGAATAAAGCAAAGATTTCAACTTGTTTATTTATTTGGAAACATGTCTTGACTGTTTTAACTACCCAATAAATTTACAACAATTAAGGTTTACCTTGAAAGCGCAAGCCTTGCAGCCTTATAGTAAAAGATGGAAGTTGATTTTGCTGCGATCAACTGTTTTTTGGGCAAATAGCCCACCTATCCTCTGGGACTTGTACCTTGTTATGATCTTCAAAACATCAAATTAATTACTGAATGGTATATGGCCTTGCTTACACTGTACGAAAGTTTGGACTACTAAAAACAAGGGAAGAGGGGCTTATCTCTGTTTTGAGACATCCTGTTTGAATTGCAGAACAAACTTTTACTGCCGTCTAAACTGAATTCATGTTTCAGACATCAACGAGTGTACGAAAAATCCATGCAAGAATGGGGCAATCTGCGTAAACCTTAAGGGAAGTTATCGCTGCTATTGCAAATCTGGTTATACTGGGAAGGACTGTGGAACAGGTATGGGCTTAAGCATCTCTTTATTTTGAATCTGTTGCTGTATACTTGAAGCCACACTATTAAACCAAAAAAAAAATATCGGTGGAAAAGAGGAATAAGCACAAGTAAGATGTAAAACGCAGTTTTAAGTGAAATAAACAAACCAAAACTGCCTATCTTTCTATGTCTAAAATCCAAGAAAACATTATAGTAAAAGATGGAAGTTGATTTTGCTGTGATCAACTGTTTTTTGGGCAAATAGCCTACCTATCCTCTGGGACTTGTACCTTGATCTTCAAAATACCAAATTACTGAATGGTATGGCCTTACTTACACTATACCAAAGTTTGGACTACTAAAAACAAGGGAAGAGGGGCTTCTCTCCGTTTTGAGACATCCTGTTTGAATTGTGGCACAAACTTTTACTACCATCTAAATTGAATTCATGTTTCAGACATCAACGAGTGTACGAAAAATCCATGCAAGAACGGGGCAACCTGCGTAAACCTTAAGGGAAGTTATCGCTGCAATTGCAAATCTGGTTTTACTGGAAACACCTGTGGAACAGGTATGGGCTTAAACATCTCTTTATTTCGGATCTGTTACAGTATAACTTGGAGCCACACTCTTAAACCCAATTATTAATCGGTGGAAAACAGGAATAAGTACGAGTAAGATTTAAAAGGCAGTTTTAAGTGAAATAAACAAACCTAAACTGCTTATCCTTGTATCTCTAAAGTCCAAGAAAACAGCCTACAAAATATCGATTGGTGGAAATCACGATTGACGAAAAAGCAGTCGTTAAAATGAATAAACCAAAGATTTCAACTTGTTTATTTATTTGCAAACATGTCTTGACTGTTTCAACGACCCAATAAATTTATAACAATTAAATTTTACACTGAAAGGGCAAGCCAAGCAGCGTTATAACAAAAGATGAAAGTTAATTTTGCTGTGATCAACTATTTTTGGAGCAAATAGCCCACCTTATAGCTTCCCTCCGGGACCTGTGCCTTGATCTTCAAAACCCCAAATTACAGAATGGCATGACCTTACTCACACTGTATACCAAAGTTGGAATACTAAAAACAATACTACTAAAAACAATGTCTCCGTTTTGAGACGTCCTATTTGAACTTCGAAACAACGAAAACTTTAAAACTACCGTATAAACCGAATTCATGTTTCAGACATCAACGAGTGCACGAACAATCCATGCAAGAACGGGGCAACCTGCGTAAACCTTGTGGGAAGTTATCGCTGCAATTGCAAATCTGGTTATACTGGGAAGAACTGTGAAACAGGTGATCCAGCAGCATCCCTTTATTACGGATCTGTTACCATATAATTCGGAAGAATACCCTTGAACCCCAAGTAATAATCAGTGGGAACTAAGAAGAATTGGTACGAGTAAAATGTTAATACATTGTGAACAGAAATGGATATTTGAAACCAACAACTGACTGCCCACCTTTTTATGTCCACTATTACAATGGTCGTCTGGTGGGATTTCCGGATATACTGATAAACAAACAGTTGCTATACACTGTAAATCAGAAAGATCTGTTTTAGCCCTAACAATAGGGCCGTTTCGGTGAGTCAAATACAGTCATATTTTTGGGTCTAATTAGACTCCTGTAATAAGGGCCAATACAGTTCAATTACCTAGGACTGATTTGGACCGAACGGAGGTTAATTGAGTCTCAGCCTGGGTTGGAACAGCCTTTGATGGGGCTGTTTTGGCTTAAATTGTGGTCAATTGGCTCCAGGTAGCAGACTTTGGCCTGCAGGGCTAAATTGGCTTTTTCAGGGCTGAAACAGATCTAGTGTAGAATGAAAAAAAACTAGTCGGAGAGGCCTTCAACTTGTCTATATTTACCGGGGGTTTTCTATCCCCCCCTTCAAATTAAGACAATTAAAGTTACAACCTTAGAACAAGAAAGAGATCCTATTCTAACTGCGAAACATCGAGAACTTTACTGTCGTCCATTTTTACGCTTCAGACATCAATGAGTGTACGAACAACCCGTGCAAGAACAGTGCAAGCTGCGTAAATCTTGCGGGAAGTTATCGCTGTGATTGCAAATCAGGGTATACTGGCAACAACTGCGAAACAGGTAAGAACGTTGCACAGTTCTTTCGGAAAATTTTTATGCCTTTTCAAGCCTTTTTAGCATCAATCACTCAGAGTAGTCATGGATCTTACTTGATGAAGAAGTCTCGGTTCTAGGAGTTGTCTCTGATCCCCACTACCTCTTCTTGACTTTTGTATAGCGGTTCGTTTTCTGTACCTTTGTCTTTTCTGGGACAGAATCTTTATTTATTACTGTCTATAGCGAAGCTCTCGGGCGAAGCGCGCCAGCGGAGCACCATGGGTAAGAAACTAAAGCAATCTACCCTTCCGAGAAATTTTGGTAGTCACGTGACCGTACACTGACCGACCGTCCGAGCGACGGTCCGTCCGCACCACAGGCATACCAATGCAAAATAACTCAATCAACAGATGGCAACCCAAATGCAACTAGAGGTTATTTTGGCAGAAAATCGCAGAGCCACCGGCGTCTTGTAAAGTAGAGACAACTAAAGAGTCAGTAAACACGAAAACGGAAAGCAGAGATTGTTTCTGTATCCGTGTTGTGTAAAGTATTTAGCTTAGATTAATTGTCATGTCCACAAATTTGGAATATAGAGCAGGCGGCAGGCCAGCGAAGCTCAACGAGAAAAAAGCAAAGGAGACATTTTTTTTGTTGGAAGTACAACATGAAAATTTTGTAGCGGCGGTGACAAAACTAGAAATGCCAGCGGTTACCAATGCAAGATTAAAATGAGCGGCAGTAAAGAAAAAAAAGTGAACGAGAACACGTACGACATTTCCTCCATAAAACGTGTAACTAAGAAGTTTCTGCAAGTTTCACGTTGTAGTCGTGCAAAACAACGGAAAAGAAATGTACAAAAAAAGTCTGCTGCACGTGCAAAGTTGCTTTTATTGCTAATTAGACCTATTGTTATTTTTCACTGTTCTCCTGCTTTCCCTTCGTCGTTTAGCATTACGTGATTTAATATTTGTTTGAACAAACTATACGTAACAAATATTATCGAGAGCTTCGCTTTTGGCCCTGGCTAAATTTATATACTGTATTGAAACAGGGAAATCCAACGACGGTTTTCTCCTTGAAAACACTTTTTAGGCAATCAAGAGTAGATACATATATCTAGAAAGGCTTTTTAAGCGGAGCTATAAAATTTGTATCCGTTTGGTCATCCAAGGGGAACTTGTCTTGAATGAGTCTTTTCGAAATTACAAGAGATTCAGTCTTATTTTCCCCGAACATTTTAGAGGCAATTTAATGTATTATGAATATTATTATTTCTGATTCCCCTCTCCGTGATATTTTTGAATCCGAAAATTTTAGGTTTCCTTTTTTCTACGAAAAATAGTCTAACCTTGGGAGTGAAATGTGAAAAATTAAACTGCAGAAAATCCTAGGGAATTTCAGTCTGATGAGCTCCGAAAATTGTACACGGATAGAACGGTCATCTAGAAATTTTTAGCCTTCCTCAGGTAATAGCTTCTCCAGACAATTTACAGAAAACAGTCGTTGCCGAGTCCCCTTTGAAAGTGCATTTTTGAATAAAAGCGGCTGTGAACCTTGTGCATATTCTTGTTCATTGTTTTGGTCCAGTCATGGTTACGTTGATACACGACCCGACAGTCAGGCAAGCCAGTACCCAAGATAGCAGTGAACACAGACCAACACAAAGGCAACATAAAAAACACAAGAGTAGTGTGATGTTGGAATGATGTAAACAATTTACAGTTTCGCAGTTTTCAGTTTTAGGTTTTAAGTTTGCAATCAATCTTAACCCGGCCTTCCAATCATAGTACACAACCAAGACACCTTTAAATTTTCAGTGTAAAAAGAGGAAGAATAAATACAATGTAGCAGCCAAACGGTGACTTTCTATTCAACTTATTTCTTACGAATTTTTTGAAGTCAACGAGTGTGAGTCTTCTCCCTGCAAGAACGGAGCCGCATGTAGGGATATGGTTGGGGGCTACCGCTGTTACTGTTTAGCAGGATACACTGGAAACAACTGTGACACAAGTAACTTTGAATACTGTAAACTCTCTATGAGACGGACACCTTCGGGACCGGCCATGACCGTCCGTCTTAAAGAGGTGACCCACTTCTAGAGAGAAACTATAACGCTGAGCCCATTCGTAATGAAAAAGACGTCTGTTAAGCTTGTTTGTTATTGCATTCAAAATATTTCCCCAATTCTGATTGGCTAAAAGCATACGCATAATTTACCATAACCAGTTACTGATGACCAAATTTGGAAGAATTTGTAGCATATTTGCGTAGCTGGACAAACCTAAACGAACAGCAGAAAAGTGGAATCATATCATTTTCTCATTGTGCAACCAATCATTCATTCAGAAAGGAAACATTCACTGCTTCGTGGTCTAAAAGCAAAACAATATATAATATGAATTATGTTAACTGGAGCGAGACAAAAAAATGATAAAAAGTTTACTATTTACTATCAGGTAGAGCACGTACATTTCCTTTTTGAGGTAGTTTTTACGTCATAAACTCTTCTCAGGTGTCCGTTGACGGTTTCAAAAGTGTCCGTTGTCCGTCCAAGAGAGGTGCCAGTCTTATAGAAAAACGGCATAGCCAACATCAGGTGTCCGTCTTAGTTAGAGAGGTGTTCGTCTTATAAAGGTGTCCGTTAAGACAGAGTTGACTGTAAATATTTTTGACTGTAAATATTTTACACGGGGAAACAACTGCATCGTCTTGTGCAGTATTCCGAGATATTCATTTTTAGTAAAATCCAACTATCAATGCTGCGTTCTGATTGGTTGAGCTACTACTAGGCTATATGTTATAGCCCACTAGTAGCCAAAAGTGCATGCTTTGAAAACCAAAACAATGGTGGCTGAATCGCGTTTTGCTAGCTTAAGTTGTTTTGTCTCGAGATTTTTGACCAACTAGTTGGATTTTACTAAAACAATTATAATTCCTCTCGCCCTCATGGCCTCTCAGTCAATACCCAACAGGCCGAAGGCCGAATGGGCTATTGACTCAGAGCCCATTCGGGTTCGTGGAATAATTGTTAAATATCTCCAATGTGTGGGCACAGATCGCCCCGAGTAAGGGAATCCAAGACAGTCTTGGATTTTGGGTTCCGGTAATTGGATTCCGGATTCTTTGTCATGGAAACTACTAGGATTCCGGATTCCAATCAATAGCGAGATTCCGGATTCCTTGATTTGTATTCCGCATTCCAAAGCTCAGGTCTAGAATTTGGGAATCCACAAGCAAAAATTTTCCGGATGTCGGAATCTGGATTCCTTTACATGGGGCGACACGGAAATATCAATCGCTGGCGCACTCGATTTTTTTATTCTCAATAGTCCAGAGCCCACCTTGTTGATTAAGAGCAGCCAACTGATTTAACTCCAGCCAGATGGGGTTACGTCATTCATTTTTTCTGCGGCCTCATGAAATTTGCATCGTAAACTGCTCGGTTACCAGTAAAAAATAGAAAATTTAGTGTTTGTTACTGATTTACTCCAATCCAAAACGTATGTAACTCCAATGCAGACATCAACGAGTGTGCCCCCGCTCCATGCCAGAACGGAGCCACTTGTGTGGATCAAGTTGGAAGTTATCGCTGTGATTGCGTGGCAGGATACACTGGAAGCAACTGTGAAACGAGTGAGTTGAATCTTCTAATGTATTTACCCCAAAAAAGGCCACCTAGAATTTTCGGGAGCCTTTTCCTGGCTGAAATTTTCGAAAAGGTAAGTTTTGATCCCTATAATTTTCGGATCACTAGACTTTCAGCTAGGAAATCCGAACAGATGAAAAGTTTTTAGGGGATAAAAATATGCCTATATCTACCGTTTAAATACTAAAATACGTTCAACAATGCTATGTTAAGTGGTTTTGAACTATATTCTCGTTGGGTGCCCCTGATACGGTACGTTCGTAAGCCCATTGATCATAAAAGAAAAGAAGAAAATTGTTTCTGTTCCTTTAAAATTCGTAGATATAAACGCGTGTGCACCTGATCCATGCCAGAACGAAGCTACATGTACGGATCTTGTTGGAAGTTATCGCTGTGATTGCAAGGCTGGATACACTGGAAGCAACTGTGAAACAAGTAAGTTGAACATAACCCCCTCTTCTCATGGTTTAATTATATTCACACACTATATGTTAGTTATACCATTGATCATAGAAGAAAAGAAGAAAATTGTTTCTGTTCTCTTTTTAAATCGTAGACATCAATGAGTGTGTACCTAACCCATGCCAGAACGGAGCCACATGTGTGGATCAAGTAGGAAGTCATCGTTGTGATTGTTTGACAGGATACACTGGAAGCAACTGTGAAACAAGTACATTATATACTTTCTTCTCTTGGTTTAATTATCTTCACAAGTGTTATTTATCCCATTTATCATGAAACGAAATTGTTTCTGTTCCCTTTTTAAATGGTAGACATCGACGACTGTGCGCCTACTCCGTGTAAAAATGGAGCCACGTGTGTGGATCTTGTTGGAAGTTATCGCTGCAATTGTCCATCTGGATACACTGGAAGCAACTGCGAGACAAGTAAGTTGAACCTAAAGCAAGTCGTTTAACAGTATAACCTTTCAAAACTTTTCAAGCAGATTATGAACTGAACAGTTTTATGGAATAAATGTGTTTTTCGATTAACAGGTGTAAATACGTGCGTACCAGATCCCTGCTTAAACGGAGCCACGTGTGTGGATCTTGGTGGAAGTTATCGCTGTGATTGCGTGGACGGATTTTTCGGAGTAAATTGCGAAGGTAAACCTAATGGAAAGCGAATGGTTTTCTGCAGATTGGTGATTAACATTTCAACCCCGAATTAAATTATCTGACTGATTGGCCGTTGGTGAGACAACACTTAACAATGATTGAGTCCTGCCTCAATTTGTATTATGGGAGTGGCTTTGGAAGGCTATGTCTTCTTCTCTTGGCTCGTACGAATTTGCGCAGAAAAAAGGTTCAAAATTCGTCTTTCAAAAGATTCCTTTAGTGCAATAATCGACACCAGATCGGCCCAATCTATCACATGACCTTTAAATTCCAGTATGGGCTCCTGCCAATATCCCCACCCGCACCCCCGCCCCTCGCCTCTCGACTCGACTTTAAGACGATTTTAGAGACTAAACCTAGTTCGTAGTTCGTTTTTAAGATACCAGGGGTATAAAAGAAGCAACCTTTACCTCAACTGCAGTTGTAAAGGCCGCTCAGCAGTTTATTACAAATGGCCGAACGTAACCATAGAAAACAAAGGAACAAATTGTTTTGCTTTCATGTATGAGCATTTAGCGTTAACTCTTAAACTCGGTCAGTTTGTTTTGAAGATTCAGCTGATTGCAAGTAATAATAATAATAAAAGAACTTAATGGTGTGTTTCAGTCCCTCAAAAACGAGAAACTGGGCTCAGTTTCTTTTAAAAAATAAAATCCCTTCCTTTTTACTTTGCAGAAGCAGATGAATGTCAGGACTACTGATCACCTGGCAAAAGCTGGCGAAAGGTAGTGGTCCATCAGTAGAAAAATGTTATTTACTTACTGTCTATCTAAACTATTGTAGATCAGACTAATTTCCGTTGGGAAATATCAAGGTTGCTAGGGAGACGGAGGGAGATCACCTTGTTGTACTTTAAGACCACATGAAGTAAACTATTACATTACTGACTCAGACTATTATTCAGTCAATGAGCGCTCCACATTACACACAATAATGTGCAATTTACTTAAAACTTCATGTGGACAGAACTGCTTGCGTTTAGTTGAGGATTAGAGCTAGGAGACACTTTGTGATATCTATCATTAGGAGCATGAAGCTCTGGCCATACTAAATGTTCGTTTTGATTATCTCTATCGCAGGGCTGATCATTTATCATTTGCAGTGCACAAGAGGAAAACTGTTCTGAACTATGATTGAGCATAAATCTTTAAGTGTGAATGTAACTTGTAGAATAGAAGAGATATAACATTAAAGTTACTGATTCAGAACAAAAGCGGAGGAAAGTGTATTTATTTCTCCCAAAATAGTCACATAATCTAGAGTCTAGTTTTTGGAAAGATTTATATACCCTGGGACCAACAGCAACTTTTAAGCTCAAAAGGTCACGTAGGCATATGAGACGTGGATAAAGCAAAGTGGTGGAGACAGATTAAAAGGCTGACCGGCCAGGACGTCAAACAGGATTGGCACTACCAGTTCCTTGACAATGACATGGATATCAAGTCATTAGCAAACAAGATCAATGACTATTGTAGGTCTTACTGATCACTTTGCCCCTCTACGTCAAGTGCCACGCCCGTATCCGTCCCACACGAATGCCTTGTTTCTGAGGGGGAAGTCCTCAGATCTCTGTCACTTAGCGACAAAAATTGCATTACTGATGACGTAAAATATGTACGGAATCCGATCAGAAGCCCTGATTGGTCGACGGAGTAGTTACATTGTTTTAGCGAATGACAGACAACAAATAAAAGGCCATAAAGGTCAAATGTAAACAAGACGAATCTCTAACAAAACAGTCAATATTTGCGGAATTTAGTCTTCTCTAGAAAAAAGCATTTGAGTTTTGCCGGAGCTCGTTCGTAGATGAACACATCACTTTACCAAAATCGACCAGGAGAAACGTAAAATTGAACAAATTTGCATTTGGAATCCCATGACTACCTGATTTTTTTTTTAAAAATTGATTTACGTCATCACCATGGAATTTCTGTTGCTGAGTCCGCGCGAAACTTCGCCAGCGGCAAAGAGCGAGCAGAAACGGATGTTTTCGCAGGCTAACCTGACAACATCCCGAACAAGATCTTGAAGGCTCCCATTATCTGTGACAGTTACAACCAGTCGTTAACGAAGGGGTATATTTCATCTCTGCTCAGGTACTTCATCGTTACCCCGTTTACCAAGGTGTGCCCGCCCGAAGCCATCGAAAACGATATAAGACCGATATCCCTCACCTGCACAGTATCAAAGATCATGGAGGGCTTTACGTGCGCCAGACTTCTACCCCAGTTGGAAGACAAGATTGATCCTCGGCGGCAGTATGCTCGCAAGGGGCATTGGACATTAGATGCTCTCCTATACACTTCAAGCGATATACGAGGCGGTGGACTTGCAGTGGTGAGGCTTTTGCTCGGGCCTTTTTCGCTGATTTCTCTAAGGGATTTGATCAGTTATTGATCACACTATTCTAATTCAAGAACTGGGCGTAGGTGACGCAACAGAAAAAAAACATGGAAAATATAAAAACAAAACTGTAAAAATGTTAATTCTCTTCAGATAAATTGAATCTGCAGAAAATTTGATTTGTCTCCATATTTCTGAAGGCGAACGCAGGTGAAACTTCAGTCTTGAATTGCTCTCTCTTTCTTGTTGTAAAGTAAATTCAACCAACGACCTTGTCAGATTTCGTTAACTAAATTTTGCCCATAGCACACTGTCAGGTGATTGTCATGTGTCAAGGTAGTTGCTTATCGAAAACGTGGTGTATTTTAACAAGTATCAGTACCACTTGTCTTTTGCGCAGGTGCAAATGACTTGAATACAAGCAGTATTTCTTTTTATCGGTTGTTTATTGAGGGTCTGCATTTCATCCTTCCCTGCGCCAAGTTTTTCGCTTAGTAAGAAACAAAACTGACACCGGTTGTTTAAAATCGTCAAATCTATGGTAACTGATTATGCAATATAATCAGGAGAGGATCTAGGATAAATACTGACCGATTTCCTAAACGAGCGCCGAAGCAAGCGCAAGCTTGGCCTGGGGGGGGGGGGGTCAAGGACATGCTCCCCCGGGAAATTTATTTTTGGGATTTTAACTTTCAAAAGTCCCCTTTTCTGGATTTCTGAGTCATTCAGACAGGATATTGGTAAGTTTCAATGGTTATTATTATTGTCCAAACCGGTAGTTGATATAAGGAGAGTTTGCTCCGCTCGCTCTAGAGCTCTTACAAAATGCTCTCCCAATTTATTCGTTCCTATATATTACCACACCATTTACCAGATTTCAACTTGGAAAGTCTTTTTATTAAAAGTATATTTATTTATGAAACATCTGACCGATTTCCGTAAAACGTTGGAAACCGGTGTGGATCCACGCCTGATAATCTTTCGTTGGAAAATAGATTTAATCTGAACACCGTTACAATTAACCCTGGTTGCAAGATATGGAATTAAAACAATCGAGAGTGACAAGTTTTTCAAAGATTAGTCTCGACTGGGTCTCTTTATTGCCGGTTTGGAATTCTCTTCTTTGCCGCCTTCATCAAAAGTTGACGGTTTTAATATACCTACATCGATCGACGTTTTGTGAGAGAAAGTAATAGCTGAGCAGTGTTACTGAGTTTCACGGCATGGTTAAAAATGGAACAAAGAATTTGTTTGCTAGTTCCTTTGTTTATGGTTTGTTTTATCGGGTTAAAAAGAAAAACGCGATCGTGAGAGTAAAGATGCGTCATTTTTTATTCAGATAATTTCCAACTACTGACAATGGCAATTAGCAATTGCGCTGTTCAGTAAAATTAAATTCCTTAGTATCTAAAAAAGAAACTTGAACTTAAGCCGACGATGAGTAGGCCGACTGCAACCCAAGCTAGTAAATTTCATAAATAATTCTGAACAAAGGGACCGGAAATGGCCTGTAACCGGTCAAGGTTTTCAAAATACTAAATGACCGGCAGTCCTGTCTTTTCAGTAAATTTCACAAATCGAAAAAATCCGGCTAAACCAAATTATCGCACATATATGTCGATTTAGAAAAGTCAAGGGACCCTGAAATACGTTATGGATCTCAAGAATAGCGTTTCACGGGTTCACGCTGGGTTCAGAATTAAGACGAAACCCAGAGGACGAAACCATATGTTTTGTAAACTTTTTTCAGCACGACCGTGCCGGTCAAGGTTTTCAAAACACTAAATGACCAGCAGTCTTATACTTTCAGTAAATTTCGCTTGACTTTTCTTAATCGACATACGATAGTTTGGTTTAGCTGGATTTTTTCGATTTGCCGAGTGAAATTTACGGAGAATATAGGACTACCGATCATTTAATGTCTTGAAAACCTTGACCGGCAGTCGAGCTGAAAAAAGTTTCAGGTGTCACAAAACGTGGTTTCGTCTTCTGAGCCCAGCGTAAACCAATTTATCGGTTAGTCAAGGGCTAAACAAAAGGCTAATTTAATGTACAAGTGCATTTATTTAATAATCTCGCCCCAGCTTATCTCTGTAATTTGTTTGCCCCAAGAACACAGAATTACTATTGTCGCGAAGAAACAATTAATGCTCCCAAAACCAAGAACTGATTACCTGAAGCGTTAGCTTCAGTTACCGAGTGGCGCTGTTCTATGGAACAATCTTCCTGAGGAAATACGTACATCAAATTCCTTATAAGTTTCTTTAAGAGAAGTTCCCATAGACGGTTTTCTGATCAGTACTCCCACACGGCAAATATGTAAAACAGTTTTTGAGAATTTTTAATTAATTTTTTTTGTTAGACTGATGCTTTTAACCGTGTTTAAATAAAGTTATCATTCAAACGCTAGACTTGAGATCTATAAAGCATTTCAGGATCGCTTGACTTTTGTTAATCGACATGATGATTTAGATGAGCTGGAATTTTAGAAACTGGGATATTCACTGAGAATCAGGACCGTGACTGCCGGTCTTTTTGTGTTTTGAAAACCTTGACCGGTTACCGGCCATATAGCCACTTCGCTTAACGCTATAAAATAACGCTTAATCTACATGTTGGTTAATTCTACTTGAAAACAAGGGAGGTCACAGATTATTTCGACTTGATTGATGCCTCATTTCAGGTCATACCAACATTTCTTTCAAGACAATGTTTTTTTTGTCTTCCTTTAATCAGCTGATCATACACTAAAAAGGTGAAAATTTCAGTCATTTTCCTTACGTTAATAGGATCCAGCGCTCCTTGTGTTGAAATTCGTTAGTGTATTAGTGCATCATTGTAGAGGAAGAGAGCAAGAAGCCTCCAAACTATTCGCCGGGTGGAACAACCTTTAGTTGTAAAAGTTGTTTCGGAAATTTCCGAAGAAGTATTATTTGACCGTCTTTGATAAAAAACTGGAACAACCTTTATAAAAAGTGTTTCGGAAATTTCTGGAGCACATTTTGCGACCGTCATTAGAAGACGTCTGGGAAAATACAGAAACTGTTTCGGAAATTTCTGAAGCAACATTTTGTGACCCTCTATAAATAAGTTCTGCATGAAACCATAAAATAAACAGTGTTTTGGAAGTTGACCTGTATCTCTTCAGTTTTTTTGAGACTTAAAGTGTTTCGGAAATTTCAGAAACAACATATCTGCAGGGCAACCCGCCTCAATACAACGCAATTTCGAGACACTGCTCTAATAAAATTTGTTTCGAAAATTTCTAAAGCATCATTTGGTGCCGTCACTTTAAAATTTGTAAAGGATCGATTACTAAAGACATAGGGGTCTTGAGAATTCTTTATTTTAGCATTTTTTTAAACTACTAAGGAATTTCCAGTTACGTTTAAAAAAAGCGTCCTCGAAGGTTATTTCAGCCAAGGTAAAGTTTACCCTTAAGAAATGACACTTCTTTTAATCAGCTGATCATACACTAAAAATGTGAAAATTTCAGTCATTTTCCTTACGTTAATAGGATCCAGTGCTCTGTGCTGAAATTCGTCAGTGTATTAGTGCATCATTGCAGAGGAAGAGAGCAAGAAGCCTCCAAACTATTCGCCGGGTGAAAAAAGAAATAGGAAAACCCAGAAAGAAACAGAGATCTTGATATGACCTTGATGTCAACTGCTATCTCTAATAACTGACATAAACTAAACTACATTCATGATTTGTTAGCAGACATGTACTGCATGCTACATTGTAATAATTGACTAAATCAGCTGGGAGTTCCTCTCATTTACGGTCAATGGTCGTTCTGTTCATTTCTCACCCAAAACTTTGTGACCGTCTTTAGGAGAAATCTGGAACAACCTTTATTTGTAAAAGTCGTTTCGGAAATTTCCGAAGCAGTATCATTTGACCGTCTTTGATAGAAATCTGGAACAATTAACCGTTATAAAAAGTGTTTCAGAAATTTCTGGATCACATTTTGCGACCGTCTTTAGAAGAAATCTGGAACAATATAGAAACTGTTTCGGAAATATTTTGCGACCCTCTATAAATAAGTTCTGCATGAAACCATAAAATAAACAGTGTTTTGGAAGTTTCCGAAACGCATTCGGTGAACCGTATCTCTTCAGTTTTTTGAGACTTAATTAAGTGTTTCGGAAATTTCAGAAACAACATATCTGCAGGGCAACCCGCCTCAATACAACGCAATTTCGAGACACTGCTCTAATAAAATTTGTTTCGGAAATTTCTAAACCATCATTTGGTGCCGCCACTTTAAAATTTGTAAAGGATCGATTACTTAAGACATAGGGGTCTTGAGAATTCTTTATTTTAGCCTTTTTGTAAACTACTAAGGAATTTCCAGTTAAGTTGAAAAAAAGTGTCCTCTCAAAGGTTATTTCAGCCGAAGGTAAAGTTTACCCGTAAGAAATGACACTTTTTAGTGATTAAATTTCAGACTAGATTTTCATTTTCGGCAAAAATTTAAAACAAGACTTAATTTTCAGTTGATTTCTTTTCGTTTTAGAATATCTTAGTTCACTTTAGAACGTGTTCGACCAATTTATGACATGCTTAGAATAATTATGTTAAGTATATTTACTTATCGTTACTAATATGTTCACTCAGCTGTAATGGCCAACACGTCCGTTCACCATTACCTCTGCAATAAATTTTAGCCTGGTCTGAGTCCCATCCTCATTTCAGGTCATACAACATTTCTTTCAAGGCAATGTTTTTTTCGTCTTCCTTTAATCAGCTGATCATACACTAAAAATGTGAAAATTTCAGTCATTTTCCTTACGTTAATAGGATCCAGCGCTCTGTGCTGAAATTCGTCAGTGTATTAGTGCATCATTGCAGAGGAAGAGAGCAAGAAGCCTCCAAACTATTCGCCGGGTGAAAAAAGAAATTAAAAAAATACGAAAACCCATAAGGAAACAGAGATCTTGATATGACCTTGATGTCAACTGCTATCTCTGATAACTACAAATATCACCTACATTTATGATTTGTTAGCAGACATGTACTGCATGCTACATTGTAATAATTGACTAAATCAGCTGGGAGTTCCTCTCATTTACGGTCAATGTTCGTTCTGTTCATTATGCATACTCGCTGGCACTTAAAGGAGCTGTGTCACGAAATTCAGCCAAATTAGGAAATTACGAAATGCCTGTTAAATTAAGAGAAATATAAAAATAACCGCTTAAAATTTTAAAGGAAGGTTAAAATAACATAACAGAAACAACAGATGCCACGGATGGGCAAAACTGAAGAAGACTGAAACGGATTGAAATTATGATTTTTGAAAAACGGTTCAGCCTAACAGTTTTTCAAAGTTGATCCTTGCTGCTTGCAACTTCAAAAATAGGCTCAAGAGACATATTTGTTTGTCTCGGATCTTTGATTTTGTCATTTACATGTAATTTCTTTGCTTACTTTAGTTCCATAACGATTGAGGGCGAGTAATTGGCAAAATTAAACAAAATTAACTGGACTGCCGTGACACAGCCCCTTTAAACAATCGTTATAAAAACTGCTTCGGGAATTTCTCATCCAACACTTTGTGACTGTCTTTAAGAGAAATCTGGAACAACCTTTGTTTGTAAAAGTTGTTTCGGAAATTTCCGAAGCAGTATTATTTGACTGTCTTTGATGGAAATCTGGAAAAATTTACCTTTATAAAAAGTGTTTCAGAAATTTCTGGATTACATTTTGCGACCGTCTTTAGAAGAAATCTGGGACAATACAGAAGCTGTTTCGGAAATTTCTGAAGCAACATTTTGTGACCCTCTATAAATAAGTTCTGCATGAAACCATAAAATAAACAGTGTTTTGGAAGTTTCCGAAACACATTCGGTGACCCGTATCTCTTCAGTTTTTTTGAGACAAAGTGTTTCGGAAATTTCAGCTGACAACATATCTGCAGGGCAACCCGCCTCAATACAACGGAATTTCGAGACATTGCTCTCATAAAATTTGTTTCGAAAATTTCTAAAGCATCATTTGGTGCCGTCACTTTAAAATTTGTAAAGGATCGATTACTTAACATAGGGGTCTTGAGAATTCTTTATTTTAGCAACTTTTTTTAACTACAAGGAATTTCCAGTTAAGTTAAAAAATGTGTCCTCGAAGGTTATTTCAGTCAAGGTAAAGTTTAACCGTCAGAAATGGCACTTTAGTGATTAATTTCATTTTCGGCAAAAATTTAAAACAAGTCTTAATTTTCAGCTGAATTCTTTTCGTTTTAGAATACAGTATGTTGCCCAGTATCCGGACACTTCAGTCTAACATTGCAATAACTTTCCTTTGTTAGTCGCAAGAGCTCTGAAATTTAGCCTGAAAAAAATCTATTTAGTCCTTAATATGACAAAAGACAGTTTAACTTTTTTGTCTTTGTTTCCATCAAGAAATTAATATTTTTGCAGAGCTCCTATGTTGCCCAGTATCCGGACACAACAATTAAACAACGTAATTGTACATAAATTTCGACAGGCAAGCGACTTACAAGCTTCTCTTTTACTTGCAGAGTAGTCTGGCAATCGATTCCAAAAATATAACCTAGCATTGTGAAATAGCAAATGACTGGGGTATGGTGGGGAACGCGAGCGGTTGTTAAGTGGCATAACACTTACTTTCTTGTCTAGGAACTTTTTCACTGATTTGAGGAAGGCATCCGTGGACATGCCGAAGCCGCGGTTTTCTAGCTCAATTAGCAAATCTGCAAACGACTTTTTTTCTTCAATTTTTATTTAAAAAAAAGCTTGGGGAAGGGACCTCAATGCGACGGTTAAAGGTCACTCTCTTATTTAGTCTGACCTGCAGTGTTGATTTCTTCATGCTCAGTCCCTACAGACCCTACAATAAGCCTGCTTTTCTAGCACTAATTCCTCCTTCTTTCACATCTCTCAATCCCTTTAATTTGTGACATTTTTCAGACAGTTGCAATCCCATTCTAGCAGTCACAACTGGGGAAAGTATGAGAATTCCAGGTTCAACTCCGACGGTTTCGATTATATATAGAAAATGCAGTCACGCGAAACAAGCGGCGCACACGAAATCAAGTCGCCTCTGTCGCCTCCGAATGAGTGAAGGAAATTTCTGTACGGAGTTGAGTAGAATTACATTTTACGACTATATCATATATCCTAAGCTTTAATTATAGTTACAGGTATGAAATAAATCTTATCCGGATAATGTACACAGCTAATTCATCAATTCTGTACAGCAAAGAAAAAACTGTCCGGATACTGGGCACCTGATATAATACTTAGTGAATGTTTCTGGGCTCCGTTATTCCAAACAAATCGAATTTCAAGAAGAATTAATAAACTTTCCGAGAACCTGACTTCTTTAAGTATCTTCACTTTAAATATAATACCGTTTCTTGGAAAATATCACATATTACCTACCCAGTTTTCTGAGCAGCACTAATTTTACTGCGCAGTAAACAGCGTAAATATTAGCCATGAAATGTTTATTCACCTGAACAGAACGGCGTCTTCTGTGACTGTTTCGCAAGCTTTCAACTCGCCCAAACCTTTATCTTAAAGCTGACATGTTCAGCTTTCATTCAAAATACTTCGTTTACCGATAGCTGAAAAGGGCGCCTCAAAAATTGAGTTTTTGTTTTAAGTGTCCGGATACTGGTACCGTCCGGATACTTGGCAACATACATGTATTTTAGTTCACTTTAGAACGTGTTCGACCAATTCATGACATGCTTAGAATAATCATGTTAAATATATTTACTTATCGTTACTTATGTTCACTCAGCTGTAATGCCCATCACGTCCGTTTACCAACCTCTGCAAAATATTTTAGCCTGGTCTATTATATAAGTCCCATCCGCGAGGTTCTTTAAGCAGTAGTCAAGCTTTTTCTGTGGATACCAAGGTATAATAAGACAACAGGTATTGTACTCTCACACAGTTTGTTACCGCTCTTAATCATCACAGGTGATAACTCTTTTAATACCATCGCGTGAAAACTTTTAATTTTTAATTAACAGTTCCTCCCCAATAATTGAATCAATTTCAAAGGGATAACATGACTATCATGCAATTAGAGCGATCAATTCGGAGAAAAGTTACCATAAGCCATAATCTATCATAGTTTTAGTCACGTGCACTCAAATAATTGAACAGTTCTTAACGATAAGAACTGGAAAAAAAATAATATGTAGATTTAGCCAGGGCTATAAGCGAAGCTCCCATTAATAAATTTGTAATTTAAATCAAACAGTAAACTTGTAATACACAAAACAGTTAACTTAAGGGCACAAATGTGACTTTTTAGGGAAAGCTAAGGCTAAGTGATTTAGAGTGAAAAAAAAATCTTACATCGAGTTGATAGCCTTATGTGTACACCCAAAAATTAGCAATCATTTTCGATCACATTTAAGAGCCATAATGGCCCTTGATCACAGTAGATTAAGCCTGGAAAACGAATTCTTGGAAAACAAATCAGGCCTAATTTTTTGCGTTCGACAATGAAGTTTACTTAACAAAATCTTGCCAACAAATCTGGGTGCGTGTAAACCAACATTTCATACTTTTTATACATCACATCTGAGGTGAAACAGTAATATGAGGCGCTGTTTTTATCATACAGACCTCAGACAAAATGCAGTATTTCACAATTTTTCAAGACAAATTGCATTTATTCAATATTCACAGGGGCACCCAACGGCAATTTTCGGAAAATATCAGTTCGGAAGACAATTTGAGATCTAGAATTTTCGGAACATTTGTTGTAAAATTTCTTGCTTGCCTGCCTCTCCTAGGATTTTCGAACATCTACAAAATGGTATAATTTTGTATACCCATTTTTAACGGATTTTTACCCTAAAAAAGGCCATCTAGAATTTTCGGGAGCCTTTTCGTGGCTGAAATTTTCGAAAAGGTAAGTTTTGATCCCTATAATTTTCGGATCACTAGACTTTCAGCTAGGAAATCCGAACAGATGAAAAGTTTTTAGGGGATAAAATATGCCTATATCTACCGTTTAAAGACTAAAATACGTTCAACAATGCTATGTTAACTGGTTTTGAACTATATCCTCGTTGGGTGCCCCTGAAATGTCTTAACTCAAGAGGTCCAAAGTACATTGCCGATTTTCTGAATTTAAGAGATGTATGTTATAATCTAAGTCCGGTAAGGGAAGTAACTTGGTGCAGCCTCATTGTACAGCTGAGTGGATGTATCAATCCTTTTCAATAGTTTTCATTTATAGCTTGCAAGTTGTGGAATAAACTCCTGCTATACATTAGAAACTCTGATAATCTTATTATGTGTTCAAAAAGGCTGTTCAAAAGTTCAATTTAGAATCTTATACTACTAGTGTTGTCTTGAATATGTTAATAAGTTATTTCATCTAATCTATTTTATTCTTTGCTATCATAGCTTGGCTCTTTTTTAAATGACAGATTTTTATATAACGACATTTTTATGTAATGGATGTTATACTGTCTTAAGTTTTTAAAGTTTTTTTTAATTGTTTTTACTTTAGTTTTTGTATTTTCTTGTTACTACACGTGCACGTTCACACGAGTTGTTAACTCTTAGGTGTTTACGTCTATAAAATAAATAAACTACTTACTTAGAATACGTACTTACTTACTTAATTCAGATTGCTCATTCTCGATTTCTATCCGCTTTGATAGTTCCCCCCGGGTTTCGTCCCTCGTTTACCTACCAAGAAAAATTCTCGACTTCACCTTGTAATTGTTTAAAAGTGAACGTCTATTGTCACCGTTTTTGAAGGTGCCATGTTTGATCAGGAAAACCAACGCAGTCTCGGGATTCTGGATTTCACGTCGGTGGATTCCGGATTCCAGGTACTGCATTCCGGAATCTTTTTGTGGAACCTGGAATCCTTATTCCAATCCTTAGCGGGATTCTGGATCCCTTGAGCTGTGTTCCGGATTCCAAAGCGCAATATTCCGGATTCACAGTAAAAGTTTGCTGGATTCAGGATATCACAATAAAAAAATTCCCGGTTTCCAGAATCCAAATTCCTTAACAAGAGGCGAATCAAGAATTTTAAAGAATGCTAGCATTTGAATCATCTAGCGCTAATATTACCACTTACCAATTTTTGAAGTAATTACTGGACAATGGTATTTACTAGATCATCCTCCTCTGCTATCGAGTTAAGGGAGTTAACCCTCGGACGTACACACAAATTCATACCCCCACCGTGGTGCAAGTGGGAGGGGAGGGTTTGATGGAACCCCTCTCTTGAGTTTTTGACATGTTGCAGTATTTCAAAACGATTTTGCCTTTAGCCGGGAAACCTGAAGATGAGGTATATGTTGTGGGTGGTGGCACCGCTGGAGAATTAGAAATCAGTTTAAAACCGCAAGAAATATTAATAACTTTTTGTACTTGATATGTAAAATAACACATATTAAAATTAGCATTTTGCTTCATTTTATCCACAATCTTTACTTTTTTGTTAAAAAAGCTGAGAAAACATGCATTTCACTTCTCTCAAAAATGGCTTGACCACCTGGTACTTATGATGTCATATCTCGTAACCATACTAACTGACCATCACTGAACTTGTCTCAAAATGCGTGCGTGGGATGAACAAACAGCTACTGAAAACGTCAGGTGCTTATGTTTTATCGTCTATAGGGAAAAACTCAGAGAAATCCCTCCCCCCCCTTTACGTCCTAGGGTTAAAGGATGGCAATAAGAATTCATATTTGCTCAATTTTACTTTAGTGCTAGGGCTACAAGAGTTATTGATTAAATATATGCTTGTTTTGTAAAGAATAACATAACTTTACTTTGTTACATATGGTTCCAAATATTTTTTTTGATTTTTCAAAAGTATTTCTTAAAAATTAAAATGTGCTTCTTGTCGTATAATTGTCAGATATCTCGAGACGCCAGTAATTCGACATGAAGTTTCTCTTCCATTGTTTGGTCCTTGCAGCCACGTTGGATCTCTGTTCCAGCCAGTGTAGAGTGGCAGATTGGTCTAAAGCATTTGACAAAAAGGGATGGACGGCCTGTCAATCAACCGAATATTTGAATGGACTGTACAGAAATGACAACTGGAAAGACAACGACGGTATTTTCTTAATCGAAAATGCAAGATGTTGTAAAGCTCCAGCACCGAATCAAAATCGCGCATCGACTCACGTTATTGCAAACTGGTGGAAAACATTAGATAAGTAAGGAAAGATTTAAGCCTTTTAAATTCTATACAAAAATAATCGCGGACTATACCTTAGCCCAGTTGCAAAGGGCCGACGCGTGGCTGCAATATCGAACAGTCACGCTTATATGATGTATCTGAGATCACAGTAATGTTGGCTTTCATAATTGGCCTATTATAAGCAACAGGCTGCGTCAAAACTGTGACGGTATCAAATCCTTTTGAAAAAAATGTGAAATATATATCAACTAGAAATACGTGTATCGTAGAAACTCGCGAAGCTCGGGGGGAAGGGGAGGCCCATAAAATGTCAGGGATGGAAGGGGGGAGAGAATTGGAGTAAATTGTGTAGCTTGGGAGGACGGGTTTCAACACTGGCTCTAATATTGAAATGTGAGATGTACTTAATCTCCTTTTGGTTGGAGTAAATCTGAACCCACTACTCTGTCGTCAAAAATGATTTTCTGGGACTTTAAGGAGGGCTGGTGTTGTTAAGGAAGGGTAGGCAATGTTTCATAGGTCCCGTGTTTACCCCATCTGAGCCTCCTACATGTGTAATTATAGTCAAAAGAAAATACGAGGGCAGTCCCAACGATAACTTTCGGAAAATTATCTGTTCGGAGGACGACTTGAGATCTAGAATTTTCGGATCATTTTTCTAAAATTTCTTGCTTGCCTGCCTCTCCTAAGATTTTCGAACATATAAAAAACGGTATAATTGCTCATTTTTAACGGATTTTTTACCCTAAGAAGGTCATCTAAAATTTTCGGGAGCCTTTTCTCTGGCTGAAATTTTCGAAAAGGTAAGTTTTGATACCTATAATTTTCGGGTCACTAGCATTTCAGCTAGGAAATCCGAACAGATGAAAAATTAATATTTTTAGGGTATAAAAATATTCCTTTATCTACCGTTTAAATACTGAAATACGTTCAACAATGTTATGTTTAAGTGGTTTCGAACTATATTCTAGTTGGGTGCCCCTGAAAATGGGTGTGATAGTGAATAACTGCACAAAAAGACTTGGTGATTTTTTAAAACATAACTTATAAGTTACGCCTTTTGTTCTTTAAGGGAACAGGTGTGGGCCATTTGTCCCAATGGCTACTTCCTTCAAGGATTGTATCGTAACAGTGGCAACTGGCTTCACAACATAGAGGAAGGTCGCTGCGCTAGACCCAACAACTTGCCAACCGAATGGTTGGGTTGCTATACCTATGATATATCATTATCTTTCGACAAAAGAGGATGGGCCCAGTGTGATACGGATTATTATCTTACTGGTATCTATAGAGGTGGTTGCGACAAGTTGTACTGTATTGAAAAATTGAAGTGTTGTAGTATGTACGATGGTTGTAAAATGGCCAACTGGTGGCGGGGCTTTGATAGAGAAGGATGGGTAAAATGTGATTCGTCGAGCCACTACATTACTGGGTTGTGGAGAAGTAACCACGGGAGTTCAAATGATAAGATCTCTTTGTTGGAGGAAGCAAAATGCTGCCCTGCTCCAGCGCCGGATAAAGGCACGCCATCGACGTGTAAATACGCCGACTGGGTGGAACTGCTAGATGGGTAAGTATAACAGATTAAATATAATATATAGATTTAGCCAAGGCTAAAAGCGAAGCGTCCATTTTTAGACTTTTAATTAGATAATTACTTAAAGGGAACCTCCACTTCAACAAAAATATAACTTTAAATCACAGGAAATAATTGTTACAGTCAAGTCAATCTAAAATATTTTTAAAGAAAGCGTTTGTATCCGAAAGAAATAACTTTTAGATTCGCCTATTTTTGTTTTCAAATTTTGCGGGCGTCGCCATCTTGAATAATTGTGACGTTTAATGGTTGCCCTATTGTTATTAAACAAAAGCTCTTTGTGTCAGAACAATAGAGCAACCGTAACACGTCACAATTATTCAAGATGGCGGCGCCCGCGAAATTTGAAAGTGAAAATAAGCGATTTTAAAATTCACTTTTCCTGATATAAACACTTTTTTAAGGACAAATTTCGAACAAAATCGTTTATCAACATAATTTTACTCGATTTAAACTTATTCTGTAGTAAGAGTGGAGGTTCCCTTTAAAACGAATAAGGCTCAATATCTTCCAATCCAGAAATCAATACTGATTTTAAAACAAAAGTTATAAATCAAATTCGATCACAGTAACAGGGAAACGAATTCTTACCCATACGTGTGAAGCTTATTGCCCATGAAATTTATTGTCTTCTGGTTGTCATTCACGAAACTCTTTGGCTGCGTCCAGTTCACTCAGATAGGTCAATCTTTCCGTCTGAAGGAGATTCTACCAAATGTTAAATTAGGCCGATTTTTGTGTTAGAATATGTTTTCTTTGCAAAATCGAACCGACAAATAGTTAAGTGTAACTACATGTACCCTGTAGATTATGCATCACAATGTCTGATACCCAGTAATCTTTACTATAAGTTCGACTTTTTGTTTCCTAAAAGACCCAAGAAGGTTGATAAACTTATTTAACATTTCCCCCTACGAATAACTATAATTTCGTAGTCTACACAACTGCCCTTTACGTGTTGTGTGTTTTTAATATATAATGCGGCTAAATGTGCGCTAGACGTAAACTACCGCAAAGTCACGAGTCTGAATATTAGACAAATCTTAAACGTTCTTTTTTTTTCGGCGAGGAGGAACAATGAACACAGGCGCAAATCACACTCCATGTGCCTAAACTATTTTCAGACTATTTTCACGCTTCATCCAGGCACAGTCCAGCTGACAGTCCGCGTAAGGAGAAAAAGCTACATTAAACCTTGCAAAATTATGACTGACAATCAAAACATGAATAAAACTTCAATGAAAGATGTACAACAACAACGTTTTTATCAGACAGCAAGTCTGAGAGTGACGAAATGTTTCCGTAAACCGTGATTTCTTTGTACTGTGTTTGTTTGTTCGTTTGTTTTAGCCGGCGTTTGGCGTTTAAAATAGATGAACGAGTCTCGAAGCAAGATTTTCGCTAATGATCGTTATTTTTTACCGGCAACCATTACAACTGGGTATTCTCTAAAACCTTTCTCTTTCCATTTGCAACCAGAAAATTAATTTAAGCTTGTGTGAGGCCATTGAAATCGTCAGTCTCTGTCTCAAATCTTTTCAGATCTCTAATACTGCATGTTATGGCATGAAATAATTACGCCTGACTTTACAAAACTAAAACGAGGCAAAAACTGTAATAATTAATCAGGATAACCCTGTATGTAGCTCCTGGGGTCACTTGATTCCATCCACCAAACTGACATCCTCCTCTCACAAGACATTTCACTTTTCTTATATGAAATTTCTTGATGAAATGTTCATAAAAGTCAAAGTGTCTTCAATTTTTACGAAAAAAATAATTCAGGATAGAATGAGTAGGATTCGAACTCGGAGCATCCAATCTGGAGTGCATCACTCTAACCCCTACACCACCGAGGAGTTGGTGACGAATACTAGTTTGATTTAAATGTATAACCCTAACCCTAACCCAAACCCTAACCCTAACCCTACTTTGTGTACGAATCATTAATGTGTCAACGTCAGTTTGGCGGATTGAATTAAGTGTAGGCCCACTTGGTCAAGCGAGGTAAAAAAAACTTTTCCTCTACTCTGCTGTAAAATCCTGCATGCTCAACTTTCACTTTCGTTGAAATTCCGTTGTGAAGCTTTTCTCAAGCAAAACTAAATAAACAAAACAGATTCGAATAACAGAAGAATCTTGACAACAGCTGTATAATTTCATTTGTTGGCGGCCGGTGGAAGAACACGAAGACTAAAACTTTGAAATGTTAAAAACATCCCGCATGAACTATCACAAAGGCAGCCATTGATGCTCTTTGCGACACTTTCCTCGACGAAACCCAAAACCAGAAATAGAAACTCGACAGCAGTTGTATTCCATTTTGTGTCGGTAGGATCCGGACAAGAGCACGATAATTTTAAAAGTTAACTGAAATGAAAAATAGGCTCCCGTTATTGGCAAGTCAGTCAGCAAACAATTTTCTAGATGTTGCATATTAAGTTTCCATTCATGAATCAACCTGTCAAAATTTTTACCAAGTAGGGAGGGGGTAGACTTGTTCCTGGCGTGTTACCAAGCATAAAGCAATGAAGAGCTTAAGAAATATATTTGCGGAAATGTTGTCGTAAGTTTAGACTGCTTTGTGTTACGGGCTGCCATCTTGCATGAGTGTCAAAACTACTTAGGGGGCGGGAGCGGTTTGGGAGGAAGCGAGAAAAATAGAGGGACTGTAACAACATCACTGCAGCTCGCGTTCAGGAGGCTTGACAGGAATTTCACGCCTTTTACCATTCATTAATTAAGAAACTCCGCTGGTGATGAAAAAAACATGCCAGACACATTTAGCATCGATTACAAGTGTTTACAAATATCTCTTTGCAAAACAGTGATTTTATAATGTTTCTGGGCCATTCCTCGAATTAAAATCGGCAAACATGCACAAGAAAACATTTTCCTAATCAAAATACCAAAAATCCTTCGTGTGTTTGCGCAAGATGTGCCTTATGGAATGAAAGCGTACGTTTTATGGAAACTTCGACTTGTCAACGTCTTGTCAATGTCGGCAACTTAGATTAACCCGTTGTCAACGCAAATTAATATCTATTGTCTAATGACCAATCAAACGCCTGCGTTGCTGGTACAACGCGCTCCGTGAACGCTAGCTGCAGTGATGTTATTACAGTCCCTCTATTTTTCTCGCCCCTCCCCCCCCCCCTCCAGAGCTATAATCCCCGACGCCCGCCCCCTCGGTACATTTGAAAATCAAGATACTCGTGACGGTAAGACGCGGCATATCTAAACGATCTCACGAAAAAATAGGGGACTGTGAACAGTCTATCGTAAGTTGGACACAAGAAACTTCGATCAAGATTTTTACTCGTCCAAATGCGTTGGTTGCCCTAAAATGGTTAATCTTGCGCCAAAACGAAACGTAACGTACATGTCTGGCACTCACTTCCCTACGATACTGAGTTTTTTTACCCCTACTCCCAGAATCCTTACGGACGGTCGTTCAGGCGGACGCTGACGTCATAACCAAATTTTCTGCCTTCGATAGGTTTCCATTTTCTATCCCTTCCCATGATACCTATGGAGCTCCGCTGTGCGCGAGGACGCTCCGCTAAAAAGACAGATTGTGTTATTTTCGGATTAATTCTTATCTAATATCTTATCTAATATTTTTCTGGTATAACACTATGGTATTATGGCATTATGGTATGTTATGGTATTTTCTGGAGTGGTCAATTAAGTCATGGATCAGTCAGATTTTACCCTGAATAATGACGAGTAAAGACGACTCTCTGTTCTAGAGAAAACCTTGAAAAATTTTATTCGACGGATGAACCTGACTGAATACTTCCTGACGGAATCCTTCCTTTACTTTACTGCCATAACTAATAGTACTTTCGATACATTTCAATTCATACTTGGCTGCGCGGCTTGGGGGAATAAAACAAAAGATGTCGTCTTCAGGCTCAGCAATGAATAATACATTTCTTTTGTTTTATTCCCCCAAGCCTCGGAGCCAAGTATGAATTTTAATAGATCAAAATTGGCGTATTACTGAATCTGAATTAACAGCTCACGTTCTCTTTCTTTTGACAGCACGAACGTGTGGGCTAATTGTCCTGACGGTTACTTTATCCAAGGTTTCTATCGAAGTAGCGGTGATTGGTTGAAATCCATCGAAAGCGGCAGATGCTGTAAGCCAAAAACATTACCAGACAGATATGAGAGTTGCTACTCAGAAGATATCGTGGGAAAGTTTGATAACATCGGGCTCAGCAAGTGTAAACAAAGTGGTTACTACGTGGCTGGTATATACAAGGGTGGATGCGATAAGCTTTACTGCATTGAGAAGCTGAAGTGTTGCAAAATGAATGTTGGTATGTTATAGCTGACAAATAAAGTAAGTAAGTAATTTTTCCAGTATAATTCCTTTCAAGAAACCCACGGCAAAGTGGTCGAGTGGCTAAGGTGCTGGAGTTGCAAGTTCATGTCCCGCCCTGACCGATTGCTGGATTTCGATCTTCTCGAAACTCCCGAGTTCAAATCCTCGGCCATGCGCATGCTAATCAATAGCCACCTGGTTTGCCTCCGGCCAGTTGAGTTTCAGGGCTATAAATACTGCCGAGGGGTAAATAATTGAAAGGATTATGATAATAATAATAATAATTATTATAATTATTATATTTATTATTATCATATTATTATTATTTTCAACAGCTATGTTCTGTTTAAAAAACGAGCAAGAGTGTATTATCAGGTTTAAAAACTTGAGGCGAAGGGGAGAGTTTTTACACCTGATAATACAAGACTGCGAGTTTTTTAAACGGCTTCGAAAATCGAAATCTCTGATTTTGATCTAGACTGCAAAACAGTCGGTTTTTTCCTCAAAATCAGTAAAGAAATCGGTAAAGCGTGGCGTAAGAGTCTTATGCGCGCGAACCGCGCGAGCCTCTGTTTTCAGCCTCGTTCCACACCTTTTGTTTGACTGCTCGCTCGTACTTGAATACGCAAAAATACGGACTGTTTTGCAGTCTAATTTTGATCAAGCCATATGAAATTCTTGCACTAAAATTTAGATTTGGGGTTAATTTGGTCTAAGAAAAATTGGACGTAAAGTTTAGCCGTGTCTTTATCAAATATAAGGACGCTCATTAAACATTAATTTCTTTTGTTTTTTCTTTATAAACGGCGTTAATGAGTTTTTTTTGATTATGATTACTTTCAACAGCTATCTTGATTTTTTGTGCTTTTAACAGATGAATGCAGACTTTCCAAACCCTGCAAAAACGGTGCAACATGTACCGACCAGCCAGGAAGTTACAGCTGCAAATGTACATCTGCATACTCTGGCAAAAACTGCAACACAGGTCAGAACATGATCCGTTGATTGAAATTGGGTTAGATTATGGAGAACACAACAATTATGGTGGCAATACTGAATTTTGCAAAAAAAATCATTTATGTTTTAGACGTTAACGAGTGCTGGGACAACCCATGCAAGAATGGGGCAATCTGCGTAAACCTTAAGGGAAGTTATCGCTGCAATTGCAAATCTGGTTATACTGGGAAGGACTGTGGAACAGGTATGGGCTTAATAAGCACCTCTTTATTTCGGATTTGTTACAGTATTCTTGGAGCCACACTCTTAAACCCAATTAAATCAATCAGTGGAAAACAGGAATAAGCACGAATAAGATGTAAGACGCAGTTTTAAGTGAAATAAACAAACTGAAACTGCGAGGGGCTTCTCTCTGTTTTGAGACATCCTGTTTGAATTGCGGAACAAACTTTTACTGCCGTTTAAACTGAATTCTTGTTTCAGACATCAACGAGTGTACGAAAAATCCATGCAAGAACGGGGCAACCTGCGTAAACCTTAAGGGAAGTTATCGCTGTGATTGCAAATCTGGTTATACTGGGAACAACTGTGAAACAGGTATGGGCTTAAGCATTTCTTTATCAACTGTTTTTGGAGCAATTAGCCCACTTTCCCTCGAGGACTTGTACCTTGATCTTCAAAACACCAAATTACTGAATGGTATGGCCTACCTTACACTGCACGAAAGTATGGACTAATAAAAACAAGGGAAGAGGGGTTTCTCTCCGTTTTGAGACATCCTGTTTGAATTGAACAAATTTTTACTGCAGTCTAAACTGAATTCATGTTTCAGACATCAACGAGTGCAAGGAAAAGCCATGCAAGAACGGGGCAACCTGCGTAAACCTTAAGGGAAGTTATCGCTGCAATTGCAAATCTGGTTATACTGGAAAGAACTGTGAAACAGGTATGGGCTTAAGGATCTCTTTATTTCGGATCTGTTACAGTATACTTGGAGCCACACCCTTAAACCGAGGAAATAATCAGTGGAAAATAGGAATAAGCACGAGTAAGGTGTAAAACGCAGTTTCAAGTGAAATAAACAAACCGAAACTGCCTAATTTTTTATGTCTAAAGTCCAAGAAAACAGCCTACAAATTATCGATTGGTAAAATTCACGATTGACGAAAAAGCAGTCCTTAAAATGAATAAAGCAAAAATTTTCAACTTGTTTATTTATTTGGAAACATGTCTTGACTGTTTTAACTGCCCAATAAATTTACAACACTTAAGTTTTACTCTGAAAGCGCAAGCCTTACAGCCTTATAGTAAAAGATGGAAGTTAATTTTGCTGTGATCAACTGTTTATTGGGCAAATAGCCCACCTACCCTCTGGGACTTGTACCTTGATTTTCAAAATACCAAATTACTGAATGGTATGGCCTTACTGTTACACTGTACGAAAGTTTGGATTACTAAAAACAAGGGAAGAGGGGCTTCTTTCCGTTTTGACACATCCTGTTTGAATTGTGGCATAAACTTTTACTGCCATCTGAACTGAATTCATGTTTCAGACATCAACGAGTGTACGGAAAATCCATGCAAGAACGGAGCAACCTGCGTAAACCTTAAGGGAAGTTATCGCTGCAATTGCAAATCTGGTTATATTGGAAAGAACTGTGAAACAGGTATGGGCTTAAGCATCTCTCTATTTCGGATCTGTTACAGCATACTTGGAGCCACACTCTTAAACCCAATTGATAATCAGTGGAAAACAGGAATAAGCACGAGTAAGATGTAAAACTCAGTTTTAAGTGACATAAACAAACCGAAACTGCCTACCTTTTTATGTCTTAAGTCCAATAAAACAGCCTACAAATTATCGATTGGTGGAATTCACGATTGACGAAAAAGCAGTCGTTAAAATGAATAAACCAAAGATTTCAACTTGTTTATTAATTTGGAAACATGTCTTGACTGCATGTCTTAATTACCCAATAAATTTACAGCAATTAAGTTTTACTCTAAAAGCGCAAGCCTTACAGCGTTATAGCAAAAGCTACAAGTTAATTTTGCTGTGAGAGTCTTTTGAAGCAAATATCCGAGCTTCCCTATGGGAATTGTACCCTGATCTTCAAAACATCAAATTACTGAATGGTATTGCCTTATACGTATACACTGTACACCAAAGTTGTAATACTAAAAACAGGGGAAGAGGGAACTCTCTCCTTTTTGAGACATCCTATTTGAGTTGACTTTTATTGCCTTTTAAACTGAATTCATGTTTAAAACATCAACGAGTGTACGGAAAATCCATGCAAGAACGGGGCAACCTGCGTAAACCTTAAGGGAAGTTATCGCTGTGATTGCAAATCTGGTTATACTGAGAACAATTGTGAAACAGGTGATAGCCAGCATCCCTTTATTACGGATCTGTTTACATATAATTCGGAACAACTCCCTTCAACCCCAAGTAATAATCAGTGCGAAAAGAAGAAATGGCACGAGTAAAATGTTAATGCAATGTCAACTGAAATGGATACTTGAAACCAACAACTGAAACTGCCTACCTTTTTATGTCTACGATTACAATGGTCGTCTGGTGAGATTTCCGGATATGGTGATGAAGAAACAGTTGTTATGCCCTGTAAATCTGAGAGATATGTTTTAGCCCTAAAAATAAGGCCGTTTAGGTAAGTAAAATACAGTCGTATTTTTGGGGCTAATTTGACTCCTGTATTAAGTGAGTCTCAGCCTGGGTTGGAACAGCCTTTGATAGGGTTGTTTTGGCTCAAATTGTGCTCAATTGGCTCCAGGTATCAGACTTCAGTATGCAGGGCTAAATTGGCACTTTTGGGGCTGAAACAGATCTCTTTTATTAGTTTTCAGTGTAGAATGAAAAAAATAGAGAGACCTTCAAACTTGTCTATTTACCTAGAGTCTTTTCGAAATTACAAGGGATTCAGTCTTACTTTCACCGAACATTTTAGAAGCAATTTAACGTATTATGGATATTATTATTTTTGATCTCTCTCTCAATCATATTTTTGAATCGGAAAATTTTAGGTTTCTATAGGCTAACCTTGGGAGTGAAATGTGAAAATTAAACGTCACGAAAATCGTAGGGAATTTCAGTTTGATGAGCTTCGAAAGATGTACATGGATAGAACGGTCATCTAGAAATTTTTAGCCTTCCTCAAGTATTAGAATATTCTAGCCAATATCTGCTTCTCCACGGACAGATATTTTACAGAAAACAGTCGTTGGATGTCCCTGTTGAAACTGCATTTTTTGAATAAAAAGCGGCCGTGAATTGTGTTCATGTTAGTTTTGGTCCAGTCATGGTTGTGTTGATACACGACGCGATAGTCAGGGAAGCCAGTACCCGAGATAGTAGTCAACACAGACCAACAACAACATAAAAATTCACAAGAATAGTGTGATGTTAAAACGATGTAAACAAGTTACGTTTTTCTATTTCGCTGTTTTCGGCTGAAAGTTTTAAGTTTGCAATCAGTCTTAACCTGGCCTTCCAATCATAGTACATAACCAAGACACCTTTAAATTTTCATTGGAAACAAAGAAGAATAAATACAATTCAGCAGCCAACCTGCGACTTTCTATTCAACTTATTTCTTACGAATTTTTAGAAGTCAACGAATGTGAATCTTCTCCCTGCAAGAACGGAGCCGCATGTGTGGGTCGAGTTGGGGGCTACCGCTCTCAAAAGATCTCAAAAGATTCCCATACTGCAATATTCGACACCAGATTGGCCCTATTTACCACGTGACCTTTAAATATCAATATGGGCTCCTGCCGATATCCCCACCCACACCCCCCACCCCCGCCTCTCAACTCGACTTTAAGACGATTCAGAGGCTAAACTTAGATTGGTTTTGTTTTCAAGATACCAGGGGTATAAAGTAAACATCACCTTTGCCTCAACGACGGTTGTAAAGGCCGCTCAGCAGTTTATTACTAATGGCCGGACGTAACAATAGAAAACAAAGGAGCAAATTGTTTTACGACTTACATGTATGAGAATTTAGCGTTAACTCTAAATCTCGGTCAGTTTTTTTTGTCGATTCAGTTGACTTCAAAAAAGAAAATAAACTAAACTGTGTGTTTCAGTCCCTCAAAAACGAGAAACTGGGCTCAGTTTCTTTTGAAAATTAAAATCCCTTCCTTTTTACTTTGCAGAACTCAGCTTTTGAATGTGTGGACTACTGATCACCTGGCAAAAGCTGACAAAAGGTAGTGGTCTATGTAGAAAAATATTGTTTACTTAGTCTCTATCTAAACTATTGTACGGATCAGACTAATTGCCGCTGGGAAATATCAAGGTTGCTGGGGAGACGGAGGAAGATCACCTTGTTGTACTTAAAGACCACATGAAGTGAACTATTACAATATACTGACCAAGAAAGCAATGAGCACTCCACATTACACACTATAATGTGCAACTTCATGTGGACAGAACTGCTTGCATTTAGGTGAGGATTAGAGCTAGGAGACACTTTGTGATATCTATCATTAGGAGCATGAAGCTCTGGCCATACTAAATGATTTTAATTATCTCTATCGCAGGGCTGATCATTTATCATTTGCAGTGTGCAAGAGGAAAACTGTTCTGAACTATGATTGAGCATAAATTTTTAATTGTGCATTTAACTTGTAGAATAGAAGAGATATAAAATTAAAGTTAGTGATTCAGAACGAAAGCGGAGGAAAGTGTATTTATTTGTCCCCAAATAGTCACATAATCTAGAGTCTAGTGTTTGGAAAGCTTTATATACCCCACCAACATCAGCTTAAGGTCACGTACCGGCATATGAGACGTGGATAAAGAAGGTGGTGGAGAGAGATTAAAAGGCTGACCGGCCGGGACGTCAAATAAGACTGGTACTGCCAGTTCCTTGACAGTGACATGGATATTAAGTCATTAACAAACAAGATCAATGACTATTTTGTAGGCCTTACTGATCACTTTGCCCCTCTACGTCAACTGCCACGCCCGTATCCGTCCCACACCAATACCTTGTTTCTGAGAGGGAAGTCCTCAGATCTCTATCAGTCCCTTAAAATTTCTAAGGCGCTCGGACCTGACAACAGCCTGCGAAAACATCCGTTTCTCTCCCCTCCTCGCCACTGGCGCGGGGACGTTTCGTGAGGAGGAACATCTGCGACTCGGCGACAGAAATTCCATACTGATGACGTAAAATATATCCGGAATCTGGTCAGAAGCCCTGATTGGTCGACGGAGTAGCTACATTGTTTTAGCTATTGTTTACGAATGACAGACAAAAGACAAAAGGCCACAAAGGTCAAATGTAAACGCGACGAATCTCTAACGAAACAGTCAATATTTGTGGAATTTAGTCTTCTCTAGAAAAGCATTTGAGTTTTGCTGGAGCTCGTTCGTAAATGAACACAACACTTTACCAAAATCGACCAGAAGAAACGTAAAATTGAACAAATTTGCATATGGAACCCCATGACTACCGTCATTGGTATGGATTTTCTGTCGCTGAGTCGCAGACGTTCCTCCGCGCGAAACTTCACCAGCGGCGAAGAGCGAGGCGAAACGGATGTTTTCGCAGGCTAACCTGACAACATCCCGAACAAGATCTTGAAGGAGTTTGCACCTGAACTGGCTCCCATTATCTGTGACATTTACAACCAGTCATTAAGGAAGGTACTTCATCGTTACCCCTTTTCCTAAGGTTTGCCCGCCTGGAGCCATCGAAAACGATATAAGACCGATATCCCTCACCTGCACAGTATCAAAGATCATGGAGGGCTTTACGTGCACTAGACTTCTACCCCAGTTGGAAGACAAGATTGATCCTCGGCAGTATACTCGCAAGGGGCATTGGACATTAGATGCTCTCCTATACAAAATTATTTCAAGCGATATACGAGGCGGTGGACATGCAGTGGTAAGGCATGTGCCCAGGCCTTTTTCGCTTATTTCAATAAGGGATTTGATCTTATTGATCACACTATTCTAATTCAAGAACTGGACGTAGGTGACGTAACAAAAAAACATGGAAAATGTAAAAACGAAACTGTTAATTCTCTTCAGATAAATTGAATCTGCAGAAGATTTGATATGTCTTCATAATGCTGAAGGCGAACGCAGATGAAACTTCAGTCTTGAATTGCTCTCTCTTTGTTGTTGTTGATTTTTTTAACTTAAAGTAAAATCAACCAACGACCTTGTCAGATTTCGTCAACTAAATTTTGCCCATAGCACAGGTGATTGTCATGTGTCAAGGTAATTGCTTATCGAAAACGTGGTGTATTTTAAAAAAAATATAAGCACCACTTGTATTTTGCGCAGGTGCAAATGACTTGAATACAAGCAGAAAGTCGTTCTTTTTATCGGTTGTTTATTGAACGTCTGCATTTCATCCTTCCCTGCGCGAAGTTTTTCGGTTAGTAAGAAACAAAACACCGGTTGCTTAATAGTGATAAATCGTGTAAATCAACGATCAAACTCTTAAACTCTTGTTAAGGTAATTCCTTAGTAAAAGAACCTAACATAGATTGTAGATGAAACTTGGTACACTGATGTAAGAAGTCAAGAAGATGATAAAAAAGTAATAAAAAGTGGAGGTCACCGTGCTCGTTTTGACGTCACAATGCTGACAAATACGGCTATTTAGGACCTTTTGACAAATCCCGCCCCCGGCCCAAAACTAGACAAAAAGGAGAGATTTTTTCGATGATGCATGTGGTATCGCACAGAATTTGACTTTAATGTATTGTTTATCCACTTACGTACCAGAAAAATGCCTTTTAATGCCCTTGTTTCTACTTTACACTCCAAAGTAGAATTAAATTAAATTTGACTCGGGCTATTCGACCCGTGATAGCTCAATCCGTACAATTTAGTAAAATTGCCAAAAAACTGAACGTAGATTTGTGCCAATTTTTTTCTTATTGAAAGAAAGCACTGTCCTTATTAAAATCATGAAATAAAAACTGGGGGTCACCGTACTCGTTTTTGCGGTAGAGCTGCAGAAAGTGCGCACCAAATGTTTTTTCTCCGACTTTGAGAGAGAGGAGTGGGGCGAGTTTCAAAATAGAATGTATGTGAAAGGGGGGAGAAAGTATGAAAAAAATCCGTTTTTTCAGCATTTACATCGAGATATCACCTTTAGGACGCAATGTGATAAAGAAAGCGTTTAAATGAAAATCAAAGTGAGTAAGCACAAGTTCAACATCCACTTTCGAGGTTCTCTGTGAGGAAGTCGAACTCAGCAACACGCGTACTGCTTACGTTATGCACACTCCCAACACATGGAGTCTCACCTCGGCAAGACACAGCCGCAAGCAAAAATTCCAATAGCGTTTCTCTTCAGTCAACTTCATTCAAATAATGTTACTTCACATGCTCTTTTTTACAGCGGCCATCTTGTTATCCGCAGTAAGAGATGCGCAGTGTAAAACCAGGGAATCACCTTAAAATCGTCAAATCTGTAGTAACTGATAATGCAATAATATATAAATTTAGCCAGGGCTAAAAGCGAAGCTCTGGTTTAAATAATACTTGTAAACAAAAAAAAATTAAATCTTGTAATGCTAAACGGGGAGGGCAATGAAAATGGCCTCAAGATCAATAGATCTAATTAGCAAAAAAAAACAAATTGCACGTGCAGCACACTTTTTTTTCTAATTAGCAAAACAAAAAAAAAAAAGCGAATTTGCACGTGCAGCACGCTTTTTGTCTTTTTTTGCGTTGTTTTGCACAACTACAACGCTGTTTTGCAGGACTAAAAGGCCAAACTTCCTAGCTACACATTATTTTTATGGAGGAATTGTCGTATGTGCTTACCCAATATTTTGTCTCCTGTGTTGTTCGCTTTTATTTTTCACTGGCGCTCATTTTCACTTTGCTGGCCGCTAGCATTTCTCATTGTCTCACAGCCGCTTTGAATTTTTATGTAATTCGTCTCTTTTGTGTTCAATCACTCGCTCTAGCACTTTCTCTCAAATAACGTCGAAAAAGACACGACTTCGTTGTTGTTTTTTCTTTCTAAAAGTCCGGGCGGCCATGCGATTTCTTTCCAAATAAAACCTTGAGTTGCACTTTGGTTGCCATACCTGTTGATTGAATTATTTAACATTGGTATGCCTGTGGTGCGGACGGACGGTCGGGAGGGCGGGCGGTCAGTGTACGGTCACTTGATTACCAAATTTTCTCGGATGGGTAGTTTACCACATTTCTTTACCCATGGTGCTCCGCTGCGCGCGCTTCGCGCACGAGAGCTCCGCTATAATCTTTCGTTGGAAAATAAATGTAATCTGAACACCCTTACAATTAACGTTGGTTGCAAGATATGGAATTAAAACAATCGAGAGTGACAAGTATTTCAAAGATTAGTCTCGACTGGGTCTCTTTATTGCCGCTTTGGCATTCTCTTCTTTGGCGCCTTCATCAAAAGTTGACGGTTTTAATATACCTACATCGATCGACGTTTTATGAAAGAAGGTAATAGCTAAGCAGTGTTACTGAGTTTCACAGCATGGTTGTTTGCTTTTTCCTTAGTTTATAGTTTGTTTTATCAGGTTAAAAAGAAAAACGCGATCGTCAGAGTAAAGATGCGTCATTTTTTTTTTCAGGTAAATTCCCACCATTAACACATACTGCTGCTTAACTATATGCATAACCACTTTATTATTTTTACAATAACTGATTTTCTTTTTTAGATGAGAATTGTCCTTGAGTTCCTATCAGTGGCTAGTACTGTTCTTGTGAAAGTGTCTCTTGTATTTGGAGACCACTGAGTGGACTTTGAAGGTAGGTTTCATTATTTGAAATTTCTTGTGATGTATTTTAATTAGTGAGTAGTTGGTTTAAGCACGTCTTTCTTTAGAACCAACCCGGCCGGGAACGTGAATGGAAAAAAGGAGTCAGTAGACTTGATCAAAATAATTTGTAAATGAACTTCCTATATTAGCATTCTTAATGCATAGTAGTTTTAAAAAGCTTTTTACCTCACCCTTTTTTCGTTATTTGAAGACCATGTCAATTAATATGAACTGGTGGCATCCAAGACTCCCACATCTAAGCCCGTAGGTTGCTTCAGAGACCATGGTCGTAGACCCCGACCACCTCCGATCCAGACTGATTGCTAATCTCCCACAGGACATCGTTTGGACAGACCTGAATTGGACCATTATAGAGTGTGCTCGCAGAGTTAATGAGATAGGCTTTCATTACTTTGGAGTTCAGTTCTAAGGCGAATGTTGGAGCGGCAAAGATGCAGAGGTTACCTTCAACAAACAAGGGAAGTCTGGGAGGTATATTTACGGAGTTGGAAGAGGGCACGCGAATTTCGTTTATGCATTCTTAGAAAAAGGTGACAATTTTTTTATTTTTTGAAAATCAATTGACTACTTTTAATTGATACGCCTGGTGCTTTGGTATTTTCAGAGTGATCCTTTTTCTGATTTTTTTACCGTTGTATAGAAATGACAGTGCGCCTTGTTAGTGGCTCAAACAGCAGACGCGGCAGAGTTGAAGTATTGCACAGAGGAAAATGGGGAACTGTTTGTGACAGAAATTGAGACAATCGTGATGCAACTGTAGTATGTCGCATGCTTGGCTTTCCAGGTAATTGTATTTTAAACTAAGCAACTCTGTTAGGAAGTCACTATACAAATCTTAGAAGTGCATATGATCAGACCGAGGGTTTACCTGTGAAAATATGAGGCCAGCGGGCACCCTGTCGCTGGTTTGCGCAATTTTTATACAGCGCAGAAATCGGATTTTTCTGTTCCTTTGTACGTCGCAACGAATCCAAAGAAATTATTTGTAGTACAATGAAGTTATTCCAAGAGGCACTATTTTTAAAGGCAATTTATACATGATTAATTTCACAAATATTTTATTAAAGTGATTAATTAAAGCAATAAGTTCAATAGTCAAACATGGTGTCCCTCTTTGTAAGGTTACAAAGTTCAAGTTTATAGTAACGAGACCTTCCCGTTTAGAAATCTCATGACATTTAGATTTTTAGTGATTCAAATGAACCCGATTCACAGTCGTGAAGTAAATAAAATATATAAAGTAAAAAAAAAGAAAAGAAAATGAGGGACCTGATCGAAATAGTTCGAATCGTTAACACGAGGAGCCGCAAGCGGTGGTATTTTTGCACGGCATCTGGCGGCACATCAAAGAAGGGCAAATTCCTAGAATATCTTCGCCAGTTAAGCTAGAGAAAAGGTGTTAAAAAACCTCAGGATCCAAAACAACACGTCAATCAAAATATCACTTGGACCGTTTCGCTAATGAAGAGCTATCACGCGGCTAAGCTTGAATTAGACATATATTGAAATAGGAACTCGTGTCAATAAAGTATCAGAAGTGAGTGGGAATCGCTCCTGGTTAAAAAACTGGTTTACAGGGATATGCATCTCTTCTAGTTAAGGTCTCGGTAAAGGAAAACGAGGTGCCCACAGAAAAAAATTCTACTCGCGTGAGTATTTTTGCTACAAAGGCAAGTTATATATCAAATTAAAGCTAAAAGACTAAATTACCTTATAGAAGATTTTATTTCATCGAACTTCAAAAGGCGCTTAAGTTTTTTGCTCTCGAACTCAGAGGTATCGAGTTTACTGCTGAAGCTCCAGGCCTTTCGCGTTGTTAAATATTCACTTCCTTTTTATTGCATCTGATTGACAGATAAAAGACTTAAAGAAGGGTGTGAGGAAATTTGCATATGTCTCGTATTAGCGGAATTATTGCATTTCAAACTAAAAAGTTGAATCTCGAGCGCGATTTACGCAAAGAAACTGACATAAAATGAGTTACAAAGGGAAATCGGAAAATTCCTCACACCCTTTTTTAGGTCTTTTATCTGTCAATCAGATGCAATAAAAAGGAAGTGAATATTTAACAACGCGAAAGGGCTGGAGCTTCAGCAGTAAACTCGATACCTCTGAGTTCGAGAGCAAAAAACTTAAGTGCCTTTTGAAATTCGATGAAATAAAATCTTTTATAAGGTAATTTAGTCTTTTAGCTTTAATTTGATGTATAACTTGCCTTTGTAGCGAAAATACTCACGCGACTAGAATTTTTTTCTGTGGGCACCTCGTTTTCGTTTACCGAGACCTTAAGAGAAGGGAATCAGAACTGCTTTTCATACAGGAACAGGTTTTCTTCGGGCTAACTACAAAACTTCAGCTTATTTCACTACTTGACATTGTCAAAGCGCATTTTGTAAAGATAACTTTTTCCGCTTTATCACCTTTTTTTATAATCTATTCCATTAATGTTTAACCTCCCTCAAATAGCCAAATAATATAAATGTTGTTGTTAAAAAAAGCGTTTTACCTGCTTTCGTGAATATCACTATGCTCAAAGGACAGGGCAAATTTTCCAGGAGAGAGGCATTAATTTTTTTCGCGCGAAGTTACAAAGAGAAAATGCAATGATTATTATTAACGTAACCATCAGGTATACTCTACCCACGAGTTTACGGACAGCAAATACGGTGATTATTATTAATGTAACCATCAGGTATGTTCTACCCACGAGGTTACAAAGAGAAAATGCAATGATTATTATTAACGTAACCTTCAGGTATGTTCTACCCACGAGGTTACAGAAAGCAAATGCAGTGATTATTCTTAAATGTAACCATCAGGTATACTCTACCCACGAGTTTACGGACAGCAAATACGGTGATTATTATTAATGTAACCATCAGGTATGTTCTACCCACGAGGTTACAAAGAGAAAATGCAATGATTATTATTAACGTAACCTTCAGGTATGTTCTACCCACGAGGTTACAGAGAGCAAATGCAGTGATTATTATTAAATGTAACCGTCAGGTATATTCTACCCACGAGGTTACAAAGAGAAAATGCAATGATTATTATTAACGTAACCTTCAGGTTTGTTCTACCCACGAGGTTACAGAGAGCAAATGCAGAGATTATTACTAAATGTAACCGTCAGGTATATTCTACCCACGAGGTTACGGAGAGCAAATGCAGTGATATTATTAATGTAACCATCAGGTATGTTCTACCCACGAGGTCACAAAGAGAAAATGCAATGATTATTATTAACGTAACCTTCAGGTATGTTCTACCCACGAGGTTACAGAGAGCAAATGCAGTGATCATTATTAATGTAACCATCTGGAATGTTCTGCCCACGAGGTTACAGAGAGCAAATGCAGTGATTATTATTAATGTAACCATCAGGTATGTTCTACCCACGAGGTTACAGAGAGCATGCAAATGCAGTAACAATTATTAGATTTTAGTGCAGCTATCAAGTTGAGTTCCTTCATTAAAAGAGTTTTTTGCTAGGGTTAAACAAGTTTGGCTTTCATGAGTTTTAAGGTGCAAGAAATTATCAGTATAATTATAGCACACAAACATTGTCATCTAATTTTTCGCACGTAGCCGGAATAAGCCACGAAATGAAGCATATATAAATAAAAATCGTCCTCAGATGATCTCCATATTAAGTAAATTATACTAAACGTTGCGAAAGAAATTATTGTTTGTATCCGTCTTATCCATCGTAAAAGCGAGGGGTCATCGCATGACATCCGGTATATTAAACAGAGGTAATACTCACGGGTTTCACGAGTTGTATGCACTATTTTTCGCCGAGAAACAAATTTAAACTTCAATTCTTACCTTACAGTAGTCCGTTCTTTCACCTTGCATTCGACAACAAATCTGTTAAAGGCGAACAAAGCGATTCCGGCACTCTTCTTTATGATGAGTAGCAAGCCACAGGAACTGAAGCCGTTTGAAAGAAGTAAAATCCACCGATACGCACGGCATTCTCACTACAAATATAAACAAACGTCGCGGGCAAAAAAAGACGAGGAGGAAAAAATGCCAGATCTTCGCCTCGGCAATGTATTCCAGCTACCATGCCGGCGTATCTCCAGAAGGTGGACTCGAAGTGGGACAAACCTTGTGATTTTTTTTTAGAAGCCCTTTGCGCGCAAACTAATTTATTCTGGCGCGAAATGAAGATTAACAATATGTATACTGAAATCTAATCCACGACAAGAAGATTTTCGCACTGTAGCGCGACATATTAAATGCCTATTTTTCCAAGTACGCGGAGAAAGTGGTCCACTAGTTTAACTTTTTTTAAGATGAATTTACTCCACAAAAGCAAAATGAAATGTTTTATCTCTATGTTGTTTACGTGCTTGATTAGAAGGCAGAAGTAAATTCATCATACAGACCCCATCAAAATGAAAGTATACGAATGAAACGGAATAAGTCTGGGACGGTTTAGTTTCTACTCAGCTGCTTCTTTGCTTTTATAACAAAAATTTAATGTTGCAGTCTGTTTAAAACGTTGGCATATCAACGCGCACAGTCACTGAATGAAAACAACAGTCACGATCACGTTCTTCGAAACCGACCAGACGCGCGCGACCTACCACTGTTATGGTAAGCAATTATCCTGAAGGTGTTAATGTTCCCGTGACAGTCTTCGCACTGAAGGTGTAAATGGTAAACCGAACGGTCGCAGAAAGACCTGTCAACTTTGATGATTTAACTGATTAAATTATGGGACAGAAAGTTTACTGCTTGCGGCTCCTCGTGAAAAGTGATTCTTACTTCACAAGCCATGTTTATTACTGTGTGTAGGAGTGTGAAATTAATAAGCAACCAAGTTTAATAATTCATGACGTCATTCTAACCGATCAATCAGGTGTCGTCCTTGAAATAACCACGCAGCATGAGACAGAAACAAAAACAGATTTCAAGAAATTTTCATTGGAAGAGGAACACGCTAGGAGGATATATTCTCTTTCTTCCCTCATTCAGTCTCTTGATAAAGTGCAGTAAGTGTTACTCAAAGAATAAACTCTCTTTAACTATCGCTTTTTAGGAGCTCTATCCGCGCCTCGAAGTGCCACATTCGGACAAGGAACAGGAACTATTCGGCTTGGTGACGTTGGTTGTAAGGGAAGTAAAGCAAACCTCGCTCACTGTTCACACAAAGATTATATCGCGGACTGTAATCATTTACATGATGCTGGCGCTGTTTGCCGAGAGGGCGTCCTGGACCCACAGCCAAGAATACCATGTCAATGAAGTATTATGTAAAATAAGTTATGTTTCATTCCGTAAACTACGAACTTAGTTTGCCTACTGTTAAGCATTCTAGAACTGAGAGATCACTTAATTATCATTGCATTTTTCCTAAAGCCTGAGCTTTGATAAAAAAATTACATTTTATATTTAATTGAGATTAGGAAGTTTTGCTTAGTTTTTAAATTCTGTTGTATATGAAGCGATGGAGTTAAAAAAAAATAAGTAAATAGTCGAGAGCTCTTGTAAGTTATAAGCAAACTGTGAAGCATCAGGCTAGATTACCAAGTATTTATTCATTCAAGTTTTACCGAGTTTCATGAAACTAATACAAAAACTGCAGTTTTTAGTTATTGTCTCATGGTGACAAATTGCAAGAAAAGCAAAATTAGGTAATATGTTGGGAGTATAACTATTTTACAAAGTCTCGATGCCCTTGCAGTAACCAAAAGGAAAGTTTAAAAATATATATCGAAAAACAAAATGTCTCAAAGGTTGAGACATTTCTGATAAGTAGTGTAGGAGGGATGTTTTACGCCTCTTTTTTGCGCAGGAATCTCATTAGCGTGCGCAGGAATACATAAACTAGGTGATGCCATAGGCTATTGTCTTGATCTCATGAATAAAATGCTGTGGTATCTCATTAACTTACGGTGGAATCTCATTAAGTATATCCAGTTTGACGGGTTTAT